TTTGAATTTGCGCAGTTTACGAAAACACATGGCTAGACGCCGGCGCACGTAGAAAGAGATTTCCGTTTCACGAGCTGAAATGCACACCGGTGAAAAGTGATCATAAGGATAAGCGAAGCAATGCGCTACCGTGCGCCTCTTCATCGTAAGCCACCAGTCCGTTCCTTCGTTTGGCTAGGTGACTTTCCATAACCGTAATGCGTCACGGAAGCGGCTTTCCGTTTCGATGATTGTCGTAGTTCCTTCCTCTCCCAGCAGCACCAGCGCCGGTACACAGCTGCAGAAAATAAAAGACTCGTGGTTGGCCGGAGATAATAATACACCGCGATTAAGATGAGCAAAAGGAATTACTCTGGAGTTCTTTGCAATAACTCTTCGGCAATCGATACCCTCAAGGCTGAATCACGCTCACGCCACGCTCTTTGCATAGCTGCAGACAATTCCACCATATTACAGGTAATTATCAACAGATAAAGAAACAGGACGCATCAGCTCACTGTCAAAATCCTCCTTAGAAGAATACACTTCCAATGGGAACAAATTCTGGTGTTCCTGAGCGGACAAATTCATGTCGTAAAACGTCAGCGGCTCCTTTCCTGCAAATAAATTATAGTACACAGTGCGGCATAAATTGAAACGTCCCGTAAATGACATGTTTCCATAACCTACAGGTCTACATAAACGCAAAGGTATAAACAGCAATATGTAACATTTCCAGCTGATAAAATAACAACGAAAATAGTTAAACTGTAGGAAACAAAATGAAATACCCAACCAGAAGTCTGAACACAACACACCAGACCGCAGCATATCGCGTAATAATTACCTCGTAATTTAAAAAACCGGCTGTATTCCGGTCCACGGAACAATTTGAAAGGATTTTCCGTAACCTGGACTTCTACAAGGGAATCCAGAAAACTTGAAAATCAATCAGAAATGGAACGATAGCGTCGCAGCTGCGGCGTCGCCAACCGTCTGTTGCGGACTTTCTCCAGATGACGATGTTTCGCTCTCCGTTCCATTGGTATTTCCATTCCCGCCGAACCAGGGGGTCAAATGAGTTATAGATAATTGTTCGAGAAAAGATATGCCATATTTCTTGTAATACCACCATTCAAAAATCTAAGGGAAGAATTCAAAGTATTTCCATTATCAAAACTGTTCTGCCAAATACAATGGTTAATAAAAATCTCATCTGACAGCGTGTCTTACCAGAATTAATCCAGACACCAAGGAGGATGTTCGGTCAGAGCAACATAAAATTTCGAGTCAGCGAGTTCATAAACAACGTGGCTGCAAGGACATGGAAACAATGGTCAATTCAGTTTTACAATTGTCATACATTGTCTACGGAACGGAAACGACGATGAATGAATCCGCGAATGATCGTTAACTTCTTTACTTACAAAAAAATAAGATTGAACATTGCAGCGGTCAAGCAGAAAACTTCCAAAAGAGAAGATCCAGGATAACGACTTCTAAAATCACAAAGCTTTTGCCAGGGATGGTAGTAATTAAAATGCTCACTGCTCACGTCAATCTGCTTTTCTCAGCTACAAATTTGTGCACGCTTTTGTCCGTAGTACAAGCAAAGGCGTGGGGCCTTAACCGCAACAAGGAATGTGCAATTGTGCAGCTTCCGTTAATCATCCCAATAATCCCATGCCGCAGATAGTAACCCTAGAAGCATAGAGCATTAAATTTAATTTTATAAAACTGGTAAACATCCATCCAGCAACAAAAACACTAAATTCAATCAGCTCCGATTGGGGCGAATCTGATGCCGCCAGGGCCAGCTATTAACTGCCTCTACTGCTGTGCTACTTAATACATGCTTTACTTTTTAGTGCACGATACTCATCCTTGTTCGCCCACATCATGTGAGTGAATAAATGATAATCTTCCAGATTCTTCCTTCCTGACTTTCTGGATTTACATCCGTTGTTATCTTTATTCTGCTCCAAACGAATTGTTTCCCTTGCATTTTGGTTTTATTTCATCGCATACAATGCTTTACTTACACGTTCTGTCGGTTTTGACAGTGTCATGTGCTTTTTCGGTTGCCGTTAGGATACAGGTTTGCGTTCTGCGTTCTGCTGATTCTGAAATCCAAACCGTATGATAGATAAATTTTTGAAGTTGTAACTTTTTTCAGTCGGTTTCGGAAGCAAAAGAAGAACTCCTATCAAGAGAAAGAAGAGCAACAGGAACGCCGATTAAACCGAGAACTGGAGTATTTGGGAATGGGACGACTTTAATATTTACTACACCGTGTGTTCGAATGGAAACATCTAATCCCATTCAGATTCAAGTTTATGGCCCACATGATGTCAGGTCGAAGTGGGAGGTTGATGATGAGATTTTTGCTGAAAATTCTACAATCACTCTAACAGAATCTGGATGCCCGAGCGAAGATAACAATGGCACAGCTTTGTAAGTATTGCAACGGCAACTTCTAAGCTGCCACTAGTGGAGTGGGTTACACACCCGTACCACGATAAAACGAGGTTTGATGGTTCGTCGGCGATGTTACGAGTTAGCGAATTACCCAAAAGTCAGTTATGCAATTGCGAACATGTTAACCGATACCGGCGCGATTGTCAAAGTGCACAAACATTTTTAATCAGCTGAAAAGTCATTGGGGAAGAGCAAGGGCAAGGGCAAGAGCAAGAATCATTTTAGGACATTCAGACAATCTCAGAAGTCTAGAAAATCCACGTTAGAACTGGTCATCTCGTACAACGGTACAAGTACACATTCAGATGTTTCCGGTTGAACTAGCACAGATGTACATCTTCACTACAGATCTCATTTGTACGGCTACAGTATTGTTTGGTGTCAGTGTTGTGGAATGCGGTGTAAACCGTGTGCATAATGCATAGAAATTAGGAAGCTTTAAATTAATTTTTTACCACTCCTGGCCCATTTTAACACCTTTTATACTCTGCTGTGCTCATTTGCTTCTCGTTGTTTTCAGTTTTGTCGTGGATGTATCCGGCATTCAATCAAATGCATCTACAAAGCAGGCTACATTTCGGTTGGTATAACATTCAATAATTTTGTTATTACAACTCCGTTAATTAATTGTTTTAGTCCACTATGGGAAGCTGTTTTGCAGGTTCGACTTCGCACATGACAGTTTCTATTGGTGGATTACGAACATAACCTTGAAGGCGACATTCGATGGTGTAAACGGTACCCAGACGAATAACTGGGATCTGCGCCCGCAGGATACTTTTGGCGATCGCGGGTACGCTTATCTTTGCCAGGATCAGTATGCTTTTACCTCCGATTATGGTGAACAAATGGCAGGACTACAGTTTCCCCAGATAATCGTAAGTGGTTTTGATTAGGAATTTATGGAAACGCGAGTGATTTTGGTTAAACAATTTACAGCTGCTGCTATTTAGTACACCTGCGTGTAATGACATCCTTTACTGCTTGCGAATTTGCATGGAATCGTTATTTTGCAATGACATCCTTTACTGCTTGCGAATTTGCATGGAATCGTTATTTTGCGTGTACCAGTTTAGAATCGTCTTATGCTTCGTTTTCATAGCTCAAACCGTTCCTTAACGCCACCAATAATGCTTCCGTCTTTGGTGACGCTACATTTTTCCAACCGTGTGAATACGCTTTCACGATTCCTTTATGGATGGCGACGGTGACAGGCTTGATCATGGCACTGATTCTGGCTCTGGGTATTTCTATGCTGGTTGGAATTAAAACGCCGGATCGATTTGATGATCCGAAAACTTCCAAGTTATTGTCCGTTCCATCGGAATAAAGTTCCTTGAAATTGTGAGATGGTAATACATTCCGGCAGCTCTGAAAATCCGACATATTCATAACGAAGATTTGCTGTTATGGCATTTCCAACAATGGCGTGGCTGAGATGATTTTGTAAGCGAACGGTATCTGTTCGGTGGATTTAAATTGGTTAATGTGTAGTGTGGACTTATAATGCTGTGATTTGGTTTAAAAATATGTGTGTCTGCTGTTGCTACTGGTGGGATGTTATAATTTTAGTTCTCTCGTTTTAATACTGTGTAGCGTTTAGCAAGTCTTATTGTTTATTTGTTTTATTTATTTTTTTGGTTGAGAGTTTCATGGGTTGCTGCTAACTGTAAGGTTAATTGTAAGTAGATGATCATCAGGTGACAGTGAAATATGACCATTAACATTTTCGATCTGATGTAGATGACGATTCTGTATGTTATGCATAAAGCAGCACCGCTACACACTAATAATTATGTAATTAATGTTCTGATACAGCTACTATCTCTATATATTAATAAAATAAGCCTTAGCGAATTCCATACAAAGCTCCCTTTTCTGAGCGAAACGCTTAACGAAACTTGGGTGTCTATATATCATTCGATAGCGCCAGGTTTGCAGATGGCGCGACAAGAATCAGTTTTTGAGAAAAATGTAAAGTTTAAAAGAAAAGTTTAAGAAAAGCTAACATACAAAGTCTATGGGAAAAGTGAGGAACCCACCACTGCTAAATCGACCACCCCACCACTGTCTTGAGTCGACAGCTGAAACGCCGTTCTTCAAGCTCTTCTTCGAATGGGTGTGCTTATGTAATGACATGTATCACCTTATAGCCGTGGTTTACATATTTTTTACCAGAAATTTTTGTTTGCAAGACAGTTAGAGCTGAAGACGTCAGAAAGATCAGGCAAAGCAGTCCGCGAGTACGGAACAGCTGCAAAGTGCAAACCCAGTTTTTTAAGTAGCTGTCCTCCGCAGTTGTTCGAGCTCCTTTATTGTAGCACGCGTGTAGCACGCGTTCTTCCCTCGTATGGGAACAACGCCCTCATTGGCTGTGATTTCTATTGGTTGTGATCACAGCCAATGAACGCAATTTCTATTGGTTGTGATCACAGCCAATGAACGCATTGTTCCCATACGAGGGAAGAACGCGTTTTTCCGAGCAGCATAACTGTACTACCAGGGGGGACATGTTCATGCGTTTCCCAGACCGCAGTCAGCTGCTTGTTGATCTTGTTTGTTACAGGTTTTGCAGAGCCATTTCTTTTCCGTTTTTAAATTGATGTTCTTTACCTAACAAGTAAGCTGATTTACCTACAGACTCAGGTTTTTTTACCGTCTCTTTGGAAAGGTATACAATAAATTATCATATTACAATGCCATCAAGGTAACCAAAGCACGGGAAGCCAGTAATCTGGATGTTAGACGTAGGACGGAAATTTGGATGGACTGGAATCTGGATGCCATGCCGAAATTTTTCAGTAATTTTGCCTTTTGTAAGGCTGTTCTGTGGTTTTTTAGAAGTTAACTTGCGGTTGGAGCAGCAGAGTGTGTAATCTGGAAGCTGGATGAGTACTAGTACACTGTACTTACCTGCTCCCATTCGGATGTCCATTGCAAAGGGATCTGCTGTGCCAAAATTGAACGATGGAGAAAAGACAGAGTTCCCCGAAACAGTCCTTGTCAAAACGCAGGCTAACCAAGCAAGAGCAGCCGCCAGCTAAGGACTCGGGAACATTGAGCTTCGAAGGATATACTTTTTATTTCTTGCCCCTGGAGCTTCCGCGGGTATCATATATCGCAGTTTCACTGATGTCGGTTGCAGATAATTTTACTGATCCAACTGAGCGACCTGGAATTACATGTATTTCTGAATGAGCGAAAGTAACTGCTTTTCAGATCCGACGCGAAGTGTTTGCTTCTCGCGTCATCGAACGTGGCGGAACTGTTTCCGAGGATGTTGTGCGCCCGTCCGGCGAAATGGTCAGCCACGTTATCGTTGATGACCACATTTCGTTGTCCCTCATATGTCGGGCTTTGCTCCAAGTCGTCTCCGACGCATTACATCCAGGCAAACGCAAGATCAAGTCGACGGACGAAACCGCTGTCAGTGAATCGAAAAAACGCATATTAGGTGCGCTCGAAAACAACAACACTTTCATAATGCGCGCGGGATGGCTCAGCGCGTGTTTGCGCGAAAGGCTGTTTTTGGATCCTCTGTCCGAGTCGCAGAACAATCACCGATTGAATGTCTTCGTTCAGGCAGGTTTCCACTGCTGGCATTTTAAATTATACACAATCCGAGTTTGAGTTAGAAAGTAATGTTTGCCGCAGGTCATGAGATTGTCTCCTTTGAATTTTCATTTGGCGGGCAACGTGCGTTATTTGTGATCATGCTTTGTCATTTTAGAGTCACTTAATTGCAAACGTTGCGGGCGTGGAAAAAGCCAGTAGTGTAGAAAACAAGTCTCTCGATGAAAGTGTTCGTTCTCATTCAGTAAAGAAACAGCCGGTGACTAAACGTGACGAAACTCCGGATCGGCAATTCAGCTACCATTCGGACGATGACCACAAAAGCAGAGCATCCTCGATTTCTGACTTATCGATTACCGAAGATGAAGCAGGAGACGATGCGTCCGGAAGTAACCAGGCTTCTGACGATGAAGGGGTGACGCCTACAGGAAACAGTGCAGCAAAAGTGCCGGTGTCGCCTCAGAATGTGGCAGCTGTCGAAAATGAAGATAGTAAAGCTTCCAAATTGCTGGTAAAGTTCTGATAGCCCCAACACTGTTTGTGTACTTGTTCCGTAAAAGTACTGATTATCGCTATTCACACCATAAACCGTAGTATTTTTCAGAAAAGCAATATTTTCCTAAGCCCAACAAGCGGCAAAGTTCTGGCTGTCGAAAACCAAAAGCTAGTTGAACAACTGGAGGAAATGATGAAAATGTACCGAAATCTTGGAGACAAATTCCGAGGATACGCTTATGCTCGAGCCATCTCGGCGATTCGGAGATATCCGAAACCGATTGTAGATGCCCAGGTAAATTTAATTTGTTCTGCTTTCGAATTCATGAATCGAGACATTCTTTATTAGAAGAATTGAGTGCATGACTTTGTCCTGTTAATTACAGCAATTAAAAGATCTAAAAAATGTTGGACCACGAATTGCAAGTCACATAATGGAGTTTCTGGATACCGGTCGCGTGGGAAAAAATGAGCAGCTAGTGCATAATGACGACATTAACGTTGTCATAAACCTATTTGTCAACATCCATGGAGTGGGGACGAAAACTGCCCAAAGATGGGCTCAGATGGTAATGCGTAACTTGAAGAACAGATTCCTGTGGAAATTGCCGTAAGGATGGCGCGGTTGACTTATCTTGTTGCTTTTTGTTTTGTGATAGGGATATCGAACACTGGATGATGTTCGTGAGAAAGCTTCTCTCACCACTGAACAAAAGATTGGTTTACAGTATTATGATGAATTCTTGAAAAAAATGCCACGTGAGGAGGTGGAAGAGATTTTTCATGTCGTGAAAATTGTTACGGATTCCATAGAGAAAGGATTTATCTTCGAAGTCTGTGGTAGTTATCGGCGCGGACGGGATTTGTGCGGTGATGTTGATATCTTGATGACTCATCCGGACGGTCATTCTCACGAAACCATTCTTAAGCCGTTGTTGGATAAACTACATCAAAAAGGTCGGTGCACTTTCATTGATTGTACTTTGATGAGTAGGATCGGGATCATGAGTTGAAAGTAGTTTTGAGTAGGATCATGCATGATAAAAAGTTTTATGGTAGTCGAGTCACACGCGTAAAAACGCTAGTTAGGCTTTATAAGGCTCTTCTTTTAGGGTTTTTAACGGATGACCTTTCTATTTCTGATGGACATCATAAAAGATATTTCGGGGTTTGCCGACTTGACCGAAAAGAAGCAAAGGTAGAGTGCCTGAATAAGTTAGTAACAATTTTGGTAAATACCTTTGAAGGGTGTAAATTGTAACATATCTGATCGTGAGGCATCCACTGTACTTGTACATGCTACATAGTGCGCATACAAGTTTATGTTTAGGTTTCAACTTTATTTTGCAGCATCGACGCTTGGACATCATAATTTCTCCATACAACGAATGGGCTACTTGCGTTTTCGGTTGGACCGGATCTATGTATTTTGTTCGGTCTATGCGGGATTACGCTCATAAAAAAGACATGTCTCTGACAGATTATGCTCTGCACAAAAACGTCATCCGACAGGTTAGGACGAGATTTTTCAGTTTTATTTTACGCTTGAGCGCTTTAATGTGCCTTTATCAGGATGGTGAAAAAGTTAACGAAGGAGAAAAGATTGAGACGCCCACGGAAGAATCCATTTTTGACGCTCTTGGGTTACCGTATCTCTCTCCGGAAGAACGAGACCACTAGACAGTTAATCTGGACACTGATCAAATTTTCGGGTATTTTTCTTCCGGTAATCCGGTACAATGTGTTTCTAGTACCTTCCTCTACAGATCTTTTACAGTGGCGATGGCAGTATTGGTAATTACAATGGTTGTCATATATGGAAAGCTAATTTTGAAATTTATTTTCTTGTTTTTTTCTTTTAAATTGGTGGTTGGGCTAAAACTAAATTTTGGTTTAAATTATTGTTTACTGGCTTGGTTGTCCCATGTAATCGTGCGTCCTGAACAATTACTGATGATGAGTAGGTATCTTTAATATAGATATAATTCCTACACGCAAACTGGAAAACCACACGGCTATTGTAAAAATAAAAACCCACACTGGTTTATATGAGTAAGGAAGTACATACAGAAATTCGTTTGGTGTTTAGTTCTTAAATTATTATGACAGAATATGAGTTCGGCTGCCCATGAGCGATCGTAAAATATCCCAGACATCTTTCCCTGGCTGAACTTGGCATTCACGTACGTCCAAAATGTCTAACTTCATCTCGCTCAAACGACACAGGATCTCTCGTGAAATCGATCCGATATCTCCCACAAATGAAAGACATTTGAGATTAGGAAACCAGTCTGGAAGGTAGTACAGTTTTTGCGGATGTTTTGGCTCGCATCCATACAAGTGCAGTTGTTCCATGTGTGTACCGCAACGTTCCGATAATTTCAAGAGCGCCTCCAGACTGAAATCTATTCCCGATAAGCTCAGGTGGACAATGCGTAGAGAGTGCGGAACATAATGGAATATGTCGGCCGGAAGATCAGCATTGCGCACATCCAGTTCAACGAGTCGTTGCCATTTTGTGAAACAGGAACGGAAAAATTCACGAATTGAGTCATCAATGCCATGTGTCTGTAAGCGGAAAATCTGCAACGTATCTAGGGCGGTTACAGCGTCCTCGTTGAGCACATGCTGCAAGGTTCCGCTCAGATCTAGTTCGGTTAAATTTAGCCGATTAATGCGCTCCGGCTCGACTGCCGCATTATCGGCATGATTATTAATCTCGCTTCCATCCACTGTGCCCGTTTTTTGCTTAACATCATCTGACGGTGGCGGTGATGAAAAAATCACGCTGATATCAGGAAATCGGAAACAACAACGGCGTAATGCAAAGCGCCGGAGTTTTGGCAGATGATAAAGCAAGTACTGAAAGGCTTGTTTATTTAACATGGTGAAACGGCGGAATGTTAGCTGCAAATCTTCCAAATCTCGCAGCTGCGCCAGATGTTTCAGCGCGTCCGTTCGTTCGACCAACACATCCAAACAGAGCACCTCAATGCAGAGCTGCTTGAGAGTGCTTAAACACGACATATCCATAAACAACTGATGGTCAGCGTACAGAACCGAGTGCACCCTCAACTGCTCCAGCTGATCAAGGTCACGCATCCCACACGGCAGGCCTTTGCCTTTGTCGCACTTCAAGGGCGTCGTAATCGACTTCAGGTCGGGGATGCGTTCGGCCAGTTGGCCCCATTCCAGATCATTCCACACCATGTTGTGGCGGTGGTATTCTTGGGTCTCGTCAGCTGATGGACGCACTTCGATGTGACGGATGTTGCGCTGCAGAAGTAGATTCCACATGGGCTCTTTGAAGCGCCGGATAGATGATAGACGGACAATCTGCCGTTTCCAGAAAGACGGATCATCCATTGTATTACGCAGATCTTTTGAAACTTCGCGCAGAGAAGCGCGACTCTTGGGGTCTAAGCGTTTGAAAATATTGTGCTGCACTTCCCATGGCAAGTCAACGAGGAAATTCCCCTGATCGTAGTCATATGTATCGTTACTGAAAGCCATGTCCGGTGAATATTCCAGCTCCATACCTATAAAACCGCCAATTATAATATTACCGCCAGCGCCAATTTAATGTTAGGTTAGAATAATACTATTACTACAACTTACTTGCGTCTACTACAACTACGTTTCATGAGCTTTGGTACGGATATATTTCCATATATTCCACATCCATCTCCAAAGCATTGTAGGATACAGTTACTATTTTATACAACAAAACCTGAACGTGATAAACAGAGACGATAAAATTGTGATCGTGTTATGGTATGAACTTTGCGACATAAAATTTATCGTTGGAACTATGCAATGTGCGCACAACGCACACACAATAGTTACCCGCGAAGTACCTTATTTCCGGAAATCTAGTTATCAACAGTAATTTTTCTCTTGCAGCTAAATGATTCAATTTTCAGCGCTAATAATTTCTAACTTGTAAATAAAGTAAGTTTCTGAGAAAGAAACTAACTAACTATCTTTTTACTATCACTGTGTAAAATATTTTGTGTACTCATACGGAATACAAGGCAGGAGACTAGGAGTACAATATATAGCATGAAAATGCATTTTGGAAATTGTCCGGGTGCACTCGGAAATAGAGATCGAACAGTTCCGGCCTCTGGGAGCCTGTACTAACGAATTATTCAGGCAACCCCTAGTCAAGTGATTAGATAAATTAAAACTTTGCTGCCGAAGTCTTACCTAAAATTTATGGTACGGTGCTCCAGGCAATTATTCCTCCTGTGTCGTGGTAGTAAGAGGAACAACTTCCGTGTTACAGTATTCCAGCACGAGATCTACAAAATACGAAAACGACCATAGGGATGTCGACAGTTCTTGCAAATGGATGTCGTATACATAGGGGTTTAGAAATGTTAACTGAAGGATTGCAAATGCTACGATAGATATTTTTCATCGATGATTAAGATGATGCCGTAGACCTACCCACGTAAAACACACAGAGCGCTCCCACTCATCGGCAGTAGATGTATTCGTTGTCTTACGAGTAAGTACTGTAGTAATGCGCTGATAGGGCTCCTACTTACTGTAACACTATCATTTTGGAGCCGTTTTGCTGACATCACTGGCTTTGAAATATTGGTATCTAAAAATATCACTGCGTATTGCTGCAGTAAAAGTAGTCAAGCTTTGATATACGTGTACCGAACCTTCCTTTAGGACTACGCAAAGCCGATACGGTAGCTTCCTTTTCGTTAACTGCAATCACACTATAATTTACATGAGTTAATTTTTCAAACTTGTACGGTAATTCACACGACGATACAAAGGGTACTTATTCAGTGCTTAAACTTTACGATCGCGGGATTCATTAAACCAATTCTACATTCCTATCACATATCTATATTTGAACAAGCCCAGCACGGATGAATAATGTCTTAGGATTTCGAGCATGTAAAAAGGTTAACTGCATATGTATTAAATAATGGCACGATGTTTATTACATTAAGGAGGCACGAATAAAATAAACAGGCGTGAGCAGAACCTGTTATTTTTGCTAATTCGCAGTTCGCTAATTTCAGTGACAATTCGATATAATAACACATAGTAATAATCTGAGGATTTACAAACAGCCCATGCTAAGCTAATGGCCACCATGGTAACAAGCTTTTGAGTGACCACTGGACTGTGGGGATTGGGCTTTACAGAAAACTGATGATGCAGGAACACTCTCGACACTGAGAGGATTCTGTAGCACTTTAGAGCGTGCAGATGGGATGTGTGGAACGGGAGAAATTTGGTTACAACGGCAAAGTGTCGAGGACCCTGGTTACGTAGTTAGTATTCATATAACAAGCCCAGCACGGATGAATATTGGCCGATGACTATTAAAAAATAAGTAATTCCAACGATGTGTTGCTTTGCGGTCGCTTACATACGTATGGGTTTAGTAATATTATGACAGTATGTTTAGTAATATTATTATGATACACTTTACATAAGTTAATCGAAACACGGACTGTCTACTTGTACTGTGTACATACAGTACATAACTTGCAGTGATGACTAACGTGATGATGAATACCGTGTCAAGTAATATGAATTTTTTACTTTGTATTATACTCGTACTTATTGTTAAGCAGGAGCAACAGATATTAATTTTCTACTGTTCTGGGTCAAGTTCTGTTAGAACAGTGTGCATTTCTTATCGCGTCCATGGTAACAAGCTAATGATTGACCACTGGACCTAGACAAATGATTTTGGCAAAAAGTCAACAATCTTGGATCTACCGCTACACCTAGAGAATTCTGATGTACTTTAAAGCAACAAAATTGGTGAAGTAAAACCCGAGATCCTTTGCCTCAAAGGAGAGGGGCCGAAGTCCTGGCACAGATAATCAGTATTCATATAATTAATTTTGTTATCCAGATTAAGTATGTGCGTACAGCCGTAAACCCGGCAAAAGCCAGTTAAGCATTACTCGTGGTATCCTAATTTTTTTCTATAGAAGACTACCATACTTTCAATCCTAGCCAGCGCTGGATAGCGGATCTGGGTACTTGTCTATCGCGATGAAATTTCCCAGGCTCCAGCATAAAGTTGTCCAGCAAATTATTAATTAATTGTAAATACTTACCATTAACACTACCGAAACGAAGTTTTGCAGTTGATTCGTAAAATGTGGGCTGTCGCAATTGGTCCCTCCTTGCACGATGGGCTCAGCTTCACTTCGAAACCACGATAAATTTCGACTGTGGGAAGTGGAACTGCGTTAGGTTGTGTAACTTTTGCGTTTACTATAATTTTCTCAGTTAGTTTTAAATCGTTTGACAATACTACAATAGGAATCGTTTGGCAGTTTGTGGTTTTACTCGTTAAAACTGAAAAAAAGTTGTCAATTTCCGTTTTCGCAAAGCTGATAATTGCTGTTTCTGAAAACTGAAAATTATATTGGTTTGTTGCACTTCCCGTTCAGAGAAGGGAATCGGGGTTTGCAATAGGAGATTTGACATCCGTACGAATGCAACATCACCGAAAATTCTCGCTTTTTCTGCGAAGGTCTTTTCCAAAATTTTCTGTTTTTGACGTCTGGAATTATCTTATTGCTTTAAACTTGCTGTTATTTGTCATTCCCAAATCTCTTGCTGGAGCCCCAGACCGACAGTGCCAAGCATGCAAAGATTTCATCGAAACCTTTCGTAAGGTTTGTAACCCGTTTATTTAACGAATACGGTACTCGTATAATTTGTAGGATATGTGATCATGTCTCATAATATAATAATCATTTTGTGTTATCAGTTCTGACTTTTTATGGTATGGGGGTATTGTTTTGAAAAGTTTGCTTGATTACTCGTGTTTTTAAAAGTTATTTGGATAATTTTGAGTTGTTGAAGACGCAGTAACAAGCATCGTAGGTATATAGGTAGCCGAAAAAACCAGTATTGTGCAATGTGCAGTAGATGATACGTTTTGACGAGTAGATAAAAATGATCGGGATATTTAGTCAAGTTCTTACAATTAGGCACGGTTGCTTGCGATATGTAATTTTGTTTGATTTATAATTTGTACCAGGGTTACGAAAATACTGCAAATTTAAATTTTGGTGGTGGGAACACGGACTGGGAGGAAACTCGCCTGGGAAGTTACTCCACAAGGTAATCGATAATATGAATTGGGCTAACAATCCTAACATATCATTACTTATTTCGGTGTCCTTATTGATTCTTGTGCATCCGATTTGTGTGGAAGTTTGTGATTTTTGGCTTGCAGTGAGACGCGGCTAGTCGAAATACTGGAGCACGCATGTACAGAAGGAAATAACAAAGACTGGGTGGGTTTCTACAGTACAGTACAGAAGTTCGTAGCATTTGTAACTTTTCTCATTATTGATGCACTACTCGTACCGGCTTATTCTCGTAATTAAAGCAGTAATCAGGCAATGTTTTTCTTGCTACTGTCAGTGCCATCAGTTCGTGGAAAATCATGAAGAGCAAATCGAAAAATGGTATTTTCATCTGCAAAATCATGAACCGGATTTTGAAAAATGGCTATGCATTGTCACAGCAAAAGGTATTGTGTCTGCTTTGAAATTAAGAATATACAAGGTGAGTTTTCATCGAAAGGTTGGACTACATCTATTGTCTCTGCATAAGTATAGTGTGTTGTCCGTCGAACACGTTCGGAAGTGAATGCGTGCCTTGTCCAGGAATGGTAAAAGATTCCAGTCCGTGTTTCGGCCGTGGATATTGTGAGGTAAGGCTGCTGTATAATACTGGCGGAAATCGTTTTTCTAGGCCCTGACCTTGAAAGTGCCGATGAGTACCACTGGGTTGAATGAAAAATTAAGAAAACTGTAATGTGCGTAGTAACTTTTCATAGACACTGGAAGTGTTTTATCTGTACCATACTTCGTTTTTTATACTTTAGGGTAATGGAACAAGAAAAGGAAGTGGAAAGTGCCGGTGCTTCAAAGGCTACCAAGGCGATGTGTGTGATACTTGCGGTTTTGGCTTTTTCCAAGTGTCTAAGTCTGATTCGTCAGTGGAATGTAAAGGTAATCTAAATGTTTCATCGCCGATGCTATTATGTGTTATTCGAGAAAAACCTGAGCTCGAATTGTTGTATGTTTGTCCTAGATGTTGACGAATGTGAGCTTGATCCGAAGACTTGCGTCGATAACGAATACTGCTTCAACACCGAAGGGGCATATATGTGTACGAAATGCCACCCGGCGTGTAATGGTTGCACGGGATCCGGAGCAGCGAAATGCCGCACTTGCGCGGAAGGTCATGTGCGGATAAACGGAACATGCACAGGTCAGTACTCACTGGTCAGTATTGGCACCGTTTAGAATCCTTACCATTCTGGTACGTCCCCTTGGTTGGTTTTGTACAGCGCATGCTAGCCTTTGTTGTATGCTCTGTAACTTGTGTCCGTTCCCTGTACTGTTGTGGACTTGTGGCGTTTTGTTCTGCTTTGCTTCCAGTTGCTCCCCTATTAACACTCAACGCGTTATTACGATTACAGTACGGTGCTACCGTGCACTAACAGTTGTGTCTCTTGCTTTGGTGGTAATGATGCTCTTTTTCCTGGTTGCAGCTGTTTCTCAGGGAATTTTTACGCGTTTCCTCCGGCTATTTGACAAATTTGACAAGACACTGGTTTTCTGTGGTGGTGGTGTAATAACCAGTTACTTTTTCATAAAAAATGGCGAATATTCTAAGCTGGGACTTGTGGGTGTGATGATGGCTGTCATTTTGTCTGCGTGGCACTATGGTGATCTGTTAATAACGGACACATAAGGCGGATGTTTTTATAAACTTTTATTACTTCCTTAAATTTTAGACGAGTTAGAAGTGGCGAAACAGCACTCAACGGAGCAAGCCAGTTGGCCGTTCGACATGCGACCCAAACGTACAGCGGAAGACGACAATTCCCCGGTGCAACATAATTCACCTGAATCTGCTGGTTCGGAATCTAATGTTAACACAGGCTCGCGCTCAGAACTGTGATCGTAATTTTTGAGAATTTTTATCTCTTTACACCACGTGATTTGAGACCGTGAGGCTTGAGATCTCGCGAAGAAATAAACTGTATGCCGCGCTTGTACCGGCCTATTTGACCATCCAGTTTATTAGGCTCTCCGCGTTTGGTAGGTTTAAATTTCCGCTTGTTCCTGTTGGTTTTCGGCTTGGCTTTCTGTATGGCGGCCTGAATCGTATGCTGTTCATCCAAAATCTTCTGATGTTCTTCCTTATCAAGTTTCTGCTGCTCCAGGAACAATTTGAAATTTTTCTGCGCTTGTTTCGGGGGTTTAGCACCCAGTGCTATGGCTAGTTTCCTGCGGGCATCGCTTTTATCTTTGCCTTTCGATTCGGAGATGTTGTACCGTAACATGTCATGATAGTCTGCCCGTTTCAAAGGCTTCGCAACTAATTTCTTCTTGTCAGCTTCGTCCCCGTTCTTCCTTGGCCTTTTTGCAGATTTAATTTTCTGTAAATTCTGCAAGGCAGCCTTTGAGGGATCTTTAAAGAAGATGGTCTCCGGAGCCGCAACCACAGATGAACGACCTGGATTCCGAGCCATCTAAAATACATTTCAGAATAATTTAAAAACAATCATTCACAAAACCGACTTCCATTTGCTGCCATAATTCTTTTAATTTAGCGCCTACAACATCACTTTTAAAACGTAAAAAACGGAGCTACACCAAATGTTTTCGACAACTGAGACTTGAGAGTCAAGACTTAAGCTGTAAGCTGCTTGCAGCAAGCTAAAGAGTAAGACTGTAAGACAAAAACATTCTGCCAGGCAGCCAGAACTGTGATGAACATACCGTTTGGACGGCGCTTCTGAGAATTGTGACAATTTTCACAAAGCCGAACTTTACTCTAACTCAAAACTGAAGAGTTTGTGATCCAAAGAGCGCGAGAGTTCAGAGAGATCCAAAGTTCCAAGCAATCTTTGCAGCACACATGGATTACGTGTAAATGAGAAAACGTAGTCACTAGTGAAAATAACGATGAACCAGCGTAATTAGAAAGTGTAAATTTTCTGAATATACACTGGATGAACTATGAAGTACAAATGAAAACGGATGAATAAATCAAAATTGTTCACGGACGTCGAGTTCTCTCTCTAATTGTGGTTTCGCAAAATCCCAGTCCTTTTCAGCTTCCGTTTATCCTCGAGGAACTTCAATCATTTTTAACGCCATAAGAGCGGGTAGTAGGGTACCACGAGACACGAGCAAAGAAATTTTTGCAGAAAAATTAAAAAATTTAAAAAAAGCGAAACAATCGTACAACAGTACCGGAAGTAGGCGGCCCTAAGCGGGAAAGCCAATCACAGTAAACCACATCGGCTCGTTGGAAACCGGTAAGGAATAAAATCAATGCCTTCCAGAATTTTCGCAAATCCGTTTTGGTTTGGTGGCGATCAGAATAAAACGTTTTGCCACGTAAGTAAGTTTTTGCATTTCATAAAGGAGATTCGGTAATAACTGAGTAATTCTTCAGAAAGTGTGGGTTTTCTTACAGTCTTCTACCTGCGGTAGCTTTATCTGCACCGCAGTCGAGGCAAAACTTTATTCTGATGCCCGTAGAGTTTGTGCACACCTGAACTGACCATGAATCGATATTTGCTCTTTGTGGGTTTAGCAGTTTTATTCCTTCTTACTGGTAAGTTGAAAATAGCGTAGAATGACACATTTTAAAGCAATTTCTGCAACGTTTATGTTACTACTTGCATCACCGGTGGTCCTCCGTGTCATGTTAATTGCGGTATCCAACTTCTTGTTGCAGGCCCGTTAAGATCCCATGGCAAAGAGGATGACATAGATGATGAGGAAGGTGCAAATCCCAAAGTTCAGTCGAACGTGGGAAAAGGCAAGCAAGGCTCTCGGACCGACGATGAAGTTGTTGCAAGGTACATGAAATGTTTGCGATCACTTCAAAGTTGGTTAGCAAAAGTTATTTTTGGTATTCGGTAGAGGTTTTACAACCAGCAAGTTGTGACTTTCTTATTTTACCGAATATTTTATTTATTTATTTTAATTTTATATTATTAGATAAAATAGAGCAGAATGTGAGTATACAGATGACACGCTATAAATTCAGCGGGCGTACAGTAATTTTCTGTTTGCCTTGTTTGTGGCGTGGATTAGGAACATCTTCACAGCATACGAATTTGGTAAATTGATGTTTTTTTCGGCAGTTTTTATAAAATTTTATGTGCGACTACACATTTGTACATCGTGCCGTGATTAATATTGATTCATTGTTTTTTAGAGAAGAAGAAGCAATTAAAATCGATGGACTAAATGTTGCTCAAATGAAAGAAATGCGGGATCGGGCCGAAAAACATGTCTTCCAGGCCGAAGTGGACCGAATGATGAAACTTATTATCAATTCTTTGTACAAGAATAAAGAGATATTCTTAAGAGAATTGATTTCCAATGCCTCGGACGCTCTCGATAAGATTCGTATAATTTCGCTGACGGACAAGAGCGCATTGGATGCCACGCCCGAATTGTCAGTGCGCGTGAAGGTATGGTAGTATTGTTTTATCTGTCATCGTTTTCCGGATTCTTCTGATATATTTATGTACACCAAGTGTGCTTTACGAATCGTGTCCGATGTTATCACGTTCGTTTCTGTTTTTTAGGCGGATAAGGAAAATCATGTCTTACACATTACCGATACCGGTGTAGGAATGACTAAGGACGAGCTTATTAAAAACTTGGGAACCATCGCGCGATCAGGAACAAACGAATTCTTCCAAAAATTGTCACAGAGTTCTGCTACGGAGGTGGGCATTCTCGATTTCTGTCTAATTTTTGGGGTGGTTTTAATTACCATTTGAATTAGGCTGGCGAACTCATTGGACAATTTGGGGTGGGCTTCTATTCCGCATTCCTTGTGGCGGATCGAGTGGTTGTCACGTCGAAGAGTAACAGCGATAAGCAGTACATTTGGGAATCCGACGCAGCCAGTTTCAGTATTGCGGAAGATCCTCGCGGTGATTCTCTTAAACGTGGAACGACCGTCAGCCTGCACTTAAAGGAAGAAGCATACGATTTCCTGGAAGAGAACACTATTAAGGAACTAGTCAAGAAGTATAGCCAGTTTATTAATTTCCCCATCCATCTGTGGGGCAGCAAGACTGAAACCGTAGAAGAACCGGCAGAAGACGATGAATCTTCAACCACGGAGGCCCCAAAGACGGAGGAGGACGAAGAAGCAAAGGTTTGGTTAACTTCTTACCTTGATTTGGGAACGTTCGCATAGCACAATATTAATTTTCTTAGGTTGAAGAGGCACCAAAAGACGACGATAAAAAGAAGACAAAAAAAGTTGAGAAGACTATCTGGGATTGGATCCTCATGAATGAGCTTAAACCTATCTGGACAAGGAAGTATGACAATTCCGTTTCCGTATTATAATAATTTTTACGTTGCCGTATACCTTCGGATTTTCAGTCATGTTTAGTGTTTGGTAAATATTGATTACCGATTTTATTTGCAGACCGGCAGATGTCAGCGATAAAGAGTATTTTGAATTCTACAAATCGTTTACTAAGGATTACGAAGAGCCAATGGCAAAAATCCACTTCACCGCTGAAGGCGAGGTTTCCTTCAAGTCTATTTTATATATTCCGAAAAAGGCGCCCACTGATGCATTCCAGAAGTACGGTACCAAGACTGAAAATATTAAGGTACTGTATTCGATGAATTTGTTTGTACATTTATGGCCGTTTCTAAATTTATGTATTGGTTTGCAGTTGTACGTTCGTCGCGTATTCATTACCGATGATCTCCAAGATATCATTCCCAAATACCTGAATTTCATTCGTGGCGTTGTAAGTGGCGTTGTTTTTATGACTACCAAGAATGATAAGTTGTAGCTTGCAGTTGAGTACTTATCCTGTCATAAGTTGCCTCAAGAGAGTTGTTGCTTTAGCATTTAATGGTTTTAATAATTGTAGGTTGATTCGGATGACCTTCCACTGAACGTTTCACGTGAAACTCTACAACAGAACAAATTGATTAAACTGATCAGGAAGAAGATTGTTAGGAAAGTTCTAGATATGATTAAGAAGCTCGAAAAGGAGGATGCGGAAAAATTCTGGACCGAATACAGCACAAAGTACAGTTCCTGCATTTTGTTTTGTTTGTTAAGATGCATCTGTACCTTTTCTTTGTTTTCAGTCTTAAATTAGGTGTGATCGAAGATTCTGCTAACCGCAGCCGCTTGGCAAAATTGCTCAAATTCCAGTCTTCAAACGGTTCGGAACTTGTTCAGCTGCCGGAATATGTTACTCGTATGAAACCCAAACAAGAACACATTTATTACATGGCTGCTGCTTCTCGCGTTGAAGCAGAAAAATCCCCTTTTGTTGAAAGATTGCTGCAGCGAGGTTATGAGGTCTTATATCTGACTGACCCGGTGGATGAATACTGCATGCAGTCTCTACCTGAATTTGAAGGAAAGAAATTCCAGAACGCTGCGAAAGAGGGTTTGAATTTGGGCGATTCGGATAAAGCCGAGAAACGCGTTGAAGAGTTAACGAAACAGTTTGAGCCACTTACAAACTGGCTGCAAGATAAGGTCTTGAAGGAAAAGGTAAAGTAAATGGCGTGTCTGTAGGCAGTGGCCACTGCCAGATAAGTGCTTTTAACAGTTATTTTTTGCAACGGTTAGTTATTTTTTTAGATTGACAAAGCTACCATCTCGCAACGGTTGACCCAGTCGCCATGCGCGCTGGTGGCCAAGTCATACGGATGGACAGGAAATATGGAAAGAATTATGCGCGCTCAGGCTTATGCTAAATCTAAGGATCCTATGCAAGAGTAAGTTGACCTTAACAAAGACATGTCGATTTTATAGCTTTTTTGCTTAACTCAGCCAAGTGCAGTCTTGCAGTACTCGTTCAGGATGTTCAGAGAAAGTAGCCATTTTTGGCATGATTTGTCTTTTGCAGTCGCTTGCTAAACTCTTAATAGGATTTCATCGAAATTTTTGTCCTGTTCTTAAAGCTCTTTTGCACTCGCAGGCTCGACCTGTGCGTGTTTTGCATCTTTTGTTTAACCTAATTCAGCTAATCAAGGTTAATAATTGTGCAGATTTTATGCCACTCAAAAACGCACAATGGAGATCAATCCAGGTCATCCCATTATTAAAGATATGCTGCGGCGAGTCGAGGAAAACGAAGATGACGATATTGCCAAAGACCTCGCAGTAGTCTTATATGAAACTTCGGCAATCCGATCGGGTTTCCAAGTGCCTGATACTGCTGGATACTTTGACCGCGTAGAAAAGATGCTGAGACTGGGTTTGAATATTTCTCCTGAAGAGAAAATAGAAGAGTTCGAAGAATTTTCCTCTGACAGCACTGACGCTGATAGTCCGGCGAAGGATGCTGATGAGGACAAAGAAGTCGAAGAAGATGCAGAGTCGCCAGTTAAAGATGAGCTCTGATCGAGTTTTTTATTGTTGTGAATCGGACTCCGTATCCGTTTCGTGATGCACCCTTGGTTTTGTGAAAGCCATTCTCATTTCTCTTTCCGTTGTTTTTTTATTTATCACGCATTGTATATCGTCAGATTCGTGCATATAGATTGTTGCTGATACAGGTGTTGTTTTCTCTAAAATTTTAATGTAGATAAGGTGACTTGCCAGTGAAATAAGTACATGCAATAATTATGGTGCCTCAAAACAAAAACTTCATTCATAGCAACATTATCATTGTCTCAGCAGAACAAATCAGCAGCAGCCACTTCAATTGTTTCCAGTTATATCTACTCAGTTCTACTGGATACGTACTGTCAGGAGTCAGGACTTACTGTATACAGTAGGTCCTGGTACTGTACAAGTACATTATGGACAAGAAGCAGTACTACATTAGTACTGTAGTGCTCAGATTCGCCACCGATCTGTGTGCCCATATTTCTTCGTTTTTCGTCACTCGAAATTTTGCACTGGTTCTTATGCGGAGGTCTGATGCATGAGCAACATCGCATTCCGAAAGGCATGAACGTACGTAGACACAAAAGGTCATTTTGATCTTCGTTAACCACACTATCTAGACTACAAGTAGTAAAAATAAACAAGAACACTGCGAAAGAAAACATGGGTTTTTGACTTTTCGTCCCGTAACAACAACAGCCCAGCAATGTGTCAGAAAGCAATAAGTACCACAAAAGACAGCAAATGAAACCCAACGCTATACGAAACGTCAAAGTCGCAGTAAAATACCTATTTTTATTTTGAAATTGTCCAAAGTATCACCAAAAAATAATCAGATTCGAGGCGCACACACAACGCCGTCCAAAGTTCGAATGTACAAGAGTAATATCTACATGTTCGCTTTTCTTCTTTTCAGCGAGGCATTTTCCGGGAGATCTCCCGTGTAATATCCAGGAGCAAGTCCATTTGAGCCACCACTACCGGGGATCGGGCGCGGAAGCACAATGTCACCATCACGAGTCCGCTTGCCGTCCAAAGGCGGCTTTGTTGGGGGATTAGTTGGCCCACTTGGCCTCCGGTGATCCTGAAATACCCGTAGAATAAATTTCCGTTCATAAGTTCTCTGAGTCCACTAACTACGGAAGCAGGGTTTTCCACGTTCAAGTTTTCAACAACTACTCAGCAAAACTACTACACAGCCATACATTCGGCATTCGAGGGGCTCCCGGGGGAGGAGGGGGAGCAGGTGATCTAGCGTCCATCTTCATCGGTGGCGGTGGGGGCGGAATTTGCGGTGGCTGCCCTGGTGGAGGCGCTGGAATCGGTGGCCGAGAGGCACTAGGAGGACGTGGTTGTCCTGGCACTGACGGCACACCATGCGATGGACCCTGCAATTTCGCTGCTGTCCCTTGACTAGCACCGGCCATTTGGCCCACAGTCGGCTGACCGGCAACCACCGGGTCATGACCAGCCGGGACTGGCGGCTGAGGCCCTCCTGACGGGACACTCGCACTGGTGGAGCCAGTGGTCTCATGCTACAGCATGAAAGAGACAGCATAAGGACACACCGTTCAGAAAACGGTTGACCAAACACTTTTAAGAGACCCAGAACGAGAGCATCACTATACCGACTCTCTCAGTTCTTATATACCAGTCTCTTAAACATTGTGCCCTACAGCAGCTTGCCTTAGTCTGAGGCATGACACCGTTCCCGCGGGCTTTCATCCCCATTGGAGTATTGCCCTGTCCCAGGACCTGATTCCAAATTTTCTGGCGCACACGCTCAGAGTACCTGTCAACCGAATCTAGGAAGTCCTTGGCCACTCTGCCGATTTGGTCTTCGGTGATCAATGGATCCATATAGCTGTACCAAGCTTGGCCTTCCGTAGATAAGGGAATCTTCACGTTAGACCAGCGGGACGCCACGTCGATGCACATACATGCCACTTCAACGGGCTTGTACTGAATGCACACCTTCGTGCAGTGCAGTGCGACACTGGCAAGTGCGTATGCTGCGTGAGACACTTCCTTTTCGCAGCGAATCAATTGGCAACAACGAATCACATGGGTATGAGGATGCTCGACACGTAGATCGAAGGCGAGAGTCTGCAATAGGACATTCTCGTGTGTCACTACGTTCTGCATTTCCTCCGAATATTTCTCGGAGTCAGTTGGCAACACAACTGGATCTCCTGGATTCAGTATTCGATACGTCTGCTTCACAACATGCTCCAATCGACGTGGCTGTTCTTCGACTTTCGCAGCCAGAAAGACAAAAACAGGCGCCATGGTGTATGGGCGAAATCTCGTAAAAGAATGATACTGATAAAATCTGAAAACATGCAAGTATTGAGTTAACACACATACGAAAGCCTGATGCTCTGCTAGGCAAGATCTTCATAGTTTTTAGTTTTACTACCATACCAAGATTTTCACAATAATCGCAAGTTCGCGGGGTTTTTTTCAAAAAGAAAGAAATTTCCCTGGATAAATTTTACGAATACACATCAGCACGATATATACTCATACCTTCCCTAGCCCAACTGAGGACTTGCTAATGCTTCAAATAAACAGCAATCAGTATTTAAAGGACCTAGAGACTCACGAAAGGTTCTGGAAGATTAAAAATAAACGTTTTTGTAATAATGATCATCTATGTTCGACATATTTACGTAAGTAATTAGTAATAGTAATACTGTACTGTAATAACGATAAGTTCTGCCAACTGTCTGCGTCTACGTGGATGACGAAGGCATCCATAACCGTCACTTACCGATGCATATACAGAATAGCCGTGTTGATGGCTATCTGAAGGAGCTGCAGCTTTTGTCCGATATTCTGGCAAAGTTCTGCACACTGATAACGAGACCAGAGTTCCTTATCAGGATGAATTCCACCATCAAGAATGCTTGGAATCTGATTGATCTCCTGCGGAGTGAAGTACCACCGTTCTTTTCGCCCGCGAGACGGCACTACGGCATCTCCAGATGGTGCAACGCTTTGCTGTTGTTCAGCAGTCCTGTCCATGGCAGAATATTAGAAATACCACCTTGAATACTGAGAAAATAATCAGCAATAATGACGATGTAGGACTTCACTGAAAACCGGATAGGTCCTCGTCTAGTTGAGGTGTTACGGAATGACTACGCATTCCAGCGATCCAAGATGACTGACTGCTTCGTGCGGATTCGAGCGTGGCATAAGGTAAGGTTACTGCCGTGTGTGGGCGATTACTCTGGGGGTTTAGTGCATTTAGCCGTACGTTGTTCCTGCGCTTAGCGTACGAATATGCCGTAGGGTATGCGTTCGCCGTAGCATGCGTACGTACTGCGTACGTATTTAATACTGTACAGTGTACATAGTGCACCTCGCATATACGCACTTCCGCCACCCCACCCTCCTCTTAGCTTCTTATTTGATTTATTCACCGAAGTCGCAACCTGGATCCAGTCAGTCCTGTCGGTGATTGCTATAGCTTTCTTTGCGATATTTTTTTGTTCTGTCTCACAAACTTGGATAGTGTTGTTTCTCGATACTTAAGTTTTGGATATTTCTGTGGATTTAATTATGAAATAAACTGGTGGAAAACGAGGAGGTAAGGGTTGCGCAAGTATTGTGTAAATGTGTAAGTAATCCATAATTTTTATTAATTTCGCGCTTCCATACATTCGCGGTGATTCACCACATAGACGGTGTTGTTACATGTGATTATATTTTAATTTTTAGTATATTTTAATTTAGATGTGAATACATTTTTATTTCACCACATAGACGGCGTTGTTACATAAATCTGCTACTTTGTAGTTTTAACAATTGTAAATTTATTTTGGCCAATGATAACATTACGTGATGCGTTGCGCAGCTGTTAATTACTTACTTTCATACAGACAGTATCAGCTGTTAACTGCGACAGCGGTTAATTACTTTCATATCAATTATCAATTACTCGTATTGTACAAGATTAGGTCGACTCGCTACATATTTTTTATTTCTATTGCGCAGAGTGCGCTTTAATTATTGAATTTTAGTTGCGGTGAATTAGAACGGTTCTATCGAGTGTTTTTGCCTGTAGATTTTGCGCTTTTTCATTTTCCGTAGTTTTATAATTGGTGATAATCAATTCTTTTTCTACTCGTACTGCGAATTGCGAGTGAGGAACATTCAATACCAAGAAACGAGGAAGAATCAGGGTGAATGACTAAGTATAAAATTAGACGAATTTTAAATTTTTATGAAACTTTTAACTGCCTCTGTGACTGCTTATTCTACGGCAGCTGGTAATAAAATTAAATCTTTAACTGGAGACTAACAGTAATACTACTTACAATAAGTAAATTTTTCACACTCACCATCAGACTCAATCGTTAGTCACCTCGCAACTTTCTTCTCCGTTAACCGGTTAGCGAGTTTATGACAATCTGGTTTTTTTACGTACCCCAGGCGTACGAGGAACGGTCTGTAAGTATTAATAATAAGTTTTAAGGTAACAAGAATAAGTATTCTGTAGCTACCTCTTGTAATTACAGGTACTTATTGCTGTCCTTGCAGAATATGTTACGCTTGCTGCATTTTGTGCGGAGTAGACAAATTGGAAAGACATGTGCATTCCACCGCTGTGATTTCTAGGCTATTTTAAATACTGCGCCTTTTGCAGTAACTCCTTGCTGTTTGATTGTTTTGCGAAAATGGATGTGTGAACATGGAAATAATAATATTATTGACAATTTGACGCTAATTATCCGGTGGATTATTACTGCCATATTTCATCGACATACCAGTTATTCCCGTTGGACCAAACCACTTGAATCCGAATAATCCGTCCATTTTGTAGCGTTTAGTCTGTTTTATTAATTTATTATTGTGGACCATGTTCGGTGATTCGTTGGCGTCAGTTAAGCCTTACAATTGTTGATTCTGCTGCTGCGCGTTAAAGACTCTGCTGCTGCGCGTTAAACGAAAATGGTGCAGACGTATACTTCTCCAATCCGTGTGTACAAGTTCCCTTTTGAACTTGTGATGGCTGTAAGTTTATTTGTGCGCTGTTAAAATGTAGAAAAGTGAAATATCATGTATTTTGTTAGACTTAAACAATGAGATAATTTTTATTTTGAAACTTTCTCTGGAAATCGTAACGTATCTGCTGAAGGTTTGTATAATTATATTTCACTGTTATTGGGACTTCTACAATATAGTATTGATTATTGTTTTTATGTGAGTATCGAAATGATAAAATCATCATAAGCCATCATAATTACAAAGTAATAAAGGTATAATTTTTTTGAGAAGCAGTCTGAAGCATGGGATGTATTGGGAGCAGCGAAATTTAGGAGACACGGTGCATCGATGCGTTTTAGGAAATAATCTCACTGCGATATGTATTTTCTTGTGTCGCTTTTCTACAGTTTTGTGTTGTTTACTGTTTTTCCTTTAGGACTTGGATTTCTGTATGTTTTTCCCATACCTTCTTTTGCAGGCTTATGAGAAGCGCTTTCCGACTTGTAAAATGATTCCGGTCTTTGTCGGAAGTGAAATTACATCGGAAGTGAACAGTCCAGACGGAGCGACCAGTGTAATAGAGAGGCGATGCAAGCTGAATGTTGATGCGCCCTACCTGCTCCGCAAGGTTGGTGATACAGTGAAGAGCACCCGGATGTGGATTGTTTGTTAAGCGTGCAGTAGTGTTGGGATGGTTTCATGGTTTGCTTATTCAAAATAAATTTATTTACTCGGTAGATTGCCGGTGTGGATTTTGTTTATTTTATTCAACGAAATTCCAAGGATCGCCGCCGTCGCACCTTGCTAATTGAAGCATGGAACGAAAGCTTTTCCTCGAGGCTGACAATCAAAGAAACCTGCAAATATTCGGTAAACATCAATCAGTTTGTACATTGGTCCAGATATTTTTTGGACAAAAACTAACAAAAATGTTGAGACGTTAGTAACGGTTAGTTTTAGTTTTGGTTGACGTTGGGGTTAAACTGGTGAAATATTGCTTATGTTAAAGTTTTTATACACTTCCATCGGTAATCCATTTTTTATTATTGTGCTGGTTTATTTTTGGTGTATCTTTCATTGTTTAATGTTTACCTTGCAATTCAAAATTTTTGCGCACGTTAGTACTCGTAGATACAGTATTCGAAAAATGCAGCATCTTTTTCGTTTTGGGTTAATTTACGTCTCGTAGGATTGCAGTTGTTAGTGAAATCGTTTTGTATTCCGAAGGCTGGCTTCGGTGTGAGAAGCATCCGATGCGTAATGTCCAGCCCATAGGAAATTGATTCGTGACGGTTAAATGGGTTGTCATTTCATGTATGAAAGAAAAACTTTTGGCGTGAGTAGTATTTCTGTGCAAACATAATTGTCATGGTTCGACATAGCGTTAATAGCTGTTGACCATTATATGAAAGCCACGAGAAAAGACTGACGATCTTTACTGATCGATTTTTCTCGTTCCCGTTTATTTGTCTAATCAGCGGCGGCAGGAGAAACAGTAACGTCGGCATTTTTTTAGAAACGTATTAAAATGTATTGTGGTTTTCCCGCAGGTGCATCCCGACAACGAAGACTGGACATGTTTCGAGCAAGATGCCAGTCTGGAGATCAAATCATTTTTTGGATTCGAAAGCGCCGTAGAAAAGCTGGCTATTAAGCAATATATGGCCAATATAAAAAAGGGCAAAGAAGTTATCGATTATTACATTCAGGAACTGTTGGATGAAGGCGTCACGCACGTACCACGTTTCTCAATAGAGGAAGACGTCGGGAACACCGGAGATGCCGATGATGAGATCACTATTGTTAACAGTCAGATAACCGCCCCGGTGAACCCTCCTGCATCTTTTGATGGGAAACTTCATCGCGGTAATGAAGTCTATAGACACTTTTCTATGAAAATGTTGAACTGTACAGATAGGTTGTCATAAAACATTTCCCGAGTTCGGAAATAATTACTGATGATCGGAAATAATTTCCGAGTTTTCGGAAATAATTTTGTTCGCGACTATATTTCTTATCGTTATCCCATCGTCGTTATCCCACATGTCGTTATCCCATTTCTTATCGTTTTGTTTCCTCCGAAGATTTTAGAAAATTTAAAAAATGTTGATTGCAGCAAACTATTGATCTTGACAAAGTTGTGGCGAAATCACTTGGAATTCTTAACTGTATTGAAATATGATCTTAAATAGTCCACACAAACCAACTGCCGTGTGGGCCAGGGCGTCTCCTTAAGTTTGCGAATTGATTTTAAATAATCGTTTTTCGGACTGCAAGTATCGAATTTGCATGAGGCTATTTTTAGACAGCTTGTGGTAGTCTCGTTATTATAGTCAGCGCGCCGTGCCCGGCGCGGAAATGTTAAATTGATATGACTTTATTAGACAGGGCGTGACTCTTTCGGTTTTCATGTTATAGATAGTTTGTATAAACTGGAAGCTGATTATATCCATCGCTGCTTGGGAGATTTGGATCCGGTAGAGGAAAGCCGTCTGGTGGAACTTAAACAGTGGTTGCAAGAGCACCATAAAGAAAAGGTTAAGTTGCGGATGTGTCGCTAACGTTGACATACACACCCAACACTTCTCTTTCGATACATGTTTAGTTAATAATGCAGCCCTGTTTCTCCCTTCTACTCACAGATCCCATCCGATGCCCATCTATTGCGATTTTTACGGGCGCGTGGATTTATTGTAGAGAAGGGACGTGAAATGCTTTGCCGCTCCCTTATTTGGAGAAAACAGCATCAGATCGATCGTCTCTTGAGTACATGGAAGGCCCCCGAGGTCCTTAAGCAATACTTTCCGGGTGGATGGCACGGTTATGATGACGGTGTGTGGGCATCCTGTGTTGTATGTAGCACTTTAATATAATTGATTAGCCTTGAGTGCTTTATACATTGAATTACCATGCATTGTATACGAAGCTCTCTGTTTTTCTGTAAAGTTTTCATCTTTATATTAATATTTCGCACTTCTCAGACATTAGGTTGAAAATTATTTTTAATGTTGAGTATTTTCGGTTATCTTTCCCATTGTAAGGCTGTTGTAAGCATCAGTTACTAAGTATGTGCATTGAAAACCTACATAAGTTGCATTACAGTAATTCTACACCGGTCACACAAGGTGTTTTCTTCTATGAGTTCTACGTATCATTGTTATCATTATCTGTAATCAATATATTTCACTTTGACAACAGTTTTTATTTAATTTTTAAATTTTTTTTTATTTTATTTTTTTTATGTAAGTTTATGCAGTTTTTTTCCTTTTTTCGCTGCTTGACTAACAGGTACACTGTTGCAGCTGGACGTCCGGTATTCGTGCTTCGTCTGGGTAATCTCGATGTAAAAGGTCAGTGACAAGTCTCAGATTTCGGCTTACCGGTCAAAATGGCGGCTAATTTAGTATTAATTAACAGGTCTTTTACGCTCGGTTGGTGTTGATGGATTATTAAAATTGGTAAGAATAACCTTCCTTCCGGGGAATTTACTGGAGGTGAACGTATTTATAATTGATTATTAGGCTATAACGGTCTGCGAAGAGGGTTTGGCCCGCTGTGAAGAAGCCACGAAATTACACCAGCATCCTGTCAGGTAAATTACTTCTTACCCGTGTACATCCTGTCTGTGGTGTATTTTAGTATCAGTTGACGTCAGTTGTCTCATTGGCATGTTTGTTTGCATCTTGCAGCTCCTGGGCGTGTATCTTTGATCTGGATGGTTTGAGCATGCGTCATCTATGGCGACCGGGATTGAAAGTCCTTTACCGAATTATTGAGGTGGTGGAGGCGAATTATCCGGAGACTATGGGAAGGTATGCGTAGTGGCAGATTGTTTACGCATATGTGTCTTTCTGCCCGATTTCCGGGAATCGTCAAGCGTTTTTTGTTAAAGGGTGTTTCTTGTGCGTGCACCACGTCTTTTTCCCATACTGTGGACCATTGTCAGTCCTTTTATCGACGAGAACACGCGAAAGAAATTTATCATTTATGGCGGAAACGACCACGAAATAGAGGGCGGACTGAAGGATTATTTGGACAAAAAGTACATACCGAAGTTTCTGGGTGGAGATGCTGACGTGAGTCTAGTGTTCGTTCAATAAACGTCCAGCTGGGTTATTGTTCGGGCCGCGCTCTTCATACTAATGATTTTTGTGAGGCATTCCTTACTGCATTAATTTCAAATTCATCTTGGATTTAACGGGGAGTGATATTGGAAGCGCTGCGTTACGATATGAATTTAAATAGTGTTTATCCAAAATTATAGTGCGATGTTCCCGAGGGAGGTTTGGTTCCAAAAAGTCATTATCTACCGGAAGACGCTGATTTGGAGTCAGGCATTGACTCCATATCTATTTCATCGGAATCATTGTACCAGTCTGTTAGTTTAGTGAAAGACAGTTATCATGAGGTGCGGTTTTTTCTCCTTCTCATATTTCACAGCAGCTTTGGGTGTAACTCGCTCTATCTTGATTTTAATTATCTACAGGTTCCTGTGGTCATTCAGGAATCCGGTTCCGTTATAACGTGGGATTTCGACGTTTGCAAAGGTGATTGCACCTTTACCATTCTTTACACACCCGACCCACTTCCTCCGATGGCAGTTCCGCCTCCCAGCCCCGCAGCTCATCCATCACTAATGGACTCGCATCCAGGATTGCAGTTAACACGTGTTGTGCCAGTGATTAACTGTACAGATGGAAGTTCAGAGCAGGTACTGCGAAGATTAAAAGGCTTTTACCAGTATTGTCTGAATTTGCGTATTGAATGAAAATTAATATAAGACGCCATCACGCCGTAACTGTTAAGCTTGCGTTTGGACTTCGCAGTTCACCAGTTCATAATTATTCAGTCTGTAGTAGTACTGTGCACGTTTTTTTCGGCACGTTTTAGTCCTTTGTTTAACTTATTTTAGTTTTGTAACGCAACTGTTTTCCCCTTCGTAATAACAAACAGAAACGAAGACAGATTAACTAGAAATTAAGACAGTTTTTCATTAAGTTAAATTAAATTAAATTGATGTTAAAATTCTTTTTTATTGCATTCCTCGAACTAATGTTTGTTGCAATTTGGTCTTTTTACCTTTTGGTGAATATAGCGCGTTTGGGGTACGTAGATTTGAAAAAAAAGCCCTGACTGCAGCATTTCCTGGTGCTCTGAAGTCTGCAACTTTAGTATTGTATTGAAAACTGAAAACTGTTGCTTGCGTTACTGTTATTTTCTGACGTTGCAAAATATACGATTATTTCAGTGATCTTTGATCCACAGGGTACTTATGCCGCTGAGAAACCTGGAACGTATATTCTCCAGTGGAAAAGTATTGAGCCTGCCAGCACTTCCGCCCAGGCACATTCTCAGTTCACCTTTGATTTTGGTTTAACGAGTAGCTACAAATGCAAGGTCCTGTACCATTATGATACAATTAGTCAGGATGAATTTAGGTAAGACAAATTTGCGTCCTTGTTTACATTGAAATGCTTGTATATTAATGATTTTGTCGTTTTCAGAGGTTCTTTGAGTAGTGTTCAGTCATTCTCATCGCTCAGTATGGCTTGAAATTGGACTAAGGGTTGTTACTCAGTGCCTGTTCGGGGTTGTTGATGTCTTTAAGTTATTCTTTCATGCTTTAGAATTGGTGTTTTTTGGGATACTCGTTCGCTAGTTGAAGTTTTTGGTCTACGAAAATGTTGATGATTGGGTGATATTAGAGTGTGTATTGTTTGTACTCTTGATTATGCCTGTCGTTGCAGGTGTTGATTTTATTTCTGGTTTTATGAGTTTAAGTAGAGATCTAACTTTCTTCGCTTAGGTCATTAGAATGAATATTTTGGGGCTAGTCTGTTAACTGCGTTGTTATTTAGACCTGGTTTGTCCTGTTGAAGCAGATTGACTAAGACGGGAAATGAATCACTCGTTTGGTTGCGATTCGCCTTCTTTGGGCATGTTGCCATTTTTTTCTAAACTCGTATCTGCTTTAATTTGTTTAACTTATTATTTGATCAGCTTGTTTTCTGCTTCATCTTCAACTGCTCCAAGAAAAGTGCTTTTAAAAACTGGCAAGTGCATAGGATTAGAGTATATTTTAAGATAAATCCAAGTAAAAATCCTGCTATATTTCTTCCTGTTTTACTCACAACTCAGTCACATCTTTACGTTCAGCAGTGCATTAACAGCCCAAAATTAAAGATTGTACTTGATTTAATTTGCTACCATGCAGTCAGTGTTGCAGAGTTGATGGTCAAAAGTTACACAACGTGCGAAAAGTAAAAAGCGTAAATAAATTTGGATTATTTTCAGTACCACTGCAAAGTGCAAACCGAAGAACATGACGTTACCAAACGTAGAAATAATGTACAGAATTTGAAATTTAAGCAAGAGAAATAATATAAGCAGTTCGCTGGAAAATCTGATTTTGAGTATTGTAATAATTCCTTAAACAAAGCAAAATATTATAGAGTGCGATCGAACACTGACAAATCTCGCTTTATAGGCGACGCAGTACGTTATACCGGCAACGTCCTAACATCGAGCGTACTGAATTTAATAGGCATGCGCATTTGCATTTCTTGTGAATTGCGACGGCTACGCATATCTATCATGCTCTGGGCAAACGGCATCACTTTGTTGGAACGTTTGACTTTTTCCAAATGACTTCCCATGGCTGATTCTCCATCCATCGCTGGACGTGACTGAATCGTTTGAGTTAGACAGGCGCGAAAAAGCACAGGGATTTCTTGCACCATGGGCTCTCGGGAAAGGTATTCGCGGAACTGCATAATAACCTAAAAATTAAATAAAAGGTCATGATCCACGATTCTGCATTTTCTTTGCGTTATTTCTTGCATATCAAACTAGCTAAAAAATTATAACAATGTACTTTTAGTAATTAATACACTGTTCCAAGTTGTTTGATACATTATAAATATATATACATTATATATACATTATATAGTATATAATTATCGGTGACAAACGTTTTCATGATGTCTTTATCAATGCACTTTTGCGTACGTAATATATATGCTCCTCGAGGATCGTAACGCCCTAATTATTTATTTTCGTTTACTACTCATAACGCGTTAGAGCTATTACAAACATAAATAATTTGCATAGCGCTGTTCAATTCTGAAATAAAACTGGAGGGTTCAACTAGTAAAAACTGCAGAAATTACATTTCGCTGTACCTTGTTGCATTCCGTGGGAAGTATCTGCCAGCATAAACTTTCGATTTCCATTCTCTCTCCTTGTGAGATTTCGAAGGAATACTTACTGACACGGGTTGGATCTATGAGCCATGAGTAATCCACCTGTCGATAACCAATATTTACTTTTGAAAAGTAGTCGATTTGTTCTGTGCGATCCTGTGTTGTGGCTTTGCTTAGTCGGTTGAACAACGCTATATATTTTGTAATACCTATGAAGGCCGGTAGCACACTGTGTTATTCACAAGGTAAAAATCAATACCAGGAACAGAACCGGAAGTCATACTAAATACGCAGCGCTAGCGCTCCCAAACGTGGCGCGCTGTGTCGGCTGCGATATATATAATGTACAATGTGTCCTTAATGTGTACCAGAATACGATACTCTTTTTGTAAAGAATTCTACAACACTATTTTAAACAAAATCAACGGAAATATTATTATTACCAGCGACGAAATTAACCCTGACGTATCTGTAGCGCATGCAAGAGCGTATAATCAATGATCTCGAGACAACTAAATAGTGCACGTGGTGCACATTATCGTGCCGCTTGTTGAAAACTTGTTGAAATGTATGTGCTCTAAAAAAACGAGAATAAAATTTATTTCACAGTTTGACAAAGTTTATTGGACACTACTTTTCGTTTAATTTACTGACAAACTGCAAATATGTATGGTAGTAGAGTACAGCAGTATTTTGCGTCGGGTTTAAAGCAGAAGCGTCCGCAATGAAAGTTGAACTGGAAACGCTTTCTTACACAAAATATGTATAGTTCCCATAATGTGAGATATCAGAATTAAAAAAATAAAGTAGAGATTAAAAGTCAGCCGGCGATGCATAGCAGCAAATACTGAAAAGTAATGATTTGATAAATTTTTCTCTATGTGCATACAAGATCAAGAACATTTGCACTTTCATAATATCACTTTAAAAAACTGGAAATCAAACCCACCTTTTGTGTTCGCTTTCGCTCTTCTTGTTCTCGTTGATAGTTTCGTTCTTCGGTTTCTTTGATGGCACAGTCCAGTTCATGCAGCAGGGATTCCGAAACCAACTGGCTTTCACTTTTTTCTGGAAGTTTTTTGTTACTGACCGCCTCGCCTTTGAACCACTCAATCCACGCTCTCAGTGACCAGTCATTCGATCCCATTTTCACCATATATGCAATTTGTTCTCAGTCAGCAGCTATAATTAAAGCATGCTTTACTTTTGCGTAAAAAATCCGATCTGTGCAGAGACGTCGTATAGAATACGTATTCTGAATTTTAAACTGCAACATCGCATTACGGTCGCTGACATTTCCAATAAACATCGCACATACACGCACTCTGGACGCTGTCGTCGGTTCGTAATTAACTGCCAAGTGTCAACTGCTCGCAGATAAGATTACAGATTCGCGATCCAGTGACGAAAAATTAATGACAATACTTTTATAAAACCGACAATTAGAATATTACTTTTCAGTTTAGCTCGTTTTCCAAATTTGTTGAAAATAGGTTATCGAAGAAGTTCTGTTGTATTTACTTACAACTTTTGCTGATGACGGATTTATGGAGCCGGTTGACTTTCACACAGTTTACAACCTCACGAGTAAGTGAGGACGAAAACTAATACAAAGATAGAAAGACAATAGGGTCACTTAGAACAGAGCAAATTAGCGTTTTAACTTCTAGATATCACGACTTAACGTTTAGAAAAAAGGACATCTTTCCTTATAGCGGAGCTCATATCGATATTTCAGGAAGCTGTGCAACTAGTAAGTACTGGTTTTTAGCATTAGGTAACGCTCATGGATTCGGGCACATACGGAAGTGCAGCATAAAACGGAACCGATCGATATCCTTTACATTCTGGAAATGTGCAACAGAAATCGATGCAGTAATTCGCTTTACCTGAGAGGAGAAATACGTGATCATGAAAACTGCTGGCAGCTGATTACCTAATCGACCTTGAATGGAGAAATTTCTGGATGCACCAATCAACCGGCTCCAGCATGGGTGCTCGTAGATCTTTTATGCAGCCAAATCGGCACTTAATCCAAACAGTTCGTCCGATCTGCGGTTTTCAAATGTTCAACAAACGTTGCGCAACACAATCCCACCATCTACTCTTCCGCCTATCTTTGTACTACTTTGTAATTAACGATAAGACCCTCCCAATGTATTTGTATATGCCGACCTTATAAAAATTTACGCTTTCTGCATGCTGTGGTTTGACGTGTAAAAAACATGTTTCACTAATTATTTAACAATAATAATTCTGTACTGTCGGCAGTTGACGAATACTGTTCTAGTGTAAATGATTTAATACAATAATACCCACTATTTATATTAAATAATAAGTGTAATCGTATGCAGTATGAATGACGAGGTTTGCTAACGAGCAACAGAAACTGAAAGTGCGCGGTCTTATTAATAAAATACTTCGTTGTGGCAGTAGATTCTCCCCTGTAATACTCATACGGAAATACTTCAGAATAGTATTAAAGTTAATTATTAATGTACGATTTGCTTCGGTTTTACGGTACCAACACGAGAGCAAAAAAATATAATGATATATATATATATATATATAAAATAAAATACAATAATAGGTATGGAATAATACTGCTCTGAAGTTATTATGCACAGTTAATACTATAGCTAAAATGTAGATCAAACGGTAAGATGACCTTTACAGCACTAGTTACCTTGGCTAGAATCACTGCTAGAATCAAGATCTCCAGCCCTCCTGGATCAGACCTGGCTAAATTTAGTAATTACAGTATCCATGGAATAATTATGGAGATGTTACAAGAAATGCTTACAAACTTGGATGGATCATTCCGCTTGTACTCAAAGGTTCAAAATATTTAAGCGGCCAGAATACTACTCTAATGCTGGTTTGGAGTTACTTAATTTTGCGGCTCGTTCGTAGTCTGTAGCTCATGTTTAATGGTTATCACTTACTAGTTACACAGGGAAGGCACATGGAAGGCGTTCGAGCTCGTTACAATTAAGTACCGAATTAGCATAACAATGTTATAATTCGGCATCCACATTAAATTACTTAACGTTATGATTATTTTTAGGTTCTTAACCATTTGTAACTTATCGTCATTTAATGGTACTCTAGGTATTGTGGCAGTCTTTCACTCAACGCAAGGAGCACATGCACTGCAAAATTACTCCACTTAATTATGCAGGGCTTCGGTTAATTATGATGATAATTATTATTTTTGTAAAATCGTTTTGTGTTGTTATAATGTTATTCTGCCGCCTTCAACACAGTACGTGGCTCACTGGCTACTGCGTGCTACGGTGTTTATGCAGTGCTTGTAGAAGCACGTGTTTATGCAGCGCTCCATTGCGTCCTAAATGTATGTATCAATGTATGTGCCAGCAAATCATCCCAGAATCCAGATCCACCCAGTGGTACCCACGTCTGCAGTTTTACAGAACTGTTACGTTAGCCATGCCAATAAACGGCATCAGTTACAAGTTATATTTTCCGGATCCGGCACTAAGTATTAGTAGTACGTACATAAACTACATACATGTGCAGTATAGTGTACGGATTTTTGTACCCGACGGTGGTAGGACGACGCGAGCCACTGCCACATGTTGCTTGCGCTCTGGTGTACTTATGATAGATAGTTCGAGTTTTATCAGGCGAATCTTTTAAAATCAACATCAAATTTTGTAAATTTTTATTTATTTGGGTGTTCCCAGCTCTCTGAAAATATTGTGCTGCTCTTATCGCGGCTGATAAAAGATAAACCCAGAATGCACGTTGCAGCCTGTGCTCGTCTGCGAGAAACTGTTCTGCCGCTGAACCTTGAGTCTGGCGCTTTCTACCGGTGATTCCGTGATTGGCATGTGGGCAGGTCCATTATCTGTTGGTTAGATCTGCCGATTTAGCCCTGACAGAGGGATGCGTGGTAGATTGCATCGTTTTACACCGCGTTAGTTGTGATCAACATCATGGTGAAAACAACAGCAACCTACGTTGTGGATGCTCACGACGGTGAGGAAAAAGTGGCCTTGAAGCCTCCGAGCTCCGAGAAGACCCCCGCCAGAGCCGCGCCGATCGTCGTCGCACCAGATGGAGGCTATGGATGGTAATGACAATCGGCGCTGTCAGCGCTTCTCGGGTGTTTATCAGGCTATGTTTACCTAGGGTTATCCTCGTCGCCTCCTTCGCCATCAATGTTATTGTCGATGGGATTGTCTTCTCCTTCGGGATGCTGCTCAATCCGCTGATTGAGCAGTTCAGTCAGGAAGCCGTCGTTCCCTGGGCTGGTTCGTTGCAGTCGGGCTGCTATTTGCTAGCAGGTTGGCTGCGTTGTTTGTTGAGGGTGGTGCGGGCAGATGCATAATGAAATTCCTGTTGTAGGACCGGTGGTTAGTGGACTGTGTAACAAGTATGGAGCCCGACTTGTTAGCGTTGTCGGTTCGTTCATTGTGGCCGCCGCCATGGCCACCAGCGCTTTTGCCTCGGAACTGTGGCAGTTTATCGTCCTGTACGGGCTGGTAAGCGGTAAGTTCCTCGAGATCTGGGAATGTATTTTAATTATCCACTTCGTTGCTGTTTGCGCCGAATGACGATTTCTGTTGTAGTATTTTAGTATTTATTTCAAGCTTTTTAAAAGTTTTGTTTGCCTCGTGGCTTACTGGTAAAATTTTCGTTGCTGTAGTGCCAGTTTATGATTTTTTTAAAAAAGTTTTTGTTTTTAACGTGGTTTTTGAAACTTTCAATTGATGCCGTAAACTTTAGGAACGATTATTTCCGCAATAATCGTTTGCCTGCATTTTAGTAATTTTGTAACATTTGGATGTATTTAATTGGAAAATTACTGCTCTTGTAAATTTGTTTGTGAAAGCGCTGCGGTACTGGCTTGATTGTTGTGGTTTTTGACACAATAATGATGTGGTAGACTGGCAAATGTTGCTGTTTAATTTGCAGTTTGTGCACGCATGATTAATGGTGTATGCGTTGACGTGCTTGGGGGAAGCATGTCAGAGTTTATTAATTCTGTTTGCACGGCTTCCTGGTATGCAGGGTGTCAGTGACGTACGAATGTATTTTATTAACATTTTTTCAGAGATGGTTTGTACAATTCGAAGTTCTGATGGTTTTTAGATTTAACAAAATTTCGCGAAATTTCGCATACGTAATAATTCAGATTGTTTAGCAATGCATTACATTGTCCTGTGCAGCTAAATAAGTATCCATTATGAAGCTTCAGAAGTAATGTCGTCGTACTAAGTTTTGTTTTACGAAAATGACCGTTTGAAAGCAGAATTATGGTAGCTGCATGCACTCAAATTTAGATACGGCACCGGACACGATAAGTCGCTGTTAAGCGATTCCTTCCGCATTATTATTGGTAATGATTATAAGTGTTTGTCTGACTAGGGATTGGATTTGGATTCGTATATCTGCCGGCCATCGTTATCGTAGGCGTATATTTCGACAAACGACGAGCTTTTGCCACAGGTTTGGCGGTGGCCGGATCGGGTATCGGTGGGTTTATGTTCCCGCCGATTATTGAACCTTTACTGGAGTATTATGGCTGGCGAGGCACGGTCTTGATTATGGCTGGCATTGCTCTTAATTGTGCAATTTTTGCTGCTCTTTTCCGACCACTGCTCCCCACTCACCGGCCTGAAGAAGCAGACACGGAGATGCATCGTTCAGAAAGCTTTCTCAAACGTATCGAAGCCGCACGAAATGCACGAATTAATATGCTAAATTCCAACATGGATGTTAGCGATCAAGAAGGTATTAATTAATTCCCGAAATGATGATTAATTGGCTGTCATACTTCTCTGGTATTGCCCGTTGTCAGCCACAACCGGACGGCGGTGGGCCCGAGCGCGCTTGTTTTTACTGTACTTAGAACGTTACGCTTGTAGGTGCAGTTACACCACGTCAGGGCATTCATTTGGAAAACATCACAGAAAGCGAAATGGAACCCGAAAGTGGGCAGTATTCAGTCAAAACTGTGGAGATAACCTATCAGCCGCGCTCTGCCGGAAATATTAATGAATCAGATGCGATACGGATGAGTAGCACCGGTGTACTGCATCGAGCTGGGTCTCGTGAGCGTAGTCTGGAACGGCGTTTCTCTTCATCGAGTCGGAAAAGCATTCCCTCGGAGTCACCGGCACCCTTCACCAAGCCCGATGTACTATATTCAGGATCGGTGCATAATCTGCCAGAGGTTCGGCAATTCGGCGGTAGCATTCATGACTTCCGCGCCAGCCTGAATGCCATCGATGCCGAGAAAAACGCCAAGCGAAACAAATCCTTGGCCGGATCGGCTCGACGCATTATCGGCCAGATGTTAGATGTGTCGCTGTTGCGTAGTCCCACTTTTTTACTAACGTGCGTGACTTCTTTTATGACACTGGCTGGATTCTTTGTTCCTTTCGTCTTTATTAAAGCATTTGTCTCCGAAAGAGGTATAACCGACAGTGAAGCGACTTGGGTTTTAATGGTAAGTAAGGTCTGCAGTATTCCTGTTTTTACTTACTAGTCGCCACAGCGAATCAGCGATACTACAGCTTTTACGTCAAAGATTTTAGCGATAATCTGGTAGTATGTAAAGCATCTCTGTGTCATAATTATTTCCGCAACGTTTTTTAAGAATTTTCACATCTGTTTTTCACCTATCACCAGCGATCAGTACACTCGTTCTTATATCTTGTGTTTCTACAGTCCATAAGTGTGACCAATACGATTGGCCGTATTGTGGTTGGATTTATCTCCGATATGCCCAAAGTGGATCCCATCGTCGTGGCCTGTTCCGCTCTGATTGTTGGAGGCATTTGTACAGTATTTTTCCCTTTGATGAGCACTATGGCCTTGTTCGTTACGTACGCTTTGATCTTTGGGCTTTCTATATGTAAGTCCGAGCTCGTTGAAATCGTACTTCGAAGTTTTGTTTGAAATAATCTGATTTATTCTATCTTAAATTTTAGCGGCCTTTGCGGCGCTGCGTTCGATTATTTTGGTGGATTTATTTGGAATTGCAATGCTCAATAACTCGTTTGGTCTGCAAATGTTGTTCCAAGGCATCGCAGCCTTGGTTGGTTCTCCCATTGCGGGTAATGATTAACTCAATATCATATGATTTTCAATATCATACAGCACAGTTTTTTGTGATTCGGAAACTGCAGCGTTTGAAGGAAATTGTCGTTTTCTGCGTTCTCTGGCCTTTAATTGTCTGCTTTACTTTGCAGGGGCTTTGGCAAAAGCGACTGGTTCGAAGGATAGCACGTTTTATTTTGCCGGAGTTCTGATCGGCGTATCCGGTGCACTGTTATTCCCGGCTAAGCTGGTTCTCCGATGGGAAAGACGGCGATTCCCGGGATCAGCGGCGTCCAAGAGATAAGACAGTGGGAGATGTTGAGTACTGTAATCTCAGAGATCACTGAACCATTTGGTTTTCTCATCGGAGCGGTGTTCGACAGTAAAATCAGTTCGACTGCAGTTATGTCGAAACAGGAAATCAAAACATTGTTGCGGCTCATGGGATACAGAAGTTCCTTATGTAATTATATTGTCTTTGTGTTGCTGCGTACTCCTTCGGCCAAGATGACTTGCTCAGTAGGTCTTTTAAAATCTGAGAGACCATATTTTTGTCGATTTTGTAAATGAATAAAATAACTGGGTTAAATGGGTACACTAAGCCAGTCTGTTTTTGTCATTTCATTGTGTTAATGTGTCTGAAACGGTTTGATTAAATTTATTAAATTTGAGCTCCATTTGTGACTTGCTTTTGTATCTCATTTTACTGATCCGATTGCGGCATTTTGGTTCTATCGATATTATAAGAACGAGTGCTCAAAAGATACAAAAATATTACTTGCACTGACCAGAGTGGTTCTTCGACACACAAAAAGAAAATTCAATTCCAACCATTAAAATGCACAAGAAACCTGGTCCGAGGGGACAACATTAAAACAAGTTAATTAAGCAGTAACAGAGTGAAACAGTAACGTTTATGATACAGAATAAAACAGTTCACCCTGTAAAATTAGTAAAACCAAATAAAAAACAACATAAATGAACTAAGCATTTGCTAGAAGCCCAAAAATCGCTGCCCTTCACTTAAAAAATTTGTCGCTTAAGTTAGTTGCCATTGTAATCAATAATACAGGGTAGACAGATACAATAATAAAATAAAATTTCTTGGCACCGTTCGATGTTAGCGAAAATATTACAAAAGCAAAAACATAAGTGGCGTTCGACGTCCTCACAGCGGTTGCCCAGTGGATCATAAAGCGGAAATGATGAAAGAGATCAAAGTGAAGTCCACAGGTGGAAAATTTCATGTCATCTTGCGTGCGTTTAATAACGCACTTTGCCGTTGACAATCTGTCGATAGTTGTCAGGTAACATTAATTTATATTCATCCACACTGGGATCAAGGTAATACAGGACATCACGGCCCAAACACTGTGGATCAAATCCTTCTTCCTTCAGGCGACTTTTAATCAGTTTAAAGGTACCTATAAAGGGAATTAATGAAACACAAGTTCCGATCCTAATTTTACCGGCAATCTGGACAATTTCCAATTATGAGTCTGTACAGTCCAGGTTGTCCCGCCGGACATAGAAATGATAGAATCACTGCACTATGGTACCTGTTTCTTCAACTTGAGAAACGAATCTAACAAACAACGGCCGAGCATAAGAGGGTAGGGAATGTTTCATTTCATCGCTCAGCTTGCGTAAATCATGCTTCCGCTCATCCCCAGTTATGCATACCATACCCGCCTTTCCTTCGTAGCCTACAAGATAATGTTAAGCTAATCGAATATCCTGCAACAGCATATTTTTAAAAGCAAATCATTAATACGTTCATTCACCAGTTCTTCACCGTTCTACGGTAATAATAACGAATACTGTAACCTTATTTCCGGATTTTAAATCTCGCAGCGGTTACCTGGGACCGAAACCCCAAAAACTACCACAGCTTCCAATCCCACAATCTTTCCAATAGCTGCTTCCACTTCATTGGTTGATACGTTCTCGCCCTTCCAACGGAATGTATCACCTGTCCGGTCTCTAAAGTATAAGTATCCGTAATCGTCCATGACCAAAATATCACCTACAACAGGCATGGACATCGCGTTTAGCTAAATTTTAAAAGCATTTAAGAAACCATGGCACAAAACGCTTTGCATTTGCACTAACCCGTTAAAAAGGCCAAATCGCCTTTGCGAAAGACATCGTGAGCAATTTTCTTCATTGTGGCCTCTTGGTTACAGTAACCGTCAAATTTGTGGATACCGGAAGTCTTAATCTTCCCCACCAATTCTCCAGCTTCCCCTAGAATCGACAGCTAAACTGAGAGACGCTCAAATGTTTCTACGTCTAATAAACCGGAAAGGAAGCAGCACACAGAAATCTTAGTATTAAACAAATTTCGCAAACTATGCACGCTTACCTGGTTTACAAGGAATGCACATCCCTTTGCTATCCCGCAACGGCTCGCCGGTCTCAGGATGCGCCCGAATCAATTTAACGGGATAGATCCATGGCACGATTCGAGAAACAAATCCCACCGCACCGATTGTGTTGTCAATATTAATCAGGCTAGCGTTACCTTCCGTAGCCCCATAGAATTCAGCCATTTGCTTCACACCGAAACGTTTCTGAAAGTCCGCCCAGATCTGGTTACGTAAGCCATTTCCGAACATTAACCGTACACGATGCATTCGATCAGTGGGAGATTCCTTTTGCGAGAGAATGTAGCGACAAATTTCACCGATGTATTGAGCAATCTAAAAAGTTTGGTCTAGCATGATTCGGTCCTTTTCGGTAGCTCATGCACGATCATACCGTGCAGTTGTACTGTATGCAATCTTTCCAAAACTGGGAAGCGGAAAATTTCTTGCGTATCACAACCGTAATTCCTCCGACAATTGATTGCCCCATCCCCAAAACCCCTAAAAATAAACAGATTATAGATTTATAATAAAATATTCTGGAATGCATGTTTGATGTCACAGGCCCAACTTGAGGCTCCAAAAGGCCGGCTTTTCAAGATGAAACTGTTCTCTGAAAACAATCGTTAGTTTTCTTACCGCCAGCTGTATGGTACAAAGGCAATGCGCAATACATCACATCATCATCCTTAATATTGATCATCGTTTTCATTCCACATGACATATAGAAAAATCGTGCATGGCTAATAATCGCTGCTTTTGGAAGACCGGTGGTGCCGCTCGTGTAAATATAGAATAAGGTATTGGTAGAGCGTTTTACGCGTCCGTTCTGCAGAGAAAAATAATAAATTAGAATGCAAAGTAGCTGCGATACTGAATGGAATTGGGATGTCGTACAAATTCCGGACGGGATTTGGACATCTGCAGTAAAAGACGGTCGATGGACAGCACGTGCGGTGGATAAGGTGTTCCGGAAGGAATGGAACCCCGCTCACCGACCACGTAGATCGGCACGCCCATTATAGATGCACGCACTTCCTCAACGGCATCCCGCAGTTCTTCGCCCACAATAAGCGCTTTCATCTGCACCGCCTGCAGACTATGCAGCAAGGATTCTCCTCGCAACTGAAAATTGACCAATGCAGCGGCGCAATCAATCTTGGACACTCCCAACCAGATTCCCACATATTCTGGCCTACAAAAGTATAATGGAATACAGTCCATCAGATTACAACATTTTCCTGTATTATAGCTATGTATACTAATAGCCAGTAATAGGAATAATCACTACTTTTTACGGCCTAAAAGGGATTGAACTTACTGATAAAATCGTAGTCTTTTAATCTTGATAGCACTTGCCCGTAAGCAAATACTGACTCATTTATATATATGTATAAATCTGGCATCGTATGCAAAACGCTCCCGAATAGGTAGGTACACAGTGAACTTCGATCTTGATATGACTATAAAAATTTTAAGGCAGCTATTCTCGCATTACTTTTGTGCGCTTCCGGTTGTACACGCATCGTCACACTGAGTCACTCGAGGGAGTTTACCTGGACGTCATCAACAAAGCCACTGAGTCGCCAGCTGATAAGCTGGTGTGACTGGCAAAGAAGTGCGCCACCTGATTAGAATACTCCTCCATGTCGCGGAACGTCCACGTTTGCTCTTCGTAGCGGAATGCCGCCTTATCGGGTGTACTCCGTACATTACGCAAGAATACATCGGCGATGGTGGCATTCTGGCGTGCAAAACGCCACGTAATGATTTTCAAGCGGATCAGTCGACTCGCAGCTCTGTAAAAACGAATGGGTTTTACCACAAAAATGGAAAAACACCGAAATCGTTGTGAGAACAAAATAGCAATTACAGTCAACTACACGATTACAATGTTTGCAGGTTGTGACATTATACTATACATTACTGTCATAACTATTCGTACTCCCACACTGCCGTCACTGCGCCACACAGCGCACAATACATAAAAGAAAAACAGTGATACAGGTATAGCAGCAGGATGATCAAGCACTGCGTCTAGTAACCGGAATGGAACCGGAAGTCGCTTCAAATAGCATAAGCGAAAAATCCTACCATACATACAATCATACGGTACGGAATCAGGCTACCCTGACTGATACGACCGTATCTTCCAGGAAGATATGTGGAACTTACACGATATCTCGGGGAAGAGTTTTCCATACAACCTTCCATGTTAGGCCGAGCGTATGGAAAATGAGATTGACGATAACGGAAACGAAGAGCGCATAAATAAGGCGAATTTCCAAAAGTATCGCTCCAGCAATAAGAAGCAGTGTTACCAGCGTTTTCTGCAATACTGCTGAAAACTTCACATTCCGGAAGAACGCAGATAAATTAGGGTCCATTTGTCAGATCTGTCAACAGGTTCGCATACGTAGAACAACTCACCAGAAAAAGAGTCAAATTTTCATAGAATCAGCAGAGGATTCGCACACTTCTTCCTTACCGATGTTGTTTTCAGACAGTTTTCATCTACATGACGTCTACAGTTGAGATGATATCCAACTTGCTGCTTTCTCCGCAAAGTATAATTTCAGTCACTGCAAACCACAACTACGGGAATAATCCGCAAAAGTCGGAAAGGATGAATGAAAGTCGGTGAGGGCTGCTACTGAGCTACTCATTCATTCATTTGCATCCAGTTCGGCGAAGATCCAGGAAATGTTCAGAGGCCAGACAATCATCCACGGTACAACGTTCACATTACTGAACGAAAGGTTTATTGTCGTACAACCAGTAGAATTAAACGCTTACTACAAGTTTTGAATTTGGACCTTGTTACGGTACAATAAAAATCGCCGTTGAGGCGAAATTCCGAGAAGCTCAAACTCAAAGAATGCGCAAAGTGCTGATACCTTACGGCAGATAGGCTGTATAGCGCAAACGCATACGCAGTTCAAAGCAGTCAAACTGGTATAGCACATGTGCTTTGCTTTGTGGGGTACTGCCGCATAGGCGCATATGCACAGTGTCGCACACCTGCGGCTTTTCTTCTGGCTCTTCTGTTATTAATTTTATTATTCGCAAAGTCTACAATTCAAAAAATGAAAATCTGACCATGGCGTGATTTTTTGGTTTGCCCCTGCAATGACAATCCCCTTATAATAAGTTGATTTTGTAAAACCTGCTCTTGATATATGCAGTGAACAGCACTATAAACATTTTATCAGGTGCCGGCAAGCCGGAGCCGCAAGATCGGTCTTGTGGTTAGATGGCCAGTCGGAAGAACGGGAAAGAGCAAACCAACCAAAGTCGAAGCAATGTTGCAACTTGCAAGTACTTTATAATGTGCTTTTTTTAATTCGTTATTTATTTGTAAGTGTTCCGAATTTAACAGCCAAAAAAGCCTGAGGGACCCGTAAGCCATCCACACAAACGCGTATCTATCAAATAATCGAAAATAATGTGATATGCGATATCTCCAACGTTGTGTAAGGCGCTTTCAAAACGCTAACACAGAAATAAAATACAAAAACATAACTTTCGAGATCTTATGTGCACTTGGTTGAATGCCATATAAAAAAACTGAAGTGAGTGCCATATAAGAAAAACTGAAATATAAGAAAAATTGAAGAAAAACTAAAAAAGATTCTCTTCATTAATGATTAAAATCTCCAGCATATCAGTGTATTTGTAATATCATTGATGTTAAATAACAACTAACAAGTTATAAGCTGGTATTTGTGAAATTGTACAATTGTTTTCCTTACTCCTATTGTCATACATGAGAGAGCATTTAGAATCGGATTCTGTACTCGTAGTCGTTCAGCAAAATTCCATTAAAAGATGCTGGTAAATCACTACATAGTTTCACTACTTGCCTAAATGACTAACGAGGGAGATACCCGAACACGTCCGCGTCAGATCAGCATACACTTGGTACCATTAGAATCCTTAGAATTTCAGCTATTTTCTTTGATAATCAAAATACCCCCAGATAAAGAACTCGAGTTCAGGGATCCCTGAGAAGCCAACACAGATAAGATGGCTGATTTCCATCGAAACGTCAGCAGACGCCATACAGAGCTATACGGCGCCTTGGTACGGATGCGAGATTGCGCAACCGTCTTTCAGCGACAAGTTCAATAGCGCTTTATCGATAGCTATCGCAGTTTTTTGACTCTGTAAGCGCATCAGCATCGACTGGCTCCGTACAGATCAATGCAACCGCGGATGCTGGTGCGCGCGACAGGGCAAAATAGGTGAGACAACTGTCAAAGATACCAGTACAGAAACTACAGATTGCAGCCAGACTATTCGTAGCGCATGGCGTAGCTAGGCTGGACATTGCGTATGGCGCCTGCTGACGTTTCGATGGAAGTCAGCCATCATATCTATGCTGGCTTCTCAGAGATCACTAAACTCGAGTTCTTTATCTGGGGGTGTTTTGATTCTCGAAGAAAATAGCTGAAATTCTAAGGATTCTGATGGTACCAAGTGTATGCTGATCTGACGCGGACGTGTTCGGGTATCTCCCTCGTAAATCCACTACATAAGTGAGCACCGGCGTTTCGCTTCCACCAGAAATGTGCGCTGCTTGTAGCACTTTGATGGCTAATTAATCAGCTGATCACTTAATTTATTGACCAATTAATTGTGTTAAACCAAAAGTATGTAATTCGAAACACTGCAAATTAAAATTGCTTTACTACATACGGTGATTTTGCGTGCATCACCAGCAATTCAGCAAAATTTCGGCATTTACCGTAGATGTTTTCTGCATACACACTACAAGCAAAGTACGACAAAATCGTACAGACATAGATACTTCAGTATTACAAATATATCTATAGATGCAACTTTGCAGATGCGGCATATTTATATTTTGCAGGGGTTCCCAGGAATGCCGCATAGTCGCTAAGATTTCCTACAGGCTACAGAGTACAGGTAAAGGGTATTAATTTACTGGTTAGTTTCATAAAAAACCTCAATTCTGTAAATCGAGTCACCCGGATTATATTTTTTCCCACATGTACCGCTAAAATTAATGCGGCTAGCGCAGCTTATGTATAGCTGGCTAACGTACATACTACATATGCATCACGGATTGTGCAAAGAGAAACGATTCAACTCAACTTGCCTCTTCCTTTTATGGAGGCTCAAGCCACTGCTTATGATTTAGCACCACACAGTAGGAACTGAAACATACTGGTTTCTTGAGAACGCCCATCAGCTGCGTATGCGTACTTTGGCTACATTTACCGTACATCAACTTACTGGCTACTGCACTGTTATTAAACCGCATCAGTGCAAGAATCGCAATCGGTCTGTACAACATGCAGATATGCAGTGAACCGTTTACTGTGGTGCACATACATAAATAAGAATCATTGGATTTGTAATGTACCGAATATTTACGCATGGAGTATATCGTACGATTTCGCCAAGTCTTAAAGTTTCTTTGACTCATATCGGTTACGCATAGAGTTTTTCTTATCTAGTGGCACTAATGCTATGGTAGAAAGGGATGCGCCTGGTGAATGATAATTCCATAAAGCACCGCACACATACAATTCCTGGCATACTACAGCAGGCCGTGGCCAAGTGCCTTGTGCATTGTGATGTATACAACGGAACTCCTTTGATTTGTCCAAGGTCGCCCAGTATGACTACATGAAGGAAGTTTTAAGTGATTGTCCGCCGTGGTTAGTTCGTTTGAGGATTAACAGACCAAAGTAAAATAAACCGGAAGACCAGTCGATCATCATGGAGAACAATATATATCAAGTTACTATCCCGGATGCCAGACTGATGGCAAAAGGGGCATGGGATCTCTCGGTGTACATTACGGATTTGGAAATACATAAAGTTATCACTGTCACGGTAAGCATCTGCTGCAAAATCCATTTCCTGTTGTGCCTCTGCGCTAATGCACTGGATATTTTAGCTAAGTACTGGTACTATGTACGAAGTTCTGTGTTTAGTATTCTGATGTTAAAACGGCGCGGTTGTTTAACTAGATTACTAGAAGTTATTATTTAGTACTGCCATGAGTATTTTTATAACGTTTTATAATGGATCCGGAGACGTTTTAGGAGGATATCATCCCGCCGCTCATATTAAAAAATAAAAATAACAGTTTAATATTTGCTATAAATATAGCAGGCTTGATTTTAATAGTTACAGTTACGTAAATAAACTAGCAAATTTATTTGTCATAATCAAATATTGTTGTCTGTTACGGACTTACTAGTATCCTAATTGCGGGTACAATTGCTTCATCAAAGCCAAACCTTACCTGTGTATCTGATAATTGTTATTTGAATTTGTCTCCTGAAAGTGGCATGTGGCCTTCTGTAAATGGAATTCGCAATTTCTAACAGACGTTACATTTGCGAAAAACGTGATTTTATCATAATTATCGTACCAATAATTGAGACTAATTGCTGAGATTAGGATCGATGCAAGGTGACTCATATAAAATTTAGTGTCTTACTGGAGACGTCATTTTCTGTTGTTCATGAATTTACGCTTCTGTATCAGGGTTGACTGCATTTGTACGTCAGCTGGAAAAATATTGTAGTGCAGCAATAAAACAGGGGAACAAAACCTCCAAATTTTGCAAAGGGCTGTGCACTTTGACGTCAGCGTGTAATGTAAAGAAATGCGGCAGCATGATGTGATAGATCACACCGATATACGTAAAGTATGCGGCTTTGAGGCGTGATAATTATGGGATTATCCGATGGAAGTGAGCGTATTTTTCACATTTCATAGTTATACACTGTGAACTATTTTCTTGAGCTTCTTTGGCGCGCGTATGCGGAGTATGAAACTGAAATTGGAGATGATCGTTGTATCTCATTACCTAACTGAAAAGAAGCGACACATGAATATTGATTTTCGTTCATAATCAGAAAGTTTTTGCTTCGCCTTTTTGGCCCCGTATGAGTATTTGACTTCACCCATCCATGTAAACACAACTTTTATCATAGAGTAGAGTTTTTGAGCAAATCGGCGATCGCAGCAACTGACGCTTTACCAGATTGATAATTAATGATAAATTATCAAAAAATGGTACGAAGAATATGTTATCACAATAAACTGTCAAAATAACTTTCGATAAGCTTGTTTTATAAAGCATTTACTCGCTCGAGTGCTATCCCTTCATACTCCTAGACTTTTTATTGCTTGATCCAGGGTAATAACTGATAAGTAAAATTTTATTGTTTGTGGTCAGCATTGATTTGGGTTGTGAACAGAGGCCATATTTTCTATAAAGCACTGCTTGAATATTTTCTGGCGATGGAACTGGAAGAGTGGAAGTGTACCATACATAGGGTAAACATACTTAAATCTCCAGATGCCGATTGTCCAAGCTTTTGTTCTATAATGAGGTTTAGAAATTTGATATATATTATCCGACATCAGTAATATTAACATTGATTGATCTTTGTCTGAGAAGTGAGAAAATAGTAGCACCTGACTTTGCTGGACAGAGATTGCCTTGAAGAGTTTTATTAGTATAATGAAATCTGAATAGAAGGTTGATTTTGCAGCTGCTTAATTGTTAGCGTAAAACATGCAACCAAATAATTATGCATACCGCACAATATATTTAGAACATTGGCGTGATCCTTTTCTTGATTGGCGCCCCTGGTAAATACAATAATAATTCTTATGTTGAATGTTTTGATTTTTGGGTAGATTTTTCTCTGTTTTTCGTTAGTAAGATACTGAGGAAAGTTCTATATACTATGCCAGTTGTGAGGTGTGGACTAGCAGTAAGGTGAAGCAAGTCGAAAGTTGTCACTACGTCCCAGTAATTTTAAATTAGTCATTTACAGTAAAGTTTCGATGAGCAGGCCTTAAATACTTTCGAATGATAAGCTGGATGTTGGCGCTGTGGAACTGCAGATGTGGAAAATATTCAAAATAATTATCTGAAACATTAGTTAACTGGTATGTTCAAGAAATCAAAATATGGTACAATAAAATATAAATACAAAAGGTGTATTACTTTCGAAAAAGCTGCGGATTTGTGGTCGTATATGGCGCCTAATGGCACGCAGTTCGTGCACACACTTAAAATTTGCTTGCAGATAACAGTTTATTTCGGTAAGTTTGATCAGATGCTTACTACTTTCTCCGTCTACACAAACACGAGTCCATGTGGAATTTTACGCTGTGTGGAAATGTTAGGCAAAATTCGACTGAGGAAGATGACAGTTGAACACGATTGATGAGAAATGCACACTATTCTAAAATTAGATATGCCATTTTACGACCGGTGCCGAAATAAGTTACTCGAAGTTCAGTGTTCTGTCTTCAGTTATATTGCATATTATTATTGTGGGTGTATGCGAATATTAGTTGTTCTTTAGTTGAACTCATTTTTATTGTGCATTACTACAAATATTGTGTACTATTTAAAAAATTAAGAAAGTAAGCTGATGTCGAGGCGAATAATTACTTACCATTAGAATAAGATCAAGCCGGCAAATTTAAGCATGCATTTTTGAATAAAAGAACATGTAAACTGATTTCCGAAAAATTACTAACTGTTTCCATGCCTCTGTCCAAATGCTGCTCGAGCTTTTTATTCGCAGCTGTGGATATCCGTGGTGCATTAACCTCAAGGAATCGCGACTGCGATTATTTATTTTGATTGCAGGGCGTGCAGCGTTTGCTATATATAGACAATAATATAGTTGGTTGTATTGCAAAAATAAAATTACAACATTTTCTGATGGTAACTGTAATAAGCGCATTTGAATTCTTTTCAGGGAGACATGAACATTGGCGGGGTGATGCTGCGGCTGGTGTCCGATCTGGGAATGCAGCGGGACTGGAGTGATCATGAGCTGTGGTGGCCGGATGAGAACAAATGGCTGAATCGCAGCCGTTCCACCCTGGACCAGTACGGGGTCACGGCAGCGGCACATATCCTATTCACCCCCAAACACAAGATTATCCGTGTACAGTTACCGGATTTGCAGTATATTACCGTCAGTGTTGACATGTCCAGCAGCGTCTTCAAGGCAGTTTGTGATTTATGTAAATCACTGGGTGAGTTATTAGAGAATAGATCCTGTTCGATGATATGATGCCAATAAAATAGTGTATCTGTATGGTTTCGTCATGTATCGATGAGGGAGATATGAAGACAATCAGCGACAGTGGCATATGGTCCATTTGCCAGATTTAATAGCCGCGGCGCTGACCAACTGTTGGGATCTCCGGCGTTCCGCTGAAAACTGCTGCAAGTCGGATGAGGGCTGTAAATTCGTAACTTTTACTGTTAACTGTTTGTGTGTGGCAGCTATGTGACGATCCGCACTCATAAAGTGGATATATATTGGTTAATAAGCGCTCTTTTCCGTGCCACACTAGATGACATACATAGAGTGACGGATATTGTGTGGGGTGTTGGTCAGTGGGAACACGACTGCGGCCGACATGAATAAGGGCTATTTAAGAATAAACCCCGGTATCAGCGCTCGTTTAGCACGCATCACTGCGGATTGTGCCTTTTTCCACAACTTGTAAACATTGGAAGGATATTGTAAATGTCAAAGTGGGTAAAATCTACGCTGCAGGAAATGACCTTAATTGGTGCAGCTAGTTTAAAAGCGCCCTACATGTTTTAATGCCGTGGCGGTATTTATTTCCATTTGGGGGCTTTTACGTTTATGCTAACACAGACCGATCTTCCCACGTTGATCACTGTCCTTGGGCTGTAAATGCTTTTAAGCATCAACAAATCCGATTTTTGCAGCACGCGCATTCCTCAAAGCTAATTAATAATTAATACAATGGTAATATCGGCATGCCTTTAAATGGAACTCAGTATAGTAAATCTCGGTAAATATGGAAAATTATAAATTAGAATAATTTACAGGAATCCGGCACGGAGAAGAGCTGTCCTTTGAGAGACCACTGCCCACTCAAGCGCTGAAAAAGAACACCGTCATTTCGCCGGATTTGCCACCACCGCGCAATGGCAACGGCGAAGCGTCGCTTCCGCGCATTCAACAATCGCGCTCCATGAACAGTCTGGACCGCTCGCTGGGCGCTGCCACACCGCCCAACTATCATATTACATATCACACACCATCACCGCAAGGCACACTGGCCAGAAATTCCAGCGCCATGAGCAGTTCGGCTGGCGAGAAATATTCGCCATTCTACGCGCAGAATCCCTACACCACGCCGCTGTACGCGGCACCCCAAAATGGCACGGTCAACATCGTTGACGGAGTCAGTGAAGGTAAAATTTCAAGCAAAATATATTGTTGCAAACCGAATGAGAACATGGGACGGACAAGATCGTAGTTCTTAAAAAACTTGCCAAAGAAACCGACAAAAATTGAGTCATATATAAAATATACAAATTGTGCACGAGTTAATTTATAACTGAAGTATATATTATGCAGTTATCCGATCTTTTCTAAAATGCCGCACTACCTTTTGTATATATATTTTGCTCAGTTGAACGGTTGCGTAAGTTTAATTTAGTATGCGCATTCCTTCGAACATGCCTGGAAAATGTTTTGGCAGTTTGTGTGAATGATTGTGAATGATAATTTTGTTGCCGTAGACATCAGGGAAATCAACCTTGCCAATTCACCGCAGCAACCATCGCGAGAAGCGTCCGACCACATCTTGAAACCCAGAACGCTGCTGGAGCGGGCGCGCCTCAACGCCGCCTGGCTGGATTCATCGCGGTCCCTGTACGAGCAGGGAATTCGCGAGGGAGACACGGTGCTCTTAAGGTGCGTTCATATGCAGTGTGGACTCGCACCAGCGCAGCCCGGCAGTTTTACCAACCCGATTTCCCATCGGGTGGTCAGCACCGAAAGCGGGTTAATGACATTTTGATTGCCTTCTGGTGTAGGTTTAAGTTTTTCACTTTCTACGATTTGAATCCAAAATTTGATGTCAAGAGGATTAATCAGATCTACGAGCAAGCACGTTGGATGATATTAAATGAAGAAGTGGACTGTACCGAGGAGGAAGCCATGTTATTTGCGGCCCTTCAAGTTCAAGTAAGGCGAACGCTGCTTGCGATATATATGACGATAAGGTAGCCAGTGAGCGGCATGATTACGTGGTGTGGGGTTTTTGCGTGATTGCAGATTCAACATCAGTCTCAAGTGCCGCAAACTCCTACTCAGGCCGGCGAAGACGATATCGATGCGGCACTAAATGATCTACAAATAACACTCGAAGGCACGACACCGGAGTTTTATAATGATATTACACAAGTCCCCGAATTAAGAGACTATCTGAGCTTTCTCAGGCCCAAAAAATTTACACTGCGGGTAAGTGCACTTTGGGATGTATGTTTGGATGCTAAAAACAGAATTCGACGATGTAGCAATTCGGCAGTGGAGAAATTAACATTAACAAAGTGGGAAATTTATATGTAACCACGATTGTAAATTGTTTTTAAAATAATATGCACACTGTGTACCGTATAGGCAGTATAGAGGACCGACAGTAGATCAGTATTTATTATCCCACGCCTCCAGCTTGATACGTTTGGCATGTGTGGTCAGTTAAAATTGTGTGCTAAATAGGCGCAATTACTGAACAATAATTCAGCGTATGTTTTGTCAGATAGCAGCTGACGCTACCAAAAATTGATTGATTATAAGTCCGAATGAATTTCCGTAATGAATACGGGCTTATTGCATGCAATAATGCCGTCGTTGAATAAGAAACCGCGGCGAATGTAATCAAAAGAAGCCGCTTATGATGCGCCGGAAAACAATTTGTTCCATTTATGTTTGCTGACAGGGCTTCAAGCCATATTACGTAATCCTGCGCGATACAACCCTCTCGCTGTACAAAGACGAGCACGATTTGGGCAACGAACCATCATTAGAGGTTAATTTGCGCGGCTGCGAAGTAACGCCGGACGTCATGCTGACAAACAACAAATACGGCATCAAACTGCAAGTTCCCATGGCTGATGGGATGCACGAAATGTGGTTTAGGTGAGCGTTGCGTAGCGTACATATGATATTACGCTTGAACATGTTAACACATACAACACTGGCAGTCTGTTTTTGATGGACGAAATGTGGACAGAACCGACGCCAACTGTTAGCATAAGGATTTAAAAGTTAAAAATGTTTTACGACTTGTGACAGATGTGCAAATGATGCTCAATATGCCAAGTGGATGGCAGCCTTTCGATTAGCAGCTAAAGGAAAAACGATGGCCGACGCGTCCTATCAGCATGAAGTGCAAAATCTTCTCAGCCATCTCACACTGCAGCATACGCCCCTACGACAAGACCATTACGGACCAATGGACCCCAATCTCAACACTGACAGCTATGTTCCGCTGAGAATCTCAAAGAAAAACAAGGGCACGAGGTAGGAAATTTGTGAAACGTCTTTTGTCAAAAAATATAAATGAACAACACCACGAAATGCAGTTTTCGCGACTATGAAAGCCGGTTGGTTTGCCTTCCGGCCTGGTCTAAAACCGATTTTCTTTTAATTTGGGCTTTCAGATCACCAGGTATTTTATTAACTAAGATTTTAGAATACGTTTCAAATTGTTATTAGGTTAACCGGGCGGATCATGGATGCTCATAACAACGTCAGAAATTTGACTTTAACTGATGCCAAGCTGCAGTTCATCAAAGCCTTCCAAGGCCTGCCGGACTATGCAGTGCATTACTTCGTTGTGGTATTCGCCAACGCAAAAAAGGAGGAATTAGTGGGTATTACCCCGACCCGCTTGATCCGAGCGGATACCAATGGTCGACCAATAAAAACATGGCCATTCACTCGTATGAAGGATTGGCATGTGAACTGGTACAAGAAGCTGGTTGTTGTTGAATTCGACGATGAAACAGTACAGTTTTGGCCGGTGGGCGCCGACGCGAAAAACGTTCACGAATTTATTGGAGGATACATTTTCCTGGCGACAAGAGCGGAAGACAAGAACCAAAACCTAGATGAAGAACTTTTTCAGAAGTTAACAGGTGGATGGAAGGCCTAAAGTGAGAACAACAGGACAGAAATTTGTTGTAACAAATTTGTATTGCGGTGGACTGTCAGTTCGATAACCTTTTTCATGTTTGGTACCGAAATCCTGCTGCATGGTGGTCACAAGTGCCTTTAATTTTAGAGGTTTTATATTTTATTCTATACGGTGAACTGGTACAGAAAACTTATTCTATTTCAACATAACTACACAGCTCAATATTTTGGCAGAAATGTACACGGCAAACAGCGGTAACCGGAAAAACAAATACTTCGAAGTTTACAAGAATAAAAACAATAAAACTATTTCAAAAACTCAACCAAGACGACGGGACCAAACAAGCGGTCACAACCAAAAAAACTTAACGCGAATTACGGCCAATTAAAATTCGGCACACTATATCACTTAAAAACAAAAGGAAGGCAAGTAAAACAGTAAAACCATAACCAGTACAAGGCATGCCAACAATGCTAAAAAGTAAAACTGGAATAAAACTTACATAAAACAGGAACGTTAAAAGAGTAATCAAATCAGCATTTCGTGTCTGTCAGTGGTACCCGTTGGAAAATCCATTACGAAGGGAGGCTTTCCCAGACAGATTCCCACCGTTACTAAGATATCCCGGATGGCCGTTGGACATTGCACCTCCTGAATTTCCGTTGCTCATTCGCCGTGCCATAGCATTATCATAATATCCCATCAAGTCGCCATTTGTCATGTGGTTTCGAGTTCGGTCATACACGCATTTTCCTATGCAGTACACGTTGAAGCCAATATCAATCAACTTGTCATGATTTAAAATCATCCTTCCATCAAAAATGAATGCTGGTTTCTGCATGGATTGGTAAATTTTTCGAAAGTCCAGTAGCTAAAAAACCCGTAACTTTAGGAAGGCGAAGCAGAAATGTGTCCATACGGGTTCAACAAATGTTACAATACCTGAAATTCATCCCATTCCGTACACACCACGATTGCATCCGCAGCAGCAGCGGCTTCGTAAGCATTTTTGCAGATTTTCACTTGTCGAGAATCTACAAACAAGAGTTTGTTAATGCTTCGAAATAGAGCACATACCTACATCCGATATAATACTGATTTTCTTCCATAACTTATCATTAACAAATTACCAATAGGCCATAACAGAAAAAAAATCACCAAGGTAATAAAAATTTCTCATGGATTGTTGCTACTAAATTTAATGCGAATCCGTAACGAAAATTGCGAACCATTAACGAGCCATGAGGAAACAACACTAAATTTAACAATCTATCAGTATGACTAGTAGGTATCTCGTAGCAGCAGAATGGAAAATTTTTGTTGCTTTCAGTATTAGTTTATTTCAATAAATGTTAGACATACTGTTTTTTTGGACTTCGTTCGCCGGATCCATGTCTAAATCTCTGTAAAGCGCAAAACAGGGTTAGGAACTCGAAACTGAGAGAAAAGGTAACAGAAATCAAACTCCACCTTAAAATTCGATCCGCTGGTACCTTTGGGTCGTAAATGGAAAGTAACGCACCTTCTTCCAAAAGATATTTACTCACTACAATGGCTGACGATTCTCTGAAAGAATATCTAATCTTCACACACTGAGTGACTACTAGAAAAGGTGCTCACGCCCAAATAATTTTATGGGGGATGTTTCGCAATTTACAATACAGTAGCCGGATCGCTGACAGCGTCGCCAGTTATAAGTTTTGAACAGTAAGTAATGCAAGTTCATGAGCAAGACAATTTTTTTACCTAGTATCACCAGTGTCCTTTTTAAAAGCGAATCCCAGTATGGCAATTCTTTTCTCCACAGTATTGTACAAGCACTTAACTATCTGCCGGCTAAACCGGTGCCTCTGGTATTCGTTGAGGTCAACCACCTACAAGAAAACGTAAATACTGTACTACTATGAAGTACTCGTACAAAGCTGCTATGGCAAACATTATTGCTATGGCAAACAAATATTACACATATACATATACTTGGGGTAACCCTAATCATTTTTAAGTTCAGAAACAAATGGCTTTAAACCAAGGAATGGTTACTGCTTACTTGTTGCCAGTAGTCAGCAGCTTCGGTGAGGTTCTGAGAGCGACACAAATAGACCAAACAATTCAAATCCTTGTGAAAGCACGACCCACCGAACCCTGCCGGAACAAACGATAAGATTAGCAGTTTAGTCAGTCAGATGCTTGGAAGTGAGTGCGTCATGGAAAAATTATTGTTAGTGTTTGATATTAATTTTATGATATCTGTTTTTTTTTGGAAGTTCCCGCTTACCAGCAAATCGCAAATTAAACCGAATCACAATTTCATAAATTTTCTCAACAAGCACTAAGCAATTACCCTTAAATTCACATGTTTTTCTACTATTAGGTGTCCACATACGAGACGCTTTGGCCTTGTTTTTCATTTACCATTGTATTGGCAAAACTGGTGTACTGAAAGCGGACAAGTTATCGCAATGATAACTACATGTGACCGGAAGCGAAAGCCTTGCGATCAGATACCCACCTTTCGGTCGATGATTACAATCGCCATGTGAAAATTTCCCACAATTTAATTATCAAACTCACCCACGCTAGCGTCTAGGAATTTTGGTCCTATTCTACTGTCCATTCCGATGGCCCGGGCTACTTCCTTAACATCCGCACCAGTAGCCTCACACAGTGAAGAAATAGCATTTATGCTGGAGATTCGTTGAGCAAGAAAAGCATTGGCAGCCTATCAAATCTCAATTAAATTTCGGCAAAATGGAACAAAAACAGAGGATGCAGTCTGTTTACCAATTTAGTCAATTCCGATGACCAGACGTTCGTCAAGACAATTTTTTCCCGGTCTACCCACTTTTCATATATCTCCATCAACAATCTTCGGGCATGCCGACCACTTTCGGTTTCATTTCCACCAATCAGTACTCGATCAGGATTTAATAAATTTTCCACCGCTGTGCCTTCCGCAAGGAATTCGGGATTTGAAAGCACCTACAAGATCATTATTATATCTTTGTCTAGGAAAGAATGCATAATATTGCCATAGCAAGAAACCAAAAATTTAAAGAATTCAAAGAAACAGAACAGTGCAAAACGAGACATACTTCAAATTGTACATGCTTTTTTTCTGGAGGTCTATGTTTAGGGTCCAGCCATTCCATGATGGCTTCCGCCGCTCGCACTGGAACTGTGCTCTTTTCAACGATGATAGTGTACCCAGTAGCATGGTTGCGAATGAATTTAGCCGCTTTCTCAACAAACTGTAAATCGGGAGCCTTCCCCTAGATAAAAATGCAGTTTCAAATACACACAGTTCCATAAACAAACATTTAAAGTACAAAGCCGCTACCACACGAGATGCAACCAAACGAGAGTTTTTCTTAAATGTAAATTGGTGAATTCCTATCACCGGTGCTTAAATGTTGCGTAGACCGGCACTAACACAGATATGTACCAATACAACCGACATAACTTATAACTACGCTACATCGGAAACCGTACTTTCGCATCTCCAACTGTTTTTGTGGGAGTGTTAACACAAATAAATATGAGATCGGCACTGGCAACCGCTGATTCCCTTTCGGTTGAAAAGAATAAATTGCGTCCACGGCATTCATCCACCACTGCATCCAAATTGGGCTGAAAAAAAAGCAATAAATGCAGACACAAGAAGCTATATTATTACAAGACAAGAAAGGTAGTAGGACAAGTTACACAGGATACTGCGCCATTGCTTGCAAATTTTGATGCTGTCGATAAAATGCAATGAGTAAAAATCGAAGATCGCGTTCTGTTCAAGTTCCAACCACCTTGTGACCACCAGGCGCGCTGAATATGATTTACAGTAAACCTATTAATTCACAGCTTGAGATCTACGTATATGGTATCTGATCGCCATCATTTTGCAGACCATAGCAAACTGTATTAATGAATTTTAATTTGACTTTACTTTAGTCACAGTTTAGTGGCTCATAATTATACCATGATACCATCGTAACATTAACTATAAACGTAACCGTAAAGCGAAAAACCATCAACATTACACTTTCAATAGGATAGATATATACTAGCTCAGTCTCTAATAAAAGAACTATAACAGATTATATATAGTTCACACTTGACAGCTTATAAGAATAATCATTTGCTTGAAAGATATAACCAAGGTGGATAGGGCTGCCCTATCCACCTTGATACAACTTAACAACTACAAAATATTTACAGTACTTCAATAGTAAAAAAACAAAAGAAAATCATGCAGTGTCACGTCTACTTAAAGGAACCATCACTATAATAAAAGCGATAACCATTCGCAAAACGGCGTCAGTTAGTACTGAGAGAAACGCATACTTCATAAATTGGTAGATCCTTAGAATTCCATGCGTCTATTCTCTTCTGGTCGACATCAGTAACAGTGACAATAATATCCGGGCATTTGCTGGCGATGACAGCGCATGTTGGTCCACCAACGTAGCCAGCACCCATACAACAAATCCTCCTGATTGCTCCCACATAGGATTCTCCGGACATGGTGGAGGTTCCGCACTCGAAAAGGGGAATGAGATCCACGATTTAATAGGGATGAGCGAGTCTGTCGTTACAGACCGCTAGGCGGCCAGCACGCCAATACTGCATTAATGATTAACACTGTGCGCGCAGCACCATTAGAGCAAGACCTTGAGCTTCCATTGTCGCACCCAGTCCTTTCAAACACGAAAACTTTGCTGTGTAGTGATAAGTCTAACTAAAAAGTTTGTTGGAGTTCGGATCACTGCAGTACATGCGGTACGGCACGAGGCAGTACAAATCAGAATGGTCATTCAGTACGAGTTGATACGGAACACTGAACACGTTCGTAAATCCCCGTCAGACCGTACTTGCTACCGCACCGATGCAGTAGAACCGGATATCGAAAGGATTATTGCATAACGCTTACAAAGCATTAAAGCTACGGGGAAAATGGGAAACTTATGAAAAAATCGCGGCAGCAAAGTATGACAAAGGAGCGGCCAAAGAAAATATCAATCGTATTAGTGTAGAAGACAGCAACTGCAAAATTGATAAACTACGTAATTGCAAATCGCCATCCACATGGAAATTCAGCCAGCGCCAGCCACATAATATATACGCCAGCCAACAAGGCGGGTAGGAGATAAACAGCCACTACTTTCTCATCTCATCCATACGAGAATATCCATATCAATCCACTATTTCGGTAAGTTATGAAAACCTCAAAACTGGTTTCTCAACTGTAGGATCAGTTTGGTGCGTTCGCATGAATGAACAAAGTTTAACTATAGAAAGAAAGGCTTTCTGATGCGTACAAACAACGTACCGGAGCTTGTTAGTAAGCTGTTACAAATAATTAAGCAGTATTATAATACTACATTGTATTATTACACTATAAGATGAAATTAAATTAAAAATGTGAGTAGTGCAAGGCAGCAGCAAGATTAACAGATCATTGCCACGGTCCACCGTATGAGTAAGTACTATTGTTTTTGTCTGAACGTCAACGCTCGATGAGCATTTAATAACTTCGGGTAGTAGGGATACGCCCCATATGGCTATCTCGTTTCCTTAAACAACGACGGCACCAAACTGAAAACCAAGAAGATTTTCGCCAACAATGCCGAAATTTTTTTAACTCGGAGAGTTGTCTGACCAACTTTTCAAGTTGGTCAGACAACTCTCCAAGTGATTTCTGTGCTATGTAGCCCATTCGCTTAAGAGTAAAATTAATATTAATGCAAGTCTGCAAACCTTTCAAGGTTTTTTATAGCAATTTCAGCCGGTTTCACCACAGCAGAAGCTCACAAACTGCACGTAAAACGACATTTAAAACAGCAAAGATAATTACTAACACCAAATATCTCAATCTACAACTATTACATCTTCGAGTTTGTTAAATTATTGTTCATACCAGCCTAAAAACAATTACCCAAACAGCCACTAACTATAGGTAATGCAAAAACAACGAACACACTGCATTCTGCTTTCAATCATTTAAATTAAATTAAAGTGCTTCACACATAAACCAATCTACTCGCTTAGTTTTCACGGTCAGTTTACAACTTTGCCTTGGGCTGCCCACTTCAGTTTGAGTGATTCTGGTGCCTCTGGTGGCGGAGGCCGTGGGAGACTGAAAAAACGATAAGATTACTGTAATGAAATGATTCTAGTTAACGCTTTCGCTAGCTGTACGTACCGGAAGTAAACTTTCACAGCATCATAAATGAACCACTGAAGGGCAGTCAAAGTACCAATCATAATAATACGGGGGGTAAGTCCCTTCCACATTCCTGAAAAAGATTATAACGCGTTAACACGGCTGTCTTCGGACCATCTGACTGCTGTGTCTATCATAAAGCACCCAGTAAACATTCCGAAATCGATCTTCCACGAAATGACTCCCCTGACTTTCCATGAATCAATAATCAGGAAAATAGTTTTCCCAAATTATTGTGGAATTCAAGGTTAAGAATCATGGTATTCAAATGCCAACACTAACTTTACCCCATGCTGTAATACATACTGTGCTGTATTGTAAAGGCAAATTGTAAGCGAAAATCTTTCGGAAAAAGAATTAAATGAATATGGAGCCAGTTTTCACTTATGCTTCATCATACTTATCGGAATTCCATGAAAATTAGCACTCACCGGCAAATCCTAGGCTCTTTGCAACTTCCACGGCTGTGCTTCCCTTTTGCTGGTTCAACTTAGATACGACGGTATCGGCAGGATGGGAAACAATCGCACAGAACACACCCGCTGAAATCAGAAATACATCAGCTTAGTGAGCTCACTCGTTAAAATTATCTTACATAATGTATTAATAAAAGTCAGACCTATCATAAAGCATCAGGTATCTCAGTGATAAAAGGCTCGTATGTTTTCATCATGCACCGAAAACGACAACGGAGAACCCAGACCGTGCACTTACCGATATATCCAGCAGCGAAAGTGACCAACAGCTGCTCGCCCTTGCTGCACTGCGCTCGGGGCTTGGGCACGACATATTTGTAGAGCAATTCCACAGTTCGCTCAAAGCAGGCAAATTTCATCATAGTGTAAGGGATCTGACGCATCCACAAGGGCACCAATCCCTTATAAAATCTAATAAAATCATAAAAAAACAACTGAGTACTGCCACTACCAGGCCATACGATTACAATACGCAGTTCACTGATTAGTGATTATCAGGAGTTTTTCGTAAAGCAATAGCACGGATGTACCCGCTGATGCCTTCCTCTCTTAGGATGCGTGGAAAGCCATCTCTCAGCGTTGACGACCATCCAGGCTGCGTCTGAATACGAACTTTCACAGCTTCCATAGGAGCAAGGGCGATATCAGCGAAAAATTCAGCTGAAGCCGATGCGGCGAGGTACAGCCAAGTTCGGTAGAGATACGCGGCTTCCTGCAGATGAACGGGGCTCAAATCAAACGTGCACCATAAGAGAAAACAAAGTCACTTACATCTCCAATCAGATCGTGGTAGTAGACTTTGAAAACTTCGTAGAGTCCAAACTTGAACATGCCCTGGGCGGAGTAGCCGATTAATGTCGGCGCCCATCCCTTGGTCAAGCCAAGCATACCCTCCTCCTTGACGGTAACAGAAAATCCGGACATGATCCCCTGATATTTTGCAGGATTCACCTGGTGGAAAATAACATATATTTCTGCAAAGTGGCATTCAGCGTCCGTTTTACCTGTATGCGGCATTTAACCAGATCAAGCGGTACGATGGCAGTATGTGTGATACCACAACTCAAAATTCCACCGAGGCCGCACAAAGCATAGAACTTGGGTGTTGCGAACTCAACCTCCCCTTCATTCACTACAAAACATTTGGACACATTTGCAGACATAGATCTCTTCTATAACTAGCCGAAGTTCTACCAGCGTTTGAACGTGCGCTGTATAAGCTATGCAACTAGCACTAATAGCAATTCTCTATGCGAACAGGCTGCAAAGCCACAAATGGGATATTATTGTACCAAACTATTGAATAATCCTACACGGAACGATGAGAAATCCCACCTATCGTCCAGTTTTGCTTATTAAAAAAGAAATAATGCTTTTCCTGATTTCCAGCAATAATTTAAACCCTATTCCTGATAAATGATAATGTACGTAGCGCACTGTTGCATCACTTCACATTCACTTGCAGTCTTGCACCGCCCGACGGCCAAAGTATCTGGGAATAAACAAGGGCGGTGTACGACAGCCAGACTAGAATGCTACTGATCGATTTCCCTGTACTAGAACGTCGTCTATATAGCAAGGAAACAGATCCTCTCACGGTTTTAGCGCTTTAACTGGCTGGTGAACAAGTACTTACTTATCATCTTATGGATGCTTTTAGACTTCAAGTACTTATGGATACTTCAAAGTTTTTTGCCATTTATGACTTGTTCAGGCAATTCATTTAAAATTAATAAAAGGGTTTACGATTTACTATAGGAGCAACGGGAACCTTTGTAAGCCGCTACAAATTCGCCTGCATCACTTACCTTTTCCATGGCCAAGTGCCTTTTCAAAATTTTTGGTCTTTGGGTTTTCACAATGGGCTGAAAGAAAAAACGGTTAAAATAAACACCTGTAAGCAGTTTTGCTAAGAAGATTATTCTAAACTTACCGAATTTATTCAAGATGGAATAGTTTCCTTGCTTGATGGATTCGGCAGCCACGATACGTGGCGTTAACAAATTTTTCACCGGTGAATTGTCTGCTGACATTGTGTCTGGTTTCTACGATCTAATAAAATGTTGGTTAGCTTTAACCAATCAACCGAATCCGACGTTCAGATGCAGCTGAAGATGAATAATCATAAATTAAAACAAGGTTTACCGTAATTTTTTCAAATAATGTACGCTGCAAACAAAAATGCTACGACAGACACTAGCAGGTGACTAAAAGTTGTCCCTGAACAGATCGCCCCAAAGTATCCTCGCAAAGACGAGAATCCGGCGTCAAGTTGCATGGGAGTACAGTATTAAAATTACCGTAAGTAGTACACGCTATACCTGGTGACCCGTTGCCTTTAGTGGGACAAAAAGGCCGTCGAATGCCGAAATCATGAAAAGTTCAGTACATAAACCGTCAAAAATTGTTTTTTCGCGGTAAAATGCAGAACTGACTTGATCCGATTATTGTATTTGTATTACATTCTGGCTGCAATTTAAACTGTGCAGCGCTGCAGCAGAAGGACAACGATTCACGGTGCGAAAGAGTTTCAAGCTCATATCGTAAGCTACCCTTATTACTATGCTTATGGTCTGCCTTATTTAAACCGTTAGAACTTATTTTTAGGGAATGCTTCCGGTCCCCTTCAGATTATCGCCGAAGCTACACTTGCGTTATCTTACTTCAGGTAGTTATTTTTTTACGAACTATTCACACAATAATGATATCTCAGACTTTAATGATCTACGGCTAACAAACAAAATTCACAGTCATTCGAAGTTCAAACATAAACTAATTTCTGACTACTATTTCAAATGCATTCCAAGCAATTCAGATTCAACGGCGTGATAGATCATTCAGAACCGGATCACTCTTCCACAGCTCACGCTGAACAGACAACGGTAACGCATGACTGTAATAAAAGCTAGAAGCCATAACATTTAAAACTAACACCACATCGAATAAAGAAAGAAGAGGCGAAGCAACTACATTAACTCAAATAAATTATGATGGAATACTTCTACCAATTTTACTTTTTTATATTTAAAGATTTCTTCACAGTATCCACGACATCACTGGCATGAGGGAGCGCTAAGCCTTCTAACGTTTTTGCGTATGGCATCGGCACATCGGCACCAGTGACACGATAAACTGGAGCATCCAAATAGTTAAAACCTTCTCCTAAACGTAAAGTAACAAGACACAGACTGCACCATGACATTTAAAATAATTCAAATCGCAATATCCATCTTGAAGTCATCGGATGCTTACCTTCACTAATAGCAGCGCTAATTTCTGAACCAATGCCACAGACAGGCCAACCATGCTCGACCGTAACGACATGGTTCGTCTTTTTCAAAGACTGGATTACTGTCTCCAGATCAAGCGGTCTCAGAGAACGAAGATTAATAACCTAGCACAAGTAATTCCGTCGTAAACAGGAAGTTAAAAGCAAGCAAAAAACACTTGTGTATGAAACAGTACCACAACAAACCTCTGCATCTACGCCCAGTTTTTCCAAATCCTTGCAGGCTTCCAAACAGGTTTGCACACCTCGAGCATAAGAAACCAGAGTGATATGTTTCCCTATCAGAATAAAACCCCACTAATTACCAAACACTATTACGAAACACAAAACTCTCAAAATAAAATGGCTGTAACGAATGAATGAGACAGTTCTGATCGATCGAAGTAAAATCCGTTCAGGGATAAAGTAATGGAAAAAAACTTATACAAGTAGCGGAAGAACACGAAAAAGAATGTTTTACCTTTCTTTTCGATTTTTGCCTTCCCAAGAGGTATAACAAAATCTTTACTCAGTGCTTCTTCGGGAATGTCGAACGGCTGTCCGTACAAGATTTCGTTCTCCAAAAACACGACTACAAAGCATAAGCCATAAACCAAAAAATAACCAGCCAGTTCAATGAAGATGTTGAACGTAACAATTAAGATTAACTATTCAATATTACTATGACCTATTCGATTAATTTTTATACTATTCAACAGCACGAATGTTTTAAGAACCGTAAATTCGCAAGTAAACTTCAAAATATCTATCAACAAAAAATTAAAGTGACTGACATTATTATCTTCGAAGTCAATACTGGCCATTTAACAAAAGCGCAACAAGAGTATACCTGGGTTGTCATCCCGTATAGCCGCCTTCAAAAGTCCTCGTGCATCTTCGGAATTGTACGGCGCGGCGACTTTTAGTCCCGGGCACTGCGCATACCATGATCCGAAGTCTTGTGAATGCTGAGCGGCCACTCCAGCGGCTGCTCCGTTAGGCCCGCGAAATACAATTGGCACTTTTGTCTACAAACGGATACTGTATTAAAATATAAAATTTCAAAGCCATCTGCGTTTATCGAATTCCAAACAGTGATTTAAGGCAGTAACTTACCAATCCTGCCGACATATAAAGCGTTTTAGCTGCCGAATTAATAATGTGATCGATAGCCTGCATGGCAAAATTCCATGTCATGAATTCACAGATCGGCCGAGTTCCAGCCTGCGAAAGCAAGGAATGAGAAATCACACAGACTAATTTATAGCAAAAACCCGTAACGATCACGCACTTACCATTGCAGCACCAACGGCAATACCGGCGAAACCCATCTATAAGAATAATATGCTGACGCTTGACATATGCGAATAAAGAAAAAGAAAAGAAAGAAAGTAAAAGAAATATGCGAATAATTACCTAACAATATATTACTGTAAACACTTTAGCATTTCTTTTGACAGGGTATTTGCTACCAAATCATGCTTGCTTACCTCTGTAATTGGAGTGTCCATAACCCGTTCATCGCCGTATTTCTTCCATAAATTTTTTGTCACCTACCAAAAACAAGTACTGCACATTTCCACATTTCAAATTACGTATCGTAATTCAAATTTTTATCATAAGGAATTGCGAAGTGCACTGTGTAGATGTTGCATTTATAGAAGTACAGTATATTTCAACTAGAACGAAGCATTTTCACCTTGTATGCTCCATCATATTGTGCTACTTCTTCTCCCATGATGAATACGCTGGGATCCCGCTCTAGCTCTTCGTCTAGCGCTGAATTCAGGGCATCACGAACCGTCATCTGAAAAAAAAGAACAACACCGTTTTCCGAACCATCCATCAATGAGGGAGTGTCCAAACAATGAAGTTAGAACGAACCACTGTAGTCTCAGATGCAGGAAAAGGTACGAGTATAGTACCTGTTTTGCTTGCATGTTGGTACTTATCGCAAAAAACCTACGAGGGACACTCGATCGGGCGATCTGCAACATGCGAAAATAATACAAATCACATAAGAAAGGTAGTGCGAGTCTGAATTTCAAAAGAGTACTCTCGGCAATTTTCCCAACGATGACTATCAGATTTAATTTTTCATTTTTGCAAGATTGTTCAGCGCCAACTTACCCTTCTTGCTGCGTCTTTTGCAAGGAAAGCCATGATCACACTGTAAGCAACTGGCAAGTGAGATAAAGGGGAATCGGTCGCAAACAAGGAGCACCGAGGTGAAAGTGTACAGCTAACTTCGAACTTTCCAAAACTCACAACAATTAATAAATGTTCAGAAGCTGAGAAGTGGCAAAAAGGCAGAACCACTAGTGGTCTGCGTTTTGCTGTTGCAATGTTGCTTCCTCGCGGGCGAAAATTAGTAAGATCTGCAAATCAATTATACGGATTTTCAGATCTGAAAAGCAGTCATTAAAGAGTCATTCATAATAAATGTCTCAAAACTTCAGGTTTGGAACGTTCACCAAAAAACAAGTGTTTCAAAATTGCATAATGCCATAATCCCTTTTCATCATATCGAGTGAGTATCCCGGCGCAGATGAGCCCACATTTATTGTACTGGGCGTATCCGGCAGAAATGGTCACGAGGACAAGTAGATCTGCCATAGTGTCAGGTGACCAAGCGTGCGATTGCGCGCAAATTGCATTAGTGCACATGCACCATCCATATGGTTCAGTTCTTCGTGCCGCTACTGCTGTCTGCTAACCCATAAACAAAAATTACAGTTTAAATCATAAAATATTTAATATTTAATTATTACGAATTACTTGCATTAATTCAATTTTCCAGTTTTTCCTAAAAATTGCTTGTGTAACAAAGAGTCTAGAACCGCATAAAAGTGTGACTGTGAACTTCAGTTAGGTATTAGTGAAAATAAACCCTAAACAGCGAAGTTGAAAGTGAACAGTTAAAAACATTGCTGTCATTGCGGACTTTTATCGGTGGAAATACCTATACCTACCTGCTGACTTACAGTCCACATTATTTTTCTAGTCCACACTCGCAGTGGTGTTGTAGTAGTTGTACTATCAGAGACTTTTCTATTTTTTACTACGATAAAAAGTAGTGAAAATGCGTTTATCCCGCATAATCCATCCAGCGAAGCCATATTTTCGGCCCTTCACCACCTCTGTGCCAGTATACCAACAGGTAGCCGACGCTGTCAAATTTGATCCAGAACGAACGCGTACTGAAGTGGAGGACACTAGCACACGATACGAGCAGATGACAAATGACAATACAAGCGATAAGTATGTATACAAGAAAGTCGAGCAGAAGCTTCCCGATGTGCGCCCGCTCTATCTGGATCAGCAAGCGACGACTCCGCTGGATCCTCGCGTGATGGACGCCATGCTGCCTTACCAGATGCATTCTTTCGGGAATCCCCACTCTCGATCCCATGCTTACGGGTGGGAAAGTGAGCAGGCGATGGAGAAAGCCAGAAGTCAAGTAGCGCGACTGATTGGTGCAGACTCTAAAGAGATAGTGTTCACCAGCGGAGCAACGGAATCGAATAATCTGGCCATTAAAGGAGTTGCGCGGTTCTACAAAGGAAAGAAGAAGCACATTATTACTACACAGACTGTAAGTAGTACTAACTTCTAGGTACCGTGACTCGTGAAATACCTTTAAACAGACAGCAATTTGCAGTGATTTAGGTTGAGCAGTTGTGAGAATTAAGTACTTACACTGATACAGTAATATATTTTCAAAGTTCTACATTGATCATGGCCACTGTTCAGAATTTCCGTTTCGAAAAAGTCTAATCGCTCGCAGTGTTTTCCAGTTCTCTGTTCGGTTTTAGGAACATAAATGTGTTTTGGATTCGTGCAGAGCTCTGGAAGGAGAAGGCTTCGATATTACTTATATGCCTGTGCAGAAATCGTCAGGCTTAATCAGTCTGAGTGAATTAGAGAAAGCAATCCGCCCCGACACTTCCTTAGTGTCCGTGATGTTTGTGAATAACGAAATCGGTGTCAAACAGCCAATGAAAGAATTAGGCAGTCTGTGCCGATCGAAAAAAATATTCCTCCATACCGATGCAGCACAGGCTGTAGGGAAAGTGCCTGTAGACGTCAATGCAATGAATATTGACTTGATGTCTATAAGCGGTCATAAATTATATGGTCCAAAAGGAGTCGGCGCTCTGTATGTGCGTAGACGTCCGCGAGTTCGTTTGGAGCCGATCATTAGTGGTGGCGGTCAAGAGCGTGGACTCCGAAGCGGCACCGTTCCGACACCACTGGTTGTTGGCTTTGGAGCTGCATGTGAAGTTGCTCTGGATGAAATGGAGGTACAAAAATTTATAATTTGAATAAAACTGTTAAGTACTATAAGCTTGCATTTGCACTACATAGATATAGTTTGTAATATCCATTTCCAGTTTAGAAACATTTAGTATCAAGAAATTATTGGACAGGCAAAACATTTTTGCAAAATTGGAATGGGCTTGAAGAATTATTCATTTTCAGAATGATACGAAGCGGATCGGATACCTCTCAAAGTTATTGGTGGATAAACTGACCGCGGCGATTCCGAACATAGTTAGAAACGGTGATCCAGTCCAGACATATCCTGGGTGTGTTAATCTGTCTTTCGCGTGTGTGGAAGGAGAAAGTCTTCTTATGGGGTTGAAAGACGTTGCTGTTTCGTCGGGAAGTGCTTGTACTTCAGCGTCGTTGGAACCGAGCTATGTATTACGCGCTATTGGCGCAGAAGAAGACCTGGCACATTCCTCGATTCGTTTTGGAATTGGCCGCTTTACGACAGAGCAGGAAGTCTTGTACACAGTTGAGAAGACTGTAAAAATGGTTGAACATCTACGCGAGTTGAGCCCTCTCTGGGAAATGGTGAAAGGTACTCCTACCCTTTATTTTGTTTTTAAATTTATTTAATTTTTTAACTTTAACTTTACCTTTTAACAGAAATGTAAATGCAGAACTTAAATTTAATGTATTCGTTGTTTTTCATTGCAGAAGGCGTCGATTTGAAATCAATAAAGTGGACACAACACTGATGCTATTTAGTGGCGGCTGGTGACAATTTTCCGCAGGAAATTAGAATTCGGAAGATTATGGCATAAGCCTTACCCATATGTTGAAAGAAAATTTATTTACATATTCTGTTACAGAAGATGATAAATTAAACATGCATAAAAGATGTGCGAGCAAATAAACAGATGATCCTTGTCTTCCACGAAATTAATATGAAAGAAAGACTGCAAACGAGACTGTAAAATAAAGTAATCAGAACCGAAAACAATGCTTGTTGTCCGTCCTACATGTGCTCCAAGAGATTTTGCAGATAAGTGTTTTCGAAATACTCCACGCAAACCGCAATGATGAAATGCAGAATAAAGAAGGTGACAGTGTTCATCATTTTTCGGTCGAACATCACGAAAAAGTAGCCGAGCCGTAACAACCGGCTGACACCGTCCATGAGAAGAGTCCACATATTTCGTCGTATACTGCTTGGAAAGATTCCCACGCACACTCCACCAAAAATCAAATTGTACCGTCTGATCAGCTGATCGAGTTTGTAAGATCCGTCGGATGAAGCCACTTGGTCGGGGCTGATTTCAACCGCAGGCACGACCTTATGAATAGGAGCCATGCACAAGGGGCATGAAATGGGGAACAGGAATACCTTTCCGTGATTCCACATGGCAGCAAAACATTCGGCTACAGAACACAAAAGAAAAATGGTTAAAGCACGTCTAGCAATCTAATCCCACAGGATCATAATACGTTGCATATATATTACACACTGAAAAATACAATACACTGAAAACAGATACGAGTACCATAATAAGGGAGCCTGTAGTGAAAACTTCAAAGACGCGAGCAAATAGAGGTATGTATTTGCTCCAGTTTGATTAATAAACTATTAGGCATCAGAATCAACTGAATGCGAAGTGTTTCACACATGCTAAAGCAATTATCTTTCGGACCGGCTAGTGAACAATTTGCCAAATTACTAAAATCGGCACGAATACTCAAATCAGTACCACTGAAGCACTAACCACATAAAGTATGTCCGCAAGGGCCAGCCACGGGAATCCGCTCAGCCATTTCGTCGGTAGTAGCCAAACACACGGGGCATCCACTATCCCCAAAAAACTTCAGGTTTTCCTCTCTTTTAACCTTCGTCACGCATGCGCTATCAGTTTTGCAACGGCCACGACGGATGCCTTTAACAAGTCGGATCCACGCAACTGAACGTTTCAAATCCAGACGCTTCAAATAATTGCAAAGCCTACGAAACACCAGATCAAACGAAACGCCAAACAGCTTTGGTTATCGATGTGATTGAAGGTTACAGGAAACGCTACCATATGCTTCGTTGCCTCATCTTTCCATCGTGTACGGAGGAAGGCACTACTCATCGACTGCTCTAACAATATAAATTGACTGACGAATTGTCAAACGCTAACGCACCTGGGCAAGCACAGAAATGTCCACAACAAAGCGTAGCCATACACCAGATCCTTGGCACGTGTCCACATTCGAACATCTCGCGCTCGATGGTATTCCTCTTCCCAAATGGGACACAATCCAGCTGATGAATTCAGTGTAGGACAAGTAGGACCCGATGCAAATTCCGTGAAAGGATTGACAATGCGACATGCACCCATGTTGGATAATTGATTGTCAGATTTTTCTAGTTCGGATTTGCAACACGAATAAAAAGTGCACAAACAAGGAATATAATAGCGTGATTCAGTAAAGTTGCCTTGTAGAGACTGAGATGCACGATTCTGAACCAGGTCGCGACCACAATGTCAAGTATTATACATCACCGTACTTGTGTACAAGTACTGATCGTGAATTATGAGTTCCACGGCAGAGCACAACAAATGAGTGAAACGATCTGCCAATAATCACACGATTCACGATTTTATGTTTTCAAAATTTGATTGCAAAAAAAGATTTTGTTCAGTTCTGTCTTCTGTATAGAAGTACAGATAACTCATAATAACCAGCGACTTTGTTTACTTTATAAGTCTCTGGCCCTGTAATAACATCGCGGAGCTTCACAACGCCAAATCCGGATTACATGGGACAACTGGAATGGGAAAACAAGCCTATAAGTTTGTTAAATCATCATAAAACTTATATGATTGGGAAAACACCAACCTGAAAAGTGCTCTCAAAATTAATCATAATTACCAATTAAATTAAACGATTAAGCGCAACAATGACAACATCTGTATTATGTGAACACCAACAGAAATAAATACAGCAAGCAGTTTGTGAAAATACTGTTATTATGACTTCGTCAGCTGTGCGCCCCTGCGCTCCGCAGAGGTCATCCTGATATCGCTATATAATGTCTTGAGATATGTATCGCTTCTTAAGTTCTTAAACACAACCAAAAGCTTTCGCAAGGCTTTTGCGAATTATGGCGTACTCGAGCAGATCGATTTGGGTATGCATAGCGCAGATTAGATAACACTTTTGATGTTACTTATTTGGATTGTAATCACACATGGTAGTGGGTACCGTCACGGCCAGCGTCACCACAACACGGAAAGGCAACATATTCTAGCTCCAACTATTTCCACGCGTGCAAACTTCGTTTTTGTTTTTTGAAGTTATTTAGCATGGATTTCAATGCCAGTGCCGGTCGTTTCTACTGCACAGCGAAAGTCCAGAACCAATGTACCTATGCAAAAAGTCAAAAAACAATCGCAACAATTGCAGATTTTATTTCTGTAATATTGTACAGAAGTATAAAATGCGCAATGTGCATTGTTGCGAGTTTAACCATCAAACACAGCAACAAAAAATTGATCACCATAACCGGTAACCATCACGCGTCACAGCTTTACTAATTTAATATTGTCAAAGAACGGCCCTGTGATACTGTATGTACACTGTCCACTCTGTAAAAAATCTGAATCTGATCACTAAACATTGTAAGCGAATTCTGTACAATCTTTCTGTAAACGCATCCAATCATTAGCTTTGCGTAAAGATGATCGCGGTGCTGTCAGTTTTTCAGCAATTTGTCGCATCAGCACCGGGTTATCTTCGACAAACTTTCTCGAATCATGAATTAATATATCCATTTTCTTGATATCGGAAATGTCCATTCCTAAATCTTCTGAGAGGATGGGATTTACCCGGAAATATGTAGATGGTGGCAACAAATCCTGCAGTGTGGTATGAATGCCCTCCGTATCTGTAGCTGACGCTATGATGCTGGTTAATTTACTTCTCCAGCTGGTCAAGCCAATAGCTTTGGCAACTTCCTGGTTTTGCACTTCTTGTTTCTTCCTAAACCGGCCAGTTCCCATAGACACAACAGTGTGGAGCTTTTCTTTCGGCCATAAAAGCCGACTTTCATGAATTCCAATAGCAGTTGGATTGTTGTTCAGGATCCCGCCATCCTGCAGGATACCAAACACCAATGAAGGCACAGAAAAAACCAAAGTTTTCATATTTCAGCAAACGTTTTACGACACCTCCTTCGAAGATGTGCTAATTCAAAACCCGTGCACTTCAAAAATGTTCTACAGGCGGGAACAAAATCCTTGGAATGGTCTTACAATTACTGCAGTATTACCTGATGTATAACATTATCCAGTCTGCATTCCTGAAAGAAACCGGGAGCAGCCGAAGAAGCACGCATCGCTTCCCACACTTTGTATTTGGAGGAACCTTCGTAATGCGAAACTGAGCCCGGTGGAAGCCCGTAGCTGCGAAAGACAAACGGAAGGCAATCTGGCTCATCTATTTTTGTCGAAATCGCTGCCAAGCGGATGCCACGAGGATCACGAGACAAGTCGACCATCATCTTCTCTCCCATGTTTTTCCTGCACAAACAACGACCGGTTAATTTTATTTTTCTTGCCTGACCACGGCGTCATTAACTTTTGTGGTTCAATATTGTAATATTTACTTATATTTTATTATCAATTTTATCGTTATGCTTCCTAAAAACGTTATCTTATTGGTGCTAGTACCTCCGGCGTGGGATATTTATGGAAGGCAGAAAACTGTACTAGTATTGTAGTTCCGATTTCGAAATGCTTTCGAAAACTGAAGAATTTCTGATTATGTAACATTGTAAGTAATCTTGTATCTTACCGTAGAACTGTTTCCCACGCAGTAGTGTCATAATATCCATGGCTCAGTATCAGTCTTCTTGCACCTTTCAGTGTATCACGAGCAAAAAGTGAAATACATGTTTTCTTATAAAACTCCAGAGATTCTTCAGCGGATAATTTGAAAGCAGTAAGCATCGTAACTACCACGGCACCGGTACTGACTCCAATGAAATAATCAAAAAGATCACATGGCGCTTTTCCTGTGAGATTTTCCAGTTCCCGCAATATTTCCAGTGCGACTAATCCTCTGCAAATATAAAAATACATAGTGTTATACCACAGAAAATTAAACACCTACTCGTATGGTCGTTTAAGTGAAACACTATGGTAAGTGAATGAGCGATGGTCGTTTAAGTGAAGTGAAACACCCGAAATAACATTTTCCACAAACGGATTTTCTTTCGGATTTTTTCCTCATACGATTGAGCAGGTTGTACCCTTTACCGAGTACTTGCAATTTTTAAAAAAGCTTGAACCGTTTTCTTGCAAATGAGACGTAAAGAAATCAGTGACGAAAGCGCTTTAGCCACGCCACAAGTGCCACTGCACTACGCTCAAATATTTGCAGTCACCGCCATCCATGGGCGGCTGTACCATCGCCATGTGAGATGTCTATTTAGACCAAAACGAATACAGTTTGAAGACACCAACTTCAAACAAACGAAGAAAAAGTTCAATTGAACATAAATTTACCTGAACTGAACTAACAGCCCCCCATGGATGGCGGCGACTGCAAATATTTGAGCGTAGTGCAGTGGCACTTGTGGCGTGGCTAAAGCGCTTTCGTCACTGATTTCTTTACGTCTCATTTGCAAGAAAACCGTTCAAGCTTTTTTAAAAATTTCAAGTACTCGGTAAAGGGTACAACCTGCTCAATCGGACGAGGAAAAAATCCGAAAGAAAATCGGTTTGTGGAAAATGTTATTTCGGGTGTTTCACTTAAACGACCATACGAGTAACATGCAACCACAAAAGTATAGCGTCAGAAAACAGTAGTCGGTAACTCGTTATAGTTCCGACTTGCTGTAAAACAGGTACGCTAGTAAACAGTGCAAATGAAAGCATAAGACTGATATTTAAGTTTGAGATACAGGAAATCTGTGCTAGTCAACGGTAAATATTAAATGACATTTGAGCGCAAACGTAAACGTCCCATGCTAAAATATTTCGGGGAAAACTCGTCACTACTGTTATTCGATGATGTCCCGAAATCAGTTGTGTCTTAAGTATTTTTCCCTCGCATATTAAAAAAACCATCTATCTCTCAAAAAGGCCTTCTCTCGCTGGTATTTGATGCACAATATAAAAATAATTTAACAAAATCTAGGACAGCTTACAGCGGAAGCGAGGCAGGTCAATCACCCTTCACCCGAAAGCCGATGCCATTATTGACGCACGCATTTACAGCGTGCTTCCCATTAAACTTCTTACTGCATGGCACACTGAACCCGTTCGATGCCGTCCCCATCTTACCTAGTTCCTCCACCATCAATCGACAGTATGCGCGGTCCTGGCGCATTGGGCGGAAAGGAATAACCCAACAATCCCAAAGTCATCAGCGCTTGATTTTTTACAATTGTTTCTTCGTTCATGACGAAACTCAATAACAAACAAATCGCTCCGCGTTTAATGGCTTCAATTTTGGCATCGGGATACTGCAGAAGATGATTGGTCAAATCTTCCGTTCGACTCAGTTTGCTGTAGTCGGATTTGGCTTTTTTAATAGCCGTCATCAGTGCACGAGTGCGAGTATCGATGGAAGCCTGCGAAATCACCGGTCGCACAGTGGAAGACGCTTTCGGAGGGATGGCATCAGTGGTGGGATGAATATCCTTTAAAAATAATTTCTTCGTGGGTTTCTCCACGTCGTCTTCCACTTTTCTCACAGCGTTGTCGCGTAATGAAAGCAGTTCTCCATTTGGGGAATTTTCACGAAGCACATCGTTGTACGAGCTCATGTAGGCTGCCCGCATTGTCTCGTCGAACGGGACATCTTTCTCGGATTTTTCATCTCCATTAGATGGCGTTTTCTTGTCGGATTTCGTGGATGCGGATCGCCGTGCTTCTCTCGATAAATTAGACGGTGCATGTTTAGGTTGGAAGAGGTGTTTTGAAGTGCTCTCAATCAGCTGATTCGATAAGCTTTTCGACTTCTGCGCAGCGTCCGATAGGCCATCAACAACAGTTTTACCGAAATCTTTTAGATACGGAACGGTGGTCACGCGAGGTTTGAGTTTGGCTGGAGAAATGATGAGAGCTAAATCAGAAACGGTTGTCCAGCGCTGCGCCAAGCCTTTCACAAATCCCACTAGCTTCTGTTCCTGCGCCATCAGGCATCGAACAGTTCATGCACGATAAAGTAAGGAGATATTCCTAACTTCGCAGCTACAACCAGCAAAAACACTGTTATAAACCGAAAACTGAGCAGTGCTAATACCTTTAAAGTGAGACAAAAGACGCGTAAACGACAAAGTTTCTAACTTTTAAATCCTGACACGGCGCTTACTTGTATTGAGTCGAACTTCCCGCACATCCGAATCTGTATACTGTTCACAAATCCAAGTGCTAAAATTTTGAAAGAGAATGCTGTGTGAGATTATCAGTAATAAGATAGTTAAGTACTACACAACACATCTATCTACCAGTAATGCAAATCAAAGGATTTTAATTTTCTGGATCGATAAGAAGCATTTGGGAATACGAAGTTACAACAATTATAACACGGATATCCAAGCAATAATCTTTGTCTGAGTCGGTCTGACTGCATCTGACCGATTACGTTTACGGAGTGTTTGCGCCTTACACAAATATATTGTTGCTATTGTATATCTATATATATTATGGAAAACGGAATTTATTCACAAGATTTATACAGAATTAATATTAATTTTTAATTTACTCACATCAGCAAGCAACACTTACCTCAGTAAAATGAATAACTACAATCATGCATTATTTTACTCCAGTAATTCAAAACCGTACTTACGTATTTACGAAATATATACATATTGTAGATTTTAATGTAGTAAGTACTGTACATAATAATTGATACTATATTATATTAATCGTAATTCGTAAATACCAACACAATACCAGTAACACTGCCGCAGCGACGAAAGAGCAAGAATACTGTACTTACATGATTAATTTTCTATCGTGAAGTCGCCATTTATCAGTCGACGACTCGACAGTCAGCAATCGTTAATCCAATACTTCTATCCTCTACGTTTTACTTTTTTATAAAATCATTTCGTAACGAGAAAACAGTATATGCAAGTAAAATGCAACAGAAGTGTGTAGTATCGCGGCTTTGCGGAAATGTAACATTTAAATCCTACAACATTACAGTAATGATTTAAATAAGCACAGCCGTGTGTGTGTAGAAGCAATAAGCATATACGTACTGTAGATATTGCGAAGTACAAAATTATTACTGCATTACGCATTAAAAACGGGTGCAAGCATCTTGTACGGCATATCTACTTGTGATTCACCGTTACTTTGCATCAACGTTCACGTGCCGCTCTTGGCATCACGGCCCTGACAGAAACTTCTGAGGAATTTTCACATAAGCAACCATAGGAATTATTCTTCAAGAGATACGAGTACGCGTTCAACGAAATTTACCGCATGATTGTTACGTAATCCATAACCCGAACGCATAGAAGTTACCCGGCTTATGGTTAGGCTAACCATATTTGCTTCCCTGCTGCTATTGATATTCGGCAGCAGTCGGAAGTGAGCTTACAGTTAGAACTGGTGAATATGAACTGCGGTGCCGCTGTATCGAACCGTTAAAAAATAATTTTGTCAACGAATATTTTAAATTTCGAAGAAGAAAATTCGGGATTCATATAATTAAGTTTGTTAACAAACGCATTCAGCAAAAACAAACAATCTGAAACCAAAAAATGCCGTCACTCGGAATCGAACCGAGGTTGCCACGGCCACAACGTGGTGTCCTAACCACTAGACGATGACGGCTTCTTCACATTATAACATACTTCTTTTAACTTAATAAAAGATACCATCCACTTATCAAGATCTGGCGCTGCTGTGTTGTACCGCCTCCCTTTTTATTGTTACAAACTTACAAAAGATTGCAGGTAGGCACGTTTAGAAAAGCATTAAACTTAAAATTTCGAATTTCTTATATAGAAACTCACGGAGAGTTCTCAACTTTCCCTTACGCAATCGACATTTCCTCTTGACTGAATGCAGTGAATGGGCAGTCGATAGAGCCGCCAGAATAACAACCTCGATCGTTCCTGTTCCGTAATATCGGCTACTCGTATATTTTTTCACTTTTGCCGGCGAGCATTTTACCTTCTCCCACGACCCGAGATTCCTAATATGACTTATATAAGCTACCACTTACTAGCACGAAGTGTGATATCGCGGTTAAAAAATTACAGAAGCCTTGTACTGTATGTGTTACGGTTTACCAACTTGACACTTTCCCTGTTTCGACCATTTCTCCTGCGACGTCGGCATTAATAGTGTGGTCATTGGTCACATCGATGACCAGTGGTTTACAACGCTCTCACGGGAGGAGTGTACTGGCATCCGGTCTTTTACGGATAAACCATTTGGCTCCATCCTGGGTAAGAAACCGGCAATCATCAGGACATCAGTGATCAGCCCGCTAGCGATTCTACCACTTCTTTATACCGTCGTGTTTGGGAAGTCAACTGGCTTCGCAACGCAGGCTGGTTCTCCCCGTTTCTCCATTGCGCATTGCGCATACGATAACTGTTAGTCGCACATAGGGTAGGGTCCCTGGCTGTGACCCCTCCGACGGCGCAGTCGGAAACTGGCTCAAAATTTGTGAAAATCGTAGAATAATGGCTTTTTGAGCCGCTGTTCTACACGCTTTCTAGTGTTGCTTGCATTTTTGCGTAGTTTTCCATTTTCTTTTCGGAGAAAAGGTTCTCGCGACGACAATAACTGCTACGCACTTTAAGAAACTCTGTTACTATTACTCTAGATCTGGAACTTACATTAGCTACGTGCTTGTACTTACTGTTAACGTTAGTGTATACAGTACCAAATCGTATTTTTTTATTTTTATCTAGCCAGGTCAACAAAGAATTGGCAGTTTGAAAGTTAGGACGCATCATTATCCACGTGGATAATTTCCCGCCCAAATTTGGGTGTGACTGTATGGTACGAGTATAACTGCAGAAAGCGGAAAATTTTGTGGTGCGTTAGACTACCAGTATTGGCCCGTTTCAAAATTTCGGCTCCCGGCCCGTTACCGTCCCGTTAGCCGGCCTTCACGTCCCGTTTACCGTACCGTTTACCAAAACGCCGCCGTTTCCCGACCCGGCGCCCGTTTTTAAAATTTTTCAAAAAAAATTTGAAATGAAAAATTACAAAAAAATTTTTCCGCGGTTTTAGTTTAGGTATACTATTATTACTGTAATTTCAAAACCTGCTTGTAAAAGGCAATCAACAGTCGGCTTGCACGGATAATAATATTCAGGGCCGTCGCGAAGTCCGATGATAGGGGGAGCGCGCGGTCGCGCGCCAGTTCGAAAATCGCTCAAAAATTCAAAAAAATCGTAGAAAAGCGGCTCAAAAAACGCACTTTTCTACGCTTTCTATTGTTATTTTCGGTGCGCCAGCCAAAGCGCCAACGCCAGTTCGATTTTTTTGAGCCAGCGCCAGTTACGCTAGCTCCCGGCGCACCATTTTCTCGTTTTTTTCCCTCCGTTTTTTCCCTCGCGACGGACCTGATAATATTGATTAGTAGACCCCGAGCAAACTCGGTGCAGAAATGAACAGTATCCAGAAGACAATGTACAGCAAAATTAAAAACTTGCGGCCACGAACAGCTTTTAATGAGCAGACTAAATACTTCGATTTTCTCATATTTTGCTCACTTCCTAACAAAATTAAAATTACCTACAGAGATCACTACATTTCGTAGTAAAAACTTGCCCTGTCACTTCTGATGATCCATAAACTGATAAATACCAATAAATGTTCAAACAAACACAAAAGGATCAACAGGAAGAGGACGGTGTGCGAGGCGAATCTTACATGCATTCTACTAGTTTCAACGATTTTAGTTTTCATTGAATCGGTTTGTACTAGTATCACAATTATTTTAATTATATAAAGCAGAATATACCGGGTTGCTAACATGTAAAAAGCTCGGGTTTTTTCAGCCCCTGCTACTTCAGCCAGCTTCAGTGTACAGGGTCTACTAATACTTGCGTACAGTTAGTACTTACCGTAAATGCTAAGGGTGGGCCTCAGATTCGACGCGAATCTCGCTATGGTACGGTTGCTTAACCGCCCGAGGTGGCTGTTTGCAGTGACCGCGCCTACAGATACGGTACGCGAAGGCACCTCGCGAGGTGGGAATTGCTGTATCATCTCTAGATTCGCTTCCAATCTGAGACCCACCCTAACTACATCAGCCATTAGGCAATCGTAAATTCATAGCATGACTGTGATTTCGTAATTTTCATCTGTAAATTTTTTTTATCAACGGAAACGGGAATTTTCCCGTAGGAACAGCCGTTCAGTTCCCGGCCGGTTCCGTTCCGTAAGACGTCTGACCCGTTCCCGTTTTTCTACGGAAACGGGTAACGGAACTGGAGACTTTCCCGTAATTTCCGGTCCCGTCAAAAAACGGGCCAACACTGTAGACTACCCATCTGCAGAAAAGTAAGTATCGAAAGTAACAAAATGCTGGTAGTAACTTTTTTATTTGGATTATACACTGCGATCAACAAAAAAATTCCATCGAAAACCACAAATATTATTACTGGAGCAATGGGTGTGCCCCTTTGAGATTTCGCATTGTTTGTATGTACATCCATTTATACAGCCCTATCTACCGAAACAAAATCAACATACCACGGCACCAAAAGGAAACTCAACAAAAAAGGAAAGAACAGCAAAACAAATTTCTTTTGTGACTTGCAAACAAATCACAGTGCAGCCTGCATGCATGGAACAAATTTCTTCTCATATTTGGACACAATGGTGACCCAAATGAAAACAAAAAACACAAGCCAATCACAGATATTTCTGTATAAACGAGCTGCCGCTTCCCTGCCGATTCCAAGCACTTCTTTACGTAATCCCAGACCAGCAACAACAACTGCTTAATTCTGGATCTCACATTCCACTCTTCAACTTGTAGATCCAGGATAGTAATATGATGGAGGTCGAGTGTACAAATTTTCGTCGGACAGCGGAGCCGAGGGAAAACTTTGAGACGCTTTACGGACGGGGTAATAGCCGGGTGGCTGTTTGAAAGCATTATGAAATGCCCACTGTGTGGCCTTGCTTTGACGAGCACGGGAGTCGTATGTAGCATTGCTTGAGCTGGAAGGATGGACACGTTTCCTGTTACGGACAGGAAGAAAACACACACAAACTCAATAAATATGTACTTGTATAATATGTCTATCTGATATTCGAGATACGACAGTTTCACAACGGATTGGGTGACCTACCTGCGATGAGCAAGTGGTATCGTATCGATTTCAGTTTGCGGTTCAAAGTCACTAAAGAAAAACAAGATCCGATCAGCATCACTGTCAATGAATAAAACTAGCTACAGTACCTGTCACTTGAACTGGACCGAAAACTTTCAGGAACCCGATAATGCCATGCGAGGGCAAGAGCAATAAGTAGACATGGTATGAAAAGTATCAAGCACCAACCGACGCTAAGCCAGAAACCGTTCTAAAAACAATTCATAATTATTCATAGCTTAAAGTAGCGAATTCTGTTTACTTCTTCAATTTTCAGCATCTTCAAACTGAAATAAAAAACCTCATTTCCGCATTCTACATGAACGGCACGGTGTGAACTATCACTTTAAATTTGCAGTTATCATTCGCCGCTTTATGAAAATTGTTAGAAAATGTGTGACTGTAGCGTTATCTGACTAAAGCTCAAAAACAAAAACTTCAAGCCGTAGCGCTGCACTTACAAATGGGTAGAGAACATCTTTGCAGATTAGCCGGACAGTGGAGTTAATCGCCAAACTGGCCGGTCCACACCGACCGATTTCATTTCGCACCTACACAGTTGAACAGACGGATTCACACTAAGCGTATTCCGTGCACGCGAGCATTCACACAACCAGTGATATCAATAATCATCCAATACTCGCAAAGCAAACATCCTTGGTACAAATTACATACCTGACCGATGGAAAAGTTCATATAATCTTGGATGTTCTTATGCAATCCATCCACCGTTTCATTGGCAATCTGCAACATCTCGTAAAAGGTTCTGAGCCACAAATGTGAAGCAACTTTATGGGTACCCATCGGATCATCGGCTCGGCTGTTTCCTCGAGGCGCTTTTGAGTAACGTCCGTAGCGTTGACAAAATGCAAGATTCGAGCTGCCACATTGCCATCACCCAGAAGTTTTCCCAAGCTCTGAGTAACTCGGAATGCCTTCACCTATAAAGCCAATCATGGATCAGCCGTCAGAAATAATCGTACTTAAAAAACAATGTCACCTTTTCTTCTTCCATGACCGAAATTGTATCGTTGATAAAGCCAAGTTCTCTACGGATGTCCCATAAACGGGATTGAGTTGGCGGATCCTACACCCCACGATGCCCATAGTAGATCAGCAAAATGAGCATTTCAAAATTCTGACGAAAACACACGTATAACCCACCGAACTCATTGTTGGAGAGATGTTGTCCATAATTGCTTTGACCGAACCTTTTATGATGGTTTCTGACTGAAGCTAAAACAATTCACGATTGAAACACCTCCAAAATTTAATTATCTGGTAAAACTAAATGTATTATGCTGTGGTTTTTTCAAGCCTTTTCATGGAGTACCTTCTCATTTATAGAATCCAGACGAAAATCACGAACACCAGGACTTTGAGCCAAATTTATAAGTGAAATCTTTTCTGCATCCGTCAAAAACGTGATATCACGGACTTTTCGGGAGGCGTCATCGACAATAACCTGGACATCTGCCATAACATCGATGTCCGCTAAACGTTTCTGCATCTTCTCTTCCACTTCAAATGTCGAATTCAGATCTAGCACTTCATAAATTGACTTGTCCTCATGGCATTTTCTATAAATCAAAAACATGACGTATTGCAAAGGTAACAGCATAGTACGGTATGACGGGCACTACGTAAACTTTCACTCGCTTCAAAACGACACCTAAACTCATAACCCAGGTTAACTAATACGCCTGCCAAAGTGTCACAAGTCGGTACAAGGTAACACGGTATAAAGGCTAATAAAGCATAAACAAAATTATTTTCCTAAGGAACATTTACCAAATTTTTTCGAAAGGGCATTCGATATCAAGTTAAAACAAAAATCATTTTTTAATTAGCCGGTAGCTGAAACTTGTTACAGCAGCCAACACTATTTCTCATGATAAATTAAATACGAGGTGCTTAAATGTTGAAGGTTCAAAGAACGAATTCGAATGCGCCCAAGGTATGAAAAGAATCACGCAAGTTAAATCAGTCACCGTGAACTGAAATCTTCACCTTCGCACAAATCAGCTGCAGTACCCTGGTACCAATATTTTCTCAATTAGTTCGAGGGGCCGTACAAATATTCCCATGAAAGCAACAATCGTCCGCCCCACATTTCTTTGTGTGCAAAGGGCAACGAAACGTGTGTTTAACTCCAATTCTGCATGTGCGCATTATCAACATGAAACAAACTAGCAGCAACATACCGTAATTTTCCAGGAATGTCCCGGAGATGCCGACTGGTAAGACCATACTGATGTAACAGTCCTGCCGCCACTCTGAGATGATTATTGGCTGATGGATTGGCCAGTGTGTCACATCCTAATAGCTGGATGTTCGTTCCCGCAATGAATAACAAAGTGATGCACAGCATAACAACCAAGTAGAGCAGGAAAATCCAGCCGACACCGCTGTGATAGAGATGTATTGATGTTTACAAAGGTTAACGAACACATCAATAAGCTACACTCTCACCACATTAACAAACAGGACCCCTTTCCCTTATTACAGAAGGGATCTTCATATAAGGTCCCGGACCGTGCACCACAAATTCCGAACAACGCTCCAAGAATGAAGAACACCAGAACGGATAGAACAAACACGCTAATTCCAAGTTTAGTATAATAGCTGCAAAAGTATAATAGCTGAAGAACTTTGTCTTAGTACAAAACTCGTGAGTCAAGTGCTACGGAAGCCCTTACAGATAGTCGTTGTACTGGAAGATGTATGCGTGGTATGGGCTCAGATCCATTCGGTTCAAGTAATCCTACAACAAACAGATAATATTATACGGGTTACAACACTTTCAACCACAAATGTACAGACAAGGTATATAAGAGATAAATATACCGTGGTACAGATATATGGAGCGTTTACTTGAAATGACAGATTTTTAAACTAACGAAGCAATGATATAACACTCTGTTCGCTGGCATGCAACGGATGATGCTACCAGAACTAACCTGGGCTTTCGTCGCTTCTGATCGAATTCTGTTCTCTAAATCCAAAACTTGAACATGAGCTTCGTTCAGTTTATTAATCACGGTTTCGGAGCCTTTCTGAAGTTCTTCGTTCAACGTTTTCCCCAAATCTCTAACTTTCGTACGGCCCTGAGGTCAGTCGCATAAAGAAAATAACAATGTTCCTCGTCGACAAAAAATAACATGCATATTACCGCAAAAATACCTTTTTTATCTGCTCAATCACTTGCGTATTCATTTTCGTTTCGAATTCTCTGAGACCAGTGGACAAGAAGAGCTGCAAAAACAGTGACTCTTCGTCAATACATAAGTGGCGACTGAATTCTTCTAAATTTAATGAATCTTCTCCCACATCTTCCAAATTCTTCTTTTAACCGTAGTACTAGTTGTAAGACGACTTACATCACTGTAATTAATAACGACAGTGAGATTGTCAGCAGCCGCCGAATACTGATTGCAGAGATTTGCATTTCCGGTTTTCATTCGACACCCTTGAGCAACAAGGTTGATATTCTGCTGCACATCAGTTATGTTTTGCAGCAGGATCTTTTCAAGATTTCTCAAGCGATCAAACGATGCGTTTAGCGTATTAATATCCTCATCCGCTTCCACCAAACCTGTTCATAATAAATGACAAGTGAGTTGACAACCACATTCTTACGGAAATAAGTATAAAACTGTAAAATAATACTTATATAGTACATAATGCTCGGATTTGGATATTACATTTAATACAAGTCCTTCGCTTTTATTTTATCGATACAACTATAAATCACACACGCACTGTCAGCAATGTCGAGAATACTTTCAGCGCCGACGCTTTTCAACCCTCGGTCGAACATGGTCGCCGACTCGGTTTGAATATCTATATAAACAAAGCCGAGTTACAACAAATGTTGACAAAACACGCAGAGTATCCACAATTCGCACCATTCAACTTATCCTTGACGTGATCTTTCAAATCTTTGAAGTTAGTCACAAGTACGTGGGTGGAATGCTGCAAAAATGGGAGAATGCACGGTTCTGGAATAACTAACTTCAAACTAATCAGGAATCCGTTCATCATAAAACCACGAAGCTATCAGCGAACAAACTTCGTACAAAGCACCACTATAAATGTTGCTCTTGAACTGCAACAGACTCGCTAATGATTACTTAAACGTTTTAACGGTCATCTTGACACGAACCTGTTGTGCGTCGCGAAGGTATCCCCGGATATCATCCATGCTATCTTGTGCGGTATCATTGAGCTTACTGGCGGCAGTTTTAACGTATTCGTTCGTCATAAACCCGCAGGCGACCCCGAAGCTGCTCAAAATCGAGTCAAACGTTTATCTCAAAAAGCGAATTTCGGAGTTCAAACGTTTTACAAGTTATGAATTTCATCACCTCAATCAGGAGCAGTTTGCATAGGTAAGTACGTACGTTATGACAAGGCAAAGTAAAACGAACAGCAACGTGAGCGTTCCGCACTGGCAAGAATCACTGCCTTTGTCCGTCTTTGCCGGATTAGCACCACAACGACCACAACAACGGCAGCACCAAAAAATTAAGCCCAAAACGGGAATTAATATCGCTAACCCGATGCCGATCCCAGCACAAATCACAATTCCTTTTTCGAATGACAGCCACTACAAAAAGTCCCAATCTTTCCACCTTTCTTACAGGAATTATTTTAGTCAAGTGCTATCTTACTTCTTTCACATAATTATAAACATCACCAATATTTCCATCTTCTGCCGGAATAAGTTCTGAAAAAAGAGAATAATGTATCGATCCCAATTGTTTCGTGCGTACGAATAACAATAATAATACAAGTTCACTTAATTATAAGTAACTGAAGGCTGGAGTAAATTTAGTCATTAATTAATATAACACGTACTGTACATCATACTTTATTGTTAGTATATATTCTAGTCAGGACACCAAAAGGCCGAAAACCGACGCAACCTGAAACAATTGTATCGGTCTACTCTAATTATTTAAACGATCGACTTCGTGACCGCAAATATATTTTACAATAATCAGATTTTCGACGCAGTTAATGAAAAGCTGCAAAGCACATAGTTCCAACCCACACAAGTGGCCAAACCCAGAGCAAAATTGGCAATACTTTCTCATGGATTTTCAACAGGTAATTCTGAAGTGTTTTGGGTCAAAGCAAACACTTTCTGAATATCCTCTTTGCCTTTCAAAATCATTTGGCCATGGCAAATTTAGCGGATGAGACATTATCGCACCACTGTTATCCTTTTAATAATAACAAAAAAAAAACCAAGCGCCGATTTCCAAGCGCCGTATGATTGAGTCTGAAAATAGTAGTCTGAAAATAACAGTGCTTAATAATACCAGAATTACAATACCCTTAGCAAAAACATTCACAATTAATACGAATCCAACTACAATTAGGTAACAGATCTACATTCAAGCCTACGAGTAGGTAATAGGCATCTACACCAACATGACGAATCAAACAGGCATGACTAGATTGACTACATTTACAGATTCAGTTAAAAATTAAAAAGCAAATTCGTAACAAGGCCAAAAATTCAAAAAGAGCCGTTCGACGAGTCCTATCAAAAGTTCAAAGACGTCTTTAATTTAACTTTCCTGAAACCCAAAATGCTGACAACCAGAGTCCCTGGAAATGGGAGAATTTAACTGTTTACCGTAAACAGTTTACGAAGTAACTAACACCTGGGCAATTAGGATCTTAAAACAACTTTATCGAGCTGTCAATGCCTGTCATTCGAGCAGATTGTTATTTACCAGCAGGTATGTTCTTCCGTAGTCCACTTCCAACATATTCAATAAACATATTGGTGATAAAATACAGTGCCTGCATTCCTTTGGGATCAAATCGTGCCATTGTCCGGTTGCCCATGGGTGTTAAGTGGGATAGATAAGGAGTGTAATCCACATCGGAAGCTTGAGTAACCGTAATATTATCGCGGCCGTAGGCCACGTGCAAGAACAAAATCAGCCACGATCCTCTGATCCACGACATTTTTGCTGGACTGTCTTGGAACACTTATCAACACACGCGCACCAAGCTCTACTTTCAAGGATCACCGATCGCGATCCGGATCTGTCTCGCCAGGCAGCCGACCATTTACGCTAACAGCAGCTGCCAACAATGTACAGTTCAGCCATCGGATGTGGTTGACGAATATGTCAATCTGCCAACTGGCAGTAAAACGTGCTTATCAGTAAGCGTTTGACAACAGATTTACTCTCCGATTTCCAAACGCCGTATGATTGAGTCTGAAAATATGTAGTAGAATCTGAATGACACATAAAAGGTCCCTCCCGTTTGCAAACATAATCAGTTACACAGATCACAACAATTCACTACGAGTCTACGAGCACACCGAGCGAATGGCTGCAAGTACAGTATAAGCTCATTCGCTGTCTCTAATTGTAAGTCTAACCATAAGCTGACTCTTACCCTTAAAAAATTTTCAGAGTACGTGGGAAAAGTGCATCAACCGTAGGAACACTAATGGCAATAAAAATAGACTAATAAGCTTTTAAATAGCAACAGAACAACAACTTACAACTGCTATTTTTTCTTCTAGTCATATTGTCATAAAGCGTTAAATGCGGTTTTCAATAGATCGATATTCAGCCATACGTGGATCGTAATGCAGGTATAAAGTGAAAGACCAAAACAAAATTTCGAAGATACAGACTATGCACAGGAAAAATATTGTACTTGGACGCTTTAATACAGTGAGTCAACTGTCAAGTCTACACCGTGTTAAAGTGTTGTACCGTGAAAAAAATAAAATACACTAATTATTGTGAAGTGCACTAATTATTAAATTTTCTTACCCACTGAGTAGTATTTCCCAAAAATACGTTTTAGACGACTAACGCTATTATGCTACACTTACATATTTCTCATGGTTAGTTACTGTATCAGTGTGTTTACACATTTTACATTACAGTACCTGTGAAGCGAACACTATCTGTAAAGCCTATGTTGGTTTGAACATTTTCATGTATATTCAATTAAAATAAATATCTGTAATATTATTGTAGTTCCATAGTAATCCATACGGACCATACCATAATTACACTATTAACTCATATTATTTATTAATTCTATCTTTCTATGCGACAATGGTTTTTCTCTACAAACGAACTAAATAATTTTTTAATTCTATAATTATATGGAAGACTACGTACCTGCGTTCTTACTCCTCATGCCGATACGAGTATGTAACATAATCAAGCACTACTCGTATGAAACAAGATTCTATAGAAGTACAGTATTTCCTTCTGTTCACCTCCAAAAGCGTCAAACGCACATGGTGGGTCGATTATCTCATGTGCATTGTTGCCTAGAGAGCACATTTTATTGCTTTGTAAGAGCAAAGACTAATATTAGCCGTGAGGCGGGCGTTTTTTGGCATTGCAACCATGGTCAGTCAAGTAAAAAGTCGAAATTCGAAAGTGATAAGAACCGGTATGGATTGTGCTGCATCGTCTACAGCGGCTACATTAATTAAATACTTAACAAGTAAACTCTTAAACGAGTAAACTCGTACAGTCATTTTATTAATTTAATACCCGGATTAATAGACTACCGGTATGACCGTATGAGCCAAGAACGTACTGTATTCAATACCAGGTATAGAACTGTAGAAGTCGGACATAGCAAATTAGCAACACACCTGTTCACCTGTCTTGGTGCACCGTTGCGATGCTTTTTAGTACGGTACATGTGCAGTACTATGTGTACATGAAGTGCTACAAGTTTAGTACGTCAAGAAATTAAAATACTTATTGTTACTAACTTCCTATTATTTATTCCAGTTTAATTACACTGACTGCATGTGAGAGCCCAGAACCCAACGGAATTAACGGAAATCCAATGTCTGGCAGGAAACGAAGTGGTTAGCACTTAACATTGAAAGGGCAACTTTACGCCATTTTTTTTCGTTTCGACATACGTAATTATAAACAGTACAGCAACGTTCGGAGAGACAGAATGGCCAGCGTTACTTTTCCGACCTCGTTTTCGCCTTGCGGCAGTTTTAGGATTCCGAGATTTGCACCATTTGCACGCGCATCGCAGTGTTACATATCGCTTCGAAAAAGTACGACCGTGGTGTGGACCGTGGACCCTAATAATTAGATATTGCACACCGCGTCAGACGGGTTCAAACGGTCGCACTCGTACACCGGCAGTAAGCGCAGTTTCTAATAAAGCAAAAGGTGTTGATTGCTCGTTAATAAAAAACTGTCCTGGTCAGCCTGCCTTGGAAATCCGGGGAAGCCGGCAACCGCACACCCGACCCGTCGTCGAAATGTGGCTAGCACAAACACAAGGCTCATACGTTGTCAGGGAGCGTATAACCATTAAGCGGGAGCCCCATCCCATCTTCGCACGCCTTACCACAACGAGAACGCAATTGACTTCGCGGCTTGCGCAGTACAAAGGTGAAGCTCGTGTCCCCTTCAATTTCCGCGCGGTAAATCGCAGTTTCTTTGTCCAAAAGGTCGCCGTTGATTGTCACCCCAGGAAAATAAGCATTGTAGCAATAGAAATTAGAATATTAATGTACCGCTGGTCGCTTGCAGTTGACAGTGCTTGACACTAGTGTCAATTGCTTTAATTTTCTGTACTGTTTATTGGTTGTGTTATGAAGATCAGAATCCTTATTTTCCTACATTTTATCGACCGCATCTCACGGTCAGAAACATCTTGAAATTTGTCTAGCTTGCTGCAGCTTTCTCCGAATCTTGCCCCTGTTTTCTTGCCCGCGCAGTCCGCGCTTCTTGCCCCGTGCTAATATGCAGTTGCACTTCTTGCTCATCAGCTTGCTCTGCTCGCTAAATGTGGTTACGTGTACAATACTTGCTTAATATTGTATCTCTTGCAATGACCTTAGGTTGTATTGCTTAACCGCACTGACCAGTGAGATGATCGCACAAAACCCACCGTTGTCACCCATTTAGAAGGTAGTCAGCTTCCGGTCAGCATCGCTGCCGACCGTGCCAGCCTTTCGTACACTAACAGCCGACAGATCGTTGTGATCCGTACAGAGTCCCGAGTACCAAGCCAATTTTTGTGTATTTTATTTAAGCAAAGACACGCAAACGCAAACCGTCGTAGCGTAGGACGTAGGGTATTAAAATCTCAGTAGCATATGTCAAGGGCAACAGTCACACCCCGCGCGCGCCCATTTACAGTATGTGGCCCTGGATTTGCATTACAACAGAAATGGCTGAACAGTGAACAGCTATCGACATTCGACAACAGGAAAGCTTGTTAATTTGTAAGGGGATAAATCAGCATCAATTCATAATTTCGGGGTTTGCTGCAGATCGCTGCCCTTCCTGGTACAGTACGTCGGGAAACGTTTGGGCCGGTTCGACTTCAATATTATGCGTGCATCTGACTGTCTACCACATTTTCGGTCTAGAGCTGGACCAATGAGAGTTGTACATCTGGTAGGTGTGGTAGTCTAGCCTTAAAATTGCGTTGATTCATTGACCGCGAGTACCGTACTCGGTACTACCCATGCTACACGTCGACTTAGTCTCGCCCCAACTTCGTCTGTGTCATTATTCAGTATCTTTTTTGTTATTTTGGTTCTTTCGTTAATATCTGAGGCATTATTGATTTGATTTTTTTCAGCGGCTGACAGAACAAGGTGAAATTTTTGCCTAGATTCGAGGATCGAAATTGTGCGAGAAGGTAAGAGTTCCGTCTGGATGTGTTTATATTGAAAGTCCTAGATTTCCGTTCAGTTGCAACGTTGAGTCACGGATGATTATGCTTAATACGATCTGCGTGGTGGTTTTCGTATAATTTTCTTCTTGAAGAAAACTTTCTTCTTACATTAACAGTAAATATTTTAGCTTAAATCGGTGAAGTGGCAGAGTCACAGAGTGTTCTGGCATGGTAAAACCGTTTATCATCGGTTTATGGTCAGGAATCGGTATATGGATAAACCTTTCCGGTTGGCACCACAGCGGCTGTTCTAGGGTCTGTCAGGAATTACACAGTACGACGAAGTCGCTTCGAGTGCTGTGCGAATTGAATTTTTAACAAAACGGTTATTGCTATGATGCTATCGGATCTAATAAAACTAAAATATTGTTGGAAGGTTTTCTTTTTCATTCGAAATGTGATTCTTATTTAAATTATTCTATATCTGCAAAATAAAACCTCAAATAGAAGTTTTGGAAATTGCATCGACACGGAGAGCTTCGCAATCTAAGGCAACTTTACTTATCTTTGTTACCTCTTCTGTTGGTTTACCTGTTCCCTGAAAAAATATTCTTAGCGATAGGAACACCAAAAGGAAACGTTCATGTTGAACGTTTCGAGTTCGACCCGAAACGTTCGACCCGGATGCTCATCATGGCTTTTCGGTCCTTCGCCTGTCGCCGTTGTACGATTGTGCTTTGCCATGATCGAGATTCGTGAGATACTGTTTTCGGACTTGTTTTGTTTTGCTTTTGTATCCATTCTGATTGAAGAAGGACTTTTCCGTTTTTGACTACTGTAATGTTTCAAAACAAACTTACTCAACTGCTCAAATGACTCAGTATTGCATTTCGGTGCATTTCCATTAATTTTCGTGATGGCCAAGTCGAGCCCGTCGCATTTGATTTCTACTACCCACTGTTTGTGGTCTGCGATTGTGATGTTATAAAGTACAGTATATAAAGTACAAACATAAAAAGTAAGAGTATAAAAAGTATGAACTATATGCACGTGTGCATACCAGGAAGTTCTTTTAATCATCATTTAAGTACTGATTTATACCATAAAAATTAATGTAGATATACTAAGTCTTCTATAATTATTCGGTGTCTCTACTACTCGTACAGTATTTCCTCCGGAAGCACCGTTCAGGCTTTGACAACGTAGGTTACACACGTCCCGGTTTATGTTGCATGCCGATAGCGGGACTAATTACTATTATTACTGAAATCGGGAACTGTATAATTATCATTAATTTTGTCAATGATTTTGAAGATTTCGCAAACTTGAGGAAGATTTGTAGCTGGAACGGGCCATGTTCTGGTCATGTTTGTCGATTTTCCGTTGCACATAATTTTTGCGTACAGCTTACCAGCGATGTCATTGTTGAAAATTTAGACCATACTGGTCAACTGTGTTGGAATTTTTGTCTTACTAGAGTAGGCAATTGTCCTTGTTGAGATAATTTTTCTATAGATATTATTACTTCTTTCTCAGTGACCTCTTGTGGGCTGTTGTTAGATTTGTACGCAATCCAGAAAGTATTCTAGCCGCGATTAAGGAGCACCTAATATGGAAGTATGTGTAGTGTTGAGAAAGCGGAACTCGTTGAGAATTTGGGATCGTTTTCTCCTGGCAATAGCTCCACATTCGCTGTTGAAGCCGTCACATGAGCGTGCTTATCGTAAAATTTATTTTTATTCCTGTACGCGTGTAAGTTATTATTAATAAAGACGTCGAAAATAACTCTGCAGCCACTAGTGCCAATAAAGTGGATGGTGCAAGCGCTTTGCTTCATATGACATCTGAAAGTTACGATTAAGTACAGCTTCTACAGGCTGTACTGCAGATGCAAATAAAAGCACTGTACATTGATTGGTATTAACAAGTATTAAAGTATTTGGATGATATTGTGGTATAGCCTTGGTAAAGACTTTGCACCGGTTTAATTCATTTCGTCTATCGTAAATTACTATACGTACTACGTACATTACTTAATTTTGTTCTGTACCTCATTATTTTATTTAGTATCTCTTTTTTCAACTTACACCTTGGTAAAACTAAATATTTGAATTTTTACGTCATAGTATTTACGCTTTCGTACCCATCCAACGAAACCGATATTAGCTGATTAATTAGTCAGAAGACTCGGAACCCTGAAACAAATATTACGTAATACGAACTGCTGACAAATAGTGAGCTAATAAAGTTATACGAGAACTGTTTATAGTTCGATGAACACAGTGCTAACAAAGTAGCTTACGAGACGGTACTACTACAGCATAAACGACTTTCAATTCAAAATTTAAACCCCTTTTGAAAGCTATTTCATCGTTGCCATGTCCTACTAGAGAAAATCGATAGTCACAATAACATCACAAGGTGTCTGACGCATCCGGCGGGGAATGGGTTTCTAGATGGTAGAAAATCCAGTGCGTACCGGTACAAACCCATATGATCACATCTCCTGACTCGTCATAAAAACATTTGCTGATGAAATTGCAAATTTGCTTTCACGATTACTTATATCTATACAGATTACTTACTTCTAAACTATAATATAGGTAACAATTCAATTGTACTGACGTTTACCTGGTAATACTTAACCAAAATTTAAAAATTTTCCAAATATTTTATTATCGGTACTGCATCCATTCTCTTTAGATACTTGTACTCGTACTTGTAATAAATAGTACTCGTACAAGTGTTAACATCAGTTACCCTCCTATATATTTTACAACCTGAAAACTGTAAATTGTTTATATAATTAAGCCGAACCAGTATACCTAATAGAACTGCTACCATAGCTCATTCATATGTTATTAAGATAAGTTTTCCTTAACCAGCATGACTTCGTTGCGGGTTCGCATAAAAATGACTGAACGAATTTTTCAGATTTTTTTTTGGCTTTCTGTTATAAAATGTTGAGCATCTTTCTACGGGGTACGAGTAGGCTTCTGGAGGAGACATGATTTGGTACTGTATGCGAAGTACTGACAATGAATGTATACTGTAAACAGTTACCGCAGGCCTACACTAAGCGGTCGCTCTTATCAAGCCGGCTTTTCAGAATGCAGACTGTTTAATGTCCGCAGTCAGGACAGTTTAATTTAAAATCATGTAAATAATCTTTATTAATTTACGTTGGTGAAAATTTTCAAGGGTACGACGACTACGACGTACCCGTAGGTAATGCTAGGTATGGGCCGTCTGGCTGTGTACTGCAGAGTGTACAAAATTTCAAACGATTTGCATACTCCTACGCAGCAATACCGGGCATCGGTGCAGGATAACTCAAGTTTTTATTACTTTATTTCGGTTCAGTGACGTTCCGTAAGCATCGAACGATAACTCAACCAAAAAGTGCAAAAACATGGATGCCTTAAAAATTAGTTGCTGATTTGCTTATAATTTGTTTTTATTCTTGCAGGTAATTTGGAATTTTTTTATTTTTTTCGTATAACTTCGTCATATTCGTGGAAGAAACATGACTGTGGACGCTGGGGACATCGCCGCTCATCCAGTTTCGTAAGACGTTTTTCATGACTATTATACGTAACTTGGGTGAACTTAAGGTTAGTCAAATTTATCGAAACGACAATACGGTTTAGGTATAGTATTCCTGATAACGCTTCCCCCAAAACGAAATCCCATCACGGGGAGAATGGTGCCTTGAATGGATATTATCGACAGCATCCAACTGAACTGCATGGCGGTGGATTTGCGGGAATGAAGTTCCACGGACCAGATGAACTCGCTCCGGCCGATTCTTTATGGACGACGGCCCCGGATGGTGCGGTTCGCCTGCGCAGTGGCGAGTATGTCGAAGTTTGTTAGTCCACTTGGTGAGATAGTCTTTGTTTCCGCCGTTACATTTTCTGCTGTTTATAGTGATCCAAGCACGACAGGAATCCCGGCCGAATCTGTGGTAACCTGGTTTAACAAGACTGTTGATCGTGATCCCTCTAAGGAGGCTTTGAAAATCAAGCGCGATGGCAAATGGCTCACGTGGACATATCTGCAATATTATGAAGCAGTGCGCACAGCTGCCAAAGCTTTTATTAACTTGGGTTTGGAGCCCTTCCATGCCGTGGGAATTGCCGGCTTCAATTCTCCAGAATGGTTCATTTCTGATATTGGAGCCATTTATGCTGGGTGAATGCTTTGAATCTCGTTCTAATGTCATTTAAATGCAGCTTATTATATTATTACTTCAAAGTTTAGTGCAAGTGTGATCTGTAAGTAGCGGCAAAAATCCTTTTATTTTAACATTTGATTATTTTGTTCCAGAGGAATTGCCGTTGGAATCTACACTACAAATTCGCCAGAAGCTTGTTTATTTAATGCTGTCGATTCACGTGCTAATATAATCGTGGTGGAAGATGACAAGCAGCTGCAGAAAATTCTCCAGATTCGAGATCAGCTGCCACTTCTCAAAGCCATTATTCAGTACATTGGAACACCAGTTCAAAAATACGACAACGTGTACAGTTGGGAAGAGTTCATGGCCAAAGCACGCGGAGTCCCTGACTCAGTGTTAACGGAGCGACACAAATTGATATCACCTAATAAATGTTGTACGATTATTTATACTTCCGGTACAACGGGCAACCCGAAAGGGGCAATGTTGAGCCACGATAATCTCATTTGGACGTCGAAGATGGCGCAAGAATCGGTGGGTCTCAACAAAGATGATGTTTTCATCAGCTATTTGCCCCTCAGTCATGTGGCCGCGCAGATGACGGATCTGTATTTGCCTATTACTACCGGGGGTACGATTTATTTTGCACAACCGGATGCCCTAAAGGGAACCCTTGTTGATACCCTAAAAGAAGCTCGTCCGACTGCCATGATCGGTGTGCCGCGTGTGTGGGAAAAGATTATGGAAAAAATGCGAGCGCTTTCACGACAGAATGGTGCAGTTAAACAATGGATCGCCAAATGGGCTAAAGATGTCGGTCTGAGAGGAAATTTAGCCAGAATGAAAGGGTTCGTGAATACTCAAGTTTGTTCCATTCGAAGTTTATTGCTGTTGCTTGCTTGCTCTCTGAATTCCGTAATTATTGACTCGACAACACAGTAATACTGTCGTGTCTTATTTTCTTCGTCAATATTTAGTATACTTGTATTAGTTCAGGCATTGGGATGAGATAGTTACGATTGATTTAGCATTGATAACCATTTTTATTCCATCATTCTTTCTGTGACCGTAGTGATGGCGTTCCCTTTGGATGGACAATGGCTAATGCGTTGGTTTTCAAGAAGGTTCGACAGGCTTTGGGTCTTGATCGTTGTCGCATTACTGCCAGTGGTGCTGCACCTTTAATGCCTCAAACACAAGAGTTCTTTTTGTCGTTGGATATTCCTATCTTGGATATATACGGCATGAGCGAAAGTTCCGGTAAGTTGAGGAATATAGCAAGGGTTTAATTTTTGGCGTGTACGAGTAGCTTTAACATACCTATACTCCTTATAGTCTCCATCTGCAAAAAAGGATTGAATATGGGATAGTTAGATTTATTGAAAGTGAATGGCCTCATTTGGCCTGTACTGATCATGTTGTTCGGACTTTTGAGTCGTTGCGCGTATTACTTTTAACTGACGTTTGTGTATAACGAAGTAAGAACACCTTCTGTGTGAACTATATCGAAATTTAATGATGATGAACAAACTTTTTTTGGTATTATCATGTTTATTAACACATTATACACAGATTATTCCGAATGTGTACGCGGTAGTAAGTGATAAGTACCGCTGTATTTCGTTTAATGGCATAGGTAATTATCGAAAGTGTATACCGTCGCTTTCTTTGTTTGATGGGGAACACTCCTTGAAATGAATCACTTCTTAATTCTTAAGTTTTGAAACATCAGGTGAGGTGATATGTGGTGTGTAGAGTCATCAGTCAGTAATTATTTGGGTGCCGGTACTGCCGTCATATTTGTGCTGTGTACATTTATTTTTATGTATGCTATGTATTCTCGGAAATGTTTCGCATGATTTACTGGAAGGTCAAGAAAATACCATAATAATTCTTTTGAATATAGCTCCACATACAGTGAATAAGCCGGGAGCTTTTAAACTTGGATCGGCTGGTCGTGAGATGCCCGGATGCAAAACAAAAATTGCCAAACCGGATGCTGATGGAAATGGAGAGGTATGAACTTTTGGGCATAGTAGGGGTCTGAGCCCCGCCCGTAGTTCTGTTGGTGCGTTCAAGATATTTCCGGATTTTTCTTGCAGATTTGTATGTATGGCCGCCATGTTTTTATGGGTTATTTGGGACTGGAAGAGAAAACGTTAGAAGCTCTGGACGAAGAGGGCTACCTGCGAACGGGTGATGTGGGTAAATTCGACGAGGATGGTTATTTGTTCATCACCGGCCGATTGAAGGAGCTTATCATCACGGCTGGTGGTGAGAATATTCCTCCTGTTGCCATTGAGGATCATGTCAAAGCGGAAATTCCCATCGTCAGTCATGCAATGCTGATTGGGGATAAACGCAAATTTCTTAGCATTATGCTGACGCTGAAAACCGAGATTGACCTGAATTCTGGCGAGCCGTCAAATAAGCTGTTAAAATCAACACAGGATTGGTAATAAGAAACCTTCTAAATACAACGTTCCTTAATTCAAAAAAAAATGTTTCTGCTCAGGATAAAAGAATTAACCGGGGAGACGATGACAACTGTTGAAGAAGCCCGCAAATCGGAAGCAGTGAAGCAGGCTATTCAGAAAGGAATGGAACGTGTCAACAAGAAGGCTACCAGTCGCGCTCAGGTTGTGCAGAAGTTCGAAATTCTTCCGGTGGATTTCAGTATTCCTGGTGGTGAGTTAGGTGAGTTGTCGCACTGGTTTTTGCTCTGGCTAATCATTAATGATGTCTTCCATTTAAAGATGTTTGATCGCAAAACGATTCATAAATTATGGATGTATCACTTTCTTGTGTGGTATTTGTCAGGTCCGACGATGAAATTGAAGCGTCCAGTTGCGGCGAAGAAGTATTCAGACGTGATTGAAGGCTTCTATGTTGGAACCGATGAGTAGTGCGGATCGGTGATATTTTTGTGCTACCGTTTTCGAGTTGTATTTGGTGTGAACGTTGGCTTTGTCTTTGCTTAATCTTGTTTGATCTTTCTTACATTATTGCGTTATTCTGGTTGGATATTCGGACGGTCCGTGTCTTTCCAGTCTATTATCCCATCGGTATTTACGTTTTTTGTGTGGCTTATGCGAAAGATTTCCTGTGGCTTGCGAGTTGCAACTAAGGATTCTCATTGGACGGGTCCGGCAGTTGGCTGATCTATGCACATTATGGGTTTGGCCCGTAACTGACTCTCACATTTCTGCAGCTGCGGTGAAGATGGAAATCTAAACCCTAGAATTTCATGTGAACCAAAGGCACAAGATTTAAATTTGTTTGTGGTGCGTCTTATTTATTTCTCCTCTTGTACATATTGCGCTAGAGTGACTTGTTGAGGATGAGTAATTTATTTTTTTTGTTAACTATTTGTGTGAACTGCCATCTGTGCATCTGGATTGTGCTCTTTAGAAACGAAATTGCTGTTGAGAATTTAGTTTGAGTCTCAAATACCTTAAAACTGTGTTTTGCAGAACGTTGGTGTTTGCTACTATAGCTTTCTTTGGATGACTAAAATTTTGTGGAATGTGGACTCGTGTCGTTGTGATTGCTTCAGAAAGTACAGGAGAAAACTTGGGCAGGGTCTGGAATAGACCATGACTGTGGAGACTGGGGAACACTGGGCAATGGGCATGCAAATGACAGAGGCAGATGAAGTTAGCACTTCACAATACAAAATCCTTTTCTTGACATCAAATATAAACAACTTAACATACATCTTTGTAGATTACAGTACACAGTAGTGACAGCACTGATTAAAGCTTGAAAATATAAGAGTAAGTAATTTTGGGCACCTTGATGCTGCATACAGATAGATACAGTCAGAATTTACGTATTGCGGTAGCTTCACTAGCGGGTAGATACAACATATTTTCGGCAGTTTAATTATTTTGAAATTTTCAGAAAGCAGCAAGTTAGTAGCACTAAAGGTCGTGAGAAAACGCTTGTTGCTGTTGTTTTCTTCGATGTTGTATCAACTTGTATGGACAATGGACATAAACGAGCATTTAAAACGTTTCCACAATATGTATGATTACAGACGTATTTAGAGCAGCATGTGCACTTGTCGCTCGCACATAAAGACTTTCGTAATTTTCGGTTCCGGGACACAGCTGAGTAGTGTACAGAGTAAGTGTAACTTGCCAGACTTTAGAGCTCTTCGGTCTTGTGTAATGAACCTTGAACGTAAGTGTAACGAAAATGTTATCAACCCACCCGGGTAATATCAAAAGACGAAAGCGCAAGCAATTTCCACTTTTTATTTTACCATAACCTATTACGATGATAACTTTCGATCAGGTGGCGTGATTTAATTGATTTTAATTTTTAAGGTTACAAAACATAACCGAAAAGCCAAAATCTATTTTGCTGCGACTTTCTTGGTATTGATTGCTTCCAAAAGAGTGGCGCGTTTCTGCTTGAGATGTTTCACGTGGGCTTTAAGGTTGGCTCTTCGCACAAAGCGAAGGTTTCGGAGAAACTTGGGATCCACCTGCAAATCAAACAGAGTTTTTCAATAAAGAGAAACAGATCTCGAAGACTTGGTCACTTGAACTCGAGTTCCGCAATAAGCCAAAGAGGGCAAGAATGTGAATGCTAGTATGATAGAATTATCCGAAGATTTCTAAATACAAAGGAAATAAGCATCAAGTACTTCTACAGCTATGCGAAGCATTTTGTGACTTTTCAAACTGCAATTTGAAATCAAGGCAAGTGCCAATCTGATCCAGCAGTAATACTGCTACTTTAAGCTGCCTTTGACGTTTAAGTGGTTTAACGTTAAAACTTGCTGCTTGCACTTACAAAACAGCAGGAACATTTGAAAATTAATTTAAATTCAGTCTAAGACAGGAGCACACTTGGACGCCATCAACCATAAACGAAATATAACTACGCGAAGTACAGTCTGCCCGACAATCCTATCAACTGTAGTTGCAGATGGTTCGTCTGGACCTTCCGCAGCACGAATCTTAATTCTTGTGAGTAGGTATACGATATAAACGCTATTACTGCACTTACTCCTTGTTTGGACATAAAACGCTCAGTTTTCGGCCTGTGAATCCCATTTCGATGGTCTTTCCTATCTACAAAAACAAGAAATCATGGAACTACAACCCAATGATGGCGACGGCTCCAAAAACTATATCGAAGTTGGCCCTTAGTTGGGGAAGCCAGTGCATCCAAGCGCATTAGGTTACTCCCGGCTGAATGGAAACTTGGCGTCACTTACTTTGATTATGATCGGTATGGTTCTTCGACTTCGCCATGTTTTTCCAAAATTAAAAGAAAAGAATCTCTGGAATTCAACCAAGAACTGAGATAGTAAAACTATCAATACACTGGAACTGCAAAGGCCTAAGCAAACTTCGTTAGATTCTGACGACGGAGTTCCCCAAGTAGTACCAGTTTAGAGTGAACCGGCTACTGCGCCGTTGCGATGCATTACGCGTTCAGTGACACCTTGCAGCCTTAAATATCCCGTACGACCCGTAGTCATAACACCTTGTTCTTGTTCTTATACTACTCTCTACGTACACGGCGGCGCTTACTTTTATTATCTTTGTGACTTTTTCACTTGGTTGCACGAGTTGCACGCACCATTTTGCATTTTTGCACCAAAATTTTAAATAACGATAAATAAAAGTTTTAAAAAACTTTCTGACTTTGTGTAGTTGAAGTAGGATCAGCAGGCTCCTACTGTGCATTAGCGTATTATGTGAGTGCTGAAGTGTGTTTTGCAAAGCGTGCGACGAGGTTGACGCGAGACCCCGAATACTACGCGAGCTCCAGCTTCCATCTGACATCTCCGGTGAACAGGTGAGACCGTCAAAGTAGAAACAAGTTATTTGCACTGGATAATGGATATTAGATTTGCCTGGCATGTGATGAAACATTCTTGCACTGAACCGGTTAGATTCCGTCGAGATTCTACTCCGGGATTTTGCAGAAAAACATTGGGGTTGTAACTGAAATGGCCTGTAATGTTTAAGCTTTTACGTTGATACCGCTTTTACATTTTTATTTTACTAGCATCATTCCATTTCGTTTTTCCTTTTGTAGGAATGTCGGGATCCACTCCAAAGTCCGGTAAAAAATCTAATAAAAAAGATACGAAGCCCAGGAAAGAATATTCGTACTCGGATGTCGGCGGATTGACGCCGCAGATTGGAAGTCTGAGGGAACTCGTGGAGATTCCCATCAGACAAAAAGAATTATGGCGTAATCTCGGTTTAAAATTACCACGGGGAGCGCTGTTACACGGTCCACCTGGGACGGGGAAAACTCTGCTCTGTCGAGCGCTAATAAGCGAAATGGCTAAAGACGGTGTCAGCTGTGTTGTCGTTTCTCCGCTGGAAGCCGTCAGCAGCGCTGGCTTGTCCAGCTCCGGTGATATGGAACCACATCTGGTCAGTGCCTTCAACAACGCTAAAGGACGCTCGCCGTGCATACTATTTATCGACAATCTTGAGACATTCTGCCCGAAGTTTGAGTCTGGCCACATGACTGCGCAGGAATCCAAAGCAGTGGGAATGCTTGTTAATTTGATTGACGAACTGGACGAAGTCGACAGTAAGAGATTTGTGGTTTTAGCGTTCCGGAGCGCTGCTTTCGATTTTCATCGTCTGCTTGCAACATTAGTTTAAAAGCGTCAGACTTTTTTAGTTTGTTTATTTAATTTATTTTGGTGCTCTCTTGCGCTGCATTTTTTAGTTATTTGTGTGATTATCTCTGCCATTTTTTGTTTGTGCATTTCTTTAATGTTTTGATTTACCGTACCTGCGCTATGCAAAGCTGGTTGCTTTTAGGTTCGGTATTCCTTATAGCAACATGCATCCGCCCCGACGCCGTACCCTCCATACTCCGCCGACCTGGCCGTTTTGATAAAGAAATTTACATTCCGGTACCTGCTTCGGGACCTCAGCGGTACATATTTTTTTGATTATCGGATAAGTTTGTGCGACCACACTGGAATACATATATTGCAGTTTGCAGATATTCGATGTCCTGGCGAAACAATTGAACCATGTACTGACCGAGGAGCAACGAACGGAGCTCTGCCAGGGTCTGCATGGTTTCGTTGGCGCTGATATTGCGGCACTGTGTTTTGAGGCGGGACTACAAACCACCAGACGTGTTTTGAAGGTAGTCGCAGGATTATAGTTCATTTCCTTCCTGGTTACAACAGGAAAAGAATTTTCAGACACCGGAAGAAAACCGATTACCAGAGGACTGCAGAATTCACTACCAAGATTTCGTACATGCCAAACAGTTCATAAAACCAAGCGCTCTTCGGGAAGTGCAAATTGAAATACCAAAAGTATTGAGACCGTTTTCGATTCTTTGTTAATCATTGCTTTCTTAAAGATCATTGCTTTCATATTTTGCAGGTTCAGTGGAGAGATATCGGTGGTCAGGAAGAGATCAAGCGCCGTTTAAAGGAATCGGTGGAATTACCTTTGAAATATCCACAATTATTCTCGGAAATGGGCATTGTTCCTCCTCGCGGTATACTGTTATTCGGTCCTCCCGGTTGCTCCAAAACCTTGATCGCGCAAGCAGTTGCCACAGAATCTGGACTGAATTTCATTGCCGTGAAAGGTGGTTGAATATTGTTTAATTTTCCTCATCCGACTAAATTTTAACCGTATTTGTGCACTAACTAGGTCCTGAATTGTATAGTAAATGGGTTGGGGAATCCGAGCGGACATTGAGAGAAATTTTCGATCGCGCCAGAACATCGGCACCCTCCGTTATATTTATCGATGAGATTGATGCCATAGCTTCGTCGCGTGGCACCGCTAAATCCGGCAGCAACGTAGGCGACCGAATTTTAGCCACTTTCCTTAACGAGATGGGCAAGTAGCTGATGTTATTTTTTCTAGAAACCAGAATTTTAGTCAGTTGTTTTACATATTTTTTGCTTCAGATGGCGTGGAATCCATGGCCAATGTAGTCGTAATTGCGGCAACCAATCGACCGGATGTGATAGACAAGGCGCTTATGCGACCTGGCCGGCTGGATCGTATTATATATGTCCCTTTACCTGATGAGTTCTCGCGACGGGAAATATTTCGTGTACGGTTTCGAAAGCTTCCCGTAAGCAGTGCCGTCAGAGACCAGATGGACGAGCTGGTTAGAATTACGGCAGAATTTTCGGGCGCCGAGGTAAACACATTACGAGTGGTTGGAGACTTTCCATCCAGCCAGACCTGGTATCTTTGTTGTTTTGTACTGTAATCGGAAACAGCGAAATCGAAAATAAAATTGGTTTTAATGTAGCCGTAAAGTGACTGTTCGATTTTTTATGTCAGTTTTTGATAAAATGCAGACGCTAACGCTGTTAATATTTTATTTCTTGTTACGGTACTTATTTTATATCGCAGCTCAGTTTTTTGTACTGTTGCAGATCACTGCACTCTGTCAAGAAGCTGCACTTTTGGCTCTTGATGACTTAATAGGAACCTCTGAGCCAGTCGAAATGAAATCGGAACTGGAAATCGGTTTTGGTAATATGCAGATCGCTGAATCCGATAAGAAAAAGGAAAAATGCCCGATTCCGGGTGAAAAGGCCCCGTGTACTGTTGAAATGGAACATTTCCAGAGAGCGCGGCGGTTGGTTAAACCCCGAACAACAGCCAAGACCGTACAATATTATCGAGAATTTGCCGAAAACAGTGCTCTTAATGTGGAATGAGACAATCCGGAAACTTATATTAACCAGATTGCATTCATTTTTACCTGTGAAAGATATATGTTTGGCTAATAGCTTTGCAGAACCTTACCTTGTTAATTATATTTTTCTGGAATTTTGTAAATTTCTGTCATATATACTGATCACGTGGCGTTCGTCACTGGAGATCGATACAAAATGAGGTTCTGAAAAGGCCTGCGAGGCACATTCCCGCAATTATCCAGAAGCGTCATATTTTAATTTCCCGTCTCCGCAGTCCGCACACCTTCCAATTACATTTAAAATTATAATTGGAGCCTATCAGCTGAAATATCCCCACCTGCATCTCTACCAGAAACAGACGTAAACGAATAATGTTAAATTTGCACGAATACCTAAAGGTCTACGGTAACCGTAGCACGCAATGGCTGCGCCAAATTATTTCCATTCGGGTGCGGCCAGCAGGCAAGGGAATCTTTGTGTCACTGTCATCCGCACATGGAGTGAGGGATGTCGTAGCGCTTACGCTCCGGAGACATGAATGAAAATAGTACCAGCGTTTTTTATCCCAAGTGGTGTGACACTGGCAGACACCAGACAGCATCTCCGCAACCGGAGTTTTATCGGTGTGCTCCGCTCCGCGGCGGCACATATGGGACACGTGCACGTGATCAAATTGTCTGACGTCAAAGAATTTGCCGGTCATAGCTAATAATCCTAGCAGTATGTCTCGGCTTTCTTCACAGCATAGCTTCCGGTAGTTGGATCAATGAGAGTTGGTTACCGGATTAAGGGAGTGGTACTGGGAGCGGCACCACTTACTCTGCCCAATTCATCGCGCCGAATACAGCGTTCGCCGATTGGTAGTAACTGAGATCGGGACTCGTATCGTGCAGGACCTGCCGGTATGCCACTGAAATTTTCAGTTATCGTATTTGTGGTTTGTAGTGTACACTTCTCCACTCCAGAATGCAGATTACAGTTCAAGTTCATTCGCTGTCGTTAATGGTTCAAGATATTAACAAGTTTTCCATGAGAACATTTCGACTCCTACCGTCACAAAATTAGAAAGCAATGGTAGTCGTACTAGGTACTAAAATAAACACTAGAAAAAACAACTTCAAATACGTCAACTTTAAATACCGCAGAGTATAATAACATGTCAATGTTGGTTAAAAATGGTTAATGTTGGTTAATAATCCACAAATAAAAAAAAGAACTTTTTTTCAGTGTTGCAGATATATGTAGTTTACGAATATTAAAGTACAGTACTTATCTCAATAAAACAACGAAAATTACGGATATTGCACGATGTTCAGCAATTACGCTCAACCTCTAACACCGTCCGTCAAGTCGACCAACAGTTAGATTACAATTTGTATGTTCTGATTTTCTAAAGCATAGCAAATTCACGATAAGAAATTACGAACAGAGTTTAAATACATTTAAGTAAGATGCACCTTATGGCTGTACAAAATGCGGACATTCTGTAAAAGCAATCCAAATAAAAAAATAACATCAACAAAGTACAGTGCCTAGCCGAATCTCACATTCGGACATGTTCAAGATAATTAATGTCAAGACTAGTTTCAATTCAACAATCCTTTCGCCATATGTTAGCGTGACTGGCGACAAATCCAAGTAACAAAACCCTCGTGTACGTTAGGACGACTCCAGCAGTTAAAGGTTACGAAAAACAGTCGGATCAAAATGGCTGTGACAAAATTCTGTGGAATTGAGCGAAAGATTCTGAGGCACTTGATCCATAATACGAACCAACTGCGACTTCAGCCAGAATGGTTTCCATCTGTCCCTCCATTACGCAGCTGAGCCGTATACACCACTGTAGGAACCACAAACATCTTTTATATGTCATACTGTCAGAAGGGAGGACCCGAGTGGCTCGTTGAGCGGCCCGTCTTCATGGCTGCAACACCGAACTCGAATCCGTCAATACTGAGCTGCAAGCGAGTGGCGAGGATGATTCCTCTTCCGGGGTCCACGGGATTACTCCTTCGTCTGCACTCTGTGGAACATTTCGGCATGCCGACAAATTCAACCGCCGTTCAAATTCCAGCAACTGTCCCATAAAATTGAAATTTGGCGAAACATTTGTCTTTTTTCGCTTAACAAAATTATAAGCCCGATTCAGGGGGACGGAGAATTTGTGCATCAAGTAGGCCACTGTCACGGTCACACTCCGGCTGATCCCTGCACGACAATGTACCAGACAGCCACGCTGATTCCGATGTGCCTCCTCTGGAAAGATAATGAACAAAATACACATCTCATTTATCGAATTCCACTAACTGTAAATTACTATAATTTTCACAATTCTCTTTAAGGTCTATTTTACCGTGGACTGTAATTTTCCGTCAATATTTACCGCAGTGAGTAAGTAAGTAATCAAGCCGCAAATTCGCTGCTTCAGGCATTAACTGTATGCATTAAACAAATACCACGAAAAAGGTTGTCATGGCGTACCGATAAATTCAATAGCATCATCGAAATACGCCGCAAGGTTTTCGCCAAGGCAGTCTTGAATAGGAATTTGCATATACTTGAAACCAAGTTCCGTTTTTGTTTCAAAAACATTCGGTAGATTAGGTGTTACGTTCAGGATATACCGAATATTGTACTCCTGGAGCGTATTAAGATCTTGTGCGGTTTCGGCATTGCCTAAATATAGATAATCCAAAATCTTAAATAATTCCACAGAGTGCCAGCCATCCCGGTTAGTGCCATCCGACTCTTTAGAAAATCCACTATCACAATCGTTCAAGTCAGCATCACTGCTGCTACTGTTCGATATTTGCAAATTTCGCAGTCCGACCACCGCTTTATCGTCATGGCTACTTTGATCATCAACATGGATACAGAGCTCGGGGAAACTCTGACCAAATCTTTTATATCCGCCTGTAAAACAACAGTATTACAGAACCGGTATTTTGGCATGCCAGTAAATATAGTTCTCCACATGGTGCACATACTTTTAACAACAGATATAGAATCCAACTCATACATATGATAAAAATAACCAGTTAGAATTTGCTACTGTGTGACCGTCATTGGTCGAGGACGTAAAATGCTTATCTTTAGATATACCGTACTTATGTGGTTAACCACAAAGGCCCACTCACGATCAGGGCAGCACTTCTGTGAGTTCTGTCCATGGAAGTTGGAACTGTTCAGTCACATTTGACAATAATTACCACTAATAAGCCTTGACTGCAGTAAGCACTAAACACACACTACAGGATTTCTCCCTTTACATCTCCGCGAACTAGGCAGTCATGAGTTTTGGTAACATTATGAAAAACAGAAACTGGACCAAACTTGGTGGAATTGGAAGAAGAATTTGTTGTTGCTAAAAAAATCCACTGTTTACGAGAACCTTTTAAACACGGCGGCTTTCGGATAAAAACTTATCTGGATAGTTAACCAATCCGGAGAACTACGCAGCTTCGACAAATTGCTATTTTTTTAACAGCAGCGAAGGTAACGAAAAGTGCGAGCGCACTGACATTACTATAAAAATTATGGAAAAACAATATAAATTATAACGTACTAAATTTGCTCAAACAAAGAATATATTTATTCTCCCGAGGGTAAACGTCCAAGCACTTCCTCAGGATTTACACTAATTAACGAAATACCGTGAATCCTAGATAAAAATTTTTTTCCTTCACAATATCAATCATAAAATATCGACGTCCGGTCTATTTGCGCACCAGTAAATTATTACGTGTCGAAACAATATTATATCGGCTTGTAATCCAAAGCCCACAAAACTTTTGTTATCCGGCATAATATGGCATTTATTCTTAAGTAGTAAACAGTTCGCAGGTTGATAAAAATTTGCTCATTTCGGTCTATTAATAACGTTCCGAGAATTTACGATCCGATAAGGTGGCGTAGGTTCATCGTACCGATAAACCCGATAATAAGTACCGTACCTTCCAAATAAACCACTCGGCAACCTTCAGCCGCCAATTTATCACCAAAAATCTTGCATATCCTGTTACTGTTATCATCGTCATCGGCACCGGGAGACAGGTCGTCATACAGACAAATCCAATCGCTTTTCCAGTGTTGTAAAAAAATATCGCGCGCCTGCGGACACTTGATGACAGCAGGAACAGACAAACTTCCGTTGATCAGACGCTTCAGCATAAGGGCCGGCAAGCTGACATTAATGGCCGACATAATGTGTCCTTTTTGGCTGTACTCTGCATGGGGACGACAGTCAAGAATGAGAACCGACGGTAGAGCGCTTTCTAAATGATCACGCAGCCACTCCGAGGTACAAGTGCGTCCAGCCATTTTCAACCGCATCCACATTTATGCAGCTGACCGCAGCATGCACGACGACTTCAATGCGCACCGTATACTGTACCGTACTGGCATCCAGCCACCACACTACAGTGTTTTCATAGCGCAGCAACGGATTCTCACTCGCTCTGGTCCACTTCGTTAGGGCACTTCCCTGTCAACATGCAGGAGCTACTGTTGATTCCAGGGATAGAGAACTGCAAAGTTTGTTCTGGGTGTTATATAAGCTCTTCCAACGGAACTATAAACAACGGGATCGAAAAAGAACTGGAATCCATGGATTTTTTTCTTTATTTGTCGTGAACAAGACAAATTCTTAGACAATCTGTAACAATCAGAAAATATCGCAGCTTAAACTGGGAAACCTTACAAAAAACGCTTCAAAAATTACCAATAGCTCAGACTGTCGTCTAACTATAGGATTTCAAAAACAGGAAAAAATTAGGAAAACATACTTGGGCTTTCCGCATCTACGGACGACGAAATCGTAAATCTGCCAAGCACACAAAATTATTCAATACGAGACTTACAGTATACCACAACCAAGACTTCTCTGCAGCAGTGCGCTTCACTTGTGAATGCACGATAACTAGAATTTCTACTAATAAAGTACCACACCTAGTAAATGATGATGTCATCGTTAATAGACGGACTTACGGTTACGGTATTTCTGAGCTTACGCTATACAGCGTGTGGGTCTGCGTGATGCCCCAACTTCCAAGTACTTATGTACGAGTACCGTATCTCAAAGTTACAAACAGTACGGGCATAGTGTATCGGTTCACACTTTTTCCACGGTTTCAGCGGTCTTAATCACCATTTCACATGTCTTATTCCGAAAAATTGTTTTGTTGTTACTGTTTCAAAAATTTTGGCTTTTGTAGTACTTCTACTAATCTACTGGAATAGTACTAACATCAACATGTCGAGCAACTCGTATGCGGTTTTCAGATTGCAGCACGTACGCCACCTTTCGGTCCTTTTCGTGTCACGTGCCCTGGCTCCGCGTGCGCGTGTGCCGAACCAACAGTGAGCGTAGCCGCTGAACCCAATCGGTTTCCCCGTTTGTCATTAATTTTCGTTTTCTGTTTGCGAGTTTTGTTGTCAATGTTGTGGATGTTTTCGTTTTATTTAGATATCGCGGAGCTATTTTTGTCTTCTTGAGACTTCTATGCTATTTTGAATTTCTAAGTATTAAATTTCTAGGCTGGCTGTTACCGATGAGCAGAGAATATGTCAAATCTGATGCAAACGTTATCGAAGCAAAGTTAAACGTACGTTAAAGTGACTTATACCGTGTATTTGCAAATCTGTGTACGGAATGCTGATGTTGTTTGGTGCTGTTCGTCAGGTGTTTCCAAACAGGTGCGTGAGCGAGGATATACTTAATTAATAAGGTTGCATTAGCAGGCTTCCCTTTGCAATAAATTTCTCTCTAGTTTATCACAGTTTACGTATTAATGAGGCGACAATTTTTCTATTAGGCAATATTTGATTAGTATATGGAACATTTCCTTTATCCACTCTGACATGTCGGTTGAAGATGTAATTAGTATATTAATTTTATGGAAGTACAGTACAGTACTTTATGGAATGTAAATAACTAGGAAAAATGCACGCTTTGTAGAATATAAATAATAAAATATTTTAAAAGCACATTATGTGGGTATTCTAATTTATTTTTGTTGTATTTAATCTGCCAGAGCGAGAAAAATTTGGATTATGAAATACTTAACCCTTTTTAGTAACGGGGTTGTTTCCCGGCTTCGATAATAAGGCATTTAGGACATTTTAGGCCGTTTGGGACGGTTTGGCAGTCTTACTGTATTGGTTGCAGCCTGCAGGTGAAGGATAATAATGAAGCCGGTATGACCCTATATTATTATATATAGATGGATAATAGATATACATAACCATGTATATATATTGTATTTTGACTGTTCTGTATAGAACTTACGAAAATAGTTAGTCGCTTCAGTGTTGAAGCTTATTTTGGCTACAGGTGATTAGTCAGTTATAGCGGTATTTGTATCTTTGATTGATAATATGCCGTATTTCCGTAAGTGAAGCAGTAACATTGTAAATACAGTGGTAACTCTGGTAAGTGGACACACAGCGAAATTTCTCTTGACGAATTTGCAGCGAGTACATGTACTCTTGATGACGGAATTTCTTTCGCGTCAGATTGTGAATTAATAATTTTGTTTTGTGCAGTAATTAGGCAACTAGACAGGACATGTAGGTTGCATCTTTTGTCGTAGAACGGTTACGTAATTAGTAGCGGTACTTTGTTTTACATGTTTATTGTTTTCCATAATGTTATGATTTCAGTCAATCCTAGTCTCTTGAGCTGACTGCTGAATGCACACAGTATTTTGCAATGTGTATTATGACTCCGCAGGTGAAAGGATATTCGAGAAGCCATAGAGTAACGTACCGGAAGTGTGAACAACTAATCGTTAGGACCGACGACGATTCCATTAGCTATTCGTGCACGCTTGCTAAAGAAATGGATGCTGAACATTTGGCGATAGATTTTGAAATATTGGCGATCGGCGAACAGCTGAGGTATCGTTTTTAAAAGAAAAACGGTTTTTAATTAGCGTTACTTGGTAATATTTTTTATCGAAGTTTTTTTCAAAGCCTGTTGAGCTAGGATTAATTGGTTAGTAGGAGGATGTGTGTCACTTTGCACACTCGTAGTTCATAAATAAATTTCATCGGTGAGAATCAGCTGTAATATTTTCCTGATGAGTTTTTGTATTTTATGTAGAACATCTAAATTAGGGAATTGCTTATTATATGCCTTTATTTTATGACAGTAGCGCAAAAAAGTGAATTTACTTGGTAAATACCGCTGATACGGCAACACGTTTTACAGATATCCTCTTTATTTAATTTTTTTGTAATTGTATGAAGTGCTAATTTTTGTATCTCATTGTACTGTAGATATCGTATGCACCTGGCTCCCAACCTTGTCCGTGATCGGCGTTACCACTTGCGAACATATAGTTGTTGCTTTGTGGCCAACGAAACGTTGGACTGGTTAATCCAGGAAAATGAAGTGCCTAGCCGACAGGCGGGTGTTTTCCTTATGAATATTCTTCAGCAAAACCGCGTCATCCATCATGGTAACCAACTCGCAACTCGTTATTCAGTCAGTGATTTAATCGTGCGATTGTGTGACATTGCAGTTTTTGTTTGCTTTTTGATTGCAGTCTGTGATGACCATCTGTTCAAAGACCAGTATTTATTTTTCCGCTTTCGGCAAGATGATAATACCTTTCCCCTCACGCAAGTGTCCCGTCTGTTCTTCTTTGGACAGCGTTTATACGATCGGTTAGAGATTGTTTCGCTTTCCCTGTAATTTATATCAGCTTTGAGCAAATGATTGTTTACGATTTGCTTCTTCGATTAGGTTGCATTCTGAACCAAATTCTTGCTTGCGAAAGCTGCAGAAAAAGGACAGATCCTGTGTGGATGTTTTCAAAGGAGCCGAATTCACGCAGTGGATAATGCGGAAGGGTGAAGCCCAGAATGTGGAAGCGGCATTGATTGCTTGCCAGCAGCTTCTCGATTCTGGTATTATACAGGCTGGTAGGTTTACACCGAAAACACTAAGATGTGTAAACAGGATGAACTCAATTTATTTCCGGAATGGTTTACTACATCTATTTTTTTTTTAACAGTTGATGGGGATTCTGCCACATTCAAGAACAGTGAATCACTATACCGATGCGCTTTTGATTTTAATTATCGGAGGCGTTTGCACGATTTATTCTTACTCTCCTCTGTACAAAAGGAAGCCGGACTGCATAACATAAAATTCATACCAAAAGCAACATCGGCGTTTGAAATTTATCCTGGGTTTGATGGTAATTTTGAAGCTTATGTGATCTAAATTTTATGTGATTAAAACAAAACATCCTGTAACAGATCATAGCTCCAAATCCCCTGTATCGCCTACCCCAACGGGGCTGAGTGACGGCTCAACGGGAAGTGCCGGCACATCTCCGATTACATCCAATATTCCAAGGGGAAATTACGATACACAGAGGCACATGCTTAAAGAGTCGCTGCTGGAACCTCAGTCGGGATACGTCCGAAAAGTTATTCAAGTCGACTCCGATTCTGTCGGTATGGCAATGTGATTAGCGAATAATTAATACAACCAGCTGGTGCTTATCTGTTTCTCACAAATGACATTTCGTTGCCGTGAATTCTGAAGCCTGTAAATGGATTAGCTTGGTAAATACAGGCAGTGATAAACCCAGTAAAAGTTCTAATGCCAGCTAGGGTTTTTTTCAGGGTATGGATTTGTTTTGCGAGGAGCATCGCCTTGTTACATCCAGACTGTGGATCCGGATGGTCCCGCTGCCGCGGCTGGCGTAAAGGTGGGGTTCCCATATCATCGACCCTCCGAGTGGATGCTCACCAGTCAGAGAAGTTTAATAGTGAATTTATTGTTGCAGGTTGGACAGTATCTGTATTCTGTCAATGATGTCGTTGTCTTCGATAAGTCCCACAAGGATGTGGCCCGCGTTATCGTCGAAAGTGGGGGAAAGATTTGCCTGGTGGTGTTTACGCCAAAAGAATCTGACAGAAATTCCCGATTAGATTCACCAAAAAGCCGCAAAGTTCCTTCAAATAACTGAAAATGAACAAATATTCTAGTATTAAGCTGACGGATTGGTTTTTTTGGTCAGATGCTCACAGTTAGGTTGGTGTTTCGGTGATTGGGTTGTTTTGATTTCGGTCTTTTGATCGAAACCTTGACATCAGATTGCTCAACTGAGACGCATGCATTTTTAAAGAGATAGTTCTATTGCAAAAGATGTTATTCTAAAACATATGTTAGCTAAAAATGTGGCTTTATATTTATTTCCGGTTGGCTCTTGCGTTGGTAACACTTTATTGGGATTTTCATTCACAAAATGGTTTCGGTGATTAAATTACTGTAAAATCACAGAAAATCGAAATTTTGTAACTGTCGATAAGTTATAAATTCCAGTAATGCTTTCAAACAAAATATTTTCTGTAAACGGCGGCTTCTGCAGTCATTTCGTTTTGTAAACGAGGTTTGCGTTGATCTTTGTCATGATGTTCCATTTCTTTATAAATCCCGTCATCCCGAAAGTCGCCACTTTTCCGTGGGAGAATATGAACATGGACATGCTTCACAGTCTGCCCAGCATCCACACCATCCTGTAACATTTACAGTATATGTCGCCAGTAAAACAGTCCGAGTACTTGCTGCCATGTTTTGCTCAACCCATCTAACCTGCACGCAGACTGTGCACGACGATGTCGTGTAATGTTTCTGTAACATCGTCTCGACTACTTGGACAACATGGAACATGTCACTGACTTCTTCCGCTTTAAGTTGGGGGAACTGTTCAACGCGGCGTTTTGTAATTACCAGAACATCTAAGAAAACACAGCCTTAATCACATATTAACGCAACCAAAGCCTGCAACAAAACAAACGTACGCCCAGGTACAACAGGTTTCAAATTGACGAAGGCCAGAGAAAGGGTGGTTTCGTAGAAGACAGAATCCCGCAGCACTATGTGGCCACCAAAATCATATTGTTCCTGTGACCAGCTCTCTACCGGCAGCGGACTGGGAAAGAGCCTGTACAGATCATGGCGTCGATGGTTCTGGACCGGCATTGAACTGCGTATGGTCCGGAGCCTGTCCAGATCGATTTCCGCCACGGCCACACCCGGCCCGTCCGAGCACTGCGCCAGGACAGTTCCCCACGGGTCTACAATCTGCAAAAACAAAATTATCAAGTGCCGCTAACACTAGTAAAACAGTTGGATTACGGACCAACAGCCAAGTAAGCGTAAACTATGCGCTGACTACTGAATAAAGCCAGAATACTATAAAAGGCCTCCCCTGCGTGGAACACGGGTATTAAATCTATTGCGAACTGCTAAATTGCACTGTAAATGTGAGAAATGTGAGAAACAACTACTTCTACGAGAAATTGATAGATAAGTTGTAACTTTTATTACGCTGCAGAAAATTATCTCACCATACTATGTCCATAAGAATGGCGTTTATCGTTATGCGATCCACACTGTGCAGCAGCAATCACATAGCACTGATTTTCAATGGCACGAGCTTTCAGTAGCGGCTGAAGAAAAAAACAAACGAAGCTGTGAAGTTTTTCTTTTGCTTGCCACGGGTAAATTCCGTCAAAAATCCTGTCTCTCACCTCCCAGTGCGAGATCCCGGTGGTGAGAGTAAACGCGGCAGGATAAACAAGTATTTCTGCTTCCTGTCGGGTTAAAATGCCAGCAATTTCCGGGAATCGCAAGTCATAGCACTGCAAGGAATTAACTCAATTACGTATGTGAATTAATGAAACTGGAACGCGAATTTATAACATTACAAAGCAGAAAATATTTTTATATGGTTTGCAGTTCAGATCTGGATCAAATTTGCGACTTCTGTTAATAAGTAAGTCTTCCTAATTTCAAATGAAGAGCTGCATGGCCAATGATTTCCGTCGCAGATCTGCAAGACACAGACTAAATTCCTGCAGCCCTGCTCACGCAAAGAAGTCCAGTTTTGCCGATGGGAGTGTTAACAGGAGGCAGAATGCGAGTTCCTGGAATGCAATAGCGACTTTCGTCCAGCGTCACTTGTCCCGGGAATATCCACAATAAAGAGATGTGTTTTGCGGTAGGAAGCCGCGAGTTCCCCGTTGGCATCAATCAGAATGTGTGCATTGTGGATGCGCTGATCCTTGTCATCTTTGAGATGAAAACCACCGAGTGACAGCCATACTTGCAGACTGCGAGCGAGCTCGCGGTAGGATGTTATTATCGGTCCCGTCAACGACTCGGCCAACTCCAAACTCTGCGCGAAGTTAGCACAAAGATAGTCGAAGCATTCAGGAAGAAACACCACCTAGCATTGGGATAAAACAGTGCAACCGCAGCGCTAAGTAACAACCAAATACTGCTAGCGGTTACGAAAACGTTTCAGGCTTTCTAACTCTAACTGGAATCCAAAAGTACGAAACTTACCTCCGCTCCTCTGTGCTTTGCCTTGCGTATCAGAGCATGACATATTCCCAGATTCCGCTCCTTATCCGCAGTGGCTGTAAACTGAACAACAGCTGCTAGAACACTTGATGGGGACGAGTCCGAGGATGATTTACAACCGGTGGCACATGATTTCTCTACGTCCAGGGATGCCATACTTACGATTAACAACAAATCCTTGAAAGTTTCGCTAGAACCTTATTGTTAACAATTATTTTAGTTACTTCATTGATCATTGATATTATCAGCTGTTTACTTATTAGTCGGCGACAGTCGTGGAAAGATTTGGCAAAACCACAACACACAAATTTCCCACGCACTATTAGTTGCTGAGAAAAGTAAACCGTAGTCCCGATGGCGGATGCCGTAATCCCAGCGGAAATTGCTAATAATATTAGTCCTGACCAGCCTGAGTACTATAATTTATAATCACAGTACTATAATTTATAATCTACTCGTATATTATCTGTGGAGGTCTAGAGTAGTGGTAAGAACGCCACGCTCCAGTGAGAAGAATGGACAACTGGACATATCACTAGAGCGTGAACATAGTTTAATAAATTTTGAAATGTGATTAATATAATATGTAACCAAATGTACACTTATACGTTATGTTTTTATTAAAGTGTGCATATATAGATATTTGAGCCAGTTGTTGTTGAAACTATGTACACTGATTTTCGCATTTTAACTATTTTGTCGCTTTTACGTACCGAATAAATAATGCAAACGTAATAAATCCACAGCAATACAAAGTTCACGCAGTTGGAATTTCATACAGTTATTGCACAGATAATATTTGTATGTGATAACAGGCAGTACAGTACGATATAATACTAGCAATGCAACGTATCCTTTTACTAGAATTTAGAAAATTAGTCTACTCTGTATTAAATTTTATATTGAATGTGTAACTAGTTTATATTTCCTCGGTGTTTTTTTCAAATCCTGATAATTTTTTGCAGTGAATACCGATGCCTGTCCATGCCGAACGCAGCGATTGCGATAAATAGGTTAGGTGAAGTACGAGAATTTCAACGGGATTTTCTGGAGTAAACGCTTAAACTGGTGGCACGAATACATAAATTTCTACCCTATTAGACAGCTGTCCAGGCGCACTATGGTGGCCTAATCGAGCGATCAAAAGGATTATTCAAAGTCTGCTTCGCTACATTAATCCTATCGTCCAAGGGTTCTTTTCGCATCCTTTTAGCAGAAGACTGTAACATCGTCTCATGTAAAAAAAATGTACCGTTCAGTCCCAATAACGTAACGAAATGTTAGATCTCTCCTTATAGCACCACTGTTGCCTCCGAGCCGCCTCCGTCCATATAGTTCAGAAATGTAATTATCATTATGTGCACTCGTACAATACGCTCGTACAAGATGTACGTACTCGTAGTATTATTCTCACACACGGATTGAATATTCTAATTATGAGGCAACTAAAAATAAAAACTATTATGACTTGAGTTGTAGATTTCAGTCGTTCTTCGTAGATTAATTTCGGCTTTTGTTTGCTGGTAAAAGTTTTCATAAAGACGATTTAGAACGATATTAGAAAATCGTGCACCGGGAGTTCGCGTCAGTATTAACTTGCTTGTAGGTACGTTGTGGTTTTCACCGTTTTTCTCCGCAGTGCATGCGGGAAACATACCGGGTACGACACTGGCATTATGCCCCTTTTTCGTGACAAATCATGTGTACCTTTTGTTCGTCGATACTGGAAATTTGTTTGTTACTCGAGTGGTGTATGCAATTATAGAGAAACCGTCAAATCGATTTTCGATGCTTCCAGTAGATAACGCCGCATCTTTAAATGTATCCCTTTTCGGAGAGTGCCGGCACAACGTGTCCGTTGCATATGCTCATGTGGGATCATCCTCGTTGTGTTGAACTGATCGTACATGTGTTAACGATGTCCGCAATCCATATTTTTGAATGGTTGTTGTCATATTATGCTCCAGTGAGACTTTGAGAGTGGTATGATGCATGCTTCCCTTGTTCAAGAGATTCTGCACAAGTGAAGCTGTTAGTGTGGCATTATTATTCAAAATTATCTTACGTGGCGTAGCGGTGGCGGTGTTATTGAATTTAGGTACGTACTTCATATTTGCATATTAACGCTATTGCTAGAAGCCATTTTAAATGAATGTCTGATAATTGGGTGCATGTACGAAGAGTATTAGGTGAGGTACGTAGCGGCAAATTTATTCTTCGAACAACAAGGCTTCTACGTGTACATGTAAAACGTGTACTTGGTTTTAAATTGTTTTGCAATTTAAAAGGCAGCATCAGTATTGTCATATTTTCGTTTCCTTTCGGTTTTATGTAATTTGCTTTTTCCTTTGCCAGTTGATCTGCCAATGACGCTTCCAGCTACTTGTACAATTGTACAACGTACAAGTAATATGCCGCCAATGTGCTTGCTCACTGGATAATGATTGTTCATCTGGAGATGACTTTTGTGCTTTTTACAATGGCTTGCAAATGTTGCTACGCTGGGAGTTGACGTCACAGCGGATCATTGTAATTTTATTCATGATGTTATTTCCTGGTGAAATAATCTCTCAAGGTACACCTGTTAGAAAACTAAAAATATTGCTTCCTACCGTAGTACTCACTTGCAGTTGTACATGTCCTAATTAAATCATGCGGTCGCAATTGAATTAAATAATTGCAAGATGCAACTACTGTAGAAGTATATATAACGCATTTGTTGTCGTTAATCGATACGTTATGTATTAAATGTACTTACTGTTAAGTAAGTTACACTGCATGAAGTAAACTCCGAAACTCCATTTACAGAGTTCGGGAATGTCTGCCCAAATATGTGGCAATATTATTTGGATACTTGCTATCTTTTTGTGCGGTCAACCGAGCTGAACTGGGCAGATGCTCAAGTTTATTGTCAAAGATACTTTGCTAATCTCGTCAGCGTGGAAACATTTGGAGAGCATGGATTCGTAACAAATTGGCTTGAAAAAAATGATCCAATTCTTGCAGTCAGTAAAAACGTTTTCAACGTAACATCACTTCTTACAGCTGAAAACCTTAAACTCCATGTGCACTGTTAATCAATTCCCCTCTTGTTAACCCGAATCAGACATGGTACACATCGGGATTTGACGAACTCGGATCCGGAGAATATGCATGGACGACATCGAAAATGTTGGACCGACGAATTAGCATCAATGATCCAGCTTGGACCAAATCCAGTCGTGGACGATCTACGCCGGTGATCGGACGAGCTCTGGGGTATAACTTTTCCAGCACGTCCAACTCGTGGTCGTGGATGCCGGTTAACCCGGAAAGAATACTGCCTTTCATTTGCGAACTGCCCGTGCATTTAGCTGCTCTTGTACCGGATTACGAAAGGAGTTTAGGTTTGTATTTTCAGTTTAACAATAATCAAATAAATTGCCTGAACTGCCTAAACCATTAAGTTATGTTATAAATCATGAAGTTATGTTCACCGATGTTCCTGTGTATGTGAGCAAACTACAATCACTACAAAGTATGCAGTAGAGCTAAACACGGTACCCATTATTCACGGTTAAATGCAGATTACGGTATCGTTACGGACAACGAAATGCAGATCCCAAGTGGACCAATCATTATGCAGGAACCGGCAGATGTCGTTTTTGATTCTACATTCCGATCGTCTCGAAACTGGACAACTATCAGATGCACCGCTTCCGGTTTTCCATTACCCGAATATTCCTGGTAAACTGCGCTTGGTATATGTGACGTAACCCAGAAAGAATTTTTGAATGTTACAAAATATAAACGCTAAACATATCCTTTTCTCAGTTTGAGTGTTACTTTAAATTCAATATCCGGCAAAATTGATTAGGTACAAGGTACGTTTCGAAGCCGGGAGAGAACTGAATTATCTTATCGACACTCTGAGCGATATCCGCATGACTCAGACCAATGGGGAACTGACAATTTACGAGCCACTTTCCTCCAAGGATCGCGGAGAGTACTACTGCTCAGCTACTAATCGCTATGGAACTGCCATCAGCAAGAGGATATCCTTGAACTTTGGTTGTGAGTGTGGCATCGTCAAAATGCAAAATAACAGATGGAGTGTCATTATATTACGATAATCCAATTTTCTTAAGGGACAAGAATGTCATAATTATCAGCTTAAGTGATTTAGATCAACTTGTGTGCGCGCAAACAGTGCGCTAAAAAACTGTGCTATCTAGCGACATAATTTTTAAAAAATTAAAATTCTGCCATTACATAAAACACGTACCGATTTAACAAATAAGTACATGTTCGACATTAGACATCAGACTTATGCGGGAAGTGAATTGACTTAAAGGAAGTGCAACAGTAAATCATCACAGTAAATGTGTAATGGTGCGAACTGCGAATTACTTTTTAATTTACATAAAATTTGCAATCATACCGTAGATATTGGCGACTTTGCCCTTCGACGGGAAACAATGTTCATTGTGATGTACAATGGCGCTGCCATTCCATGTGATCCTCCGACATTTTTCCCAGCTGTTAGTTACGCATGGGCGCGGGATGCATTTCCTAATTTCGTGGAAGAAAACCGGCGGGTTTTTGTATCAAAGGATGGAAATTTGTATCTGAGTCATGTGGAGCTGTATGACGAAGGAACGTATCAGTGCATTGTGAAAAGTACTATTGGGGATGTGGGCAAAACCGGTCCATTTTTTAAAGTTGTTGTACGTCGAGAACAAAGTATGGGCCAGCTAAAGATCTGGTCGTCCTTCCCAAGGTCTTTCCACTGCTGCCGGTTGCAGGGAATAATGTCACACTGGAATGTTTTGCTTCTGGCTAGTAAGTACATGCCGAAAAAAGTGTTAAGATAACAGAGATTATAGGCTGTTTACTCCGGTTTAAATGGAAGCTTCTGTCCAAAACGTAAATTCGTTTCAAAGAAATTCCTGTAAACACTTTGCGCCGTAATAATTATCCGTACTCTTACATAAGGTAAGCAGACTGTATACAGAATATTAACTTTTCATTCAATTGTACGAAAAGTTACAAGTACTAACTTTGAGTACACGGTTTGTTCTAAAACCTAAGGGGTAGCTGACAGGTAGTCTGCGTAAACATACTCGCGTATATGTTTCTATGAATTTGTATTAGACATTCGGTGCCGCATCACCGCCAAGCTCTTGTCGTGCACATAGACTAAGTTATCACACATTCCTTTATCTAGCCCAACGCCGACATACGAATGGAAACGTTTAGGAGGCAAAGCCTTCTCCGTGAATCACAAAATGCTGAAGCACAATCGCATCCTCTCGATCCCCAATGCCCAGGTTGCCGACTCCGGAGACTACGAATGCCGTGCATCGTCGCACCAAGGCATGGTTTCGGCAGTGGTGACCCTGGACGTAAAAGCCAAACCGCATTTTCTCGCCCACTTAGCTCCGCGGTTAGCCGATACAGGGACGGATGTGACATGGACATGCGCGGCATTTGGTAAACCGACCCTGACCTATCGGTGGTATAAAAACGGCGAACTGCTTCATTATCCTTTGATGAAAACCGAAGATTTGGGCCGCTACCAAATCGACGCTAACCGGCTAACTGTGCGCGCCGTACAGGAGACCCGCGATAATGGAATCTACCAATGCGAAGCCACGAATGTTCTAGGCAATGCCTTTTCTGCCGCGGAATTACGGGTGATATCTTTCGCCCCCAGTTTTCGCAAGAATCCCGTTAGTTCCATGTTGTATGCGGTTAGTGGGGGCAATATCACGCTGCGCTGTAAACCGGAAGGCGCGCCCACACCGCTGATTCGCTGGTTGTACAATGGCGCGCCGCTACCGGCCACGCCCCGGTCTGTTGTATCCGGAAGTGGCGATCTTCTCATTTCTCCGGTGTTGCTGATGGACGAAGGGACCTACACGTGCGAGGCGACGAATCCACTGGGCAGCGAGCAGAGCAGTGGATATCTGCGCGTATTGCGTGGACCAAGAATGCTGGAGATTCCGGTTGCGGAGCAGGTTCCGTTCAACAGTTCGACCGCATTGCGCTGCACGGCCGATGCGGATCCTTTGCTGGACATTTCTTATGAATGGTTGCTTAACGGAGCGCCGGTAAATTTTGGAGAGATGTCCAAATTTTATACAGGCTGGAAACAGAATCGTGGGTACATCTTCATTCGGCAGTTAAGCTATAGCGAATCGGGTGAATACACTTGTGTGGTCAAAACTCCAATTGCCGATCTCGTGCACCGCGCCAATGTGGAGGTCGTCGGTGAGAACAGCAACATCAGCAACACTTGGAATAATAACTTTAAATTAACGTAGTGTGCATTTTTCGAAATATCCGATTTGCATGCACACAGAGTATCGAAATTAACCATTGGTTAACAATTCTTAACTTTTACTTCTCACGACGAATATGTATGTAGTACAATAAGTACATCGTCAGTACCATCGAATATGTACACCGTCAGTACTAACACAGCGCATAATTATTCTGTAGCGTATATTATTTGTATATATGCAGCATAACTATCGTTACTGCAACTTCCACGGTAATGACAGTGTACTGGTGATATCACATTTCGTATTACGAGTAAGAAATCCAAAAGACCATTCACGTGGCCCGTCAATGCATCAATCGATATCTACTGTAGTGTCCCGAGATTTCGGGATTTTCGCTTTGTTAAAATATTAGAAACCTTGTTTCTAGGACCACCTGGACCACCAAGCGGAATCGTCGCTGCACCACTCCCACTCGGCCCAACGTCTGTCACCCTTCGACTGACCGATGGTTCCCGCCATGGACTAGATGCTCTTTTCTACAGAATCGAGTCGCTCGCAAACCAGACAACGTTATGGTCCGTCCTGCTAAGTGGCGTTTCTCCCACCAGAGCGAACAACTTCGGTCGAAAGGAAATCGACTTAATCAATGCCCTGCATCCATGGACAGCCTACCGGTTCCGCGTTGCAGCCGGAAATTCTCTGGGCTGGAGCGAAGCATCCGCGCCTTCTGCTATCTACGAAGTGCCGCCCGCTGTACCCTTCCAAGCTCCGACACGGATCAGTGGAGGTGGGGGACGCGAAGGAGATCTTGTGGTAATTTGGGAAGGTTTGCCGGCGACCCAACAAAACGGCCCCGGTATTGGGTATAAGGTTTTCTTTCGCAAAGCGGCATCCGGCGACAACTTCCGGGAAGAGGTTGTCACAGGAAACAGGAATCGAGCGGTGTTCCGAATTGGCGGTGATGAAGTATACCAACCGTACGAAGTGGGGATTAAAGCGTTTAATGTTATGGGAGACGGACCAGCGAGTGCAACAACAATCCTTTATTCAGCTGAAAAAAGTAAGAGGACGTTGCGGGCAGTACGTAAACGGTTACTGAACGGCAGTTTTCAGTATGTAAATGTGGATTGCAATTCAGGACTGCTTTTTGTTAGTCCCTGTCATTTTGGGTGACTAGCTTCCAATTATTATTACTCTTTAGTTCCACTGACTGCACCGACGAACGTCGGAGGTGTTCCTTTCAACTCTACCGCCATAAAGGTCACTTGGACGCCCATACCAAACAGTCCGGAAATTGCTAGAGGGGCTTTACTTGGTCACAGAGTAAGCTAGAGCAAAATTGATCATATTATAATTACCGAAACCGACATGCAGCACACAAATTTGCAGAATAAGCAATCAAGAAACTGCGCATAATTTTACAAATGCCTGTTTCGTTACCACAATACAAAATATGAAATTTCTTATGCTTTACGTTACCGCAAATTAGAGATTACGTAAGTTATTGGGCAGGTCAAATACTGGCGCCGTGACTGGGACCAAGAAGACGCCTGGACAGTCTTTTTTCCCAATTCAAGTGAATCAACCCTAATAAAAGGATTGGATCATTTTACGGAATATTTCATCACCGTAATGGCTGTTAACTCGGCCGGAAATGGGCCGGAAAGTGAACCCGTCGTTGCTCGCACATATCGTTCCGGTACGGCTTATCTGTTGAACATAGCGTCAGTGCAACATGGCAGTGTGTATCAGTTAGCAGTAGAAACAGCACTTCTCCGCTATGTGAACAGTGGTCGTCAACAAGCGTAATTGCTTGTAGAACCGAAAGCCTTTCCCATGGGAGTGCGCGTCCGGATACGGGACTGGACGAGTGTCATGATCGACTGGCGCGGCATCATGACCGGGCCACAGGAGGAGCCCATTGAGGGATACAAGATCCGCTACTGGCGTCAGGGGGAAGATATCAAAGCAGCCAACGACTTAATTCTTCCGCTCAACAGCCTCTTTGGCCGGCTGGAAACTGTGCTGGGCGGCTTGACGCCCGGACAGGCATACAACCTGCGCGTACTAGGATACAGTGGCGGTGGTGATGGTCGAATGAGTTCACCGGTGTGGCAGTTTAAAATGGGTATGGTTGTATGTTTGCATCGAAGAAATGGTTTCGCATCTCGCATTCTTTTGTTTTTTGGTCATAGTGAAATTAATGAGTTAGGACTTTAATGTAATTCCTGTTACCAAATTCGATTCGTGTCGTAGTCAGCCGCTTTAATTTTAAATTATACAGCAACAACAATAAGAGCAACAACGATCACGTGAGGGCCTGAGGCCGATGAGGGCAATTTAAAGCTTGCGAGTAATGCCAGTGAGATACTGACATACTCTGCAGGTCTTTATAAGCACCAAACTGCAGTGCTGTACCAGCCGAAGTATTTGAAAATGATTGGTTATTTGGTTATTACATTTGCTAATTTTTACAGTTGTTCCAAACACTTCGTCCAGACCGATGTGGTCAACCTGGCATATGACAGTGCCGTTTTACCTTGCCGTTCTGCATTTGTCCAAAGCCTTCCATATTGTGCATTAACCAAGTTTGTTGTAGCAGTTATCGGTGTAAAGTTACTCACCGATTTATTCGAGGATCCCTACAGTAGTGGAAAAGGTCACAGATTTCAAAGAACTCTCGTAGCAATGCATATGCAGGCAATCAGGGTTTCTACGAAGTATTTCTTTTGGAGTCATTAATTGTTGGCGTAATACTGCCTGATGTTCCTGCTGTACTGGTGCATGTGGTCGAAAAAGCGTGTGCTTTCGTTGTGTAATGTTCAGTTTCCGTTGTCTTCGTATTTCTTACCGTCTTTGATCTTCCGGTTGTGTCACCAAAAGCTGACTCGTGGAAAATTATTAATAAAGTTTGGTGGTTATGCGAGTTCTTATAAGTACGTATGATTATTAAGGTTTTCACATAACTTGGCCACGTACTGCTGTAGCGTAAAAAAGTCTCCGTTTTTTTGCAGATTAGTGTCTACTTTCGCGCTGGGATAAAGTTAATAAGATAAATCTTTAGGTTAGACGAAAATATTAGCGCACCTTACAAACCAAGTTGGATAGTGTACATGCAACTTGGGTTGGTTGAGGGTGGTGCGTTTTGTTACCGATTACCGAGCAGGACGCCTTTTCAGTTTGTCTTACCGTAAATAAGGACTGGCCACTTTTCTAGATGTGGCCTTCCAGAACCCTCTGCAAATTTTTTTTGTAATTACTGCACTGCTTCGGAGCGTGCGGCAACTTTGACTGCACAAGCGTAGTCGTAACCAGTAATCAGTTGCAGAAGCTGAGAAGTGGCGGCAAGCGGGACGTCGATAAAGAGACTCGTTTAGTGGATGATCATGAGGCAGCTGTCCGGATGCATGACAGGATGGCACCTGTCCCTTGACCACTTCTCTGCAATATTCGTCCAGTGATCTATGCTAGTCACGGGCAGAAGGAATACCGAATATACGCGCAGATATATATATACCAGGCTGCACAATTAACCGCAAGGCCTGATTAAGTCGGCAGGCACCGGGACGCATTCAGGTCAATGGAACAAAGCCGCCGCCCGAAAGCACACTACACCTTGTTGATTCAGAGTGATTAGTGGAGAGATGGCTGTAGTCTGTGTCTGTGCGTGCCCCCGCCCGTCCACACCGTTTGGGACCTCCACTTAGCTGTCATCTAAGTGCATTACGCATCCCCACTGCTCTGCTAGACGTCTAAAGCAGCAGATTTACTCCGCTTGGCTAATCCGAGCGCCCTCGCTAATGCAATGAGCTGAGAATTGCTGCGAGCCGGCATCCTTTTAAAGGGCATAAATGAATCGCTTTCATTTGAATCTTCTTAACTTATTAATTCGCATTTGTCCCGCTCGGCGGCATCTTTCATGCCCACAATGGACTGGTCATCAATGAAAATGTACAAAGACAATGGCGACTACAACTCATTGTCGTGTTAGCGCTGTGTTAACCTTTCGCAAGCATTCAGTGAAAACGAGAAAAATTCCCATTGTTGAAAATGGTGTAGGGATTGATAAAACTGCACTGTGCCACACGTTGGGTCAACCGCTATCAGTAACCTTTATCGACACATATTAATTAAGCGCTTGGCTGGTACAGCAGTTTTCTCCATGGTTAATTACGGTGCTGTGAACTTTATTTCTCATAATTGCAATATCAGCCAATCTAGGTACACCTCATATATCAAATTGACAACGCATATATCGTGTCGCTTTCGCTTGGTGTTTACTTGTCAACACCCGTTGCACACTCTAACAATACTACACACATCAAGCAACCCAAGCATCCGATCCCATTAAATTAACCCGTCGATTCCCACTGTCTCCATTGCAGAATCATTCCGTGCAGCTGGCTGACTCATCAGCCATCTCGTGTCAGAATACTGTGAGTCTGTGAGCTGGCCAGCCGAGTAAAAGATCTTCCCAAATGGATACACGGATAAGACCCGATTGTAATAAAACAGATTGCAAACCTAGATTTGAATTGATGAACTTCTCAGGGGGCTAATAGTGGCCCATGGCTGTTGGTCGCCGTGCGGATCATGCAGGGAAACCGGCTACACGTTACCGGAGCACAGCATCCGCGTCGACGCGCAAAACAGAAATGCTTTCTAATTAAAGTGCACCGAGGGTTCAAATGATTAATCATAGGAGTATCCAAAATGACCGGCAAATAATGCTAACAGCAGAATTTTGCGCATACATGATACATAAAATTTTATTATGGAACAGAATTAAAACTTTTATAGAATTAGGGAAAACCTTTTCAAACATCTCTGGTACCAACGGAAATAAATAGCTGCTTGGAGTGTGATCACGACAAAATTTATATTAGCGGAGATAATATTAATTTTGTTCTTGGAGCTATGTAGGCGCATTCTACTTCTGATATAAATATATATTTTAATGCTATTGTGCGTAGAAATGTTGACTTGGATATCCGATTTCCACTTTGAATATTAAGCTTGTTCACGCAGTGTATCCGTTCCGGTAGAACGCCATGGTCACTTCAAGATCACCTTTCGCAGGCATCAGTTGAAAATATAAGTACTTTATAGCTTGAAGGTTTATACAATACTTTCGTTTGCCCGTCCGTAAATTGAACCATCTTGGGCATGTCGTGTGTTAGTCTGGCACGTTTACGATCTAATAAGCAGGCGAGATATGATTGTAACAGAAGTTGCAAGTACGTACAGTTACAGTATTTATAGTCTAATAATATTATAATAGCATTTTTTTTCTTTAACACGAATATTTATCTGTTCTTAACTTGAAAAGTTAATTCATTAGGAAAGAATAAACCTAAAAATCACCGTATAATAATGAGGAAGGTACGTTGCAGGCTTATAATTTATAGAGTTTATATCGGGATGGATATATGGTTCGCGTCCGAGACCTTTTCCAGATTGTGTGTTCTGCTCATGGTCAGCTACGGCCATCAAAACCGTGCGCTCCACCAAAGCCGCAACCACAAAACCGTATTTTATTCTTAAATTGTTTGTACCCACACATGCAAAAGTTTTTTGACTGTTTTTAAGCGTCGTGGCAAGCGACCTTGTAACTACGTATGTAATTCCGATAAAATTCTAAAATAAAAAATTATAAGCTCTATAAACGTTGCGGCTTTTTGTCGTGAATCTCGTGATCGTTGCGCCTAACTTCCGAACACTGAACACAGTAATGTGTTTAACACATACCCCTTAATCGATTTTAAATCTTGAGCCAGACAATTATACTCGTAGAAATCAGGAGTCTTCAAGCGGCAGCATAAAACGGGAATCGGCAGCTGATTTCAGTGAATCGAGGATGATAATTATAATAATAGTGCACTGATTGATTCTTTGTACACAAAAAGGTGTCATGATCGTCATTTAGGGTCTTATTCCTTTTTGTCGTAAGGATACACTCAAGGAGTAATGAATTAAAACTAAGACAACACCTTTTGTTCGGTTAACAGGAACAGTATTGATCTAGCAAAACGAATCGGAAAAATTTGCCGGCTGCATAAATACGTTCCAGTTAGAAGGGCAAAGGCAAGGTTCGAGTGGTCAAGAATAATAATAGTCGTAACTCGCGTTATCACCTGCTCAGGTTTGGAGCAGCTGGGATCTTTCTGTTTTTGCATTAATATTCAATACTACAACAATTTTGCACTACTACAAGATACGTTTAAGTTTAACTGTACACACTATTTCACATAATATTCCAATTTGGGTTATCGCTCTCCTATGAAATGTATAATGATTGTGTATTGTGTGCTATACTTCGTAGTTGCAATGTTTTGCATGTAGTGATTGTAGTCGTAGTAAGCACTGCAGAAAAATCTCCGTATGTTTTCATTCTTTTTGTGTAAACCCTGTAAAGTGCCGATAAGCGATTACAAACCGACTTTAATCGACAACGACTGTTGGTTGTCGGAACTAGGGAAAGAAATGCGATCTTTGCAAATCATCTTAATTTAATGGAGTAAAAATCCACTGGGTAATGACCCAAAAATACCATTAGAATTCCTCTTCCCGGCATGAACCGCACTAGACGACGAAGCAGATTCCAACTGTTTTACAGAAATTGTATTTGTATGTCGGCACTGGCATTGCACAAGAGCAGGGACACTTTTCGTGTAATCGGCGCCGGTTTGTTAATTTGACCGGGGTGTGTAATACGATCTCTAACCTCTTAATAAGCACATCTTACGACGATAGGAAGAAATTACGGTCACACACGACAGGAACATGCGCAGACACGGCATGGATAACACAGATTCAAGTTTCAGCATTTTGTAGCAGACATCGTGATCAAGTAGTTTATCTGAGAAAATTCTTAGCGCAGGGTGAACAATGCTTTCTACAATGTAAAATTAAAGCTCATTATCAGACCTCTGCGGTTCCCACAACCATTACTAAATTGTACTTTAAAGCAGTTGTAGCGAAAAATGCGCGTGTGAGAACAAACTGAGTTGCCGACATTTGTACAAATTGTGTATAGTACTCGCTGCGCGGATATTAGCCATTATTCCTTCATTTTATTGTGGATTCTGCAAGTAGACCTCACAAATCACAATAAGAAGCGTTTACCGTAGGTAAACGATTAGCGGCACATGCTGGCGCTGTTTCATCAAGGTACCAGCTAAAATACTTTGCCGTTGTATCCTTTAGTTTATTAATGATTTCAAATTAATATCGGGGATATGTCAAAACAAAAGTTAAATTTGTCTCAGTTTAGTTTATTCCACAATGTCCTACCAGTAAGCCTTCTATGTGAGGATACGGTACTTACAATGTTAGTTTGCACTTTGCAGCTATTAATCGTAAGCATAACATACGGGGACTGGGGAGAAGTATCAAACATTATGAACCTTATCCTTCGTTTTGATCTCTTAGATATTTTTTATCATTATGCATATTACGTTATGTATTTCTTACTGCTTACATTTCTATTGTCATAGAGCTTACGTTTTTAGAACTTTTCAAATTGCAAACCCATACCGTATAAGCGCTATACAAAGTAATGCAACAAGTTTAACAAGTATAATTTTTTCTTCAACCACATTTTACGGCACGGTTTTCAATAAAAGTTTTCTAAGGATTGTACTATTAATTTTTTTTGGCTTTTTATGTAAGTGAAATACCATAAGTGGTACAACTGACATGAGTTTGCACTGCATACGACGTGGCAGAGCTTTGGGTAGAACTCCTTTTTAAAGTTAAATGTCCTGTTTGTTATAGTATGTATTTTATCCATACATCAATGCAAAATAATGGTGCAAGGCTAACGCACTACAATACGAGTATTTATATGCCAAAATTTACCATTTGCCCTTGTTACTATTGACCGGACGCTCATCCATGATCCAGTCATACTGTTCCGCAGTTCATGCATATGTATCCTTTGCTACAAAGTGTATAAGAGTATCTATATTTTATACGTACATGCTTGGTACATGTATAGCTCTGTGGTACAATTAAATGATATCGGCATCAGTCGAAATTTTGGCTACGCCCTGATTATCAAAGATTTGATGCAGCTTTTGGTCCTTTTCAGATAAGGCGCAAACCACTAGCACTTCTGTTAATGCTTAATCCACCTATAAAGCGGCAAATCTAACCCCTCCCCTTAGACGAACGTAACCATACACTAGAAGTATGGAAGGAATACTATATGAATCCTCTGTGTGATTCGTGTTTTTACCGATGAAATGCCGGTTTTGGATAAATCAGCGTTCCGTTTGCTACTTACTTCTTTTTGAGCCATTTCTCATTTACATGCAGCAGAGCATTATAGTAAACCCAGTCAGTTGTGCAAAGAATCCCATATACTCTGATTTACTGTCACTGGACCATTTCTTTCCATATACAAGTGTTTTGATTAATTAGCGACTCAATCAGATGCACGCTGATTGGAAATGTCCGTGTTTTTGGGATACTGTTCGTTTCTACTGGATTATGTTTGAGTAAAATTACGACTTAACAAATCAACCGGCTGAGACAAACGTACCAAACCATGGATTTCGTCATTCTTAAGGTAAGTAGCCCATCTTTGGCATTCATTGCTATCGTGTAACTACTGTAGCAGTCGCTACTGATTTACTAGAGTTGAATTACACTGTAGCCGGCTTGAGACAAAATAGAGCGGCACCTGCTTAATAATCGGCAGGAAGAAAAAAATCGATTTTATGTTTATTCGGTGAAAGTAAAGGATTACTAGATTAATGCGGTAAATTCAACAGAGCGCTGACCGAAAAACCTAAATGCAACCTGGAAGAGCTATAACAACTTGGACAAATATTCAGTCCAGTTTTCTGAAGCAATGAAATAACAAGGACAACATTAGCTTTTATTTATTCGATGAAAAAGTAAAGATACATAGATGGAGCCTGGTGTGTACATTTTGCTGGATTCGGATGGCATTAGCTATGACTATGATCCGATAAGCGGAATACCCACAAACGCTGTGCGAATGCAAGTGCATTGCGCACACACCTGCAGTTATTCGGTTCTCAAAATTCGTTACTGCAGGTAACCACTTGAATAATTACGTGCAATGCAAACCTACCAATACAGCAGATAAAATATAAAATTTATTTTTCGGTGTAAAATGGCATAAATTAAACGTATTCCGGAACGTATGCGGCTGATTAATAGTGCAGAACTGTTACGGCTCGGGAATTATTGACCATTTTTAACTTCCGCCGCAATCGTGGTCCGGATGTCAAACCGCACTGTAGCCTGAGACTGCATATGTAAATGCTTTCTACAAAAACGAGCAAAACTTTTGAAAACAAAATTTATCATAAAATCAAACCAGTAAAAGATTCGAATTAACTTGTTATCAGCATTAAATAACTATTTCTGGTTAAAGTTAAAAGCAAGGGAAACTGAAATTTCCAGCGTTCGAAGACAGCGCTTTTATTCAGCAAGGTTCAGTGCGATTCGGTGTTGTCTTTATCTCATTTTATGATATTAAAGCTACTGTTAACAGAAATATTTACTCTGTTTATTGGTGGCACAGACTGCAATATAGTACTTAACATGGTCAACCGGTTTGCAAAGCCCGTAAGCAAAAGTACCTATCAGATTCTGACAAATGAAATGTTCTAAAATGGTGAGGTAAAGGTTATTCAGCCAACAAGTTGTCTAACTAGCCCCTGTCCAATATTCATTCAGAATCCAGCCATCTTATTTCGTCTTCGGTGAGATTAATATTGTGCTCTATTTACAGCGATCAAATAGAGAGTTTAAGGTTTGATAACCTACTGCAACAATCGCTCTTTTATAATCGTTTTGCTTGGATGCAGGAGCGCTGAATGTTGAAGTTTCAAAACCATTTTGCAATTCTAAACAAGTTCTTTCTCCTGCTGGTTAACTTATTTTCCATAATTCCGTGTGTGGCTCTCGTAGCGACATGCAACCGGTGATCATGACAGCCTAGACCACATGTGGTTTTAGCCGAGAATGAATAAAAACACGCTTAGAAAGCTGAGTTGGGTATCAACATATCAACTTCCGGACCACCACATCCAATTTATATACAGCTCCGTAGATGAACCATCGCCTACTTGGTTGAAGTCTGCCTCGCTGCACGCTGCACGTCATCATAAAAGGCGTAATTTTCATTAATTATGGTATCCGATTTCGAATAACCATCAAAAATGTGACATCAAGAATCAGACAGTTCTTATTTAGTTTTATTTAACATTAGCGAATTGCTGTGTGGAAATACCAAAAACCTGAGGGACAACGCAAAACATTCCTAAAGCCTGGTCAAATAAAATTTAGTTAATTATTGAGCATTACGTTAGAATTTAAGAGATTCCATTTCGTTCGTGGTTTATTTAAAGTATCACCTAATATTTCAATAATAAAACTATAATTATAGTTTTATATGTAAACACGATGCGCTGGAAGACAATAAAACTGCTGCAATTAAAGGAAAGGAAGCGTGCATTGCAATTTTATCACGCAAGCACGCATAGCGTAGTAGGCGGTCGCTTTCGTGTTTGTAGAAACAGCTGTAATTATGTATATTTTTATGGTCTTGTCAATGACTAGGATGAGTAATTTCCTCATAAACAGATGCGTCAGCCAACAATCCGGGACTGCATGTGCGCTCCGCAGCTAGGTTATATATTTTCCCCGATCGCAATCTGAACAAATCTGTCAGGAATGGGAAGCGAAATCTCTCATATGCAATGGGCGTAACACTGGCCTGCAGCCGACATAATAATATTTTAAACAAAGATTTTCCCCCTCCTTATCCCGATCCTTTCATTATCGATGACCCTAATAAATGCAAAGCTCTGCTTGAGCACTCGTAAATGCGAGATTAATGATAGCGCGTCTCTATTGGGTCCTCTTCCCTCTCCGCTTTTGACGGAATAACAAATTTCTGAGCCCAGATGAAAATGGGACTCATCCGGTTACTGTGGAAATATTAGGCCTAATTACGACGGCCAGATCAATACAAAATTACGACTCATCTCAATGCCCCGTCGAACGGGAAAACGGTTATATACGTTAACGTGAGTGCTGCACTGGACAGCTGTAACACGCGCCGTTGACGCTGCTTACGAGTTATTGGTAGAGCAATAAGCGCTGTGCAGAGATCCTGTGCGTGTATTTTGCACAATAACCACACGTCGTAATTATGTCTGCGTGTATGTAGTGTTAAGCTTAATAATTTATTGTCTAGGTCAATGGAAAAGACGTCTCCCAGGCGAGTCATGAAGATGTGGCCCAAGCGTTTTTACAAGCCGTGGAACCAATCTCCATTCAAGTACTCAGAAGAAAACGCTCAACAAATCCATCATCCGTCAGTGAAGTAGCCAAACCGGTCATAAAGGACTCTGTCGGAGCATCACACCCGGCACCCGGGGAAGCCGATAAGTCATTAGCTGTACAAACAACCAGCAGCCGATCCTGCATCTGTCCCAGGTCAGTAATAATCACAGCAGAATTTATACCTCCCCAAAGAATCGTTTTGCTGAAGTTTTCTGTGTTTTGTCGCCGGTTATACAGATGTGGATATAATATTGATGCCGGAGCGGCTGTTGTGGAGACTGGTGTTACGACGAATCCACAGTCGGCGTCGGCTATCGGCAGTCTGGATTTGCAGCCGAAAGAGGATTTGGAAGACGACGATGATGGACTGGCTGATGAAGTGGAATTTAAGGTACTTTGTAATTACTGTACCAATTTGCTTATATTGCGCCGCGGCATAAACACCCGTCACAATCCGTCAATAGGATTAAGCGGGCTGCCGTATAATATTCCACGCTGTCGGCACACGCCTGTGCCGCCATCGTGTTATGTGCGCTTACATGCGTAATGGATCACAAATCCCAATGTGAAGAAGCAACAGCTGCTACCACTTTCTCTAATTCGCTTTTACTTGAGTATTAAGTTTTGGCCGCTGTGAATTATCTGTGCCGCTAATCGCTTCGTCACCTTTTGCTGGACGGCAGGGTAAAATTAGAAAATATGCTGGGTGCATCAAGTAGTTAAGTAATTATACCGGACAATAAACGATGCCGATCTGACAACTGAAATCGTACAGAACAATAACATCGGCGGTTGTTTACTTTATATTTCGAACCAGTATAGCGAAGATGTAAATCTTTTTGGATGTTACCATATGTTTGGCAAAACTAGATTTGACCATATTATTAGATTTGCCAAAGATAATTAAATGTGAGTTGTGTGCTTATTTTTTTGCGAGGCCACTCCTCGACCGGCATCGAGATTGCACGGGAAGCTTGTGCTGAGCAATAAGACCATAGTTTCCAGGCAGATTTTGTGTTCTTTTAAATACCGTATATAATTTTGTTTGAAGTGTAAGTCCTGAGTAAAGAATGTCATTATTATTTTGAAAAAGAACACTAATAAGTTTTTTTTTAGTTCGTTAGGATACTTCGTATAGGAGCTGCAGACAGCTGCACATAATATTGCAGACTGATACAGAATACAGTGTTATAAGAATTATGCATGCATGCATCTATATGGGGTATATAATTATTACATGGGAACGGGTCTCTTTACCGCATTGTGTATGACGGCGGTATCGTCAAAGAAATGGCAAATGGCAGGATAATAATTGTGATGCACAGTGTGCATGATAGTCCGTAGGCTCAGTTTGATTAACTTAACTTATCAGCAACAGCCTCCCTCGAACCACCTAACAAAAAGAGACTGTCTTCTTTTATATATCGTAAAGGTGGGCGATCTATACTGATGCTAAAATCTAACAAATTTATCAGAACATAATTACAGTAACAGATAGATGTCGGTGCATTTGGGACTGTCTTTGCACAGTCTTTATAATAATTACGTATCAGTGTACAGGTTTTCAAAGGCGGGAAAATAATAATTATACTGTATTATGTCTGCAATATTTATGTTTGTATTATATTAAAACTAGTGGCACTTATCATATATATAGATATTGTAATATCTGTTTGGTGCTACATGCATCTCTGAGATACATCTGGCCGATGATGAGCCGCCTGCCGCAGTCCTCACACAGGCATAATACGAGACAGTCGAAATATAGATAAACACAAATACCGATCAAGGGAGTCCACGAAACGCAGTTTTTATTAGGTTATGACTCAAATTCCATTGTTTGTCCAAAAGGTTTGCACTGAAAGCAGCGTACATATTTAGAGTAGCACGATGTGTGATGCATTATGCGTTGGTGTAGACAAATTGGTGAGAAATTGTGTCATCTGGTCAATGAGTGTACAGATCCCGGGGAGTTTAAAATAATTTCCGGTTAAAGCAGCAGTTCTGTACCTGGGACACACAATCATTTCCTGAGTATTATAGTGGAGAAAATGGCAGCATACCACCATAATGGATGGTGTGCGTAGCCCAAGTGTCCGGGTAATCTGTAATCGGCCAAGTGGTTTCCATTTCTGACAGCTTCAGGGAGAGCAGGAAACATCGAAGAATGACAACAAGCAATACGCGCTTGACCCCTCTGGCTCGCTCTTATCTGGAGCATATTGCAACCGTTAAATACAATATATGCCATCTTTCGATGGTGATGATAGCGCATGTGCATACTCATTTAATTTGACTTCGGCACGTTTGACGCACTCCTGCTGTAGTGAGTACAAAGCACTTTTTCCGAAATAGTCTGAATGTTGATACAAAACATGGTGTGTTTATTGCGTAAACGCGCCAAAAAAATTGAACAAAACAGCATTTAACAAAATCTCTTACCGCACAAACCAAAGCGAGCCCGAAAACATGTGAAACGTACACTTTGCAATTTGACGTGCACATAAAATTCTATTCTTCTAAATATCGTTAAAGACGAAATCATGTAGGATGCAGAAACAAACGTATCGTTCAAACGTATGGCTTTTTTTCGATCGCTTCTGGATAGAGGTACTAGTATGTAAAATTAAAGGCAAAACGCTGTGTTTGTTTCAAAATACTGATCGGAAATATCTTTAAGACGTAATCTTTAAGACATCTTTTTACTTTAGCCTTTTTTAAAGACTACATAAACTGATCATTCACATTCGTGCCGAGCACCGGAGCAAAGTGCCTTCATTATTTATGTGCTTGTTTTTGAAAATCCAATACTGTGCCTTTTTTATTCCATGATATAAAGCGCGTTAAATCCGCATGCTTGAAAATTAATGGCGCTAAGAAAACAAAGCAAGTGACAGGCGCAGAATTTAGAACTACGAAAAGGGTGTTTTTATGGTGTTTGCGGTAGTCGTAAAATGCGTTTATGCGACATGTCAACACCTGGTTTATTTTAAATTTCCATCAGAATAGCACTGATAAGAACTCAAGGTGAATAAAGCAGTCCATATTGCTCTTCTGATGGCACACATTCATAACGGGCATGGTAATGAAGTGCACGTTATTACGTATGGCGATCAGGCATGTGAATGTGTTCATTTTTCAGGTAACGATAAGGAAGTCGTCTGGTCAGACCAATTTGGATGTGATGTGTCGAAATATCAACACAGAAGGTAGCCGCTATCAGGCTGGTTTCGTGATTGTTGATCAGGTGAGTGTGCACAAGAGTTGAATTGTATGTACACACATACGCACACAACCGAGTCTGAGGTCATGCCGATAATCTTGGACGTTCTGTAAATGTACAGATAAGGGATGAACAGATCATCAAGGACGGACTGCTTTGCGAGGGTGACCGCATTCTGCAGATTAATAATCAGAGCATCAGCGATGCCGATCATGCAATGCGGATGTTTGCTGATCCATCTGTACGACAGTACATTATTCTAATTACTCGCCCCATCGATGATGAGCAAGATGATGGCGATAGTGTGGAAGAGCTGAGAATGTCCCTTTCCGATGAATTGCACGAAAACGCCGACGGAAGCGTGGACACGGTAGGTGTCTTCTATAAGAAATTATAAGTTACAATCGGTCTAGGTATATTAATTTTATGCAATGGCAAAACTACTTGTGGCATTTTAATTGAGACCAAATTCAGTTCTTCTGAGTACGTTTTACATGTGCAATATTATCTGTTTTGTAATATCGTATTAATTCCTGCGCGTGCATTTATGCACATTATTCAAACTGAAATAAGGGATCAGTTTAGTTTATGATAATTTACACATATTACACCATATTAGTTTTGGGCGCGATCCAGTACAACAATTCGAAAATTCTATGTACAGCAAAAAACCACGGGAATGTGTCGTAGATTTCCTGTAGAATATGATGGTGTCATTCGCAATAATTAATCTTACTGTGATTCCAGGATATTCTTGATGGGAGCTTAACCATTCATGAAAAGGACAGCGGTTTAGCGGAAAGTTGTAAGAATGATGATAGTTCTGAGAATGACTTGATGTCACCGCGCAGTTCCAAATACAATACAACCAGTTCCGGTGGATGCTGTGACGATGGTGATAATATTATGGAGATTAATGTCAAGGAAACCGGCATACAAACCGACGCTAATTTGTCATTTCCCCAGCGCCAGTTTCAAAGCCAGATATCTCTGACGAATATTGAGAATGAATTGCTGGCCATAACCAAACGAATCGAAATGGCACAGATTAATGCCGGCAAAAGCCCAAAAAATACCGCAGAAGCTAAAGACCCCCCTACTCCGCCTCCGAAACCGCCCCGTCTGCCGCGAACAACGTCGCTCTCCCCACAGAATGTGGATACTGCTAAAGCCTTGGTGCCGCGGCGAAAGAAACGCTCGCGTAAACCTTCAGAGGAAGAGAAAAACCAGACTTATATTCCCGTTCGGCCGGGAGTGACCAGATTGACCTCGCCCGAATTTTGTGCGTTTTCATTGAGTTCCAGTATACCCAAACAAGAGAACAGCATGCTCACATCTGGTTTAAGAGGCAAAACGCACGATAACAATGATCTAAATACCGTATTTGGTGCAAACAATCTTGGATCAGGGAAACTCAGCTCTTTTACCCCAAAAACTCAAGCCGCTCCAGTTTTGGCTCCAGCTCAGCAAGTTCCAGTAGGACGGAATTCCTTCAGCTGGCTTAACCATTCGCAACTTAGAACGGTGCGGGAGGATGAAGAACTATGCCCACAAAAACAGCATATTTACGAGCAAATACTACCAAGCGCCAACTGCCCTTCTCTGCAAAGGTCATCTGGAGTGAAATCATCAGCCAGCAGACGACCGGTACGACTGATTAAGAAAAAAATTTTCTGTTTCCAGACACCACTATGATCACTTATTGCACTTGTAATTTACTGCAGTTGACTGTACAACGGTGAAATATTTCCGTGAACTATATATATTCATTTTACCTTGATTACGAACTTGAACATTTTAATTAGCACCTGATCTGCACGTGATAACATATTCATAATAGTACGGATTAGATGATGCTGTCCTTTGCAGCCGTTTTAAAACCGATCTTACATTAAAGTCGATATTCTTACAGGTGCGCAATAAACTTTTACACGAACGAGCTCAGAGGATTAACAAAGAACGCTGTGGAGTGACCACGGACGACGACGCGAAAAGCGAACTGAAACTTGGACGGTACTGGCCTAAAGATGATCGACGCCGGCATCTCGAAAGTGCCGACACTAAACGGCGCCGCGAAAACGAAGTCTTTCGATTCCAGCTGGCTGTGCCCATGAAACCCAAGATTGTTCTACTTAGCGAACAAAAGCAGCTGCGAAAGTTTGCTAAAAAGGGGGATGGATTCGATCATAATGTTGGTACCAGCGAACCTGTCGGAAATAAAAGTTGGCACAATACTGCCCGCGCTGCTAATGCTAATAACGGTGTTTGCCATTTGACCAACCATGTTACGACCGTGTAACATATGGGAACAATACGTCTTTTGGTTTGGTTTAATTTTTGTACCTTTTTCAAAATCCGATTTTTAAAATTCCTTTATGCAAATGATTTGTTGCAAACGCTAACATTGTGTGATGTGTTTGTTACTTGGTTCTTCAGAGCTTCAGATTTTGAATTATGATGTACATAAATGTGAGCTATTCAATATATGGCGAGAAGCAAACTACAATTAAATTACCACGGTTAATTCTTCCCTATAGTTATAACCGATTACAATGGCCGCGTTATTGTTGGTTCCATGATGAAGTCTGCGGCAGGAAAAGTTATGGTTGAGTTACTCGCGAAACAACCCTGCCCGTTACAAAATTGATGTACAAGTACATCCAAATTTCCATATTATCGAAAGATCTCGCAGCATAAGCACTATTATTATTGTTTTTAATTGATGATGCGTACGTATGCGCACTACTGTAGGCACCCGATATTTTCTAATTGTATACAGTCAGACACAACTAAACACGGTCGCTGCTTTATACAATAAGCACTATTAGTATCCCGACATATGCTTTTAATGTTGCAAAAGCAAGGTTGAGTGTATACTGCAGAAAGCTAGATTAGAAAGTGTAATGTCATATTAATAATACACGATGAAAACAAGATATGGTTTCGATACAAGAGCGCCTTTCACCTTGAATCACGGTTCTTGTCTGGGTCACAATTCGCCGGAAGGGATAGGATTACTCTTCGCTTTTCAGTTAGCCTAGTTCTTCACTTTTTATTATACACCTACCAACTCCGTTCAGTGAGTACTTACGACGTTGCCGTAGTTGTGGCTAACGCATTGTCTATGGCAGTCAAGTTCAGACTCGTCTTTTGTTTAGCCGACTCGTTTTTTCATCAACGCCTAGACACAGTGGCGCCAGGAGAACCATAGAACCCCAACCGCAAAATCAACGAATGGATGCAACACAACTGAGCTTTTCGCGCTGATGTCCAGGCCATTCCCAGTTCTACTCCGCCCATGAGGTAAACTCGTGAAAATATTATCTTGTAATCTGTAGCTATCGGAAAGAACTCACATCCTCACAACTCCAATGTCAATAATATTATGGAGAAAAAGTTTAGCACTTTAGAAAAAGTAGCTCAAAAAGTCAGAGCGCTGTTGTTCATTTTAGTCGGATTACAGCTACCTGTGCTGAATGGTTTTCTCAATGGAAAGAGCTGGTTTTTATAAAACACTACATGGAACACCGCCGCCATCAGATCGACCGCGATGTGTAGTATGCGGAGACGAGTCTAGCGGTATTCACTATGGCGTCAACAGGTACACGCAACTGGTGTAATTTTCTCTTTATCTTATTGTTGCAATCGCATCTCATTGCAATACCTCGAGGTATCTATTTTTCTACGGTAACACATACCGTTGCTTGCAGAACTTGTATAAAATAATTATACTCTCTGCGTAGTTTACACATATCTGTACATGAACATACATACGCAAAGACCTTTCTTTACAAGTTATGGCATTTACAAAATTTTTCTTCTATCGCTGTCGCTTCCCTTGCGGCGCCGCTAGTGTTTCTAGAGTTCTTTTATCAATTAAATTGTATCCTGTAGCTGCATTCGTAAGCAGTTTACATATTGTTAAATGATGTACTGTTTCCGGTGGTAATTTGCTTTTTTCTTTTACAGTTGCGAAGGATGCAAGGTAAGTGAGAACTTCACTTCGGAGATCTATCGTGACAACACGTTCTGTGTGTGTGCCCTGATCCGAGCTGTACAATACATGCACTGTAATCCTTGGCAAACATTTAACGGTTTATTGGCTCGTAGTATGGCTAACTATCGTGCTGTCGAGTAAAAACATTAATCATTTTTTCAATGACTGGTTGGAATAATTGTCAGCAGGCAGATACTTTAATATTCAGCCGCAAACCGGTTATTTTAGCTTTTCTTTTGTTAAAACATCTATAGATTTTGCGTTTCGGGTTCTGATGTGTGTAGTCGAACTCACATCAACATCAAGATGAATCATTACGATTTTTAAAATAAAACTGTGAACACTTACAACATACACCGTACGGTGTGTATAATTAAAGTGTCGTGCGGCACCCGTTGTTAATTTCCTCTGAATGCAGAACAGTGCATTATGTATGTTTACGCTCTTCTGTTTTGTGTATGTTTATGCTCTTACGCTTTTTACGCTATTTACGTTTTGGAAACGAATGACTGACCTTTAAATGTCTTCGGCATGCCTACGATCTCTTAACGCTTCCATTTCAGGGATTTTTTCGCCGTTGCATGGTGAAAGGGATGAGTCAAAAATGCACCAACAACGAAGAATGCGAAATTACAAGATTCGCTCGCAATTCCTGCCAGTTTTGCCGGTTGAAAAAGTGCATTCGAATGGGAATGTCCCGAAGCGGTAAACACGTACATTAACGAGACGTATCTGTACATCGGTGATGCCCAACCATCGTACATGGGCTTGCAAGTCTGCGGCGCCGCTAAAACATTTTGCTCAATTTTTTAGCATCCAAAGTGGGCAGACGCCCTAAAACAACCAGCGTTAGTACGGCCGATCTCGTAGCCGCTGAGCACGCCGAGGCGTTCAATCTAAAACCGGCTCATTCCAAATCCGTCGGCCATCGCCGCTCACAGTCACTCGTTCCACGTACGCTGTCGGCCACTTTCTCCGGAGCCGATTCCCCGGCCGACTACTCACGCCCTTCTCCCAGCTCCAGTCGCAAGAATTCGGCGACCATATGTGACGGTTTGCGCAACGGTTTAAAAAGTCTCCGCACGTCTAGTCCATTTAATTCTCATCTGCATTTGCCGTATCCGGACATGAGTGCTGCGCAGTCCACATCCAAGCCGTTGACGCAGTGGTCCACCCATCCTTCGCCCATTCAGTCACCCAGTCCGCTGGATTTCTCTACCAACTCGGCCAATTATGCTCACTACACTTTCCCGGAACGTGAGCAGTCATTTCCTCATCATTTGCAGTCCATGATGCAGCCCAAAGCAACCAACGGGACGGCATCCGGTCACGGTGCGATGTCGTCATGGTCGTCGATGGCGAAGCCGGCGGGCCGACCACTCCTGAATGGCGACCATGTTGTTACTCTGTCCGCTGACCACTGGCCAGCGCAGTCGATGTATGAAACGCCTGCAACGATCTTCTCTCCGGGCGGATTTAATGGTAACTGTTTCCCGGCGATTTCGGAATCTCAATAAAGGACAGCCTGTTTTTATTCGGGTCCAGTCTGTGCATTTATACGATCTTGGGACCAATCTGATCTTACGTCAGCAAACTATGGATGCGCGGAATGTAACATTTTATTTGACAGCTCCCACTTTTTTTCTGGGAGCTGCTCATGAACGTAGTACAAGTTTTTTGATTGGCTGACACTATTTTGTGATCGGTCACTAGATTTCCTACAGAGTAGTATTTGTTAGTACTTTATTAATACAATATTCCATTGTTGAAATGTTTGTACCGGTGTTGTCATGTTGTGAAATTTGTGATTCACTGAATATACTCTCGCTTGCTCTTAAAGTCAGATTTGTAAAAAAACATTAAATTAGTGTGGGAACATTGCATCTTGACGTTAACGTTGAAAGACGATGAAGGAAAGTCCGATTTCGGTTACCTACTCTATATATTATCTTGCTGTACATTTACGAACAGGGTATCGAAAGAAAAACATACGAAAGCTGCTAGAAGTAACCACAGTTAAAAAATTGTGATATTCAGCAGCGCGATAATAGCTCGTTACGGTATTCTGAACATTCCGGCAAAAATCCGCCATGCTCAGGGCAACATCAGATCAGAAAGGGATATTTCATTTGCAACCGGGTCTTCATAAAGGTCCAACTTGCCCGTTTGTAACTGCCGTTGATCCTAATTAAAAAAAACCTGTTATTTTTGGTTAAATTTCCTGATATGCAGTTACCATAAAAAATGAAATAGTGTATGTCCCATCGCCCACCATATATGGTTCACACGGAATTTATTAACAATATTTTCCAGTGCGATTATATTTATACGATAGTGCGTGCGTACAGATCTTAAAAACTGCAGAACTTATACTGTATAAATTATTTAAGTAAAATCTTATTTTTTGACTTGCTTTTCCAAGAGCTTTCAGTTTTATTTATCAGAGAACTGTACCTAGTGGTGCGATCTGGGATATTCCATTTGGTAAAACCGGTATCTTTGGAAGTAAATCCACCACTTCTCTGCTACCAGGCCGGATAACGGTATCTGCGGATATTTGTACTTACTTTTAACATGCATAAAGATTAAAATAATGCTCTACCTACGAGTGCATTAAATTTTGCTGACTACGTACGTTTCGCAGTGCAACCGGTAAAAAAGTAAAGCAATAGTTTCAAAATGACACAGTAACTGTGGTAGCAAAATCAGTGGCAAACTACAAAAGCGTAGCAAAGAAACACTAGCCATTTTCGAATTATTATGGGTACCGATGGGAAGATTGTTGATTGGGCCGGAAGGGTTGGTAGGGTTAGTGGGATTTGACGGATTGGTTCCACTTCCAGCAGGCAGGGGACCTAATCATCATCACAGTTGTCACTTACGTTAGAAGGGCCCGGCCTTCATATATGTATGGCGAATTCGGGGTACCGTGCACATGGTGAATGTTACGAAAGTTTACCTATTTGTCCGGGGGTTACACTAGTGGATCCTACAGCGAAAAAACGGCATGGAGATTTTTCGCATGATGCACATACGCCATGGCTTTAATTTTTGCTTTTATAAAATAGGTTTACCAATCGGTGCGATTTGTGGCGTTCCGGTCTGCGCCGCTGTAACGAGAATAACAACACACTATTTTTGCTGTTCTAAAAGAGCCCAAATTTTTGCAATTGCGTTTTATGGCATTCTTAAACTCCTTAAAACACACCATAAAACTGGATTACGAAGTTGACTGTATTTTATACGCAGCCAGCAATTGTTCACTGTACATACCTGGATTTGCAACAATCGGGCTAAAGGGCAAGACGGATACGGGCGCGCCAGCAATAATATTGCTTTGCACTGTGTTATACGTGCAACCTAAAAGTTGAGTGTAGTTACGTACACTGTGGAGATCGTCATAACAAAATGCGCAATTTCATTAGTTGTTTTTATTATAATTCCTATGAGTAAATTTAAAATGGAAAGTAAATTTTACCGCCAAAAGGGTAGGTATAATATGCTCCGTTGCATAAGTACAAAGTATTGCTTGCAACGACAGGGCTTGCGACTGGAAAGGTGTTGAATCCATATGTGCAACCGCCAAACGGGAAAGCGTACAATCGTCCGTTGCAGTAAAATAACTGCTGCCCCATACGCCCTGAATATTTGCACATGTACCTAATACTACACAAATAAAAGAAAATTATTTCGTTTGTACATAACGAGCCAAACACGGAGGAATAATGGCTTACAACTATTGGTAAATTAAAATTAATAAGTACTTGGAATCTTTATATGTACTGTGTGTTGCCATTTTTTCAGCACGCGCGGAAACATTTTGGTTTGATAAACTGTTGCATGGAGTCATTAAAAAAATTTGATCCATTAACTGCATGATTTATCTGCACTGTTATGTATTTCTTTGCCAGGATCACGGCTGCATTTGCACATGCTGGCGAGCAAACTCGAGTTTTTTTCCCGGAATCAATAGGAAAAGGTTATGGTTAGGTCAGAATCTTCTAGAGCAACTGGGATTTAGGGGATGGGCGTTTTTCTGTGATCAGCGAAGCCTGGCAAGTACTTGTCAGATGCTTATCAAAGAACAATAAAAATTAAGCTTATGGATTTCATAAAGTCAAGTTGCAGAAGGTCAGTAGCTGGAGATCACCCGCAATATCGAGAGGCTTTTGTTACTCTTCAAATCAAACAAAACGGGGTGATTAGAAGCTGGGATGATTGGTCGGGAAGGAGAGGGGCCGAAATGCAGGGTACAGTATTCATATATAGTATTCATATACTTTGTAATTATGGATTGCTACAGTGTGTTACATGTAAGCTGACCGTGTTAATCAGAAGACACTTACTTATAAGAAATAAAATTTCCAGACGGCTTATAAAACCACCGATAGTATTGTTCATGCCTAAGAGGGGCAACATTTAAACTGTTTCCTGCTGTTTCAGATAAACAAACTTCCGTAGTACATAATAATTAAGGAGTGAATGCGTTAATAGTACAGCTTTAAGAATGGTAAGTGTTGAAGAAAGTACTCTAATAATTTTGAAAACATATACATATGTACGAGTATAGTCCTTTCCTTGGTGAGCGTCAACAGGACTCAGACATGTGTTAGCAAGCTTTGATGTTTTTGTTCACCTCATTAAATCATGATTACGTTGGCTTATGCAAAAGCCATACCCGATATAAATTTGCTTGAACTGAACTTTTTAACATAATGCAACATCTCAAAACCATGCCGCCTTGTACTTGTACATTATTATTAGACTTGCTTCGTCGCTTCAAATAGCAACAGACGCACCAGCATCGAATACAAAGGACAAAATTATAATCCGTAAAGTTGAAATTGCATCGTATTTGCTGACGCTGAAGTTCTCGAAAACGTCACTGCTGAATGCTGATTACTGCGAAATGTAATCAGTGCTGTAAAGTATGACGGTTCTTCCTGTAACTGCAGCATCCCGATTATGGTATATAAGTAGTTTTATCGCACGTTAAGAACATGCACTGCAGATATACAGAGTGCCCCTATATCTTTAGATTGAGCAGTAGCATAAAGCAGCACTAGAAGTCATTTAATGTCCTGGACAAATGTTGCTGATGGTACATGACGCTCAGCGCCGGCGTCGCTTGCCCAGTATAGGTCCCAGCTGACCCGGCACTTGGGGTGCCGTGGATCCTGTAATCAAAGCAAATCCTTTTTTCGAAATGGTTCATTGCTTATTTGCTTTCGTTTAGCAGACATACTGATCGAGTGAATATTCGTAGTTATGTATGAACTGCAGAGTTAAATTACCTATTGGGGCAATTTGCGACACTCCAGCCGGTAAAGCAGGAACGACCAGGGAGAGATGCAGTGTTGAAGGCAGTGTTAACAGTTGGGGTTGCGATAACCGGCGTTGCGATAACCGGATTCACAACTGTGTTGGTGTTCACGTTCGAAAACACATTGTTATACGTGCAACCTGCGCCAAATTACGTCGGTTAACAAAATTAATATCTTTAGCGTAATCTGTTCTGCTTTGCAAAGGTCAAGAAAGACCAACCTGGATAAGGATAAGTGTAATATACGCCGTTGCAAAGGTAATATGTTCCGGTATAAGGATACGTCAAGGAAGAATATGCATAATTGTTGTAAAAATTGTTGTAATAATTATATGCACATCCTGGATAAGCGTATGTATAATAAATTCCGTTGCATAAATAATATGTCTGCGCTTCTATCTTGTAATCTGAAAGCGGGAAAGGTCACATAGAGAAGTCAGTTACGCCGTTTTCCTGTCAACTTACTTGCCAAGAATGCTGCAAACAATATGGTCAAAATGCTTCTGATATCGCTAAACATTTTTTTACTTTATGGTTTTATCAGCAAAATAAGCGGTTTAGAGACCAAAAGACGAATATTAACTTAACCGCTTCTAATGAGGCATCTCCTAGGTAATTGGCTTGTGTGAGCGTTCATACTTTAAACTTTTACTATTATCTCAATTTCTCAAATAACTCTCGTGCAAGAAATCAGTGTAGACTTATTTTTGGTTGACACACTCGAAAAACATGTCACCCTCGTGCAACATATGTACATCACCACGTGTCTTGGCACTCGCTTGTCAATGTTAATTGGCGTAAATTTTGTTCTCAAGTAATAACTGCGGTCAGAAGTCAGAACCTTCTCGATTTTTCTGCTGAAATCGCAGTTTGCGAATTACCGCAATAAATTAGACGTACCTAATACATAGTTAGACCATTAAATGCAAAAAGGGGGCCTGACTCAGTTCATGAAAAACGTTCTCCGAATTTACTGTACTGCATATAAGGCACAATTAGAATTATATTAATAATTTAATGGTAACGATGTCGCCAGTGTGTGCATACGATGGCATAGCGTTTGGATATAGGACTGCAACTTAATTAAGACACTTACTTCTATACATTTTTGCCACTTAACTGCACAAAAAGCCCAATAAAAATCGCTTTACAACAATTACACCTTAGTCGGCTGAGAGTGTTTTTGACATTTAATTTCCCATCTTCTGATGACTACAACTTTTTAAAAATTCGTAAAAATCGTATATAGAAAACACTGTTTTTGGAATCGTTCCCGTCTTGCGACTGACGCAACAAAGAAATACAAAAATTTTGCTGTATAAAACGTTAAAATTTGAGTTTGTTTAAAGGTTCAAGCATTCTTGTTTGTTAGCCATAACGACTCGAATAACGCGATCCGTATCCAGATTGGTAGTAGCGTCCTCCCGAACTATACCGGCTGTAACCTTTTCTCAGCTTGCTGTCACCACTTTTCTCTTCCACCTGGGCTTCCACGTCCCGCTGATAGCGTCTTCCGTATCCATTTGAATTGTATCGTTCGTAGCTTCCCGAATAGGAACCGCCATATCGGCCGTAGGAACCGTATCGTTGCGGATAGTAACTGTCGTAACTTGAATATGCTGAGTAAGGTCGCCGGTAGCTTGAGTAGCTGTTGTAATACCCACCGGCATATCCTTGATCGATCAGAATTCCTGTAATTTTCAATACAAAACTTAGAATCTGGTAAATAATTTAACATAGTTTGAAATATATGCTGGTGTTTAATATCTAGCCGAAATATCTGGTAGCTTACCGGCAAAGAAGACAATGAAGGCGAGCGCGCAGTACACTGGATTCATCTTCGAAAACGTGTGATTTTCCGAGCTGCAGTAATGAACAAGTTCGATGGTGGAACTTGGAGTTGATGTTCTCTTGTTGAACGTTTCCGCTTTATATACGGCTTGCGGAGCGGAACATGTCAGCATTGTTTCAACCTGCAGTTTCGCAGCGCCATAAGCACATTACATGTACGCTCTTAAAACACAAGGATTGTGATCCAACACGGTTCAGCTGACTTTGCAGCATCGTAACAAATTTAGGTAGCTATCAGCATCACTTCTACACCAGATTCCAACAATTATTGCACTTACCTTAACAAGAAGCGCGTAAGTAACTGACAACACTGTAAGTGATACTTCTAAACGGAAAACGCATTTTCTGTGTTATCCACGAAAGTCTACAATCTAAACTATTGTGTATTTCGAGGCCTTTCATTCATGCACAACCTGCAATTTTTTTGGAGACAGCAGTTTCATGGTACAGATACACTGCTCAAGTGTAATGTGTACAGTAGCTCCAAAAACGACGGCTGCTTGTGTTAATATGTGATATTTTCCTGCCTGCTGTTGCAGCATTAATGCGCTTTCGATAAGACCTCAGGTACACATAAAAGCATCCAAATCCCACAATGTTTTTATACATGGTGCTCTTCATCAAACAAACCAGTTTCACTCAAAGAAGAGCTATTTTTGTGAATGAAAAGTAGCTCGTCATTTTATTTTTGCTCGTTAAAAATTATCCCTAAACAAAAGCATTACGGATCGCACACTATTTAACACACACAAAATATCTGGATTGGAGCTATCACATTGAAACCACACAGGAAGGGGCTTTTTCTTCCACCAAATGCTTATAAAGGTACGTAAGACCTATATTCCAGCATTCATCGAGTGGAATTTAAAGCAAGTAAAAGCAATAATACGGTCCCCATAAAACCAAAGTCACACATGGCAGAGTCAAGAATCCATCAGGGTCATAGTTTCCCTTTACCATATCCGTCCGGATAACTTTCGGAAGCCGACACCCACCAACACACACAAGCTCGCCCTAAACCATGCATGAGCAACTTTTGAGTTTATAAAGGTTTCGAAATACGTATTATAATTCTATAAACGAACCAGAAAATCATTTTCGAATAACTTCTCTTTGACTTAATAACGCGGTGTTCATCGAGTTTCCGCATTGTGCACGAATCAAATACCGACGCTTTCACTCCCAAAAAGTTGTTCGCATATTCTGCCACTTTCGTAGCCCTGAAATTTAAATATTTTCAATAGTATCACTATGAGGAACCGACTACAACCAAACACCTTTCTTGGCTTGGGCAGGCTATGATAATCTCCTCTTGGCTTACGATATGGTGCTCATAGACGCATGCTTGTAGGAAAACAGCCAGTACCTAAAGGTCAACACGGCATCTACAGTCTGTACCGAACCGTTTTGTTCGAAGCATTTGAGAATAGTATAGAATTCCTTTACGATCGAAGTGTTATACAAGAAAACGAATGAAATGAAATATAAGCACCGATATCTTCCGTACTGTCTCTGTTTTCGTATAGTCTTCCATCGATAAGATAAAATATATGGAAGAACGATACTTTATACCGAAGTGTTGCTTCGAGAGGATCGTTGCAACCTTAAAGTTACCGCCACAAAAACGTTCAAAACTATGCGTTAGATACCTGTGATTTGCAGACAGGAACCATCTCATTACCAGACACGAGTCTCACCCACGCCTTTAAGCACAAAAAAGCCATATACATACAAAGTCAATAGTGAATCCAATACTAGTATATTATGTTCACCTTGCTGCGAACCGCTTGTTCGTCTTCTCCAAAAACATTCTAAAATCAAAACTAATTTTCGCTTGAACGCAACTGACCATTAGTACGGTAGATTGACCAACCATAGTTTTGTCGGCAGCAATGTGGAGATAAAGAAGCCCTCGGTATTCATCAAGCGCTGCGAAGTCCATTTCCGTACGTAGCAGCAGTAGAGGTGGAAGTGTGTGCAAGGTAGCCTCTCGCTGCCGTCCAGAAGCAGGAAGCGTACGGGCAGCAGCTTGCAGAGTGCGATTTCGTATTTCGGCCACTTTACTGGCATTCAATACAAATATTGTGTTTAGAAATACTACAACAAAATAAAAAATCACTGCAAAAAGATGTCGTTTTGTTGCCGGTGAAATGTTCACCTACCAACACCCGCCATATACGCGTCATAAGCCGCCTCGTGAGCCTTGTTTTCCGTATCTACGAAGAATCTGCCTATGCATTCTTCCAATGGTATTTCAAATTCCATTCCAACAGAATGAAAATTTACCGTAGTGGTCGTGACGATCGTCCTGTTCGAATTTCGGCCCATACTGAAAAACACCAGTTGTCCTGGCGCCAACAACCACTGCGTTAATCGAGCAAAAAACATGGCTAATGAGCCACAAACGCTTACTTTGCCGATTTCATTGTACTGAAAAGCTCTTCCAGTGAAGGCGCATCAAAGTGCCCGAATCCATTAATGTTCTGTAATGTTAACAGACATGCGGACATGGGACACCAAATAATCCCGGCAAGTAATTAAATAAAATTTTAAAAAATCTGACATACTTCCATCCGCGACACGGCTTGCGTGATGACCTTTCCGTCATAAAGGTTGGGGAAGACTTCTCGAATAATCGCTTTGAAATCCGCATAATCTTCAGGTATAGGACCGTAAAACGTGTCAACAAGAAACATCAGATCTTGAAGCAATTGAAAACCCACTAAAATCTAATAAAGCAGCATCAGCCGTCAAATATCCGTTTTACCAAAATAAATCGTACCGACACCGTTACAGACTTGCCTTCTTCTCTTGAATAATTTGTGCGAAGATTTTTCCGCCTAAACTAGATTGTTTCAAAAACCTATTTCAAAACATATCAATTACCTTAGTGAACTTGTATTCCAAGCGTTTTCTAGTCTCGAACTCATACAATGCTTACCATTCTTCAACAGAGCGATCATTATTCTCGAATGCAGCCCTCTGGTTTGCATTAACAAACTGGAACTGCATCTGAAAAATAAGAAACAATGTCTGTATTTACACGCCATTATCAAAAGAAAACTATAGTTTCTACCGAATTCCATGACAATGGTGTTGTCCAAATCCGCGGAAACATCTCGCGAAGCACACAGTGCAATGCAATGGGAGGACCTGCAATGTTACCGCCGCTCAGAAAACTCAAACAAAGATCTTGCAATGCATAACTGAAAATGGTCAAGCTATCAATCTCATCGTACTTCTTAATCCTCTTAACTGCTGGGGTTCAAAAGAGCCATTCGCGGAGTCGATGATACTTTCCACCGATTGAGCATCGGTTTCCGCCATCCGCAGGGCTTCCGACGAACTAGTTACAAAAACGCATACACATTCCACATGGATCTCGTTTACGTAACAAAAACAAAAATTTACAATTCGGCATCCTTCAAGGCGCAAATACCGCGGCGCAATTTGACAGCCAAATGCTCCAGTTCCGCAATGGACAGATTCGGCACTCCACGTTCAATAACCTGTGAAACAACCCGCTGACCTTTATCAGGGATCGCGTTTGATTCAACTGCTTCAGTTTCAAATGGCACTCAATTTTTCTGCAGGATTGGGTTTACAAATCGCGGTACAAAAGCGATACTGATGCGACATAACTCGTAAGTGCAAAAATTCTGTTTATTAGCCAGTAACACTAGTGTCGCCCGCCAATCTAATTGTAATGTATGCGAAATAGAAAGGAATTAAAATTGCCATTTGTTGTCCACCGTAATCATTTAAATGAAGTGGGTAAAATACTGACATGAGTATTTTTTTGTAAACAAAATACGATAATATCTTTCAGGTCAGTTTCTGCATTGGTTAAAATATGCGCACCTCATTCAAATCGAAGCCATGATTTTTCAGGAACCGCATTGCGCTCCATTCACTAACGAAGTTCTTTGTGCGAAAATCTTTAAGCCCAGTGTCAGCTGGTGCCAGGACGATGTTGAAACATGTCACTTTGTAGGTCCTGTAAAAAACGTCTTGCGAAAGTAAAATGCGCTTAATTACAAGTACTCCACACTCAATTTGTTAGCGCGTTTTCGTGCGATGTTCACCGGTATGACACCAACCTCTGTTGATCCAAATTATCTCCATGATCAGGGACAGCCTTCGGAAGACGAGTGAAACAAGCCAATCCTGTAAGAAAGTGCAGCAATCGGCGAAATGACAAGTTACAACCAGTAACAACCAGCGTAAACAACATAACACATACCGAACTGCAGAAGTGAGGCTTCTCGGACATTTTGTCGGAAGCGGCTGTATCGATGATGGGCCTGATCGAAGCGGGATTCGCGTGAGCCTGATCCGATATTCAGCCCGGAAAATTCTGTGTCAAGGGCTACAGCGCATGGAAGAAAACATCAGCAGTTACAGCTTTCATAACGAGACGTCAGCCATCCCGATCGCCGATCGGCTGTGATTTATGAATGCCTGGGACTCTGACAACTGTGGCGTCGTACCTATGAAGTCCGCTTGCTTTATGCACGATTCGATTTCTGGAAGCAACTCATCAATGGTGTCAATATTCACAGACACCATTTTCGACAAAACCAGTAGAAGTTTATCAAGCCCTATTGGATAATTTGCAGATAAATGTCGTACGGAAATTACGAATGATGTTGCAGATCTGTTGCAGAATGCAGATCCACAACAAAAAGACAAAAAAACCTGCATGTGAGTGCATAGTCATACGGCATGAGGCCTCGTCTGACAACACAATGTTAAGTTTTTTTTTTTTTCTTTTCATACTACCTTTAATAAGTATCACTCGTAAGTACTAACTAAGTACTCAAAACAACACAAATTCATAAGAAAAACACTTCCTCAATGCTATCCTGATCGGGGATTGTACCCATCACACATATAGCATTTCCTCGTTGAATTTGAACAGATAGCCGCTGCTTAAAAAACTCTTTCGCCCGCTTCTGGCCCGTGGCGGTTGCTATCCCGTTTCCAACCTTGTCAACGAGCATTTTCGTACCGTCCCCCCATGGTCCGTAAACTTCAATCGCTGCCGCTGTGAGGTTGTATCGTGGTAAAAGCCAGGCGTGTTTGATCAGTTTGGCCCGTTCCGCCAGCTCGGCAGCGGCTCCGACGTTAAGAAAGGTGCGGTCGATATACGAAGCAGCGAGTGTGTCAACGCAGGTCACGTCAGTAGCCAGCGGTTTACCGCGCTCCCAGGGTATAAGAGTGATCACGTCCGGCCTCTTGCGATCTTTCACTGAGAGACCTTTTGGTTCCATTTTCGCTGGGAAACCGGCGGTCTTCAGTCCGCGGGTGAATTCCGCGCTAATGCCATCGTGCCGTGGCAGCCTTCCGGCTGACCGCTTACATCGGAGCCCGTGCCGGCCCAATTCATCGACTTGCATCCGCTGATCTCCAAATTGTGCCCTACGTTGCCCGCCACGGATATAACCACTGCTACACTAGCATGGAAATTGCTAGCGGCAACGGACGAACTTCCTGCTGAGGCGTTCAGGCATGTCCAGAAAGCGTGGGATACACCGGCAGTACTACATGCGTTTTCCAGTTTGACTGAATTACGGACCACAAAGGAAGAAGTCGCACACTTGAAGGCGGTGTCAGTGCCCGAATCCGGTGCATGGATTCATGCTTTGCCAGCAGCATGTCTCGGTAACCTATTGGACAACAACGCCTTCCGTATAAGTGTAGCGCTACGTCTCGGAGCACCAATAGTTACTCCCCATGTGTGTGTTTGTGGCGGACAATCGATGAATTGGGATGTTAAGTCCATCCCAAGGGGTGGCAGCCACTTAGTTTGCACTTCATCATGAAAGGATATGCCAGCTGATAAACGCATTTATAAACACCGTTGTTTTCCTACTGTCATCCTGTCATCTAGAGCAGACATTATTATGACGATTTATAATTTATTGAACGTTTTTCTTTGAAAATACCTTCTTTTAGGATGAACAAATAATATTACGTGTAAAACATTTATGCTTACCGTGGATTTGATCGTGTAGTGCGTTTCTTCTGTCCTGCAGGTTTTGAAAGTATCATGGCAGGCCGAAGCGACAAAGATAGACACGTTACTCTGGGAGCCGGAAAATCTGGCAAATTTATAATTCCTGCTGATCCGAGAGGTTTTCAAGATCCCAAGTACTGGTAAGTGACTTTCCTAGGATCGTTCCTTTGCACTCCGATCTGTCCAACTTGCCTCTGGAATTTACAACACGTGGTGGCCGATTCATTACAGGAACCAGTTTTTTGCGTCGCGCAATACGGCTTTCGAATGGTGAGGCATTATTGATTAAAACCTTTGCAGTTTTTCATGGTAATGTTTTGCAATTCACAGGTACGGGAATTTTCTGGAATCAGCGGACATTCTGTGCAAGTACATAAAGCCGAAAGATAACATTTTGGTCATCGGATCGGGAAACAGTGAACTGAGCGCTGATATGTACCGAGCTGGCTTAAAAAATATTACAAACATCGACATCAGGTGAATTTTTGCCTTTCATGCATATTCAGAAATTTCGTGTTTTATAGAAGTTTCTTTGATTTAGTCAGGTTGTAATTGATCGCATGACGAAAAAATATCGAGAAAGCTGCCCGGATATGAAATTTATTACGGATGATGTCACGAAGGTACGGTAAACAAATTTTCGTAAAAAAGGTTCGAATTACGATTAATACAAGTCGACTGACTTAAATTAATTGAATTTCACCATATGTAAGATTTATAGTTTAAAATTGTTATATTACTTAAACAGACTTATGTATTTGGTAGTTTATTCCCTTCGGTACTGCATACTATAATTTTTTTTCACTTTTATTTAATAGAAACTTAATTAATTGAATACAGTACCTTTTTTAGTTGCTTCGCATGATTAATTTTGGTGATGTCGTATTATTTTTTGCTCTACCTAAAGTGCCGGAATTGAAAAACCGTAATACAGACAGATTGTTTTCAGATGGCGACAGTTTCCGATGAAAGCTATACGGTTGTGCTGGATAAAGCCACATTTGATGCGTTGATCGCCGATGATTCAGCCGCAAGTGGTGAAATCGCTAGAAAAATCTGCAGCGAAGTCGATCGGGTTTTGAAATGGGGTGGTCGCTATGTCTGCATTAGCTTGGCGCAGAAACATGTTCTCGCTCCCCTAGTTGTTAATATGGCCGAAAAGTTAGTGCAAACTTTTTCAGAAAATTTTACTTTTATTGGGACTTAAAGTATTTTGCTGATGCTGTATATTATTTTTTTAAAGGAACTATGCTATCCGTGCCCATGTGCTGAATGTGGATACATCGGAATCTGAGCGTCCAAACGATATCGTATTTTGCTTCGTGTTCACGAAAATGAAACCGGGTGGCGCATTAATATGTGACATGCAGTTAAATCCTCGGGAAAAAATTACTCGCGTTGAAGATCTCCACCAGTTTATAAAGCGCATTCGCGAGCATCAGTACATCCAGACGTTGGCCAAATTTCTAAAACTGGGGTAAGTTTTCTGAAATACGAATCCAGCGTAGTGCTTTTTAAACATTTATTCTGGAGAGCAGTAAATAAGTATGACATAATTTTCATTAATACTCAAGATAGCATTTCTAATTCGAAATAGCGCATTTTTAACATTAGTAAATCTGATCAAATTATTGTGGAACAACAGTAAGTGCGCTCCTGTTTTCTCTTCTGTAATTCTTCCGTTCCATGGGTTTAATTGCAGGAGATATGATGCAGTGGAAGGCGAGCATCTGAAAATATTTAATGAAAAATCCATCCACTGCTACAATCTGTATCCTTTCAAGCCGCAAGTTAAAAAGGCTCAATTCACTGCAGCTTGCTTTATTATACCGCCAGGGAGGTAATTCTTTTCCACCTTGCTGTGTGAGAATTTTGAATATTCCTTGTTGGGATCCACAATTTGTAGATCCAAAACGTTTCTTTACGGAACTCACGAAGGAAGGAAAGAAGTGGCTGAACAGAATATAAGTGCTCAGCTGGTTTTGTTTGTGGAAGTTATTGAGCCACCGAATGGACGGTTTAGTTTTGATGCCGTTAAAGAACAGCTGACTCCACATTTGCGGGATTTGATGCCATTGAAGTTATTCGAAAAAGTAAGCTGTGGTGAAGGTAGTTTTTGTGAAACTGTCTATCAGTTGTAGAATTTTTTCTATCAGTTTCTTGTTTGTGTTGTGATATTATTTCAGATTTTGTGTGCGAGTTGCAAAAAAATATCAGCAGTTGGTTGGTTGGTTTTCAGTCGTTTTTTGGTCTTCTTTTCTTGTCGTCAGTATCAAGAACCTGGCGGGGTATCCGAGTCGTGCACCCGCACATAACTGGGATCGTGTTTGTAGATAATATAAGTTTGTGTTTGTGGATAATAATTATATAGATATAAGTTTGTGAATAATATAAGTTTTTTATGACCGGATTTCTAATCTGCAGTTTTTCGGAACTGCGAAATTTTTACTGTTTGAAACTTGTGACGAATTTTTGCATCTCGGGGCGTTCTTTATTTGCCTAGATGGTGTTCCTCACGGATGGTGCATTTCCAGAATCAGAAAAAATTGTGCCTGGGGATGAAATTGTTTACGAAGGCAGTTCGCCTACAACTGGCGAATACCGCATTTTGGAACGTCGGCTTCCAGGAGAAAATGATTTTGAGCGACGACTGGTATTTCTTGATACTCCGCATGTTATTCAGACAGAAGTGCGGTTAAAAAAGGGTAATTGTCTTGCCTTCTTACGTTGCTTTAAATCACCTTTCTGAGTTTAGTTTTCTTGATTTTTGTGAGTTATTGTAGTACCTCCAAATAATGCAAACAAAACAGGAGTAGAATTCAACCGGGATTACCTACCGAGTGACTATCAGCGGTGTATTATTGCATCGCTAATCAACCACAAGAAACTTCGTGGTCAGTCGATGTGACTACAATGGTATGCGTAAAAAACTAATCGGATTTCGTTATAGATGGACAGAAAATCAAAATTCTGTTAATCGGATTGGGTGGGGGATCTTTAACCTCATTTATGCATCAGAATTTCCCGACGGCTGTGATTGAAGCAGTAGAGATTGACCCTGCAATGGTCCAGATTGCAATAGAGTTTTTCGGGTTGATCATTGATGAACGATGTGGAGCCCATGTGGGGGATGGTATTCCATATTTGAAGGAAGCAGCACAACGGGATGATCGTTACGACGCGATCATTATTGACGCAGACACGAAAGATTCTCGATTGCCGCTACGCTGTCCACCTGCCGCCTTTCTCAATCAAGAGATGTTGCGAACAATGCGTGGTCTTGTTAATCCTGACGGTAATTTAAGCTGACAGTTAACGTATAATAAACAGTAAATACCGGCACTGCTTTCGTATGCATGTGTGAATATTACATATTTGGGACGGTTGACAAATACGTGGCTACTAAACTTTCTACTGGCATTACTTCAGTATTGATATATTACTATCTTTAAATTAAATATAATTTATGTTTTTAAATGTCGAGGCTTATTTTTGGGGAAATATTAATTTGCGTACATCTGCCCAGCTGCCAGGAGAATTTACGTATCGTTTTAAAATTCAAAATTTTTAACGAGATATGTGGAAGAGGATTGGAAAAGTTTATGGTTTTGTAAATGTTGGGCGTTTTTAGACATTCATTAAAATGATTATCGTCTCCTTGTGACACACGGCACTTTAAATCAAACACTTACTTACTTTTTTCAGGAATGGTTATCATAAATATATTGACGAGAAAGGTAAGACCGAAAGTAGTCAGGAGAAAATAGTATAGACTTCCGAACAGGTGGTACTCTGTTAGGCCGAAATAGCAGACGCAGTGAAGAATGGGATCTTGAACGTCTTCGGGAATGTTGTGTATACGTTGGGACTGGATGATGAGCTGAATAGCACAGCCGTAGCTTTACACCCAAGCTATTTTGTACCGGGGCCTGACGACAAATTAGACGGTGAATACAAGATGCGTTCTAAAGATGCATTGGAATATTGGAAAGAGGGCCTAAGAGAATTTAATCGAAGGATGGACGAGAAAGATGGCGAGATACTGCTGGATGGTATGGTTTAATAATATATTTAGTGCACAGTTAAATAGTTAAATATGTTTAGTATTTTGGTTAATAATATTTCTTTAGTTATTTACGCAGTGTTAGTCGGATAATCGGGTTAGCTTTAACTGAATTTTTTTAAGTTTTGATTTGGTCAGTTAGGGAGATGTAGATATGTACAAAGTAGTTATCAGGAGAATTCGTGCTTCGAGGCTAGTTTGTAAATACTGGCAAACGATAAAAAATTCTTGGTTTTTAAGGGTCACTGTGGTGGAAGCGGTTGGAAATAATATTCACTATTCCATTCCTTATGGGGAAAGAGGAATATGCTGTGCCGGAAAGCGATTCCAGTTCCTTCAAGTTTAAACAGGACTGAGAACACTTTGCTATGCGATTTTTCTCTTCGCCGTTAATTTGGGTGAATTACACATTGCTTGTATTTTCTTTCAGCAGTTAATACTTGTACTGTGGAAGTTGTTAGTTGTTGCGGTTGATCAGTTCTTTTTATTTTTGTATGTTAAAGTATCGCCGCGCTCGGGTCGGCCCGGTCGTATGAAGGATTTACTAAAAAAATAAAGGTTCATTCGTGCATTAAAGCTTTGAGATTGTTAAGGTAATAAATTTTGCTGATTCGCTCCAGGCCGTCAAATTAAAAGATGCAGTTACGGACTTTTGAATAATACCGGGAAAATTGTCAGTCAGATACCGAAAGATTTTGCAAATTATCCGTGAATACTGTATACGTAGATCACACAGTTTCATAATAATAATGTGCCTCGCTAAGACATGGCACTATAAGACTGAAGCGAAGCACAAAAGTTTTATGCAAAAGTAGTGTGTGTCATGTACATGTTTTTGGTGGATGAGACCGGAACAAGCATGCAGTTAACTGGAAGCACAGCTGGAAGTGTGCCGGTAAAGTGCACATTTAGATCGCTCCGCTAGAATCTTTACTACAGCGGTCTCAGTATATTGGTATCAAATTATTAAATTAAATTAGAACCAGTTAATATCTATATTAGAACACTTATTACTTACTATGGAGTACTTGTACAAGTAGTTGTGATACAGTACACGAAGCAGAACTAAAATTGTGGGAAAAGAACAATTTGAATGTGCATAATTTGCATCAGTATGTACTAATAAGTACTGAGCAGTTTAGCTACGTATACAGTAGTGTATTATAAGGTGCTAGCTGATTGCGGTGAGCGCAATGTAAAATTGAACTGAATCCTGTAAAAACTTGATCAGCAAATCTTTCGATTATTACCTATTAGCACCTGCGAGACATATCTGTATAATATTTCATGTGGTTACAACAGCAGTATGTCAATAACTACAAACCTTTGGCAACTGAAGTGATTGTGAGCAAATGGCGAGGCGGTCGGTAACTTCTCCACACAGGAACTAGGTCGGGGGATGATTTCTTAAGAGTCGAGCGGTGAGAGGGAAGAGTACTGCGTCCTTGTATGTGCAGCCATAAAACCCATACTTCAGTATTGGAACAACCATACGAGGCCCATGATTCGGCCAAGGAAAATGTGTTGCAATGCCGTATCACATATATGTGCGGCGATTGTGCGAGTATCTCTAAAGATGGACCGCGTCGGCGTTTGTCTCTCATTTTCGTGTGTTATGGAATGGTCGACATCCATGGACGGCTACGACTATAGATACAAATGAACTGATCAATGGTCCGATAAGTTGCATATATAGAGCAGCGCGACAGTAAGTACCGTGTATTTGCACTGCCAGACTGATGTTCCACTGCTAGTTTGTCTGGACGATTGTCTGTCGAATCTGAAATTTGGAAAACTTAATACTTTTGCGGATTTATCTCTTCATACATTTCTGGCTTTAAGCGAAGGAAATGTATAACATCTGTTTGTTGATTTTTACTTTTGGACTTCTAGTTACACCGTGGGCTTCAGGTACGTAAGTGTTGCTAATTGTTGTAACTGTCAAGATGGGACAGCGACATTGAAAAGCAACTGCGAAAGCAATGTTACTGGGTAGCTGGATTTTTAATGCATTTCGCGCATATCCTGTATATATAAACGTCTAGATAACCTATTTAAAATCTAAATTTTCCATGTTTTGTTCAGTTTCTTAATTTATTCACTAACTAATAGGAAATGCATAAGGAGGTATAGCATTTCCGCATTATTAAAATACATAATTTTGAAGCCCAAGGTAAAGTTCAAGTGGAATCGGTTTTGGCATATATCGTGCACAGTTTCGTAAACAGTGTGTAAGTCACATCATATGGGTCTACTGGGAGTTATTGCTGCTAAATAAAGGACTACTATCTCTTTTAAAAATCGCTGGTGTTATAAATTGCGACATCAGAGGCGACAAAATCACTACATAGATACGAAATCAGCTAAGTAGAACTAGAAGTAAATATTAATCATGGCATTTTATCATTGCTCTGGGCAGACCACTGAGTCAGTTGCAGTAACTGACCAAAATGAATATGGAATCTGGTTATTACAAAATACCAATCGTACAATACTTATGTAATAAAGTTGTAAAGAGTGTAAGTACCCGCTGATGTAAAAGTTGTCAACACACTACGCACATATAAAAATTATGATACTGGGATATTGGGTAATGGAATATTAAATATTACTGGAATATTCATTTAATTAAAATTCGTTCTGTCGGGTTTGAAATAATCCTCTTGTGTATTTTGATTAGCTGCAGATTTGTTATGGCCGTCGTGATGCCAACTAATAATGAGTATCTAATTACAAAATAGCAAATTACAAAATTACAACTTTCAAAAAAACCTAGCTAAGATAATGTCTGATTTTCAAGTCTTAAAGTAAATTACACATACTGACGCTCAATAATTGTTTTAATGGTATAAATACTGGATTCAGTGTCAGATAATCGCACTTCACTGTTCATCTATTTTTTCGATTGCTTCAGCTTGTTTTCTCTTTCCCATATCTTATAGTACAGATAGATATGATAGATGACAAGTTGTGGTTCTGTGGTTTGCTTTGTTATCCGTAGAAGTAGTGCGGTTGCTTGTTTATAGTCGTATTAAACCTTCTAGCACTCGATTACATACACTCTCATTTTACACGTAGGCAATCGCCGGAACAACAGAACCAACCACAAGATCTCTGCCGAGGACCGAGCACTTGGATCTTTTCTACAAAAGGTCGCAATTGGCAGAGCACAAGCTTGCCAAACTGATGCGGACTGCTCCAAACGCGGAAATATCAAATGCCTGGGTGACAACATGAACTTCTGTGGGCGGCCATCGGTGGCTAACATTTTCCAAGGTAGGAGGGATAAACACGTAGGGATAAAAAACCATTAGTTAATAATAAAGAAAATAAACTTAACTTGCTATCCTGACAATAAGCATAGTTGCCGCCATCTAGTGGTCATTTGGGATTCGGTCTCTGAATAAATAAATTTCCAGAAACGAATAATTTCCTTTGATTTTTCCACAAGTCGTGTTTTCAAAATAGTGACGCCATGCATGAATTATTATCCGTTATCCGCTTTGGTGAATTTGGAGTTCATTAACATTTTTTGAATCTTTTAGCTAACTACCATAACGACCACACTCACCTACCGCATGCTCATGCAAATAAATTTTCCGTATGAATTAATGTGTTTGTGTTGCAGCGGCGGATGATAAAGAGTGCAGTGCAGGTAAAAAAACATCTCCGTATGTTAATATAACGTGCCGGAACAACGCGGTTGACATGACATGGATTTACAGATGCTGATTGTCAGAGCCTAACGGGAACAAAAAAGTTAGCATCTCGCTGCGTTGCCGGCAGATGCGACTTTTGTGGGCCGAGACTGTGCGAAACGGATGCGGACTGCTGCTCGCTCGCGCAGGGAGGAGGACAGAAATGCGCCACACTAAGTGGATACGCTGAAAAACGCTGCTGGAAAAGTACGTACCCATGTTGGATCCAACATTTTGAAAATTACGCGAGACTTGTGGATGCATGACAAGAAATATTTTATTATTTGTATTAAAAATGTCTCTAAACTACAAAAGTTCAGGTTCCGCACAGAAATAATATTATATAAAATATTATAATACAGCAAATGGTCATCTGCAGCTGTGTATTTGATATTTTTAGCATTTCGCAAATCGCAACGGTTGTGCTATGCATGATTGTCGGCAACAATCTAAATATTCAAAGGCAGCTTTTAATGATAGTGGCCAAAGCAGAAATCATTCTAATGGTTAATGCACGGAAAATGCAGTTCTTGTGAGTTTGTATCAAGTAATAATTTGATTTTTGCAGCCTGTACACGGAAAGATGATTGCCTTGTTAGTCTTGGACCAGCTCGAGGCAAGCTAGTGTGCGTCGATGGTCTGTGTCAGAAGAGAAATCGCAAGGGGAAAGTAGCCTGATTTGACAGTATTCCATCACCATTGTCACTGTTTATCTCCTCGGTATACAAATGGATTACTAAATGCAAACCGACCCGCCGTTTGCATGGATTTTTTTTCGCTGTTGAGTTTTAAATTGTACATCTGTGACTCCAAAATCGATTAGCTTTTTTTATTAATTACATCCGCATCGCGAAAAGTGACACTTGTACAGATCGCATCGCTGTAAAATAAGACATTTCCTCTGTACACATTTGCAGAACGTCGTTCTTTCGTTTGTATATGGAATTTCTGGTAAATGTCACGGAAAACGCAGTTACAATAATGCAGTGTTGCAAATGTACTGGTGGGGATCATGAGGAACGATGACGACAGCAGGAAGTAAAGGGCATTAATACTCAATTTATCAGTTATTTTTATAGTAAACTGAAATATTTTCCTATGCTTGTTGCTAAAATTTTAACAGCTGAAATGAAATTGTTACCGGTTTCCTTATTTATCATATAGCAAAGCAAAACCGACTAAAACTAGCAATATTCTGACATAGTCTAACAAATTACAGTCAGTATATAGTATATATTTGTTACGTTGTTTTCTTGGTAGAACAAAAAAAACTTTAATTAAGATGCACAAAGTTTACGACGCATCGCTGATGTTCTACAATAATGAAATATGAAGTACATTTGTATACTTCCGTCTCACATCGCGATATAACGGTACAATTCATGAAATCATGATATGACACACAAGTTAGAAACTTGGATTTGTTGTTTGTGCATCTAGATAAATAGCTCGCCGATAGCTTAACTACCTAATGCTGGGAATGCCACTTACGGCCTTCCATAGTTAACACGGCCACTGGCCAGCTCAAATCTTTATAATAGTACATCAACTCCCTTAGTTGCCCAGTTTCTTAGTCGTTAATCCTGGTGCTATGAATCTACATACATGTACAGGAAATACCGCTAAAACTGGGTTTGGCGGGGTTCCTGTTGTTCGTAAGTACATATTCTTTACGTGTACACAACATGTGAATTGGTTAATGAGAGGAAACATCCACAGAGGGATTGGCTTTTTTGTCAGACCTGAGCTTTTGATTCTCGGAAAAGTTTATTACAGTACTTATAACTCATAAGCGGTTGAGTACGCATTGATTTCAGAATATCCATTATGATAGGGACTGTAAAATAAAGCCAGAAATGTCAAACCACGTTTGTGCGCACTTGAATGAATGGCAGTAATTAAAATTAAATTATGTTCCATCTGTTACCCCAGAATGACCTGATCCTAAACCTTTGCAATAACAAAGGCCTGCAGAACCTTCTTATACCGCAATGTTCTTGTTTTCTAGCTAGGTCTAGGAGTGTTAATCAACCACATGTTAACAGAAATTGGTATGTATAGCGCAGACAAGGACGATTTTAATATGTGATATGTATGTAATTATTCTTTTAACTTATTTGAGACAGAATACATTATTACGATAAGTAAAATAACCAGCTATATTCGACGAAGGTTTAATTTACAGTAGCAAAATTTCACTCACAAGTCAGTTTACCGGCGCCTCAGTCCATCGTGCGCCTCAAGAATGGATCCCGCGGATGACGCGTATCCAGGTTGATTTTCGACTTTCGAGACACGTTGGCAACGGAATTCGTGGGAATGGAGTCCCGCTTTAGCCTCCTGCAGGTACCTGCCGAGCTCGCTGACGGTGAAGAAGGGGGTATCAAACAACACCTCTTGTGTACTTAAACATCCGAGCAACATGGCGTCCGTACGTCGTTAAACTCTAATAAACTTGGTTTGCGTCCGCCACTGAAAGGCTAACATTTTGTTTCTGGATGTTTTTATATAACTTAAAATTTCTAATTTCAACAACGACTACTACTCCTACTGGCTTAAATTTAATTTATGGATATATAATTATATAAAAATAAATGACTTAAACTATGAGGTGCCGTAATCGCAATTCAACCATATGCACAGCTTGCGGACTTATTTCTTCTCCGTCAACAGTCATATTTATATTTAAATATATAGCAGTTGTCAGATAAGTATATACATGTTTGCAAATAAACAACGCATTTCCTACGTGCTATGCTATCAGATTTGTTTGACTTTTATCTAATTGTTCAAAGTTAATCGTCGCATGGAAAAACATATACGTGTTATATTTCCATTTTCGAAGGTTTGTTTAACGATAATATAAAGCAAAACATTTGGAGCTACCCTGCATTTACTGTATCTGCTAACGCCAACAATTATTGCATCAGCAGAATTTATTTACATTAATTTTTTATGGCACTGCTGCACCGTGATCCATGTAGACCAGTATGCTGCAGTTTACTTTAGCTAATCAGTTTATTCAGATTGGCGATACAATACACTCACAAGTTTCTTACACTTTGTAAAAGTGAAAAATTTGCACTAAATGCACAGCCTCAGCCGACTACGGAAATAGGTAGGCGGCCTAATCGCGCAGAACGTTTCGTCTGAATTAGCCGATGCTGGTGCTGTTCTCATGACGGAGGCCGCGTTCCCGCTTTGGATTTCAATGCTGATCCGCTGGCGCAGATACTCCGTTGCCCGTACCTCACCTATTTTCTGTCGTATCGTTTTCCAGACTTCGGTGACCAAACGAGAGGCGTCAGGTCCGAGTGTTTCGATACCCGCTACCCGGAACAGGTAATCTCGGGCGATTTCCCGATACTTCGCCACTTTATCCTGCTCTGCGCGCGCCGCGGCTGCCCCTGCTTGTTTCGACGTTGCCGCGATGTGCAATAAAGCTACCGTGCACACGCATGTGGCATATCACGTTAACATTTTTCCTCTTTTCCACGGGACCAACGTTACTCCGTCGGGAAGCTTACCGTTGGTTCGGCATATACCAGGTGGTTCCAATTCCGTTTCGATACCGGCGGAAGCAAAGGCGCGCTTTAAAGTGACATTGATACGGCTATGTCTGGGCTTCCGGTCCCGGCTTTTTTTGCAACTCAGGCCATGGTATCCTAGCGCAGCGGCCCATTCACCACAATTACAACGGTGTGGAATGGTGAGTGGTACGCCGAGACGCAGGCCTAAAGCAGTTCTAAGAGTGGTATCGTTTAGAAGTTCCCGAGGGATGCTGCTGGAAGCGCATCCAGCCATGCACCGTTAGTATATAAGCACACTGTTTTATGAATTCGCTGGTGTAGGTTGGAGTTGTAGTTAGACATGTGCAGTGTTAACTGGACACGAGCTATTGTCCATATCTGAACATTTACGTTCATACATGCACAAGTAATGAATGGTATCTTCAGCAAAATAAAGGTCATTGCACGAATCTTTTAAAAGCATACGCGCGGTCAAACTGAGACTACCGTATCTAATGTAAATACAGTATATTACGGTACGAGTACTGCAAATAAAGGTAAAGCGTTTTTTTACTACTAAAAACTTTTTTTACTTTTACTACTTTTTTTTACTTTTACTACAGTCTTTTGTTTTTCTACCCCAAAACATTTGCTTACGACGAATTCGACGACGTCAGTGAGAGAACTCCGCTTCAATCGGTAAAGAATTACGTACCTTGTAATAGAGCTGCTGAAAACGGAAAGTGATTAATTTATTATAAAGTTTCGGAACACTTAACCAGTTCACCACCGCAAGTGATCGTGAATGCACTACAACCTCGATGAATTCTCTTAACTGCACTGTCGATATAAATACGAGTATTATAAATGAACACGAGTGACAACATCCAGGTGCAAAAGGAGGTATTATTATTTTGAACTGGGTTAATTATACCTGAAATTAAAAATTATTGTCGAGACTGTCTTCACGTTATCTATTTGCACTACATTTCATCCGTACCAAAAACCACCATTCACATTGGTGCTACAAATTTAAGCAGGAATAATAGGGACATTAATATGTTAATGGACACAAAGCAACGAATTCGAAATGTCGGAAGTTATTAACAATATGTATTTGACGAGTGCTTTTAAATTGTTTCGTATCGTTGTATGCGTTATACGTAAATAGTTGAAGTATAGTCGATTGTAAGCATGTAAAGTTTCTTTGCATGGCAGCATCTGAACGATTTTAATCCCGGCAATACCCACCGCACCTATGCAATATCTATATATGGAATTGCACCGGCAATATTGCTCCAATTTCTCCTTGATTTATGACCAGAATGCACTTCCTCTCACTCGGGGAACGCATAATTTGTATACTCAATCCATTGCACGTCTGTTGTGCGGCTTTACTCTCCCCACCAAATTTTCCCTAAACTCACGGCACATATCCTCCCAGGTGAACTAAAATTAGTTCATGTTTTCTCCTGGCGCCGCTTCTGTTTAGCATTGTATACCAGAACTGCCGAAGTACAAGTACTCATGTACAAGGGCTTGTACGTAAGTACGGTATCACGGCTTGTAGGCTCATACGCTACCTGTAATACGGTTAGTATGTGTTATGCATTTTAATAATGAAAATCCCGGTGCCTAATGTAGCACGCGCTTTTGTTTGGCAGTGCATATCGGGATAGACGTAAGTACATGTACACCGTATCACTAGTGACTAGCCACTACGTAGTTAGGTATGTGCTGCAAACCGCCGTTTGATTGCAATTAAGCGGATCAGGTATGCTCCTCGCCCATAAAAATGTAATAAAATCCGAAACAGGAACCACAGACCTAACAACTAGAAATAAAACCAGCATCAAAAGCAATCAATTTACGTTTTGCGCTGGGTGATATCTACAAAAGCACTGTTATTAGGCGATGATTTATCGTTTACGTTTCGTATGGTTGACCAGCTGAGCATGGTTTCGCTTTAATATTGTGGACTATAGTACAGCAGCGTTGACCACTACTGGATCAACTCGGCCTGACCGCCCACATGCGTACGTTCCCACTTGTGCGCGTTTTCTGATTGCGGCAAATATTGTGCACGCAAACCACTAATGCAAAGTCTAGCGGGTAAATGTGGTTGTGAAGAGATACACAGTGTTTGTGGAAGTGCAAATGCTGTACGGTTAATCCAAAGGGAATGTGCTGTCTATACGTGAATACATAAGTACCGTACATATTGTACAATAGCATGCATGTACACAGGGTAGCCGTTAACGAAATTCCATCATCATCAGTGATCATCATCCCGATCCCGGCTTTGATCTGTGGCATTGCACATCCTCTAAATGCAATGCATGGAATGGGACTAACGCGGCTTTGCTTTTAATCGAGTTTTCTTATTTGGCACGTATGGAACAAGTTAGGTTGTAATAAATTCCCACAGTGCGCTCCAAACCGGATACTGGCACATATCCGCTGGTGTGGCCGAATAGGCCCGATACATGCCTGTGTGTGTTCCTTCTGGCGCTTGTCTTACGCGAGTTAGTTCGGCCTTAGCGCATCTTATTGCTCTTCATGAGCCGATGAGTGCAGTGTAACAGTTTGATCATTATCCATTCTCAAACACATTTGGCTATGATATTGTGTGATTTGGGGGATCCGACAACACTGATCATCGTCGCCGGGTTATGGATAAGACGATTCGCCGCTGGCCGCCATTTGGCCTATTGTTATCGTGGTCACTATTATTAGTATTTACACCCTGTCAGATTTATGCATATGATTTTATTTTGCCGCGAATATTTGATGAAACTCGTGATTCCCTGGAGGAATATAATGCCGACCAACTGTTTCCTATTTTGCTCAATTTTTCGCTGCTGCCCAGCGATGCGTGGTCATATAGCATACGCGAAGTATGGAATGATGCACCGCAATACACGGCCAGCAGTGCATTGTGCGAGCCATCAACCTGGCAAGAAGTATTAACATGGGAACACCGTAGCCGTTCGTTACGCCTGGATGCCGGTATACAAAGCCTGCTCTCATCATCGCGGCTAACTGTGATAATTGAAGCAAAAAGTGCTTCCTTTGTGTCACTTATACCCATCACAATCCATGGAGCATTAAAAAATTGGCATGAAAACTCATCCGTAACGGCCGATTATCCGCACATTATACAAAGTTACCAGAGCGGCCAGACCTGCTATAATCCCCTAATAGCCGGCACCGCGGCGGGAGAGATTGTCAATCTAAATCACTTATTACCGGCTTTTGTCAGGGATGCGGAAAAAACAACCATTACACTGCCATCAACAGCGTCAATACAGAACGTTCTCGTATATCCTGAGAAAAAACTCTGCTTCTTGAAGCCACTGGATAAATACAACAGTTTATATGTGAAATACAACACCGGTGGTCAGTCATTGCCAGCTGTACAAACAGTCGATATCCTATTTACCGCTAAGACCGAGCAGCATGTCATTACAAAGGAGGCCAAACATAAACAGCGTAAACACCGCCGCCCGCGTGCCTCGTCCCACCATTTCGGTTTTCCCGAGAGCTATTATACGGTGGACATTCTGGAAGAACAGCCGTCACCGGTGGATGTCATTAAGATGAATACGACGAACAATGCGCCGGCCGTCTTTCACATGGTGGCACTGATGGACTCACGGAGTCAGGCGCTGTTCACCATTGACTCACAGTCCGGGTGGGTGCGCACCCAGGCGGTGCTGGATCGCGAGACCATCAGCCAGCATCACTTCCGCATCACCGCTGTCTCTCAGCCCGACCGCCTGTCGACCGGCACGGCCACACTGCATGTGCGCGTCCGGGACGCCAACGACAACATTCCCACCTTTGAGAAGAGTGACTATGATGTAATGCTGTCGGAGAGTGCGCTTTCGGGTTCCGTGGTTGTGACCGTGCATGCCGGTGACGGTGATGAGGGCGAAAACGGTCGAGTGCTGTATTCGCTCATCAATCCAAAGGGGCCAAAAAATGATGTGTTTCACATTGATTCGCACACTGGTGTAATCACCACTCGATTGCCTCTTGATCGTGAGCACACGGAGGAGCACGTTCTTTACGTAAAGGCCGAGGATGAAGGTCGCGGGCAAAATAAGAAAAGCAGGTAATTTAATCATTCTGCGCCGCTGTCTGCACAGAAATTTTTTTGCTATTGAGTTTTGCAGTCTGTTTTTTCGAAATTACGCACTACACAACCAGTTAACCAGTTAGTGAACACGAAGAATGACAGAAAATATTGCTAAACAAATGAGTGAAAAATACTGACAGGAATAACAGGCTTTAATTACGCCTTAATTGAAATATATCTGTAACTCTGCTTGCGTTTCTACCATTTTTAAAACTTTTCCTCAGGCCAGATTTACTGAATTATATCTCTGCAAGATTAAGCCTCCTACACCTGCCGTTGCGCATCATTATTTCCACTACATTTTGGTTAAACAGGATTGTAAATCAGATAGTCAGAATAATAAATGCGCCGGCATAAGTGGTATCAAAACTTGCACCGGAAGTTTATTCATGCATACCAATCTAGGTTGAGGTTCTGTGGGCTATTCAGTCAAAATGCCGTACTGCGCCGCGCAGCTGGACCGTGTATTTATATCAGCATCTGCACGGAAGCATTTATAACAACTTAGATTTATATAAAAAGATATGCTGCATGGGCAACAAATCGAGGAAAACTCCATAACTGAAAATGTTGTTTACCGTTAATTTGTCTATTCGCACTTCAACCGAATTGCGTAAAGTGTAACATTAATTAAGCAATTAACAAGCAATGACTAGCTAATTTTTGCATGTATAAAAATGTATCAACTTTTGTTTTTATTAATATGAATCAACCTTGCATTTCAAAGTTATGTTCAAATTTCTGGAGTTTTAATTTATCGTTTTGGTTCAAAAGCATACACATTTGAAATATTTACTCAATACCACAATTATGCATAATGGATGTTAATTTATTTAATATTATGCTCTGCAGCATTGCCAAAGTCGTGGTGAAAATTTTGGATGAAAACGACAACACACCCACGATTACATCCAACACATCGTGTAACCTGGATGTGCGGGAAGATATTGATTGGAGTACAATGCCGACCATTGCGCAAGTGCACGCCGAAGACAAGGATCAGGGATTGAATGGACAAGTCCGTTTCATCCGTTCTGCTTCTGCCATGGTGCATCAGCAATTTCTTCCTTCCATTGGTTTAATCCTGAATTGCTTTTTAGGTCCGTTATTCCATTATTGGAGGCAATCCAAATGGCCAGTTTATTTTGGATGCCGTGACGGGAGATCTGAAAGTTGCGGCACAGTTGGATTACGAATCTGAGCGAAAATATCGATTGCTCATACGCACGCAGGTATGACCGGCAAACTAGTCGTACTATATGAACGAATACATATAGATATAAGCAACGTGCAGTGGCCCATATGCCGGGAATTAACCAGCCTGGCTGATTAACGGGATATGCAAATCCACTCTATGTGCATTTTCCCGCAAATTCACTTAGTGTTATGCATCTACACTTTGAGCAAAGAATTTCATAACTTGTGTCAATGGAGCTCAATACGCAGATATTTTAAAAATTTAGATGCAGTGAGTAGCAATTAATCGAGCTGTACTAGAGCAAACTACATATCTGCATAGTTCCGTAGCCGCATTTACCAAACGATGGTATAGATACACGAGTACCTTCGCAGATATCCAAAACAGAAATCAATGCGTGCTTAAAAGGTACACTTGAAATTAGAGATAAACAGCAAATTTTTATGATTTTTATTATGCTGTTAACATTTAGTAAATTTTTTTGCAGTAACAATATTAAGCAGTAAAAGACCTGTGTCGTTTGGGTCGGTGAAACGACAAACGCGAAATTCGCTTGATTTTACAACTTCGGGAATAACTGTGTCACTAGGGACACTTCTTCACTGCACAATATTGTCTCGCATTACGTAACACAATTCTCTATACGATGTTTTTCTTTTTAAAAACGGCCTGTATGTGCTTCAAGTATGGAAGCTGACATAAGGTAAATATTTTCCAGGATCTGGGCAGTCCGCCTCGAAGCAACACAACATTGTGCAATATAAACGTCATCGATATGAACGACAATGAGCCAAAGTTTTCCACTTCGCTGTACCAAACCAATATTGCTGAGGATGCTCATGTGGGATATCCGGTGGTCCAGTTACGCGCGTACGACAGCGACGAGGGACCAAAGGGGAAGATTGTTTATACTATCAAAAATCAATCAACCAGCTTGGAGATGATGCCGTTTGTAATTGATCCGGATTCTGGCTGGTAAAAAAACACACTCTGTACAACAGATTGTTCGCGCATCTTCGCCTGTTTACTCAGATATTGCCACTTGAGTGGCGTTTCTCGTCAGGCCTGCTACCAGGGCAGTGGCTACGGGAATTTGACCTAACTACCGGATACAGTGATACAATTTCCGGTGTATATATCTACGTCCTAGGCAGACGTTTTTGTATTGTCACGGCTGACACAACTTTTTTGTATAAGCTACAGCGCCTTTGCTGACCTACATAGCCCAACACCAGCAGCATCGTTTGGGTTTGCACGTGCGGCATTTAAAATACTCTACCCACCGCCCATTTTTCCATGGCGTTTTGCGGTAAACTTTCTAATTTAAAATTTAAAGTAAGAAAAAGAAGTGGAAAGTTTTATTTGGTTTCAAAACTTTATTTAAAAGGTTTAAGATTTATGAGAGTTTAATTGTTAACATACTCTTATGCGTAAGCTCGCGTGCAGGAGAAAAAGCTAATCATTTGAAGTTTTTTTCGCTTTGCTGTAATTATTACTACGAGTACCAAAAACCACAGTAGGCAAACCGAAACAGATCGAACAATTGCGAGACAAAAATAAAGCGGAAAGTTTTTCTATCTTTTCGCCTATCAAATTACTTTATTATGATGTCACATGTGAACTCAAAAATATGGGTTGCTTCTTTGTATATATAATAATATTGTGCATAGCTTATTTATTTGTGGTTTATTTGTACTTATGGTTTAAGTGAAATTTGCCGTAACCATATTTGTTTTGATTTAGTTGAAGCACAATATCAGTCTCTCCAGACACAGATTTAACACATTAGGCTGACAGTCCACACTGATTCTGAGTGGACACGGGTACAACATGTGTATTTATTGTGATGGCCTTTATATTGAAAGTAAATATGACGCTAAATTGGTAGTCTAACAATGCCGGACACCATCGATCGCCAAGGGCACATAGAGCGCCCGTAATTAGATGTTTCAGTAGGAAGCGGCGAAACTAATTATTAGGATACGCGTAGGCGCCTCGGCATGCAGCGCTGTCATCCGGCCTGATAAGACGAATCAGCCCGGGAAATCTTGTTCGTAGCGGCGTAGCGTATATGGAATTATGAATTAGTGCGTATATAATTATTCTCATTCCACAGGATTAGCACTTCGACGCGATTAGATCGCGAGCGCAAGGACAAATACGAGTTCAACGTGGAAGCCCGTGATTTGGGCCAGCCAGCGCGCTCCTCCACGGCCTCCGTGGTCATCAGCGTCCTGGACGTTAATGACAACGGGCCCATCTTCGAGCAGCGTGAGTACAATGTGTCCATTTCCGAAGGAGCGCTGCCGGGCACACAGATCGTCACTGTGCGCGCCACCGATCGGGATTTAAATGCCCGGCTGACATACCAAATCAGAGGCAACACCGATGACAATCGCTTCAGTATCATTAATCAAAACGGCCTCGGTTTGATACTATTAGCCAAACCGATCAACTACCGACGCGGCGCGCGTCTGGTGGAACTGCTCATCCAAGTGGCAGATGAGTCGGGAAAAAATGATCGGGCCAAAGTGACTGTCCACATTCTGGCCGCTAATCTCCATCGACCCACTTTCTTAAATGCTCCATTTAGAATTCAAATCCCCGAAAATATACCCACGGGGACAACGGTTATCGAGCTGAAGGCGAGCGATGATGATGTGGGTGATAATGGGCGGATAACGTACACGCTGGGACAGGACGCCGATATGGCCGATAACTTCCACCTTCATCCGGTGAGCGGTGTGCTGAGCGTGAAAAAAGCACTGGATCGTGAGCGGCACAGCACGTACACCGTGCCGGTAATCGCCACTGACCACGGAGCACCGCCGCTGTACGACACCACGGATGTTCTGGTTGAACTAATTGATGCCAACGATAACGCCCCAGTTTTTCTCCAGCCGGCCTATTTTGTGGCTGTCAAGGAGGATGTGAGTCCCCACACCAGCATCACGCAACTCTCGGCTCATGATCCTGATTTCGGGTTGAATGGCCTTGTCACATACACATTTGAAGGTGGATACAGTGCCAACGGGACTTTTTCCATCGATCCCGCGCTGGGCATCGTGCGCACCACGAGATGGCTGGATAGGGAAACGCACAACACTTACGAGTTAATCGCGTTGGCTGTTGACCGCGGACAACCCAGAGCACTATCGTCTACTGTCCAGCTCACTGTCAAAGTGCTAGGTATAACGCAATTATTCAGTTACTGTTGCAAAACTAACAGATGGAAGACCAGAAAACTGAGCAAAGGTCACCAACTAATGTCAAAAAAGCGCTGCGCATGGTAACCCAATACGCATTTATTGGCTGTAGACTTCCTTGTACTTTCGACATAATTACAACACATAAAAAGGAATATACGAATATTTTAACTGGTGTTAAAATCATACAAAATATTACATGCATATGATCACACTGTAAAAATTATTTACTGCGTTCTAAAAAATGGTTTGATGACGAATGTACACACACCAGTTATATACGGCTGTGCCTACGGCAAGTACACCGGTAAGCGGTTTTTGGACTTGGTTTATATTAATTTGGAATATTCAATAATTTTCTTTTGTTTGCTTTCAAATACAGTAATTTAGACGTTTTGTAGTTTGCAGAATGAGTAACTGCAGACGGATTTGGAAATCTGTGCATCAACACTATTCTGAAACCTGATCTCATATTGTTTGTTTTATTTAGATGTGAACGATAATGCACCGGCATTTGCGGCGGAAATACTGAATTTCTATGCGCCTGAGAATTTAACGGTGGGATCAACAATCGCGGAGATTTTGGCATCAGATCCGGATGAAGGGCAAAATTCCGTAATTGAATACGCTATCGTCTCTGGACCAGATGCCGAGAGTTTCGCTTTGGTCACGCGCCCCAACCAGCCACCCCTGCTGTCCAATCTGATTGAACTGGACGCCGAGGGGAAGAAGCAATATAAGCTGGTTATTCGGGCTTCCTCGCCGCCGCTGCAAACCGACGTGACAGTGAATATTTTCGTCACAGATATCAATGGTAAATGTTATTCCCTTATCTCTGGGCATATGACGGCCACTACTGTTCCGTCCGTCACGGTGAAAGAGTCCATACAAAAATTTGACAAATTCCGATCTGCCTTTTGGAAAAAAATTGACAACGATGAATACACTCATAGCCAATTTTTTTCTAACCATAAGACTCAACGTGGAGTGTCTAAAATATCTGACAGTCCTGACAATCAAAAATTCTTATTCCCTTTGCTCACGGTAATACGAAATTACAGTCTCTGTTAAAAAATAATTAGCAAAAATATTACAAGTGAATTTCTCAATACATAATTGAATTTAAGAGCTATCGCTACTGTACAACATTTTGGAAATTTTTGGCTAAAGCGGCTCACATGAGTATGTAGTGACAATTAAGTGATTTGAACGACGTGATATTCATACAATTTCCCTATACTTCTATTGTTGCAAACGACAATTTATGATGATAAAAAATTGCTCCTGTGTTTATACATACTTTGTTCGTGATAGAGATACTGCATTCGCTTACTAATATGTGTCAAAAAAACCTATTAGTTTGAAAACTGATGCGAGAGGATTTTGAATAACTTTTATTGAACTCATTTAAAGACCGGCATTCCGTAATTAACACTTCTATAGGAGAGTGAAAGTTTGAGTAAATATTTACCCTCTAATATTTACACCGTAATAATATTTGTACCCTATAATATGTATTTGCAGCCAGTTATATTAAAAATTTGTACCGTATAATATTTACAACCTGATTGATTTGATATTTCAGATAATGCACCGGTCTTAAAAGATTTCCATATAATTCTGAACAACTATCCACGACATTTCCCACATGGCATAATTGGTCGTGTACCATGTTTTGATCGGGATGCCACAGCCAAGCTAGAGTATAAGATTATGACCGGAAATAAGCAGAGCTTGTTGTCGATCAATCCGACCAATGGTGACATCCAACTAAGTGCCAGTCTCAATTCGGACATTGCATATTCTGCCAAGTTCACAATTCAAGTATCAGGTAAACACTTTATTCGCTCAGCATACGCACACCGAGATACGATAGAAGGTCAAACCGTAAAAACCCATAATTTCCTGATTAATTCGGCTATTTATCACTGGTGTCATCAGCTCATTATAATCGCGTCCCATTGGGAAATTGAAAAAGAATCCATCGTGGGTGCTAATCTAAAGATGAATCATCCACATACAATCCACTTAAATGTCACTGGTCAAGCTGTATAGTAGTATGATGTATTTGCGAATTGCCATGTATATACAGGAAAATCACGACCAGCGAATAAGTCCATCATCGTAATTTATAGCCGCAACATGCAGTTTTATAGTCCATATTTTGTGATTATCTGCCAAATGCGTTTGACATCCAAGCATCGAATTTTTAACTGTACTTTAAAATTTTATGTTTTCAAAAATAAAACCCAGTGCTTCCGGCTTCGTGGTATGAACAGCCTGCATTCAGTATTAACTGCTTTATAGTAGTGCAATTTTGTAACAAAAGTTAGTTAACCCTTTCTGCCGTCAGCAAATTTTAATTAATAAATGGTTGGCTTTATTATATAGTATCTGTAGTAAGGCGAAGTACCATACTGGGAAAATAAGCCGTTTGAAAACAAAGTTAGCGCTGAATTACTAATCGCGAATCTTGGGGAGCAATCGATTAGCTTTTCAGATTTATTTAAAAGTCGCCTCTTAAAGAGTTCAGTCCAGTAAGCTGATTCACTGGTGCTGCGCAGTATAAAGCTGTGGTTTAAGTGTTGTGACGGATTATTTCTGGCTTTAAATTCTGGATAACATTAAAGGGAAAACGAGTCGATAATTGGCAGTGTGTGTCCAGTGGATAGAATGCCGCTGAGCGTGCCAGCCCAAGATATATGGTCTGCCGCGAAAATTGAGAGTGACCGAGTGTTTGATTGACAAACTGACCCCTGTTGGCCGGCAGTGTGCAGTATAACCCTTTTCTATGGTATAACTGCCGCTCAGTCAAACACGATCCAGACAGTTTATTCACATCCTGCAACCGACTAAAGCTCGAATTAATTCTCCCGTTTTGTCAATATCATGTATCCGGCTTGTCCTGTTTTGATACTGATTATATACCAGCTTGCTTAACGATTCTTACCTTCAGGACCTGTTTTGATTGTAGCTTTCGATCCTTGTTTCCCTATCCGCTTGCGCGGCATGCCATTACTTGCGATAATTATAAAACCCTACTTTCAGGCACCAGTAAAATAGTGCTGTACAGTATAAGGAAAGCGTGCAAATATGGCAGCCTAGTATCTTTAAGGATAAACAGACAAAACTTTATAAATAATTAATTTGCTCATTTTAAAAAAATAGATTATTCCAGGCTGAATACACAGTCTGTTTGTAGAATGCCTTTCTTCGCTATTTTTTAAAATTTGATTTGATTTGACGAAGTTCGCTCTTCTATATGCAACGGTATAAGAATTTTGCAGTTGTCATTCCTTCGGGTTAAGCGGTTTGTTTTTCTAATACTGGCATTCAAAAGGGTCACCAAAGGCATGCTTTGAATCTAATGTGACTATTATTGGTTTTTGATCTGATTAGCTCTCAATGAAGTGCTTATCTGGTGTTTAGAGGAATGGCTATTCGTACACTGATGATCCATTATCGATCCCGCAGCATCTTTGCTTGGTTTTCACCGAGCCAATCTTACAGTCGGTGACCATTTATTATGGAACACTTTAGTGTGGTCATTTCGTGGTGCTACTACACGTAAACAACTATAACAACCCTCCAAATCCACTGTATCTGTGTTTTAATACATGTTCACATTCGTTCATCGCCTACCCTTCTAACTGAATTTTTATTATCAATCATTATTATTTTTATTATCAATACGTCTTCGTGCAACACTTTAAAGTACTGTAGTTTGCCTACTCGCAGCTATGGGAAACAATACAGCTACTGTGCCGAGACTGCTGCTGACTATGAACTTTTGTGATAATATTGTTTGTTTAGCCACCAATATGCAGCGTTTCGTCGAGGCATTACTAATTTATCGGTGAATAGCATTTATAAAGCAGCGTATAAATCATAACTGGGTTATAAGCTCATACAAGAATTAAGTAGGCATTTTTCGTTATCGTGCGCCTTCCTGAGAGATCACTGCCGCGAACTCTGCAGCATACCAAGAACATCAGCGATAAGGACCTTTGCTCCTTATAAGCCGCTTCCATCTGATGTTCCCTTTCGGAATCAGTCCAGTAACACGTACTTGTTGTTCGCTTTTATTACCCTTCTCAAACAAAGAGCTAGACACTTGACATGTCTTCGAGCACTGGTTCACAATCAGGACTTTCTGATTTACAAATGCGCAATGTAGCCTACAACAAGACTATAGTGTCCTCAGATACTAGTAACATGTTGTTAATTACCACTTCACCGGACGAGCATGCAACTTTTAAGGTGTGATAAATAGCAAACCCAATAATTCTGAATTTTATTTCCAGAGATAACTAACAATAAATTGGTAAAGTACAATGCTTCTGGTGTGGCTATATAAACTAGATATGGATTTTAGCTTTAGGCTAACGGTTTATGTTATGCGACCGTAATGGACATAATGCCGGACTGCAACGTATCCGGTAGTATCCATGGACGGAAACGGATATTGTCAACATGCGCTATCAGCACCATCATGCAAAGCAAAAATGTCCGTCCTCGTTAACATAAATTGGGTGAAATCCTAGACAAACTGATTGATTCAGCATTCTATCAGAAAAGGCACTAGCAAATTGACACTCCATATGTTTTATTTTGTACAACAACTTATTCCATCAATCTGAAAGTGCAACCATAAATCTTTTAGAGCAATAGCAACATATTTAACTGACCAAAGTAAAGCGCCGAGGCATAAAGTATTTGAAATGTATTCGGTCACATTAAACTTCTAGTATCGTTCTTTTAATTAAGTGCAATATCAGTTTTAAAGCGGAAAAGACAAACGCAGCTCTTTTTGTGACGGGTGTTTTTGTTATTCTCTCACGTGTGATAGTGACTCTGCATCACGACACTATAAGAGTCTGACAACCCGAATCTGATGCCGCCAGTATCGGCAATCCATAGCACATAAGAAATTCTTGCTGGACACACAGATCTCATTACTTCCGACTGGCAGCATGATGGTAACGCTGTAGATCTGTCCACTGCCCATAGAGCTGTGTGCATAACGGCCAGATGTAATGAATGCTAATACATTTAGCTGGACAGATGTCGAACTGGGATTGTCTGATGTGAATAAAATATATTTCCGGCGTCCTAAGAATAATCAGATCACATACATACAAACGCGGAAATCGCTGAGCTAATGCTGTAAAGTATTCCCAGGCTGTATCAAAAAGGTCAAGCAATGAAGCGAATAACATAGGGGAAATGTTGATGTACTTCATGCTGCGCTGGCCGATGTAATTTATCGCTCCACTGGAAATAATGTCAAATTAACTTACTATATATCCCCCACCAATGATCCCTGTAATACAATGTTGCCCGTTACCTCCACGCACATCTAAGTATACATATACCCACCAACTCTGTAGTTTGTACTGTAACCTCCGTCCTTTTTGACAACTTGTTCTGTTTCAGAAGCAATATAATACAGTAGTTGAATAAAAAAAATTTTATTGTTAAATCTAAATATAGTGCGTTTGGCACTAAGAAAAATTTTATTTTTAATAACCGTTACGCTTACATTGTTGTTTAGGGTTTGGTTTAAAAGCAGTTGTTGCTGCATGCGTCAGTAAAAATAAATTTACAACTTTTGCAATGTTGCCACTGTATACAAAAAAGCACAATTTTTTTAAAAATGCAGGATTACTGGTAAAAATCTACGCAATCATCAGCTTTATTGTCGCATAAAGTTGACCTTTTCAGTTGCATTCACTCGCATCTGGTGTATACTTGATCGCTTTTTTATTATTGCTCCCTGTTTTGCTATAAGAGTAAAGTAGGTTAAGTACTACTGCAAGGAATATACCGGATTACCGTATACAGTATGCAAAGGACAGCAGAGAAGGGGCATAAAAGTTTTTATTATTTAGGGTCGCAGTGCGAGATCGATTTGAGAAAAACTGAATGTTCGGAGGGTCTCTGTCGAAATCCATCGGTGTGTGCAACAAGTTCTTTAAGCGCCGCTGTCCAATGCGTTGGTTGTCCTGACAAATCCCACCATACCGATTTATGCGAACTGACCACGCGGTCGTTCGCATCCGCTCAAAAATCATACATAGTATTCCCTGGAGTAAAATCCCGAAATCGGTTTTCAGTTTCTCTCAGGTAATTCTCATTTTCTGTAAATATGCACATGTATTGCACTGCTAGACTAATGCGCAAAACTGGTGTCTGGTGATATTAAATTGACTATGAAATGTTAGAAATTAAACCAGTTTTCTGTGCAGATTTGCAACGACAAGCCAAATGGGTCTACTGATGTATAACGGTCGCTATACCGACAATACCGACTACTTTGCATTGGAAATTCATAATGGCACTATTCGGTTTTCGTTTTCCCTGGGAAACGAACGACAAACCTCCAGTGTTGCGGTTTTTGTTGCTGATGGAGAATGGCATGACGTGGAAATAAACTTTTTTAATAAGGTGCGAACAAACAATCTGAACTTTTAATCCGATTTTATTAAGGTTCATAAGTGATGACTAGACTATAGTTTTAAGTACTGTATATCAGAGTTTCGTTTGTGTAGTCAGCCAAGGTCAAAGCCGACGGATGTGACGAAATGCTCGCATTTAAATACGGGAATGTACTGGATTATCATTGTGCCAGCACCACGACCCAAATTCTCGACCCACATTGCAATAATCCCGGGGCCTTATGTAACCGCTTCATGGACTTGACCGGACCGCTGTATGTGGGTGGTTTGTCTGACGAGGTCATCGATACTCGGGTACCTTGGCGCCACTTCGATGGATGCATACATGATCTACGTATCGACGAAAAACGAATGGATTTTAATGATTTCCTATTAGAACATGCCACTAGCATAGGTTTGTTTGCTTTAATAAAAGAACAATCAATTTAATGCACCATGGATCCCGATAATACAAAGATCCATTAGACATTTACATATCAAGACTGCTTGCTAACTGGCACAGTTACTGTCATTTAGATAGGTAGATGATAGATCCAGCACTTGTTAAAAAGCGAATAATTATTATTGTGATTAACATAGAAATGAAAAAGATTCCCTCTACTCTGGCATTAGTAAGGCTGATTTCTGCTGCAGGATGCCGACCGAAATCCAGCGGATGTGACGGTTCTCCATGCCGGAATGGTGGAACGTGCAGGAATACATGGAACGGATACAAATGCCAGTGTGCGCCTGGGTTCAGCGGCAATGACTGTAGTAAAATCGGTAATTTGGCGACATTCTGCGACATATTGTAGCTTTTCTTCGCACAATCGTTGCGCGCTCTAATGCTTATTTTTCCTGAAGATACGAACGATTCTTACCATTTCGACGGGAAAGGCTATTTGATATTCCATCCTCCCCTCAACAATGACACACAACTGGGTATCCACCTGCAATTCCGCACCGACAAAGACAGCGGAACCCTGCTCATCGTAAAGATCAGCGAAGCAGTATTGTATTCCCTGGAAATACTGCGCAAGGGTCTGGTTCTGCGGGGCAGTGTGACGGAGCGTCACGAAAGTGCCCTGCTCATTGCCGATGGTCAATGGCACAGTCTGCGTTTATTTATGGAACATCATAATCTTTTTGTGGAGATTGACGGAAAAAACGAATTCCAGTCGAAACTACCAGCTTCTCACAATCTCGCCACGACTATCCTATTGGGAGGTCACAAAGATCTGAAAAACAACGGGTTTTCCGGTTGCATACAGAATATTAATTTTTCCGGAAAACGGATTCTTCCCACCCATCGATCAAGTGTGCGTAATGGTTGCGGTTTCGAAGAGCGCTGTGACAGCGTTGTCTGTCCCCATGAAAATTCCGAATGTGAGGAAACTATAAATGGTCCCAAAATGTGAGTGTAATGCGGGGTATATTGGTAAAGAATGCCGCGATATTTGTTCGTTGGATCCGTGCGTCAATGGGATCTGCATCCATTCCGACGAAGATGTGCATGGATACCGGTGCCGGTGTTTTGCCAATTATACAGGTCGCTACTGTGAAGAAAAAGTGGCAGAAAGTTGTCCGGCCGCCTGGTGGGGTTTCCAGTTTGTGGTCCTTGTAATTGCGACACGTCCAAGGGGTTGGATCCGCGATGCGACAAACAGACCGGAGCTTGTGTGTGCAAAGAAAATTATTATAAGCCACTTGGCTCAGACAGGTAAACTTCTGAGCGCAGAATTGCGCAACGCAGCTAAACTTGTTTATAAAAAGTACGAGTATATCTTGAATTACCGCATATCATATACATCGATGTACTTACAGAAAGAACAGAAAGAACAAGTGGTAATCAAATTGTAAGCCTGAGTACTTGCAAAAAACTCTCGACATATCTGACTCAAAATCTAAATATAAAATATATAAAAGAGATAAATACAGATGTAGAATAGAATATCAACTTATGTAAATTGTATGTAAAATAACTTTGCCAGAATTATGTATTTTTAAGGCGGAGTATAAATTGTTGTTAAGTACGTTTTTGCTGTGATGTGACTGTATAGTCTGTAGGTGACCTTTGATGGTACGTACTGTTTTTTCGTATTGTTACGCGACTTGAGTTACACCTTAAAATTAATAAGTTATTTCCCCTTTTTAAAAATGTATCGAATCAATTTACGATAAATTAATGTTTTTTTGCAGCTGCAAAGAATGTAATTGTTATTCTCGTGGCTCATTGACCAACGACTGCGACAGTTCCGGGCAATGCCACTGCCAGAACGGCGTAATTGGGCTGAAATGCGATACCTGTTCCAGTCCGTATGCGGAAGTGACATCCGACGGTTGTGTAGCGGTGTACGGAGCGTGTCCTCAATCTTTCGCCGAGGGTATCTGGTGGGACCGTACACCCTACGGATCTCTTGCCCTGGATCAGTGCCCTCGAAATGCACTGGGCACGGCTACCCGGATATGCGACGCCTCCAGTAAGGCATGGCTAGACCCCATTCTGATGAACTGCACCGGTTTGGCCTTTGACATACCGGCCCAGCTTCTGGACGAAGTTCGTAGCAACATGATGAACCTTAACACGTTTATGGTAGTGCGAATTGTGGGCGAATTGCGCACGGCACTGAACACTACGCCGCCGGAAGATCTTTTTCCCAACGATATGAAAATTGCCGGTGACCTTTTGCGTATCGTCTTGGAATATGAGGGCCGGCAGTACGGCATGAACCTGACGCATCGTTTGGATAAGAACTATTTGTCGGAGTTGCTCGAAAGTGTCAGTCTCGTGCTGACGCAACGGAACGGGAAGGTCAACGTCAATGAGACCAGTGCGTTGCTCCACTTATTCCACGCTTACGCTAAGACCGTCGCCAAATTCCACAAGGAGACCTATGCTGACCCATTTGAGATTGTCACCAAATACATGAAAATTGGCATCCTGACCGGATTAATGCAGGATGACAGTATGATGGTGCAATTTCCGGCTGCGATCCACGGTTACCCAATAACCACACAGGCAAAAACCAGTGTGACAACAGATGATACAATATACTATGTTGAGTATTCCGATGTTCCGGAGATCTTATCTAGCAACCAGAAAACGAGGCATCAACAGAATACCAAGACATGGCTACCGGTTTCGAAAGGGTTCACTTTCGGTGAAATTGTGGAAAAAGATGCGGTAATCGCTACGCCAGCACTGTACCAGTTTGCCGTGGTCAAACGGCGTTATATGGGACCAATGCAGTGTATGCACTGGGATTTCGTGCATTTGAGATGGTCATCGGATGGCTGCTCCACCGGGCCGGCCAATGCCACACATATTCATTGCTCATGCTTATCAGAATTGCTCGTGGCCGTGATGACCGAGAGCAATATGTTGACCAATCCTTTCCGTCGGGATCTGACAGTCTTTCTTTTTAATATCATCGTTTTCATCTTTGCTATTGTCCTGAATTTTCTGGCGCTCATGCTGCTATGCGCGACTCGATCACATTCAGATCTGATTGGAATTTTCCAGAATATCATCTTCGTAACCATTGCGACGGATGTGGTTTTTATCATGGCGGCAGATATTGTTTGGGGCGTCTTTTTATGCAAAATTGTGGCGGTGTTATTGCATTACTTTTTCTTGTCAAAAATGTTCTGGTGCTTTACTTATGCCATCCATGTCTATCGAATTATTCCCAAGGATATCCAACAACAGAAAGGACTAATTCGCCTATACTGCATTTTGGGTTATGGTAAGTTCAAACTAAAACTGCGCTGTAGCAGCATTTAATTCCTTACCGGTTAGTTTAATTGCACTGGTACAGTATATGAATTGTTCGATACCGAAGGCTGAATAAATATTCAAATTAGCTGTTCCGGCGGCCATTCTGGGATTTTCTGTGGGATTTCGCCCGGATTGCTACGGAGCCGACAACTTCTGCTGGATCACATCGGATTACCATCTGTTACTAACGTTGGCTGTTCCCGCCATGGCTTGCGGTGTGATGACCTTATGTCTACTGACAGCATGTCAGTGTCGGATGTTTATGAAAAAGAACAGTGCATCTCCAGTGCAAAACCAAAAGGAAATTCGGTAACGAACTTGATTTTCAGCCGTCGCGTTGGTACACTATATAAGTTGAATATTTATAATAAGCGTATGTTATTCCTTTGTAGACGGAATTTGTGCGTCGGCGCAGCATTGTGTGTCATATTCACAACGGTTCTGGTCGTCATTACGGTCGCCGTGATTATCTACCACCCATTATTAGGATACCTTTTTCCGTTACTAGTCCTAGGAGAGAGTGTATTCATCATTGGATATTTGTGCTTCAAAACATCCGAGGTAAGCCTGACCTTTACGGCGGTGTCGCTTTCCTTACACCGCTTAAGATACTAACTAACTATGTCTTTAAGGTTGCTGCACTTGTCGATGAGAAGTTCGTGTGGTTTATGCGCCGCAACTTGGATTCCTTGACATCCAAAGGGAAACTCAGCAGTAAAATGAATAATGTTGTGTGCGAGACATACCGCAATCCGGGCATTACGATAAGCGATTCCACAACGTATCACCGCACGCCGCGCCCCGACAAGGACATCTCCTGCACTTTCGATCCCACATTGCCAAGTGGATCAAATTCTACGCTGGGGCATAGCAATCAAACATTATTACATGGAGAATGTCCCAGTGACAATAATCAGCTACAAAAATATACCGGCTCCCAGAAAGGTAAGGAAAACGTTGACACATAGTGCTGTGCGTCGAACAAGGTTATCACGTGCGTACTCGAGCCGAACGAAGGAGCCGTCTGCCTTTTCACCTTTGTGCAGAGGCATTAATACTGTAAAAATAAAGGAAACGACATAAATGTGTGATTTCATCCAAGCAACGGTTACACCTTTTGATTACTGGGTTTCCAGTGTAGCTTGAAGAAAAACCACGAAATTACCTGAATAAAAAAATGTAACTTTATGGGTTGTACAGGAAGCGATGGAACAAACGAGGAAACCGTATCAGTACACAGCAGTACCACGAGTTATCCTCCGGAAAAATCTCCCCATATTGGCCTGCATCTGGCAAGCAAAGATATCGACGAGTCCTACACGGCCTTCCGTGACGGACATGCCGCGATGCCCAACTTCTACCGTCCTCACAGTAGCGCTACGACCTTTGGCGTACCGCCGCCGCCCTCCCCGTGGGGCAGTCTGCCGCAGGCAGGTCGGACCGTTCAGAAGAGTCCAACGTGTTTTTCTAATCCTGTTAATGATCTGCAAGTGACCAAACCCTTTTCTACATTTGCCACTTTTCGCCCGTCATCCAAAAACGGTGCACACTGTGCTGATGCTCTGCATAACGGGAAAACTGTGGCACGGGCCGATCTGGATGATACCGGTAGTATAAAGAGTGAGACGACGCCAATTCCGCCACCGGAACCGTTTCGTACAGCTAACAATGGATCACTACTGCGAAGGAAGACAAATTTACCTGACGTAATCAGTTGCGAGTAGGTGGTCATTTTGCAATTAAGAAACGGTTGCGTGCGTTTCAATCATTTCGAATTATTTTAGCGCAGTTGAGAAAGTTTATCTGATCAAATTTTCTTACAGGAGCGGAACTGCGGTATAGTCATTGTCCTTGTGATGCAAATCTTAAGTATACTCCGAATTCAAGTAATGGACCTTTGCCACTGACCACTGCCTCTTTTTAACGATATGTTGAACGATTTTCTAATTTTGTTTATGCGGTTGTAGATACTTATCTTGGTGTAAACTGTAAAGTTTAAAATTAAAAATCACTGCAACTTTTTAGCGTGACTGCTGTTTTGTTACCGGTAACTTTTACGAAAACGGCGATATACAGTACACAAACCAAGGAAAACAAAAGATCTATTACCTATCTTAAGTCGCACACTTGCGTACCCACCCATCTAAATACACAGCACAAAATTATCTAATACCGTTAACATTAAAGGAGAAAAATAATAATGTCTATCTAAAAACGAGTTCAAAACAAAACTAAATCATGTCTAAGACAAATAAAATCACGTAATAACATCTATTACTACACACCCATGTTACAACTACTAAAACAAATTTCTGCAATCTTCGTAGTCCGACGGCCATTTTTTAACGACGTTATCCCAAACGTTATTTTCTGCCTCTTTGCAACTTCTCACGCATATGAAGCTTTTGGACCGGTCTCAGCGCACTGAAATACTTGTGATCCAGGGCCTGTTGTAAAGTGATGCGCTCGTCCTGTTCAAATCGCAACATGTTCGACAAGAGATCGAAAAACTGCACCGTATCCAAATTTTGATCACGCATGCAATCCTGTCAAAAGGTCAGCACATGTGTTCAAAGTCTAGGCATTTTGAGAGTTACTATAGTATGCGCTCACCGCCAGCGGTTTACAGTAACGTCGATGCTCTTGCCACTCTGAACACCGCTTATCGTAGCTAAGGCGGCCATTTTTTGCGTACACGGTTTTCTTCTCTCCTCGACGATACATGTCACCCGGAATTTTTCCCAACACTCTCTCCATCATTGCCAACTGTATCGAAGAAAGCATGATCATATTGATGACTTCTGATGGAACTGCTGAGCAAAAGTAAAAGCAAAAGGCATTCTTTACCTGAACTCGAGTGTTCCGTGCTCTTTCGAACATGGACGTTCCAGTGTACAGCTCGAATAAAATCATGCCCACGCTCCACACGTCAATCGGATACGACCATCCCAATTCTGGGAAAAATTATGACCAAGTATAAAGAAAACATCACAATCAGAATGCAGATACAACAAAATATGCAATCAATGTAACTAAAAAAATAAATTAAAAAAATATGGAATACAGAGATGCAGTGATTTCTAACAAGTAAGTACAGTATCATATCCGCAGACACATACGCAAGGTTATTTCCGGCGCGCGATACTGCCGTGTGGTCACAGAAGTGCCGTGGTATTCGTGCTCGAAAATTGCCGAACCGAAGTCGATGATGCGGATATCGGTGCTTTCCAGTGACTTCAACGACTGGACTTTCTCACCACGAAAAATTTCCCGCGGCTCAACAGCCAACACCACATTATCGGTCTTCAGGTCGGTATGAATTATGTTATTCACGTGCAAGAAGTTGACGGCATAACACAGCTGATAGGCCACGATGCGCAGCTGATCGAAAGGAAATGGCTGATAATCGTTGGACTGCAGGAAGGTGTACAAGCTGCATCCCAGCTTCTCCATCACCATACACGGATGCCCATGGTAGGTGAAACTGTCGAACATGCGCACAAACAGATGTCGCGCTTCCGGATCCAACTAAAAATAAGGGTTTGTTAAGTATAGATGCTCGTACTATTATAAAACGGAGAGCATACAGATAAATAAATTTTGCAGCAGCCACGGGTTACCCAATAAAATTCTGGAAAAGTAAACAAAACAGATCTCCAATGGTACAATGCTACTTTGAATGAGTCATTTAAAGTCGCATTGTACCATTGGAGATGCACAGTCAGTGGATGCACAGTGGATTAGTCTAGTCTGTTTAATTCACCTTTAAAAGCTCTTTTAGCACGTTAATTTCGTATTCGGCATCCTGTTGGGCATCGTCCGTACACTGTGTAATTTTCAAAGCCAGCTGTTTCTCCTTCATCGTCGCGCTTTTCATGTCCCTGACGCAGTACACACGCCCAAATGTTCCTTTGCCCAGAATTTTCAGCACATGGTAGCGCTTTTTCAGAACATCGTTGGGTGAAATAACCAGATGGCTATCTCGATTGACTGCAAGGCGATGTGGCGACAAATAGTGGTGTGTCGGTTTACATCCCACTGTGTAGTCGGAATGATATGGATTGCTGCTGCACGTGGTGCAGGAAGCGGCGCTGGTCTTGGACACCTCATACGCAACAGGTAGGTAGCAGTTTCCGCAGGGACAGTCGGCTGTCTGCTGGGACGAGTCAGTCAGTCGGGATTTGTTTCCCTGAACAGGACGTGTTTTGGCAGGCGCTGAACTGATGATATCGGATGAGAGTGTATGGCGAGGTTTCTTGTTCTTTTTCGCATCGCTGCCACCGCTGATAGTAGAGGTGGCGCTTGGAAATAGGTTCTGATCAGCGTACGAAGCAGGAGATGCCTCGCGAGTGCGCTTACCCGGCGGCATGATGGAGGATCCAGAAATGCAAAAAAATTATTACTAAAAACACTTTCAAAAAAGCAAAAGAAAGTGCCGTTTCAAATGTGGGACATGGTGTGGAAGAAGAAATCAAAGTGAACAAAATACGAAAAGGAAGAATGGAAGAACTGGAAGAGAGAATTTTATTTTTCTGTGACTTTTATGGGCAGCAATCCATCGCACCTGTGACCTGACCGGTGGATATCCGGTCGACCGGTCGGCTCTGAACCGGGTCACGTTCCCGACGATACGCTCAACGTTGCAACTTGCAGTGTTACGCCTCGTCGTCGTCTTCCTCGTTAAAACATGTTTTTGCGATTTGTATGCTTTATAGGTACTTGGATCGAGGTTTTTAATTTTATATTGTGAAAGTTAACACCTGTAAAGTGTAAAACTGTAAACATAAAAAAATTGCAGTATTATAGCAATCTTTTTTGTGTTTATTAAATAGCGCTGATTAGCAATTCCTAACCAGTAAATGATGTGTACATCCTTTTATTTGTTACTGGCACTCATAATAAATTAACCAGTAAATTAGGTACTCGTACTTATTTTGATTGACTATTATCGCCAATGCGAAAACCTTGTTAATATTATTTCCGGTGCTCCCGATTTCTATACTGCTTACCAAATACCGACCGGACTAGTGAACTTATGAGTGTCATTCGACACTGAATCGACAGTGCTTTTTGACTCAAATTTGGACGATAAACAATAAATACCAGCTGATCGATGGGCAGCACAATGTACTGTTCAGCTGAAAAATGAAAATTCCAGACAACTGAACTGAAAACGTCACATAAAAAACATTGACTTAAATAGAAAACAACGTTTTCTGGATTCCGTGGAACATAAAATGCGCCTTCAAACGTAAACAACCGCGGCATAACACATGATCAAGAGAGATCAACCAATCCTGGGGCGCGATGCGAATTCAAACCATAAAAATAAACAGATCAACATTAAAACGACCAGAGATAAGTACGCGCCGCTAATTGACACCTCCAAAGTAATCCTCGTCGCTGTCATCACTAAAAGCGTATTTTTTATTAGATGCACCTGCTCGATTGGTGCGATTGCGAGCGGGAACAATCTCATCTTCGTCATCCAAATCAAACACGCGCATCTTGTCAACAGGGGCCTACAATCAAGAGTACGAATGTGAACCAGCAAAAATAAACGTTTTCGACAATTAAGGAAATCTCAAAAATTACCCTTGTTGCAGCAACAGGAATTATCTCTTCGCTACTTTCCCGTTTAGCGTGGCTGGTTGAAGTCCCTGGCTTTTCAGAGGGGCCTGCTTTGACAACCTTATCGGGAACCGCCTTTTTTAAGAGAATCTTTGCAGGTTCCTTCTTCTTCACTAACTTCTTGGCTGGTGCTTTCTTTCCTGAGGGATAATCGTCTTCGTCATCTGATGACAACAAATGCACGATCTTGGTAAGCGCCGAAGGCTTCTTTTCCGCTGCCAGCTTGCCGGGCTCCTTTGTTTTCTCAAGAGAGAAAGTTTTAGGGTCCTTAGGTACAACATCCTTCTTCGCACCATTTTCCGCAGGCTCCATCTAAAAAACCAAATTTCCTGTATAAATAGCACCTTCCAATCGAAACCTTCCAATAAAAACTAAATAAATAGCACCTTCCAAAACAGACAGTTCACACTGCAAATTACTGTTGGCTTGTTTACCTTATCAGCAACTTTCAAAGGATTAGAAACACTTTTCGAAGAAATTTCTGGTTCGTCAATTTCAATCGATAATCTATCTTCGTCCACTTTTGCTATTTTTAGTGGGCTTTCCGTTGACGTTTCTCCCGCATCATCCGATGTGAAAACACGCTTTTTCTTTGGCACCTTCTCGACATATTCATCTTCGCTGTCGTTTAGCATGATTTCATCATCATCGTCAGTCAAGTCAGCGGAATCAAACGAAGACTCGTCATCAGAACCTATCTTCTTTGCTTTCTTTTCCGGTTTTTTCTTATCTTTTCCATTAACTACCGCTTTACTGGGCTGTTTGACGCCACCTGTGATATCAAAACGATGCATTATAGAACGTGGCTGGATATGGTGAAAAAACACGTTTTAAAACGGCAAAATTAAATTAGCGCTCACATTTATTATAAGTTAACGTTATGTGTAAGTACACTACAAGTGTAAACAGAACATGCAGTCCCATCGAGAGTACGCTGTTATTGCTAACAACATGTATACGAAGGCTTTTCCCGTGAACTAATAACGTTAGACACTTTTTCATAGTGCATTTACCATTTTCCTCTCCTGTCGGCTTATCAGAACTCGGTGCTTCAGATGAGGTGGGGTTTTCGCCATTCTCAGCGGGTTTCTTGGCCCGAGCTCGGGGTACCGTTATGCCCTAACACATCGTGGAAAAATGTGAATAAACCCGATGATAATATGGCGACAGAATTTCTTACAGCCGCTTTTCGATCTTTTAATTCTTTGGCTTTCTCAAACTTCGCAATAGTGGCAGTATCAACAACTGGCTCAACCCGTGTTCCGTACACAGAAGGGAGCGTATCGGCTTTGCTCGCAACAGCTCCTCGTCCTTTCTGGCCTTTAGCCCTGCCAGCAGGTTTTTTGGTGGGTGACACAAAAGCTTCTGCATCGGCTTCTTCAGCTTCCACTTTCTACAGCAAGAAACCATTATTAAACTATAATAACCACGGCGAAAATTGGATATGCATACTTTCAGACGGGATTCGAACTCGTCCAAATCGTCCGTGTACAAATCCGAGGGTGTCTTCTTCCGAAGAGCTGATAACTCTTCATTCTATCATAATAACAAAGCGTCAGAACTGCAGTACCCAAGGGAGTCCAGTCCAAGCGCACACTCACAGTAGTACATTCAAATGATCCTTGATAATTTGCATTACCTTATTATCCCGTTTCTCCATGAGATCCATAAATCGTTCATTCGTTAAACTCCAAAGAGGCATCTTAAGAATGTAGTCGAAATCCGATCCGGCTTCCTCTGGTTCATCCGTTTTTTTCTTGCCGTCATCGTCATCCGCGGTAGGAGTTTCATCTTCCGGCACTCCAAATTTTTTTTTCCAAGTCTTGACCGGATCCGAATCATAAGGTGGCTGAGCTTTCTTTAATTTATTGATCAAGTCTTTCTTTTTGACGTTTTCTGTCAGTATAAAAAAAGAACGAATTATATAAGCGTAGCGGTTCTAAGCGGGACTGCCAGTTTTACCTATTGTGATTTTCCCCTTAATTTTTTCGTCAATAAATCGAGCTTGATTCTCAAGGTTCAAGGCCTCAGCCGACAGACGCGCCACAAGAAAATCTTTTCTTTTTCCATAGAATGTCATTCGAACTTCAAAAAACTCACGCAAGATGTCACTGACATTATCGTATTTGCGAATCACTCCATTGGAATCGAACAGAACCTGAAGTAAGCAGGCCACATGAAATGAAGCCAAACTTATTAATAGTTCAACAAAGTACACAAGCAACACATCGAAGTACAGATATACTCCAAAGGAAATTTGAAGTAGGCACGTTGTGCGAATCCAAAAAATTGTAATAATCAAGAAATTTTTGACACACATTCTTCACAAAAGAGACTGCCGAAAAAAATTCAGGTAATTAATGCAAAGATCCTTCGCACTTACCATACTGCTCATAGAGATGGTCTGCTGGAGTTTAAATGTCTTATGAAATCCTTCCCTTTGGAATTCCTCAAACTTCTGCCCTGACATTCGAATCACGAAACGGACGGTAGTATCCGTATGGTACTCCTTGTAATCCCTACATGTAAGAAGTCGGAATAGCCGTGCTTGTGTAAACACAAGAACAAAACCATATATATATGTATATGGATAATGGACTTACTGAATCTGGGGAGGCTTTCCTTTACCATCTTTGGATTCAGAGCCTAAAAGCAAAGGCTCGACAACCGCTTCTTTGTAGTTCTGAGTCCAAGTCCGAATAGGCAGTTCCGTTATTTCAATCGAATTCTCCTGATCAAGAACTGCCACTTCCCCGTTAGTTAAGTAACGAGTTGGATCTACTGGCAAAATTTCACCGCGATATCCCTTATACCATGGTTTCTGCAACAATGTTGATGATCACAGATTTGCGCACAGTCAGCTACAAAGGTTTGCATGTAAACATTCACCATGGGTTTAATTTCATCTCCACGGATCAAAGCTCTTAAATTTGCGACAATATCCAGTGGATTATAATTCGGAATTTTCGTCATCCACCCGGTTCCAATTCCCTCGGCACCATTAATTAATACCATAGGCACAACGGGAATATACCACTCTGGCTCGATTTTCTGGTTATCTTCGTTCAAATAATTTAACAGTGGATCATCGTGCGGATGGAATACGGCTCTGGCCATTGGACTGTTACCCGAACGACACTCTGACATCAATATTGACGAAAAAATGGATAACGCACGCAATACCTCAAATTGGTAAAGATGTATCGAGCACTGGCAGCATCTTTTCCACCAAGCAGACGAGTACCGAATTGTCCTAGTGGAAGAAGAAGGTTGATGTTGTTCGATCCAACAAAATTCTGAGCCAATCCAACAATCGTTGACATAAGTGATTGCTACCAAAAATAACACAAACTGATAAAAAAATCACAAACAGTTTGCGTATGAGAATTACTTCGCCATGATGGTAAGCGGACTTTTCAGCGACGGAACCGACTAACTGGGCCACCTTCGCTTCACCTTTTTTCTTCCGCGTGAAACACGTAAAAAGCACTTTCCGTTGGCCAGGCTTCAAACCTAAATACAAGCGAAATTATCCAGCAAATAAGTGACCTGATAGCAAGCAAATAAAGATCTGTCAAGTCGGATTTCTCACCATCAACAAGCGAAGGGATCGATCGCTCATTATCCATGTTACTAAACAGAATCAGCTCCTCGTCCACGAACTTTTTAAACGTCACAGACTTTGTGGTTTTCGTGTAGAGGTAAACCTGCGTAAAACAATAATACCAATCATGAAAAGGAAACTATATGCGTAGAAACACGACAGTGCGCTTTTGCTAACCTCGCCACGACCCTCCAGTCTGCGTTGCTTACGTTCTTCCATTCCTTTCGTCAGCCAATCTTTCCTGGCATCTGCTTTATTTTTCGCAAACGCCTACGACAAGAAAGTAAATTCAGGCATAAGTACGACCAACAAAATGATCTAATATATCAGAACAGTATCCGCGTACAGCAGACAGCTAATACGCGTAACTAAAATAAAACGAAGGCCCGACGGCTTACCAAATCAATAGCGTCGTCGTCGTCCTTTCCACCGTATCGAAACCCAATCCGATGCCGCGTCATGTTGGAAAAGTACTCTTTGGCTTCCTTTGAGGTACTAGTACCCAATCCTTTATAATATTTGATCTTGTATCTTTTCAACTCGCTCTCCGTGCGATTCGCTTTCCATTCTTCCAGTTCTGGTAGGCTGTAAAAGCATTCCTCTACGTTCCCCTTGGTCGCCTAAAATAATGACAGTGAGTCTTACGCTCCGTAGGCACTGCGGAGTTCGCAATGCGGACTCGCGTCACAGTGACCAGCGTATCCATTCGCAAAAGAGTAGCAACACAAAACGAGCGTTCGAAAATCTGAGTGAGTTTGGGTTTTCAAAATTTCTTAGCACTGCTATTTTTGGAGTAACACGACAGCGAAAAATGTTAACCTTCACAATTGGAGTGATAAATTCTTCAAGAAAAACATGTCTTAAGAGACTAGGCCAGTTAAAGTGGATGAAATTGATAAGCAGCCCCTTGATGTGAGAGCCGTCTTGGTCCTGATCTGTCATGATCATCAGTTTTCCGTAACGAAGTGACTTCAAATCCTGCTCTGAATCGTATTTTCGTTTATACTGGAGGCCCAAAATCTTGACAATACTGTTGATTTCGGCATTGTCCATCAACTAAGAAATTAAAAGCAATAAACAATGATACACCTGCATTATGACCACAAATTCATAAGGCTTGTCACCATAAATAACTACCATCCAACCTACCTGTTTTGGAGTAGCTTCGCGGACGTTCAATAATTTCCCACGTAGCGGGAACACACCATACTTGTCGCGCCCAACTACACTGAATCCTGAAACCGCCAACGCCTTAGCTGAGTCTCCCTCCGTTAAAATCAGAGTACAATCCGAAGAATATTTCGTTCCAGCATCGTTAGCGTCCTCCAGTTTAGGAATACCACGAAGTTTAGCGGTTTTGGCACCATGAATCTTCTTTCCCATTTGGCTCTACGGCACAAAAAACCGCTGACCAACTCCCAGCTGCAAAAAAGAAACACATACCTCTGCCTTCGCCTTCGCAAACGCAAGAATGTTTTCAATTATTCCAGACTTCAATGCGTTTCCAATAAATTTATCGGACAGCTGACATTTAGATCCAAAACTGCGGACTTGCAAGGTCATATTTTCCTTTGTCTGAGAATCGAATGTCGGATTTTCAATGAGGCAATTAACGAACACCCACAGGTGATTTTTAATCTGGAAAGAGTAAATAGAGGTAAAACTCCAAAGTATACTCGAACTGAAAGACAATAACAAAGTTTCACTGTCACACCTGAAATGGTTTAATCTCAGCACCGCTCTTATTCTTTTTCTTGATAACCTCGTTCATTGCCTTGGTGATTTGGTCAGTGATGTATTCCACATGGCGTCCTCCCTGAATGCGTCACCAGTTTACAATGAGTCAGTACAACACATTAGGAAACAATTCTAAAAAGCCCTTAAAAAAATCTACCGATTACCTTTGTGGTAGCGATGCTGTTGACGAAGCTGACTTGATTAAATCCAGTGTCGCTCGAAGTGACCGCAACCTCCCACCTTTCGTTAGCCTTCTCAGTTACAACTTTCAAGGGATTTCCCATTTCGTCGGTGTTATTGGCCGTATACAGTTCAACATACTGTTTGAAATTAGAGATCTAAAAATAGAAAAAAAAGAAGGGAATACAGCAATGACATCGATAAACCAAATGACATCGATGAACTCCGATGAGGGTATGTGGTTCAGGAAAAACTATTGTCAGCCTGGATCTATTCAGGGATTCACACTTTTTTGTTAATGACCAGGGATAGACGGCAAAATTTAGTTACTGGGAGGTTTATTAAGAAGACTTCCGCATAAACCTGACTAACTGCAGTACTAACCACTGACAACAATAAATACGTACTAAATGAACGGACGACCCACCTGGATAAAAGACATTCTACCCACTGATTTGGGAACATGATCAGCAACAAAAAGCAAATCAAGGACTATTATACTCGTATAAATATACATAAGTATAATGTACACATACCGGTAGCTTCTCTCCATTGAGGTACACTTTAACGCCTCCACTGGTTCCAGCAACATCGTACGCCCGCCGCGATAAAAGATCCACAGTGTCTTTATCCAGTACTGCCATCTTGAATTTGCTGAGATCAGGCTCGAAAGTGACTTTGGTGTAATCTTCGCCACTGAACGAGTCCACTTTTGGCTCTCCAGCCTTTCCCATATTTTTCGACCATTCCTACAATATTCGAATAAACATAGGCAAAAATGCAAGGGAATGGAAAAGTAATCATTTCTGGCACAAGATAAGTTCGCATAAGAATACAACTGTAATTATTACGGTATAAGTAATCACAGATCAATTTCGGTTACGATAAATGCAACGCAATACCTGTTTGAATTTCTTCTTGTACTCCTTCGAAGCGGTTTCCACAACGAATTTATTACTGAAGATATTGCACAGCTTGGCTCCGTATCCATTTCGTCCGCCGGTCACTTTCTTCTCGTCGTCATCATAATTGGACGAAGTCAGCAAATGACCGAAGATCATTGTGGGAACCAACATTTTTTCTTCTTTATGTTCCACGACCGGAATACCGTGCCCGTTATTCCAGACAGAGATCTGGTTCTTCTCCCTATAAAACCAAAAAACACCAAATAAGAACCAATCGCTGTTTCGAGTTCCTGCGTTAAATCGCAAACTTGAAACTCACGCGTCAATGGCAATCTTGATCATGGACATTTTTGGGTCGCGCTGCTTGTTATCCGCCGCATTTACCAATATCTCGTCGAAGATTTTGTACAGTCCGGGAACGAATTTTATTTCGCGAAAAACCATCTTCTTCTCCTCGGTATCGTAGACCCACATCTCTTGCGACACGAGTTCTGTCGAGCCAATGTACGTATCGGGACGAATGAGAATGTGCTCCAGCTGCGATTTCTTCTGGTAGATCTTCTCAATGGCTTTCTTCTCTTTGGGGGTGCGGGCCTTCTTTGTTGGTTGATTGTCAGTATCTCCTTCATCTTCGGATGATGCTGCAGCCTTCTTCTTTTTGGTAGCCTTAGTCTTCTTTGGAGAACCTGAACCACCAGGAACGTACTCGTCCTCCTCTGACGACATGACCGTTAAGTTGTTAACGAATCGCTGCACTCGAACTTAAACACAGGGATCAGACATCCATAACAGAAAAGTTCTAATAGAAGAAAAACGTCCAGACGTTTTGTGCAGGAAAAACTACCCGCTAGCCAAACGAAACATTGAGGAATGACATCAATATCCGTAAATTACCGCTTTAAAATTTTATCACAATGATAACAAACCGAGAACCAAAACTAAACGCAAATAAAAAGTGCAGACGCATGGCTGGCATTTTGGCTGCAAGCTTTAGCCTTTATGGCCAGTAATGTGTATGTAAGGCTTTTCCTACCGAGTAGGCGGTAAGGTGTGCGGCTGTTTTGAAGAGTTTTAGGGTGGGTCTCCCATTCAAAGCGAATCTAGTTGCGATAGAGCAACTCCACCTCGCGAGGTGGCTTCGCGTACCGTATCTGTAGGCGTGGCCACTGCAAACAACCACCTCGTGCGGTTGAGCGACCGTACCATAACGAGATTCGCTTTGAAAGATTTACGTTAATACTATGTCATCACTTTTAACTTTTGTTATTGTTGTTTACTTAAAATTAAAACTTTTCGTATCCACTATCCCTTCTAGTACACTAGTATCCCATACTGTTATTTCTTGTATTGTTACCATAATTTTTGTCGACCATACCGACACGGGCTCAGTAACAAAATTCACAGCATAGAGTCCGCATTCTGTATATTCCGCGTCCGTATTCAGCATAGAGCGAGCGAGCGTTTTTTATTTATTCTGCAGTCTGCATTCACCATTAATTACGACTCGTAATTAATGGTGAATGCAGACTGCAGAATAAATAAAAAACGCTCGCTCGCTCGTAATTTACGAGTAATAAATTATACGTACAGGAAAGACGGTATTCCGACTACGAGTACGTATGTATAAGAATGGGAGCCCGAAAACACTTTTCCATTAAAACAAAAAAAAGGGTAAAAACAGGAAACACTTTTGTGTCTCTCCGGTCATCAACAGGTCAGCATTTTCCTGCTGGACCTCGATGCTACAGCTGTGATCGGATCCATATTTTCCACTTTAAAAGACTATAATTCTTATTGAGAAAATACAATCACGTTACACTCGAATTTCTGGCAGAAAGTACAACATTAATTTTAGTATCCCACGAACTAGAAACATCTCGTAGTTAACATAAATAAAACAAAATAATGGTTCAACGGTTACACACTAATGGCGATTTCGGCACCGTCATTACAAAGCACCTCTAAATTCCCTACCACAAGATCTAAGCGTTAGCTTTAACGTATTTCACAATATTTTGAACAACATCCGTTGTCGTCGCTTGACCCCCGAGGTCGGGCGTCCAAACTTTATCCTCAAGGAGGGTTTTCATAACGGCATCTTCTATTACTCGGGCTTGGTGTTCAAGTTTCAAGAAATTCAGCATATCAATGCTAGCTCGAATAAAAGCGCACGGATTAGCGATGTTTTGTCCAACAATGGATTTTCCAGTGTTTCTTGCACCCTAAAAAACCAAAAAGTGCACTGATTACGAAAACGGTAGTGTGTAATTGTAAACTGTTAAACCATCAAGGAAGGGAAGCGCGAAGAAAAGTACTACTAGTCTACTAGTGCTAATTTCGATGGGATCTACTTAAAACGGGAAACTGGACAAAGACAGTACCGTTTCGAAAACGGAATAGCGTGAGCCAAGATTCATTCCAGAAACCAATCCAGGTCCGCCGATCACGCCGCAAGCAATATTACTCAGCACATCTCCGTACAGGTTTGGCATTACCATCACATCGAACTGGCCGGGCTTGTTGACCATTTGCATGCTACAGTTGTCAATAATCATCTGATCGAACTGTATGTCTGGATAGCCCTGCGCAGTCTGTCTGCAGCATTCAAGGAACAAACCGTCGCTCATTTTCCTGTAGAAATAAAAGTTTTTAGAGAAATTTCATGATGAATTAGATACGTATTCAAAACGACCAGTCAATGCTAACATGATATTGGCTTTATGGATGGCGGTGACTTTCTTTCGACCATATTTCCTCGCCCATTCAAAAGCAAAATGAGCAATTCGCATAGAATTCTCCCTGGTGATGATTTTCAAACTCTCGACTATTCCGGGAACACCCTACAAAATAAAACCGATGCACAAAAGCAAATATCACCGATAGGCCATTTTTTACCTCATGCTCAATACCGCTGTATTCAGCTTCCAGATTTTCACGAATGACGACGAGATCGACGTCCTTTTGCTTAGCCCTAATTCCAGGAAGATTCTTAACCCACAGAACACTGGCAAACAGGTCCAGTCGATTCCTCAACACCACATTGCGAGACTGAAATCCCTGAAAGCTGCTCCGGGTTTCAATATTACCTAAAAAATCCCTGCCAGTTTACTGCCACTGATGAATTCAGAGACTTACTTCAAGTAAGTACTTCTGCTCATCACAAAAAAATAATCAACATAAAAGTATTTCTGCGCTTGAAAAATATGATTTTAATTTCAAAATTCCATAATAATTTATGTTACCAAATTATTTACACACGTTATAATTCACAAAACACACTAAGAAAAACGGGCAGCTAAATCTTTGCAAAGATCACAAGTCGTTGAAACTGCCACGAGTAGGTGTCATGTCGATACAGTAACTCCGTTTTGTCTAGTGTCCGCCTTTACCTTTCAGAGCAACACCATTTCTTTTAATGGACATAAGAGCGTATTCGAAGCCCTCAACATCGGGTGAAGTAGCGTCCAGATCTATTTCTTCAAAATCGACGGGAGCCGCGGCATAGCGAAATATTTCCTTGACGTGCTGTGCCATTTCCGAACCAATGCCATCACCGGGCAGCAGTGTGACCGTGTGTCGACCGCCCCATTTTGCGGGCGGAGGGACGAACTTATCCGCTGGCTGTAAATTAGAGAATTCTTCCGCAAGGATCGCGCGCGTAAACCCGTGCGAGAAGGGGGAATGAGGGGGGTACGCTGGATTAGAGGGCTGCATACCAAACCACACAAAATGCAGGGTTAAATTTCACACCATGCATGTCAGTGCTAAATCCAACACTTCGTGCACATGCATCGAAGTTATCATAATCACAGCACTGCTCAGAACTTCATAGTCCATATTAAACAATTAAAAAATACTTGTCGATTTGCAAATCGCATGATATCCATTCGGAATTATGTACTTTGTTTTTCTTTCTAGAAGTTATATTATTCAATATTAATTTTGTTTCAGTGGTAAATTTTCTTCCACCATGCTGGTAGGGAAGATCATCGAAAGTTCATTCCGCAGATCAAACCAGCAGCGCTTCTACATGAAACAACCCAAAACTACTCACGTCAGACCCACTGCCAGCTCCAGACCCCACCGCGGAGACATTCGTGTTCAAGCCAGTTGTCACAACTGGTCCAGATCCTCCAAAACTGGCATAGCGAGCACTCGGTCGCGCGGAATCCCAGAACGGAACGAGAATCCTTCGACTCGCACAGTTTGTCGTTAGAGGGATAACCCGTCCAGCAAATGCCATGATCTAGAACAGAAAGAGTAAGCCGTTCAGGTTTCAAAGCAAGATAAATTACACAGTCGCGGTGCACCCAGTACACGGCAACGAACAGATCAAGGCTGAGCTTTGTTTCGCACACTCAGCATCACATTTTAAATGGCTTCTTTCGAATTTTTACATGTTTCATACAGAGTTCGCACAAAATGATAAAAGTCTACTCGTTCCGTCAAATTTGAAAACCAGTTAGCGCAAATTATCAAGCAGAGATAAGTCAGTCTATAAAAGTACATCGTCCCCGTGTAAGTTCCTTCCAGACCTACTTTCCAGCTCACCTTAGTCGGGGTAAAAACAGCTCAAACCCGAGCGCTGACTCTTCTTTTGTATATCCGAAGGAGCAGTTCGACAGCAATCGTTATTAAGAATGTTAAAAATACACTGCAAATGAAATGTAAACATCAGGAGGAATAGTTTGCAAGACGACAGCAGATCTACCAGAATGGCAGGATCCATGTGTTTTAAGTTGATCCCTTCGTTCAAAAATTCACGTAATCGGCGATACGAGTACGGTCGCATGTGCGTCAGTTAAAAACGAACTGCCAGGCCAGTAGGGCCAATACCATAATGCCAATACCATGCGGCGATGCGCGACTTCCGGCGAACAAGTACAGCTAAAAATCTAACTGATATAGATATAAATAATAAAAATTTTAAAATAGATTAATAAAGTGCTTACTTATGCAAGAGGGTGATTTCCATAATAACAACAATATATCTGCAGAGTTCCATAATAACAATATCCATAATTAAATTTTAAGGTGTAGATGAATTATCAACACAAGGAAAGGACATACAACCTCATTTTTCTGGTACACTCATTTCTGTACAGACTGGTAATTCATAATAACCTTGTTAAGGCATAATTGCCAAAAATCAGACATACAAACAGCGCACACTTTTTCGAACCATCTCGTGCATCTACACAAGTCACCAGCATTAGCGATAATGTATACAACTAACATTAATTAGTCTATGAAGTCTAGCGCCAAGTTGTTTTCATCGCTCATATCCACACTAGGCGGTGCCGTATCATTACGGTCGTCTTCATCTTCCGACGAAGTGCCCAGGTCCTTGATATCACCAAATAAATCATGTGCTGTCAAATTTCTGTGCTTGGAGAGCCCGGATTCCGATGCCGTGTCAGCATCGCCGGTGTCGAAACTCTTGTCACCTTCTCTGATATCATCTTCCGTAATTATTTCACGCTTTACTCGTATCGCCTCACTGTCGGCCCGCAAAAGTCTCTTCAGCTCATTCTCAATCTCCTGCAGTTCCGCGTCTTTTCTTTTAAGAGTCTTGCGAAATCGACTTTTACGCACATTTTTCAGTGGCGGTGTCAATCCATGCGGAAATTGATAACGTTTATCCTTGTTTATTTCATCCGGACGCGGCTGCACTTTCGGCTCGTCTGGTTCTGGCGGAGGGTTTACGTCATCCGAAACTAACAACATCTAGCAACGAATAAGAATAACATAAGAAACAATGTAATAGCACAATCTGCAGTACGATTCAAAAAATATTTTAATGTTGCCCGTAATTTCTCAAATACAAAAGCCAACGTGACTGGTACTGTATCGTCGACTCAAGTTGGCACTAGGTAATACTGACCTGAACCTGTAACTAAGAAAATGACAAAGGATATTTCAACGTTTTACAACCGCAGATTATTACACATTAGAAATTTAAATTAAATTCACATAGAAATTCATTTCATTATTATTCAGACATTCATGTAGATATTCATACGAAATTCAAATACGAGAAACGAGAATTATCTGGCGTATTAAAATCATTAAAGGTAAAGCAACACATCGTTGATAATACAAAACAACCACATCGCACTAAATTAACAAAGTTTTACGATTTACCTGGCAGATATCACCTGCTTTGTAGAAAGTTTTCCTGTCAATCGTTTTGTGCGACTCGATAATACAAGGCAAATCGACCAGTTTAGAATAAAATTCCATGCTGTCCACGTACACTTTTGCGTGCCGCATATCTGGCTGCATATCTATCTTCAAGCGTTCCTTCAACATATCCTTAGGAGACGAAAGCGCAATTCTTATCAGTTCGGCAGCTGGTTTAGGCAGTCGCAAAATAAACTGTCCTTCAGGCTCGAAAGGTTTCGGAGGACGCACCAGTGCTGGCTGGTTTCCAGCAGGCACTGCTGAATTTTTAGACCCACTCATTGTCCTGGTAGCTCAGCTAAATCCACTTGTCTCCGGAAGATCAAAACTTACAAGCTACGTGCAAAAACAGCCGATATAAACTGTAACAAGTAAGGACCATCCAATTATGTCTATCCTGTACAAGCAAGCACTCGTGACTCTACATTTAAAGGAGCTAGCAGTGCTACACCTCGACTTCAAACTTACCGAAGTACTGCAACTGTCCCGCAAATAAAAACAAGCACGCCCACTGATATCTGTGGGGGAACATGTCAGATCCGACTCCTCATTCCCTTAAGGTGTAATAAGGGTAGATTAGAACATCCTAATTTCACGATCATAACAGTTAACACTCAACTGATGTCAGATCGACTCACAATCAGATGCGTTGATTGTTGTACGAATAATTACTGAATTTACAATCATTATAGTGTAAGTTCTAAATCGTCTGACAGCTTCTAAGCTGAAAGTCAACTAATCTTCAGAATCCGGTCGTACGCCATAGCATAAGTACTTTTCGAGAAGAATCAGAACTCAGAAGATCTTCGATTACTCACCATTTTAACAATTTGGGCCTTTGGCGGAGATATAGGAGACAAACTTACCGGGAAATTGTAAGGAATTAAAGTTATCTGTAGAGCGAAAGAAAGATTGCGCACACCGCACTAGATATAAAAGTTTATACAATTATTATGAAATATACTTTATAGTTAACGATAAATTTTTTTCCTGAAAAATTTTTATGAAAACCTTGAAAAGTGTTTTCATCAGTTTTGAAAATGAACTACTGCCACTTGCCAACCGCTAGTGTACATGTACTTGTAAGCAACCGGAAACGGTATACACATATGCGGGCGGTTGCAACTTCGTTCGCCTGAATTATGGAGAGTTTGGGAAATGCCTTTAAAACCATCGAATTCCAACTCAGTCCGAGTAGGTAATTTTTGAAACTTGTTGGACTGCGTGAACAGGTATGAATTTAATTTATTAATCTTTCTCCTGGGAACTATACAATAGCAAATCCAAGTGCCTCTTTAAGATAGGTTGTCTTTTATCAGTCTTTCTTTCCCTAGAAAAATGACCTAGAAATTTAAAAGCGTTTCATATCTTTCACGGTCTGCTACCCGTATCGAAGCTTAAAACTCGCTGTGTGGATGGAACTATTTACTATCAAATTCAAAGAGTCTGTGATTTGCTGCTAACGGATGAGAAAAGTTCCTGTCTCGAACTGTAACGCCGTGACGGGAACAGTTTGCGGCCACAATCTCAAACGTAGACCGATTGTCACATATGCCTGAGTGCCCGATATTTTACCTATTGAGCCAAAGTGTTCTTGTATTTCCCACAATATTGGCTCGTTGTGATACTCATTTGTCAGTGGTGAATCGGTGATGCTGATACCGTGTATAACGTTCGGCGGAATTCACTCGGCTGTATGATCCATTTAAATCCCACAGCCAGCCTTTAAGTTCGACGAATGAGTAAGTAAAATATTGTTTAGTTGAAAATTACTTTCTGTTACCGAGGAAAAGTTTTTGCAGTGCCGCAGTGGCACAATATGTGGAAATGCCTGAGATTAAGAAAAGTGAAGATTTGTGCTAAAGTGAACTCTAACGTAAATATGTACAGTAGCTGGCAGTCTTCGAAGCTTTTTCCGCTTATCACAGAAGCTTTGCAAAGCCTACAGAAAACTACATTCTTCAGTACTAAACATGTTTGCATTTTTCGCACATCAAAAGCTCTGTTGGTCACTATCGATTTTATCATATCTGGTATTTTCGTAAGTGGAGTACTTCAGTTTCTTTGAAAATCAGATTTCCGATAAAAAATTCAGTTAAGAGGGAATTTTCAGCTTTTGACGGTCAACTAAACACCAATGCCCATGGACAGTCTACAGCTTAAAATGTTTAATTTTGTAATAATTAGGCAAACGGCAATTACGTGCAATAACTTAACTAAGTAGAAAATGCTTTAATACAACAGTATGGAAGTGGTCAACACTGACCACTGGTTTAAAGCTGACAGTTTCTGTATTTTGATACTATTACCGATAGAATACATAAACAAAATGTTAACGATATTTCGCTTAATACAATGCGGTACTGCAGTTTGAAATTACACGCTGCATTTCGGAAGCGTTATGATCGTCCGCGGTACTATTTGGTCAGTGGCAATCGAACTGCAGTGCTGATAATTCAGATATAAGCTATCACTATGCACTAGAATTTTGAAAAGCACCAGTAACCAAGACTGGCTAAGGTCAGCATCGCCACTAGGTGCATTTTGCATAGAATACATAAACATAAACTGCTATTTTCAAATGCCAGAGCCTGGTCAAATGATTCTTCTGTTTTCCAAAGCTACCGGGCTCACTTTGTTTGTGTGCACCGCTAGCGTAGGTAGAAACAATGCGCAAAAGTGTTGAACGTTTTTTTGTCCGGGCGGACAACGTTTGAAATGATTGCATCTTCGCCGATGCTGGCCTGAAAAAATTTCTGATTTTGCCAGCGCGTTCTGACACCTGCAATCGTGTGGCACATGGCGTACATTTCCGATTAAGTAATCGCTGCTGTCGCAGTTGCACCCGATTCAAGACCCTTCACGGGCAATGGTGTTAGCAGACGACACACGTTTTGACGGACTGTGGTCATCTATGGTTCAATCTTCTGAACAAGCTGTAGTTATATGTTGATATCTAAAAACATCTCTTGCAGACCTTCGTACAATATCATCCCAAACAGCTCTGTTGGTCACTATCGATTCGTTATGAGTATCTGGTATTTTCGTATTCCAGTTAACAGTAAGTATAACACAGATACATGCCTGCTCAGTAGATAGTCTTCAGACTTGTAGAAAAAATAATAAGGTTATTAATTTGAAAGTTTCTTGTTTGTTTTATTATTCTATTCTCTGCGTGTCTGATTTACAAAAACTTAAACAATATGATCGTCGACGTTAGATTTCAACCATAAATGATAAAGGGGCACAGCTGCCGTATCTTAACGTTCGTAGTTGCATTCGGAATATAATGCGACTGCATTTTGATGCTTCCGAGTTAGTCTGCATTTCACTATTTTTTTAAAACGCGGACTGCCCAAAAAGAAATCTGAATGAATAATTCCGTAATGGAATGTTTGCTGTTAGAATGCATTTACTGTATTCAACTGGTTTTGGCTGAAGGTTAGCTCCTTCGCGGTCAATCAGTTAACAGATAAATATTCCATCCGCTTCGATAAGTAGCATTTCTGTATGGTTTAATAGGTTGTGCTCCACCGCACCCTGTTCGCTTATTACAGGTACTGCCTTTAAAATTTATATTGTAGTTTTGTTTTGAAGTGCGGCAGTTGGTATCGCTGTTGAAGCAACGTGTCACTTCATAGTTCGTACTGATGTGCTGTTTAACGTAACTGTAGTTATACTCTTATATGCGTGTTTGGTTCCAGTTTTTCGGTGATAGATTTTGCGCTTGGGAATAGCTTACAATTAAATTTCAGAAGGGAGTTTTCATTGCATTCGTAAAAAGTGTACTTTTTTGTTAATAATACTAGTGAAGTACTTGTACTGGTGCTTGTACTTTTAATTGAGATTGAATGGCTACCAGTATTTAAAGAAAATGATTTGTTTTTATGATGTGTTTGCTCGATTCACTATCGTACGAAATTTTTGATCGCATAATTTGGCGAAATGCACGTGAATTATTGATTGTTAATGCGTAAATTGTTGGCGTACACTGGTACTGTAGTTCCTTCCCGGAAAACGTTATCTCGATCTGTCGAAGGCGATGTTAACAAAACGGCGATCACGGTAAGAGTCTAGTCAAAATAGTGATGGAAATTCACAGCAGTGTTGTGAGTTTGTATAGAAGTACCCGTATAGTAGTATGCCTAATACCATAATACTGTATCTATATTATTATGTTAGTGCTAGTGCTTACGATTACTGTAGATTACTGTACATTTAAGATTTTCGCACTTGTGCTAAATGTAACACATTGGCGACAGATCATATTATCATTATTAATTCTTAAGTATAATGTTATTATTAAAATTCTTAAATAATAGTTAAGTGTTGTAATAATACATCGTAAATATAATTACGTCACCAAACCGTTATTAGTTTCAACGCGATCTTATTTACACTGGAGATTTACTTCGGATAGTCATACATAGTTTGTCGTGGTAGTAATGATATCAGAACACACACAACTTTGTATATACTTAGTGTAAAAAACACCGTTAGATCTTAACGCACCAACCTTTGTGATCCGCATTTTGCAGTGCATTCAGTTTAACGCGGTGCATATGAATTTTTTAAACATTTAGTTACCTACATGTTTTAGGTGGCAATTTTAAAATTTTAACGATTGCTTCGGTTTGTTTTTTGCTTTCCTTGGGACTACGAAGTATTTTTTAGGATGACAGCTGAAAGGGGAACGTTCATACTAGATGCTTAGGATTCGTGTTTTTCACACGTGCTTGCCTTTCCATCATTCTGAAGCAATATGGTACCAGCATTTTTCAGAACTACAAAGGCTGCTCGGGGAGATCGGTATTTTGGAGCCGGTCAAGTCGAGGTGGACTTAGATGAAATGCTGCCTTTAACGAACGGGGATGCGGAAAACGGGGTGGATGAGCATGATGTGCGTGATACCAAGCGCATTAGGTCCCATACGGATTCTTATCTAGTAAAACCGAAATCCCACGCTGATAGAAAAGGCAGTAATTTTGAACTCAACAAACAGCATGGCATTGAAATGGATGTTTTTACCGCCGATGGTACGCACAACGATCAGCCAGAGGGACATGGTGGCCGCAAGTCATTCATGGATGCAATGGCACATGACCTGCTTCTTCCGGCTGCCGCCATTGCATCCGACATCGCTCATTATCCCATTGTGGAGGAAGTAGGAGAAGGGCCAACGATTGATGACCTCGTGCGGGAAGACATACCCCTGCACAGCGAGCGATTACGAGCTGTAGTGCTGCAGGTTATGGGTCCTTTTTTTGTTGCCGGATTGGGTAAGTTTTTTTAGCCTTTTTCATACCATTTAATTTCTCAAGTAATTTTGCTTCAGGAATGGTGGCAGCTGGAATGGTGCTGGATATCGTACAGGTAAATGCGGTAGACATCGGCTAAGTTTTTAATTCTTGTAAATTGGAATTTTCCTATTTCGCTTTTCCTTTGTGTTCTGTTCGTCGTTTTACCACGAATTATTGCATCTGCTTCCGAAAAGCGTTTTATAATGTTTAATTAATCAGCATATTGTTTGTTCCAGCATTGGGATGTTTTCCTTGCGGTTTCGGAATTATTCGTCATGGTTCCGGCTTTATTAGGGTTGAAAGGGAATCTGGAGATGACACTGGCCGCACGCTTATCTACTGCTTTGAATATTGGAAATCTTACGCCGGCTAAAAGATGGAAAGTGATTGGGGCTAATCTAGCCCTAACGCAAGCACAAGCTGTAATTGTGGGATCTCTGGCGTCGGTTTTTGCGGTATTTGTGGGATTTATTGGTCGGCGCACAGTGGACTGGGGACATGCGTTATTAATTTTAGGAGCAGCTTCAGTAACCACTGCTATCGCCAGCTCCGTATTAGGTGCCGTGATGGTTGGTGTGATACTATTATCCGAGAAATACCATATAAATCCTGATAATGTCGCTACACCTATTGCTGCCAGTCTTGGCGATGTAACCACTCTTGGAATACTATCTGGTTTCGCTTATCTGTTTTATTCCGTCTACCGTAAGTGTAAACTGTTGAACGATCCATGTAGTGCACAATTCATATGCTTTTGTATTCGGAGAATATTTCCATTCAAGAACGCTCTAAGGAAATGTCTGATGCTAATTAATGAGTACGAGGTGTGATAAGCAAATTGAGCGATAGCCTTTTAACTGGTGTTAAGTGCGAATAACCTGACAGTTCGGTTATTGACGTCAGCTTGTCTTTTTCGCAGAGACCACCTACTGGTTCTTGGGCCCGGCTATTGTTATTGTTATCGTGTGGGCTTTGCTGCCTTTGTGGATCGTTCTTGCTCGAACGGTCGAACAAACCCGGATCGTTCTGCGCTCTGGTTGGATACCTGTGATATCCGCAATGGTAAGACCTGGATTCTGCATTTAGAAGTTGTTAGGCGTTAATGTACATCGTTTTTCGTTTTGAAGGATGACATTTTTGATTTTTCTTCTTTCCGTGTACCTCATGGCATCTTTTTTCTTACAAATGTTTTCTCTTGCAGTTGATCAGCAGCTTTTCTGGTGCAATACTCGCTAAAGTCTTATCCGGGCGTCAGAAATATTTTATGGGCATCGCTGTTTATCAACCTGTCATGAATGGTATATCTGCATGCTTAAAAGCTTTCTATCAGTTACAGTAGATTTAATTCGGTTTTTGAATAAGCTGTTGTTTTTGAGTTTAGGTGTAGCAGGCAATTTAGTTGCCGTCCAAGCCAGCCGAATCTCCACGCACCTGCATTGTGCATATGGAGAACCTGGTCAAATACCTGGTGATTTCAAAGTCTGTCCCAATCCCTGCTTCAGTTTCTGCTCACGAAATTATATGAATGCACGAACAGCCAGAGTTTTGTTGCTGATGCTGATTCCGGGCCATTTGCTGTTCTTATGTCTCATTTCCTGGCTGCAAGCCGGCCATACCTCTCTGACCCCAAAGTTCATAACTGTTTTTATTTTGGCTGCTTTGATTCAAGTTTCCGCCCTTTTGTACATAGCTGAAGCGTTGACGCATCTGGTATGGAAGCGTGGAATAGGTAAGATCAGATTTTATTTTGAAATTTTCTGTCAGCTTATTTAATTGCCGTACAGTTTGGAAAGGCTCATTTATGAATTCGTAGCCCCCGGAAAATCGTTCTTATTGTTAGCTTTATGTCCACATTGGCAAGATAAATGCCTTGACATCCGGCAACTTTGTAATTTACATATATTTTTTATTTGTTGCAGATCCTGATAGTTTCACCATACCATACTTGACTGCCTTGGGTGATCTTTCTGGCACAGCTTTACTTACCGGCGCTTTTTGGCTTCTTTATGTTACTGGTGATAAAGACTTGGATGTTAGTGACTGAAACCGGTCGGATATTTATTTGAATTTTATTTTGTAAATTTGAAGAGAGATGTGTTACCTTTTTATCCCTTTTTTATTGTTCCCGCAGTAAGCGTAATCAAAATATAAGATGGACAAATGAATCAGGAGAGGAAAGTGCTGCTGTTTTTACGCTCATGCAAATCTGTGCATGCAAATTAATAACCCAATAAACAGCCACAAAGTTATTGAGTTCAGACGAAACTGACAGTGGTCGCCGGAGTTGCAGAGATCTTGCGAGCAGGAGCAAACGAATGATTTCTGGGTCTGAAGAAACTGGCAGCCTTTGAAAACAAAACTTCAAAAACGCGCCTTGATTGATAGGATTATTATGAAAGAGTGATTCGTTCTGCAACGACGCTTCCTTGTTATTAGACTGATGTGAGCTCCTCTTCAGGGCCCAGGAACCATATCGGCATTCAGCACTAATAACAAGGAAGCAACAAACCCAAAAATCTGGCACGAAAATCACAAACTGGACGTGTACCTGTAATGGCGATATTCTTTGTACCGCAGCCACGTTGTATGGTTCCTGCAGCATTTGCAGTTAAGCATGTTACAAAATGCAAACTTTATAAATAAATTCACTCTGATCATAGCTTTAACACTAAAACTTAGACAAGTTCCTTCTTGATCCTATTGGATATGTCAACAATATATAATCAAACTGCCGCATTTAGCGGGCTTTTGGACCTTTACGAAACTGCAAATGAAATTTGACATCTACCTAGGTTTATGAATTTGAGTGCAAACTGATATGGTTAGCTGTAATATTTGTAACTGAAAGGAGGCACCACAGTCCCACACGTGCAGTTACAGCGTCGTCGCCGTCATGTATGCTTAATTGTAACTTTGTAAGTTAACACCGAAAAGCAGAATCTATACATGTATTATGACTATGGTTCACATTTCGGGAAGTGTACGCGCAAACAAAATAGTTCTGCAAATTCCATTAATTTACTTCCCCGGGGTACAACACTCTAGTTCTACGCTAATTCGCATGTAAGACCTAATATTATCTTGATTACGACTTTACTTTGTAGCACATACTTTTACCATCAACAGAAGAGACTTTCACGCAGACAGGTGTGCGTTGCGCATCGTTTTGTTGCTGTAACTGTCCCCTATCTTTCCCGAAACGGGAAAGTGCAGTGCTACGTAGATCCGTCATAGCTGCATTGTTCTGGGTTTGCACTGCATCCAACGCAGCATCGACGTTACAGTCCTGGATATAGTCTAACGCCGGGTAAAACGGATCATCGCACCCATCGCAGGAATAACAGCGCAGACATGTAACTGAAATGGAATAAATAACACATGAAATAAAATAATGAAAAGTATGTAATATAAGTGGGTTTAAAAATGTAAGATCTCAACAGATTTACGATGCATGGACAAAAGCAAAAAAGGAGATGGGACAAAATGGTTATTGGATTGTTTGTTATTGCATATGGTGCTAGCACTTGAAAGGTCATATACGACGAATCCAAGTAGAGATATATACTGTACATTTCGCAACCCGAACATTTGAGTGGCCGCAGGCGGAAAAAAATTCATTAATAAACTGCGACTTAGATCACAAAGAAAATCAGCAATATAATTGTTGAATTAGTACTGAACTTCCTTACCGGCTGGCAAAACTGTGCTCAACATAAAAATCATACGCAAAGCAGTGACGGCCGAATTCTTATAATATCTGTTCCTTTGGAAATACGTGGCCATGTTCCTAAAGTTTGGAAATCAGTCAGTTATTACTAAAACCGATCCAAAAATTTATTGCCCACAAAAATTTTTTGATAACTCAATTAAGCGGAAGATTCTGCAACATCGATCTTGCGTCTTACCTTACCAACTCTCAAGCTCGTGGAAATCTTGACTCACACAATATGTTGACGCTGCGTTTTGGCATTATGCGCAAGTGTTTGTTCTTGATGAATAAACTTCTATAAACGATTTACTCAAGAGTATCAAATAAACGTATTTGTTAAAGTAGGCATAAAGAAGCTTAGCCCCTGCTTCTTAGATTTAAATAATTTATATAACACCGTTTCCGCTCACTGATTTCTGATTAGGAGTAGAAATACGTATCGGTTAACGTTATGGTGATGTTCGTTTCTTTAAATTAGCATTAGCAATTATTAACTTTTTACTGTGGTGCAGTGTTTTTTAATGGTTGTCATATTGTTTTCGTTCTCAAAACATCATATTATCATATTATTATATTTATATTAAATGAATTTTGCATGGCAGGTATACTTTATTGTTAGTTAGCAAATTACACCCTATCTACGTCTATAGTGCCGGATAATTCTTCGTTTTTCCAATATATGGTTAATTTTTATCTGTATATGTGCAACATAGACGAATATAACGATGCAGTAAATCGATAATTTACATGGTGTGTAAAATTTACTTATATATACAAACTGGCTATAAAACTGTTACCATTGAAAACCTGCATTCAAGTTTTACCGTGTCACTAGACTAACTACTAATACTAAAAAATTAACAGGCAACTGTCTTGCATAACATGCCTATATGGATATGTATGGTACATGATTGATGAATTGAATACTGATCGATATGAGCACGAGTATGCAAGTCTGTAAAAGATACGGCAACACTTGTTTCGTTATAAGAGGTATAAGATGACAATTTTCAAATCAAGTGGGTACCGTAATTAAATGGAGTTATGTTTTAAATGACAACATTCTGTTTGTGTACTTGTCTTAAACTCACATTCTTAAATCTTAACTCAGTTTTAATTACTTAACCTTACGCCCATATATCCGGCAATGGCATCGAAACTCTTGCAACTTCGAGCTTTATATAAACTTCCAACCAGTAATAATTACTAGCCATAAGAAAAAGTACTTCCATATAGATAGTTTTATAAGGGATCTGAAAAGCAGAATAAATTATTCCCGGTTTCTAAAACAATGATCCCCGGTTTTATTACAGTACTCGTAGTGTAACAAGTACACGTACTGCCACCACCTTGGGGGAGCACCCACCTCGTCTTTATTAACACGGACAAGTTGACAACTACGGACGGTATTTGCAAAAAACTTATGGTTAGAAATGCAGCGCAGCAAATGCAAAAACAGAAAATCTTGTAAAAATCAAAAGCAGTTTGCATTTCAGCATTTGCGGTAATTTGTTAGACCGTGTCTTTGATAATACATACACTGCAGTACTAGTAGTGTTATAAATTAGGTAATTTGATACGATATTTGTTTAAAGGAAAGCCTCATGGTCCTATAATGAACATGGAGAAATCTAGTGGCATACCGATTCTCCCAGAGAACAGGATAACCGACGCAGCCCAAAAGCCTTTATCACTGGATTTAAAATCTGGTAATGACGACACCACATACTCTTCTAGCAAAGGAGAATCAGAGGGATCGCTGTCCCATGAAGATTACTCCAGGACGCCCGACTCTGGCCCAAATGGGGATTTCGAGGAGGAAGATCTATCGAAGCCTGAACCAGATAGTCAGGATGTGTCTCCTCTCGACGATCCGGAATCGAGTGATTTAGTGGAGTTTGTCGTGGATGATTTCGTTCAGCGAATACGAGAAGGGGGTAAGCCGTTAGTTTGTTCGTGTTTACAGCTTTCGCCTTTTCGCAGTTCTTGCATTTTGCAATAACAACGTTATCGTTTCTTACCGCAGGACCAGTTGGGTCATCCTCTGCATTTAGTCTGGTCCCCGTAGATCCCCGAATTTTGCAGAATTTGGATCAGCTCATTCAGAAACTTTGCGAAAACGTTGCCGAAATGAATACGATATTATCAGGGCAAATACAGCAGGTAAGCGTTAGGTGCGGTGAGTTTTCCTTTAACGTGCATTATCAGTTTATCATTATCCAGCACAGCCATTAAAAAATGTATTTTGTGATTTACAGTTGTTTTTCTGATGTTTCGCAGATGTGCCGAATTACAGCTGAACACGTTAGAACTTACAGAAGCGGAATAGAAAAAACATGCGACAACGTCGATATCTGCATCAAAGTGAGGATTCAAAAGAATTTCCTTTTTTTTGCGTGTGCTTTTTAATACTGCTAAGGATTTTCTTAAATTTATACTCGTAGTTTATAAATACAGAGTGTATTGCCGTATTGGGGATTTATATTGATGTTTCGTTTGCTTCTGTTGGCTTTTAATTACTCATATATTAATATATACACAATATCTGTACACCTTTGTTTGTAGACGATGTACCAGCTGATGGCACGTACAGAAGAAGTGCATCGACAAATGGGCCAAATTTCCCAAGTTTACGATCAAGTGTAAGCGAATTCCAACTGATTTTCTTCCGCATAAATCACAGTAGGCTGTCTGTTCACTTTGCAGAAAAGAACTCAAGCGAATGGTTACAATACTGGAAGGATACGTGGATAGTTTATGATTTATATAACATATACAGCCATAATACAGGAAATAGAAATCTAACAGTCCAGATTCCAGAATACAATTTTTAAATCTGTGATCTAGCTAGTGCTGTATCATGCATCACTTCAGTTGTCCGATTTTGGTCGATTTATGGCTTGGAACTCCACTGATCTCGAAGGATCCGTAGGAAACAGTTGCTGCATTTTTGTTATTAGTCGTTTAAATCCCTGTATGTATTTTCGTTGTGTTTCGTCGTTCAGGACATCTGTAACGGCAATTTAGTCGTCTTGATATTTAGAAATTAATAAAAAAAAACTCCAGTTCCTCAGAAAAAAACCGGGAAGCCACACGTACGTGCAATCATTTGCGAGAACACTTTTTCTCTGCCTGGGCGAGAATGAATACCAACAGCAGTGACACCAATCGGCCACGGCGCATTCCCAATCGCCATTTGAAGGAACACTTCATTCGCCTTAACGTAGTCGCGGTCGAGGAGAAATACAATAATTCTTAATAAGTTCTGGGAGATGTCGTCTTGCAGGCTCTGCAAAATGGATATCAGATGCATCTCTTCACCAGCATACAACTCAAAAAGAAAACGCAAACCGTATCTGGAATTTCGCTTCCTTACTTTATTTTTCAGCTTTTGGAAGAGAGGTTTTAAATATTCTTCCGTCTGGACGTATGTACCGCGGTCAAGTTTTCCTTTTGTGCTGAGTTTCTCTTCCAGCGAACGTCGATTAAGCTCTTCCGCCCATCGACACAAGATAAATTTCATGAATTTCAAGATGACATCACGTCCAACAGATTCATTTTTCTGGACTTCCCCTCCCAGTTTCTGTCAAAATAACCGGTTAAACAACACAGAATGACAAAAAGTCCTATAAATAAAAACCTGAATATCCTCCATCGTTGTACCATCATCTTGGATTTTGATATCTGTGGCAGTTTTCGAAGAGGTACTTTGTCCCTTAGCCAGTTCATTCATGAACTCCAAATCGATTTTATCCATGGCCGCTTTGAAATCATTTCGTAATCCCTAGAGTTATTAGGCAAATTATCAGTAACAAGTTATAGCGTGCAACAGAATGGCAAACTACAACCAGAAAAAAACTTATATTAATTATCACACATAGAAAATGCACTGTATACAAAACCACAAGCAAACTGAATCATTTTTCAAACATCGGTAAAGAATCGTATGGAACAAAAACAATAAAAATAGCTGAACAAATCAGCCGTTGAGAAATTTAACTTACATCGTCCACTTCCGGTTCCTGAACTTCTAAGTCTTTCAAACGCTTCATGCTTTCTTCGTCACTTTCGCCAAATAATCGTACGGGCTCATTGCGCTCTCGCAATCGCCTGATCACCTAAATGCCAATTTAAATATCCCTTAAAATACTGTACGTCTAAACAACCAAATAAAAAAAAATTTGGTAGTGTACGCTATTCGGCTATTGCTTACTTCTTTTCTTGGTAATTTAACGTCTTCGCTATGATCGGACTGGAGACGACTTCCATCATAATCTTTCGTTTTCACGAGCAGAGTATCCTGAAAAGAGAAGGCACATCACGGATACCAGCGTTAACGAAATTATGCCAGGTAAATTGTAATAATAATTATAATATGTCAAAAAGTATTCAGCCACAATTACGTACACAATAATAATAATTCCCAATAGTGACAATTCGTAATACATCGCAAATGAAAACGTAAAACCACATGACCAGTCCGCAAAATTTAGTGGAAAATCCAAACTTACCGGAGTGGCTTCACGGGTAGAATTGTATTCTTCTTTTGATTTCGCCTTTTGCTCCAAATCGCTTCTCTTGTAGAATTTCTTTACTGGCTCCGATGCCTAAATTACGAAACTCCCGAATTAAACTTACAATAAGACTGAATCAGCATATCGAAAACCGAAAGGCAGGGTTCATCGAATATGTAATCCAATTAATGTGGTAACTGTAAACACCAGATATATCTGCTCTTCTAGCGAACTGAGAGTCTGGGATCAAGCATTACTGCCCAGTGCATACCTTTTCTGGTTTACTGATGGCCTCCAAAAATTTTCGTTTTTTCTGTATTTCAGCGCGCAAAGCATCCATTCCCAAGCAAATTTAAGGAGCGAAATGCACCAAAACAGAACTCAATGATATTCCAGATTTGTGCTTACTTACAAGTAGAATAGTAATCAACATGGGATCTCAGCGAGACTATTGGGACGCAAAACTGCAAAAGTTACAAAACAGGCTGAACTCTGGAATCTAATAATAAGTAGTTTTTTAAAAAGATAAATACAGTAAGTACTTTTAGCTTTGTAAATTGTATGCAACCACAGGTGAATAAAACACCACATTGCACGAGCGCGAGCTCCAATACCACTAAAAATGGTATTGGATTTGTGGAATGGAAACAGGCTTCGTTACGCTCCTCGATCACACGAGATGCAAACAATAATAAGAAAATATTTATTTTGTAATCCGATCTGAATTTTTACTGAGTTTCTTGCGCAATATCAATCACACCCAGCACTGCCCCACGGGAAGGGAAGCTCGCGAACTATCAACTACTGTCACCATGATGTCTGGCCCGGACAATGAATCTCGGGATCTGCCGTCCATACCTCCACACAAGAAACGAAAGCACATCCACGGTGGAGTCCAGCAATGGTCTGCATCGCGAGTCGCTTATCGAAACTGGATAGTAAGAGCTTCTGGTGGTGATTATTGTCGCACTTCTTGTGAAATGTTTTGGACGGACCATGTTCTGCGTGGAGGATCCATTCCATCACAATTTCCAACTTCTTTTAGCGGAAATAGAGCGGAAACCTTTAAGGCTCGATTGCGTACGCTGCATCTAAGCTTGGTGCGTTGTGTGGAAAAATGCAATAGCACAAATTTTTCTTTGGTTTAGCCTAAGCTTCAGCGCCATTATTCATTTGCAGAAAAATACAGCTGGGTCTGCATTCGTCCTATCGGGAAAACTTACTTCCCCTTCTCATATATATCGCTTTGGGTAAGTTTGTCCAACTCGCTGAATAGTGAAACATTTAAATTATAAATATTTTGATATCCGTTAATTTTTTGTTTTAATGGCGGAATTTACGCGATACACAGAATGTTAAAATTTCGTTTGATTAATTTGACGCATTTGCTATCCTACAGATCGAAATTATACAATTTATTAATCGGAATTAATTTTGTCTGTTTTTTGTCGTTGTATGGTAGTGGTAACATTGTTTTTATGGCTTGTAATAAAATGTCTGCTTTTTTCCAGAGAACTAATTGGGTTTCAGAGTTTGCGACGCTTATCACTACTGTAAGCACTAACAAAATCACAATAAAATTCAGTTTCTGTGTGCCTTTACCGCAGCTATCGCTTTGTTTGACCTGTACTTTATAATTTTTTAAGCCAAAGAGTGCAACATTCTGCAGAGCCACGATTGACGCTTCGTCACATTTGCGTTCGATCTGAAAAGCCTGAAACTTGCCTGCCGAAGGAATTTCACAGCGTCTTGTTTGTCACCAGAAAATTTCATAGCACCTTCCGTGTACGTTTTCACGTTTCTTGATAATTTAATCCGACGTTATTCTATAGCGTTAACTGTAGTAGGACAGCGATCAACGATGTATAACAATTTCGTGTTAAAGATTACTATTTCAGCATTGTGGTAGTTTTAGTGTACAGCGTACTAACTGCTTCTGTCATAATTTGCAGGATATCCGTGGATGCACTCCACCTGATCATCCAGTTAATAATAACGACTTATTGATTTCTACCGAAACCCACCCATTTAATAATCACGTAATGCGATTTGCAAGTGCCGGGACAGGAAGAGAAATTCTGAAGGTTTGGATCTCCAGTTCATCACATCGTTTCGGGTTGGTTTGTTTTATCCAAGGTTTTACGAGAATTGTTGTTTGTAGTCTTTATTTTTTTTTTGCATTATACTTCTCCAAATAGGGATCTGGCGTTTTGTCAAGAACCGGACTGCATCTATATAAAGTCTTCACAGTTCTCATCCCAGTTAATAGACAGCGAGCAACAGGACGCACGCTTTGTTGTGATGTATTGGCATTTATATCCTTTGCGATACACGGGCGCCTTTGTTGTGAGTGATTCAGTGTTTGGGAATGGACTCACAAGTGTCCAGAATTTTGAAGACACGCTGGTTGTGGGCTATAAATCGAATTCATACGATATTCTGGAATTGTTCGATCTGAGACCGTTTTTTGAAAATTCGCAGGTAAATTAGGTGACCGTGAGCATGCACCGTACACTATCGATCCACCATAACGATACGAATTAAAGTCGTTCATTTTCAATAGTACTCGTAAATTTACAAGTTAATAGGTTCACTCACCGTTTGATTTTTACAGGAATTCAGTATTATTTATGGAGCGCAGTGGGACGAGATCAAGTATCCAGAAAGCACAAATGGAAATGTAGCAGCTCGCTTTCGTTTGATATCGGAAAATCTTCGTTGTTATGGCTTTACTGGATGTGGGATGCCTTTGACATACTCTTTTAAAGGTAACAAGCTTAATAAAAGACATATTTTGATTGTTATTGTTTCGCATTATAGGAAAACCACCTGTGTTGCGGAAGATTTATAACAGCCTACAGTTTTTACGGTTGTCTGTCGACTTGTACCATCTTATGACTGCTGACAAGACAGCCAGCGAGTTTTGTTTGACCAATGCATCTACTGGACAGCGGGTAACCTATAGTCTACAACATGATAGATTTCCATCTTCAGTTACCAGTAAATCTTATGAAGCAATAGCCAATCAAAAAATGCATAGGCAGTGTCCCTTCTTCGGGGTTAAATATCGAAAACAAGGTAAAGAATTGTAGACTGTTTGCATGTTGCAATTTCGCGACCCGTATAATTACTTGTTTTAAAATGTCGCAGGTGGAAGGTTCAGCTTTTCACGGTGGAAGCCATAGCGGTTGCCCGTCTCTTTTATTTTACGCAAAAGGGTACCGTTTGGCTTTATGGAACGGGACTCGCTTGGGGTTAGTATCACAGTGTTGCATGCTGCAAAAAAACGCTGTTTAAACTCAAGATGTCACAGAGAGATCTTTTTATTGCAGTATATATGCTGTACAGCGTTCTGGTCCGGAGAGGAAGCTCGTGATCGAACAAGATCGCGACGTGTACCCGGAAAGTGACGGCATTCATCATAAGGTGGTCTCAGTATATGCCCGGCATAGAGATCCAAGTGTGGTAATGATGCCTCAGCAACGTAGGACATGGGTGAGAAACGTATTTATTGACAGAGTATACAGCAATGCAGTTTTTCTTCGCAGATCTTGTATACGACATAAATTTGAGCACTTCCCTGCACGACTGTTGTAGGCCTGTGATCTGGTTTCGCATTGCTCTGATTTGGACATTTTAGTAGTGATGTTTCACGAAGATCAAGGAGACACAGTGTGCTGTTTGGTAGCGCTCTTAGAAGGGAGTACGGGAGATTTATTGACGGTTTTGAATTGGCCTGCACATCCCTTGGCTCCTATGGTACGAATTTTGATGCATAAACTAGTTTTTGTTTTAATGCAATGTATGGAATCCAGCTTAGCTTGCTGGACGGTTTATCACGATGATGGCATAATCCGCAGATAAATTGATTAGTAATGTTTTCTTCAGGCTCACAATAGTGAATTCAAGCTGGATGAGTATGGCTTATCTCATCATTATGTCGATAACTTGGGCGGGCAAGCTCTGCATTTTTACACATTAGCAGAATTAACTCCTGACGAAAACCGTGGTGATAACTCTTCTCCCGTTTTTGAAGTGAGGCATGACATATACTTGCAAATTCCAGTCAGTTCGAATTGTTCCATGTTTAGGTTTGTCTCCCACCCCGTCCAATCACACTGCATCTATAACCGTGTTCGATTCGAGGTATTAAAAAATTAGTCCTTGTACAAAATTCGTATAAAATCTTTATTTGTGGATTGCATGTAGCATTTGACAGGTTTGCTAACATGAACTGTTACAGCTGAAATTTTTAAGTGTCTTTGTTGCAGGACCGACCGGACAGCGAGTGACCTTTCTTTCCGTCGCTAATTTTTCCACACTTCCTTCCATGGTCTTGTTGAATTTCAAAACTTTGCGAGCACAATTCATTATCCTGGACGGTATGTTAGTGAAATAGTGATTGTTGAGGCGTATTGTTTGTGTTTTTTCCGCAACTTATGAGTGGCTGAATAGTACGAAGTTTTTTTTCTGCACTTACATCATACTGCGTCTTTTTCTATGTCGCGCCATCTGTTATTTGAATGTTTTGCAAGGTTTTTACATTTTATTTCTGTTTTTCCACAATATGTGAGTGGCGAAGGTCTTTCTGAGTTTACATACTGCTGTCTTTTTTGGTGCGCAATCTGTTGTATGAATGTTTTGCAATGTCTTCACATTTTATTTGTTTTGTTTTTGCTATTATCTCGAATGTGGCGAGTTAAAAAATTAAATCTTTTGGAGTTGTAAGCATTTTAACGTCGAAGCCACGCACAGTTGCATAAAAAAGGGAAAACTCATTTCCTGAGTCGAGCAGCACTTACACACAGCTCTAGCCGAAACCACCACAACCTTTTGTCGATATTTAGTTACGGAATATCGCTTCTGAGTTGAGTAAACAACTATTAATAAATTCGAATAGGAAAATATTGTAGGCTGCGTTGTGACTTGTCCAACAAAGACAACATAATGCAACAGGAAATTGTTACGCGTGGTGCCTGTTCATAATTACATCTACATCTGTATCGTACAATGTGCATAAAATAGTGTATTACATACACGGACGGCGGTATTCCCGGCCGGCCGACAGGAGTCATGGAACGTGTACAAGTACACGATGCTGCGTGCTATAGGCACAGCTGGCAGCAAACGTCAAGTTTGACTTGATTCACAGTAGTGTGTAACGCTGACTTCACCCCAGTCGTGTATTCCTTGACTTCCGGATCCACTATTGCTGACTGCTATTCATACACGGCCGGCCTTGTCCAGACGCCAGCGCTATACACTGCAGCGATAGCGAGCGATACATTGCGATTATTTCTCCATATCCGGTTCCATATTTATGTGTTTGTTTAAGATGTACAATTTCCTTCATCTATTGTGACAGCTGCAACATGTTCAACACATCGTACACCGGCACTCCCGGGTGCGATGTGGAGTGGATTGTGGAAACAACGGCATTGTGCGGCATCTGGCTGAGTGGTCGAATGGTGTTGAACGTTATTTCCGGCGTTGTTTTCTACCGCAAATCTCGCGGTACCAGCGGGTATCGTTTTCTAAGGAGCCTGACCTTTTGCAATTTACTCCTGATGATCGGCGTGATTCCCATCAGTGTGTATATAAAGTTCACCGCCCCGGCTAATCTAACGCGTATCCATTTCACCGGCTTATTTTGCCAGCTCGTGGCGCTGGGATTTCATGCAGCTGTCGGCATAATTATGCTCACCGTGCTCTTGATCGGTCTGGATAGATTTTTAGCATGTGTTGGTAATCCATTACACCATAGTCGCAGGATGAGCTACACGCGATCATTATGCTTAATATCGGCATCATGGTGTCTGCCGGTGGCCGTTCTCATGCCGCTGGCCTGGCAGGATACGCATATATTTTTCCTGCACAATGGCTACTGTGACATTAATTGGTCCGGGACCGGCACAGCGCAGTTAGTGGCCTGCGTCTACGCCGCGCTGACGTTTGTCCTGCCGTTTATTGCCCTGGCCGCCATCTACATCAAGGTGTTCATTTCCGCCAAGAACGCCGCCTCGACAACCCGGAAGAATTTTGTTTACGAATTTCAGAATCATCTGGGCATCCGGCGGAGCATTACGGTGGAATTGGCTAAGAGTCGCAGCGGCGGCGACACCCGGCTCTCGTCGGGCGCGACGGCCGAACGGCACAGTTTCTACTCATCACTGCAAGCCTTCTTAACTGGTCATGACAACCGGAAAACCGTACAGATTGTCATATGGATCCTGCTGTCCGTATTAATCTGCGCATTCCCGGTCTATCTGCTGATGATTAGTCGGGCCTTCTCGCTGGCACGCTTCGATCATAACGACAAATATCAACGTTTAGTCTTCTTTCTCTTCTTTGTCGCCTCCACGATCTGCAATCCGTTCCTGTACATTTTCAGTAATTCCAGTCTGCGGCGGGATGTCAGGAGATTATTCATGGGCAAGGCCGAGATTCGACGGCAGTGCAGTCTGCAGATTAACAACGGCAGCTTCCGGTCGCAGACACTGCTGCAGGTGCAGCCGCCGCATGCGCTACAGCAGCAGCAGCGGTCTGACTCCAGGTGTATCTCCACACGACCCTCTCTCTGCATGGAGATTGCCAGTGGTACACCCACGTCCGCCGCCGCCGCGTCGCTGGCCGCATCCGCATGCAACCACCATCCGGCGCCGGCCGGTAAGCAATTATCCATAAATCTCCTGCCTAATGAAAAGGAGGATACCCGATTATTAATGCCTAATCACTCCGCTAATAGTCTAATGGGCAAATCATCTTCCAGCCGCAGTCTTAGTCGGAAAAGTGTGCCATTTATGGAGGAGGATAACCCGTATGTTGGCCGTGTCGCCGCGGCGGCTCGTGATTAATGGATGCCGTTCCAATCTCTTAACACTTGCGCATTTGCAAATTAGTTCGCCGAAGAAGGGTGAACCGATCTGGGATAAATAGCGTTATATGTAATACGCACATCTTCATTACTCGTACGGTTTGTACAATGAATTTGTTTATATTAATTTTTACGTCTTATTAGGCTTTTATGATCCTGTTAATCTTATATTAGGCACAACTCCAAATCTACTTGTCTCGTATGTGATTACGGTATATGCGGTGAGAATACAAAATGAATTCGACTTCTATGGCGACTTCTGTGGTTGGAAAGGACAAGCTGGACACTGTAAACATGGAACCATATACACTAACAGCACAAGTACAATACATGGAATGTTGCGTATACAGTAGTATGTATAAATTAATTATATAGTGAAACAAAACTATTTTAACAATTTAATCGATCTACTGTAAGATAGATCGTGCCCCTTAACGTTCGTTAGCAGTGAAAAAAGTACTACTAGTCGTAGTGGTTGGCCACGCGAACCCAGCCACGAGATTTTGAAGTACACACGAAAGACGGAAGTTCAGAATTTGGCTGAATGAAGGATTAGCTCGCATTTCACTTCATACATCTAGACCAATCTCTTCCTGCATACTATATGTAAGCGACTTCCACCTTCTGTTAGCATATCGAATTTCGGAATGACGGTTAATGCAAAAAAAAATCGGAAATCGGACAGTCGGCTCTCAAAATTTAGTCTTCAAGGTTATCTTTGCGAGAATTCCTGCATGTATCAGCAAGAGAAGCGGTGCATCAAATTAATCGCACCAGGGAATGTTTATTCTCACCAACGTCAACAACAACACAAGACAATCAGTCCCACCTTTCCAAATGTGCCGAAACAGCGACAATCTCATACACACTTCGTAACACCCGGGTAAAACCACAAAACACTAATACCACAAAAAGAAAACTAAAAAAGACACTAACAAAAAGTTAAAAGAACATTGGCCCATTCACAAATATTCATTAAATTAAAATCATAATCAACAAAGACACTCACGATACCGGCAGTGTTCCCATCAAATGTGTCCGAAATCAAGTGCAATACTGTTAGATTCAACAAAACTTAAATAATTAATTACAAGTAAAACCCATACAAAACAAAATAATTACACTATAACAACATCTTCACGGATAGACGAACAACGAATTCTAAAAGAGGCAGATCAGAATGAGCTCCGCGCTACGTATTTATACTACATATGCTGCACAGGTAGGTAAATGCATCCAACTGGTCCACGCTTAATCAAAAGGCTATCTACAACATCTACAATAAAAACAGGGAAAATTAAAATGTAACCAACGAACGTCAAATTCTAGAACTGTAGAGGATAAATTTTAGCCACTTATTTTAAGGGTGCAACGAAATGCTACCAATTCTCTTCTAATAATTTGCTGATTGTTTTCTGATAATTTTTTTCTGCCTGCTACTCAAATACTTAAATGCTGGAACAAGTGACTACTTACAGCGAGTTTTTTTAAAAATCGCTTCAGCCGTTTCATGGTCTCAAAGGGATCAATGGTCTCTGGTACTTCATGCCGTTTAGTTTTCGCTCCCTGTTAAACAACACCCTTTGTAGCAAACATAACCACGTCGAACAACAAAATTGCACCTCGTCATCTCCCATCCAATCCAGAAACGCTGTATACAAACATTTACATCCCGCAGTCAAGAATTTTGGTATCTTGCGGGGTTTTTTATGCTCTTCGACGAAATCCGCTAAACGATCGGTCATATCGTTCAGCGCGTACCAGCACGCTGTATAGAAATGCGGAAATCGATAACGTAACGGAGTTTTAAGGCGATCTTCCATTTTGTTGATCCTAAAACAACCAACAATTATACATGCTATCGAAATACAGCAGCTAAAGATATCCACTATCCAACATACTTTAGCTGCATTTCAACGCCAAGATGGTGGAGAAAATTTCCTCCAAAAACAAGGCTATCTTCCGGAGTATAAACAGCATGGATCCTGCATAGAGGAGGTTTTTTTTGTCGAAAAACAGAGACAACTTCCAGCAAAAACCACAATTATGGAAGCACACACATGCATCAACGAAAATGCTGTTACCACACTGTGACATCACAATTTGTAAGGCACTGTCATTATGCGGCAGATGAGCTTACCAGCCACTAGGCATGAGGATGGTTTCGCCTTGATTTAGCTCCAGTTTATAGCAGTGGCATTCGGCGCCCAAAAACCTTTCTGACTGCTTATCGGATTTCATCCACTCTTCATATTTTTCCAAGTTGGAATCCGTCGGCGCAATCAAATAAAATATCTTTTTCCCCTATTACAGAAAATAACATCACATCGCCTGACATTACAACTTCCGAAAAATAAACACACATTTAACCAGAGTAGGTATTACGAAACCTCCTGCTTACTTTAAAAATGTGATACCACACGGACGTTCCACCGAAGTCAATGTGAAAATCCGTATAGCTGTCTTGAGCGGACATCAGACAGTATTTCTGCACTTCGGGCTTAGCATACGGACTTTCCGGTGGCACATCATTTAATTCTGGAAAATGCTGATCCGCCCAGCTCAGCTCCCGCACCGCCAGGGGTAGTATCACCTTTTCGGCAAGTCTAAAAATGAACATACAAACATATTACTGGAGTGATCATTCTCGACAGCAGAGCGGGAACCGAAGTTCTGCGCTATATGCACAACAACAAAGAATGTCTGGCGTTTTAAACGCAAGTAATCATGTAAGCCGCCAATTTGTTTCGGAGCCAGCTAAACTGAAAATGATGCACGACTACACTTAGACAGAATCCCTAGGTGGCGGAGTTTGCATACTTATTAATAAGTATACTTTAGAAATTCATCTAACGTCAGTCCGATTCCATCCTCTTGCGTTTCTGAGGACCGAAATGTATCAATCCAAATTCAGACAAGTTATTTTGCAATGTTCAACTTTCACTTACGGACATCGATGGCTATTACTTCTCGGGTTCCACCTACAGATAAACGTGCATAACACATTCTCCACAAATAAAAAATTCTAAAAAGCTAATACCTAGGACTTCCACAACATCTTTATAAAACTCAGAACCGGGGATCACAGTTTCCAAGCCGCCTTTCTCGCGAATCAAAATCGGTTGCTCAAAACATTTTCTTCCAGATACTGCACATCAATTACTAGAGGTAGCTACAAACACGGAAATGAGCAGCATTACACGGTAACACGGACACCTTTGGATACGAACGCAATACTGTTCTGTTTACGCTGCACCGGAGACGGATCACAGGGGACGATCAGTGCCAGATTATTTTATTTTTCAACTGACCATCCTAGGAATAAAATTGCAATTATAGGAATAATTATAAGAATTGCAGTAGCATGCATTGTATCGTTTTCGGATGTGTTTCCTGATGTGTACAAGAAAACTGAGGGAACAGGGAGCAGTGACAGTTAGTTAAAGAAATCGCACGCTAGGCGTAACTTCCCGTCGCACCTTAGTCGCACGGCTCCCAACCGCCACAGGGCGCCATCCTGGCGAGAATCACCAATTCCGTTTGTGTCATCGATGCATTAACGCTGCACTCAACCAAACTCCGGTGTCTACAGGTCGTTGGATTATTTCGATAGCCGTACAGGTTTGCCATCAAAAGCCAAATTTGAGAAAAAAACAAGCGTTTGAAAGAAGACTTGCGAAAATGTTAACATAGAAAGCCTATGGTAAAAGTCAAGAATCCACCACTGCAAAGCCGACCATCCCACCACTGTCTTGACAGTGAAGACGCGTTGGCCAACTTTGCTGGGACAGCTTAAATGTTCTTGACTCATGACCACATACTTTTCATTCCGTACTCTTAAATGAATTTATAATTTTTTTTCAATAATTGGCTTCGAGCAAAAAAGATTTGAGCAAGAGACCCAACAAGGTCTTCGAGCATGGAACTGCTCAAAACTGTTTCTCAAGGAACTGTCGTTCGCAGTGGTTTAACCCACTTAAAAGTTGCAACGCTTCCATGGGCGGTTACCATTGTTAATTTGGGCAAAAGTGGAGATGGAAATAAATTAGTTGTTTGTGGAAACAATGCATCTAATCCGGTCTGCACTAATGCACTTGGCGAAAGGTTTGAGCAAGCTGACAATTTTGGTTATTCAATTGCGATGGCGCAAAGTGCTTTTTCTTGTATATTAGGCCGACGACTTGAATCAAGATTCAAGAATTATCGCGGGAAGATGGTGCGCTTTCTGCACATATGTATGTGTCCATTTCCCGCTAATAATATGTGTCAATAGCCACATATGTATACAGCGAGAAGTGGCGATCTTTACTTTGGAAGCCGGTTTGCTTGGAATGGCTTAGACCCGGGATTTCACCGCTACTCACCGCAGTCTGCAGTGCCTATAATAAGGACACCCAAAAACAGCGCTTTATGGGTGGACGGTAAGGAAACTAATTCGTTGCAGAAATAATTTTAAAAAATGGTAAAGGGCAAAGTTTTAACTTTGACACTCCTTGGTTTCTTTCAAATTCTTTGTTACTTCCCGGAGTTATCGGAATTAATGATTTGCGAGCTGTTATAATTACCGTACATACGCCATTAATTTTGTTGTGCTGGTCAGCGGTTAAAGAGTTTAAATTTGTTTTGGCTGATTACGCATGTGTGCTTTTGTGGTGGGCCGTGAATATTATCGTTTTAAGGATAAGAAGCGGCTCATGAGATACGTGACGATCTAGGTCTGTCTATATGTACATAAGCAAAACGAAAGCTGATAGCGTTGGGAAAATGGGTTGGTTCTTCGCACATTTTTACGTGTTATTTTAGACGCGTACTTTGTGGAGATATTAATTTTGAGAAAGGACCATTTGCGTACGTGTTTTTTCGTGAGGCCGCTCGGGAATTTTTCAGCAAATCCAACGAAAAGAAGCCGGTTTACAGTCGTATAGCACGAGTGTGCCAGGTAAGACGAAAGTTGACAACGGACAGAGAAATTTATTACTTATTCGAAGACTGTGGTTATACCACAAAAAATGGGATGTATCGATTCATTAGAAAGTGCATCAGTACTTAATTTACGTTTTCCGTCGATTTAACATAATAAATTCATCCTTATGCATTCCTTGTTGCAGAACGATATAGGAACCTCAAAAGTTACCGGTGTGCAGGTATGTCGTTATTTCGTCGCTATTTGGATCAGTGGGTTATATTACATAAATTTTGTGAATTTTGTAGTGGACAACGTTCCAGAAAGCGCGGATTGAATGCCCACTACGTTTTGGAAGTTCCTTTGATCGGTCGGCTAGTAATGACGATTCGTTCGACCAAGTACAACAGATTACCATCCTAAATGACAATACCGAACAGCTTGTTACTCCAAGAACCGTCTTCGCCGGCATTTTCAACACGCCTGGGTATGTGCTAGTCTAGATTCTTGTTTGTAAACACAACGTTGACAACGTAGTATTATGCAGGTAGTGCGTGCGATGATTATGAGTTGTATTGACTTACTGTATTTTTCTGGCTCTTTATTATGCTGGCCATAGTGAATTGACCGCATGGTTTAGCTGATGATGGCATTCTGACGGTATCTTTCTTGAAAGTGCCACTTGTATAAGGTTTTATAATTTGATCGTAATGTGTGCGTAAAGTCTAGGCTAAACGAGAAATCAGCGAGTCCTCTGCTGACATTAAGCAGACTGTTTGACCCTCTCGATCATGACACCTGCCATCTTTTGTACACATTTTGTTTGTGTTACCGGCTTGAATGAAACCTTGACGATTTTCTGCTCTCTTTAACATTCAGAGGGCGTTAGAAATTATGCCTAGCTACCGGTAACTTTTCATTTTGGTACGCAGCATGCCATACTATCTTGCGTTCAGTGCATTAAAATGCTTGTTCGTACATAATTACATGCATACTTGGAGCATATAGGATATGTTTCTTTCACAGAAGGCAGATTTACATTGACTCATTACAAAAACAACCATAATCATCGCCAGAAATTTGGATGGCTAAAACATTTTCAGATTCTTCGTGCACATAAAAAAAATAATTTTTTTAATTTACCTTTCCTTCTATAGGGAAAACGGTGTTACTGGTACACAGTGCAAACCAGTGCTAAATAATCTAAATGCAAGTGCTAAATCTTTAATAAACGAAAACAAAGTTTTACTCGTCGAAAGTGGTTATGCTGAAACCTGAAATCAGGCAGATGCGAAAAATAAATGAATAATCATGAATAATGCCATCGTACAGATACATTATATTATACTAGGATAAATTGATTTTGTGAAATTTTTGTTACAGCCACAGCCTTTTTGGGGCTGCCCTCTGCGTCTACGAGATGCGAACTATTGAGCGGGTTTTCGACGGAAGTTACCAGGAGCAGCCTAATACTGCTTCGATGTGGCAGAAACTCGATACGCCTGAATACCGAAATTTCAACGTGAGTCGAGCGGCAGAACAGTAGATCAGGATTATCGACGTCGTTTGGCCAATCATCAGTTTAATCTTTCATTTGATGGTTTTTTGTTTGCAGTGTTCAGTGCGGAAGGACAGTCAAGGCAAAAATGTGACGGTGCTTGATCTGAAATTTGCAAGTGGCCCTCGGTTAATGTTTGAAAGCGTTGGACCAGGAATTGGGCCACTGTTTGACAAGCCAGTTGTCATCGAGGAAATGACGCAGTAAGTATTACGGAATTAGATAGCAGTCAGTGATTGATAGATTTTAGCAACTTACTAGGTAGGTACGCATACGTACATTCGGTTGAATGCCGACAAGTGAAATTAAAGCAGATTTAGCAAAATAACGGGATGATTAACGGACGATATCTCAATCGGTTTGTGAACTACAATACTACAATTAACTTATATTTATCAGAATTTTCGTCACAGTTCCTAATTGGTAGTAATCTGTTAATCAGAATAATTATACAAGTATGCAGTAAAGTTTTGCCAGAATGAAACAACAGTAAATTAATGCCCTTTATTGGATTTTGTTTTGCATTGACTGCAAATTATGTTACAAAAAACAAATAAAATGATCGAATTAACTAAAAAGACATTTGTACGATTAAATCAGTTAAGGCAGAATATAAAAGAAATTTGGTACTAATAGTCAGCAAAAGCAGTACGACTATTATTTCATGGTACGGTTGTAAGAAACTTGTAAATAGAACGACTTGCTTGATTTGCGCTCGAGTTTACTACCAACGTGTTTATCCCTATAACATAAAAACTTGTTTTGCCGAACTGAACCTGTAAAGTATTTTGCTGTCTGCAACTTTTCAGTGGCTTCCTTTTCAAACAGTAGATACCATAATTAAACGCAATTAAGCAGCGCGTTACTTCGTTTAAGCTGGCTACGGGCATCAAATTATACATCCATAAGTGTCAAAAAGTGCAGATAATGTTACCTGAACCGGCGCCGCAATTTGCGGTTAGCGTTTTCATCCGTTTGTGGCTTGTGTCAGAGTTTTGCTGAAATGGTATTATGGAGGTTCGTTGACTCTCGTCAAATTTGCGCCGTCGATTGATTAGTTGACAGATGGGCTTATTTGTTGTCTCTGACTTAATTTTTACAGCTGAATAAGTTCAAACTATTTGATTCCACCAAACAGTTGCGTAACATTTGATTAATCAAGTGCTGAATAAGGAAATAAACTCGCTCAGGCTCACTTGCCGCATCCTTTCGGCTTTCACTGCCAATGATGCGTTAAACCCTCATTTACAAAATTCGAATCCACAAAAACCAAACGCTTCTTTTTCTGATAGCGCCTGTTTTTTAAGCGTTTGTACAACATAATGCTTACGCAGAATGCACATAATCATATGTTACAAAATTTTATTAATATGTTGTAAAAAACCATGTTAGAAATGGTGAAACAATAATTAAAAAACATTTCTCATTTTAGGTTCCATTTTCTACAAGCGGAACGCATTTCCATAGGGAATGATCAATTTGTCTATGTCTTCTACGTAATAACGAGCCATAAAGATATCCGCAAATATGTTCTTGATCCGGCGGATACCCGTTCCGGGCGAGCCTGTATCGTGGCAGCATGGACCAGTTTATTTAAGCCACTCGAGAGCATTTTAACGATGAAGCTGTTAACCAAGCAGCAAGCGCTGATTATTGGGACATCTGAACGGGTTATTCGGTTGAGTAACCACGCTTGTTATGAGCACTCTAACGAAAGGTAAACTAAGACCACTTGTGGTTTCCATCGTGCGTATAGACGTGTAGAAAAAATGTGTTATGCTCTTTTTTCTCCATGCAGATCCTGTATTGACTCGGGTGATCCTCATTGCGGCTGGGATAGTCTTCGCCAGATGTGTCGAGCCCAACCGGAAGGTGACAAGCAACACAATACCGGATGGACGCGTTCCCGCCTGGACAATTGTCACAGTAATGCGATCTTTCCGGCATGGGATGAGCAGGCGTGGTATCCGTGTAAAGAGGATGGCAGCCATGAATCGTGCCAGTGCCGGTAAAGAAAATGCATCGGCAGCCAGTGTCATGCAAGGCAATTCCATATGACCAACTGCACGCGGAACGGTGGATGGACAGATTATTCCCCGTGGTGTGAATGTTCACGGGCCAACCGCTGCCAGCAGAATCGTACCCGCAGTGGCACGAATCCCCTGCCACAATTTGGCGGTAAAAATTGCGAAGGCATTGCGGTGGACAACAGAGCGTGTGATGCAAGCGAATGCGAGGCAAAAGCCGATCTGTGCATGGCTATGCCGTTGGCGGTTATGCCGGCGCCGGTGATGCCGGGCGCGCGCTTTCAAGACTGGGGTCCGTGGAGTGAATGTTCGCGCTCCTGTGGACGCGGGACGCAGCGGCGCACCCGGTCCTGTATGTTAGGTTCACCCACAGGGAGATGCGATGGACCACAGGTGGAAAGCAAAGACTGCAATGTGGAAGACTGTCCGCCTGTGACAAAGATTGATAGTTGGTCCATATGGATTAGTGATCCTCGCAAAGGGTCAGCAGAAGCGTTTGATGAACATCGATTTCAGTGTGTGGCGGTTATGAATGGAACCGAACTGGAAGTGAATTTGAAACATAATAAACGAGAATGTCCAAATGCTCGAGCGTGTCACACTGGCCGGTATGCGAGAAAATGTTCAAGAATTCTATCCTTATATGTTTTCAAGCTTTTCCTCCTTTTTTTGTTGCATGGTATTGTTGCGTTGTTTTTTGCAAACGATACAAACGAGAATTGGTAAATCTTTTTTATTATATAGCGTATACGATGCCAGTATAGAAGCTTCTTGGAGCCCCTGGATAGAGTGCAACCATATCGGAGTCCAGGAACGCATTTATGATTGTAAAAAGGCTGAACAAAGATCTTGTCCAGCGTTTGAACAGCAAGGTACGGCTACCTAATTGAATATTTGCGCCATTAACGCCCCCAGGATGTTAAACCTATTACAATGGAAAATATCGTTACAATGTGCCACCATTTGTAAGCTGTTTAAGTGTGCTGGTCGTTCGCAAGTTTGCAATGGACGGATGACTTCTTGATCTGTGCGACAGATCCGAAAAACGGGCGGTACGTTAAATGCGCTCACTGGATGCGGCATGGTTCGTATCGGCGCAAGTCGAGGTTTGCAGGGAAATGATATCGTCAGCTGGAGTCAGTTCGGAATGAATATCCTGAAACATGGGTTTGTCGAAGGTTGTCGAATACCAACAGACTGCAATTGTGCGAGGTCGACGGGGGCCCATCGCCGGTGAAAGGGCTATGCAATCGATACCGTGACTGGGAACGCCTTGCCAGGGTAATTATTTATTTATTAATTACAATTCCCAGAAGTATCACAACGGTAATGCAGAGAGCCGCTATGAACATAATAATACCGGGGAATGTGGAACATATCCATGCAACAAAACAATTACAGTTTGTGGCCAGGGCGGTGACCTTTCGTTTCCACGACCGACATTTGGCTGCAGACGAGTTTCTGTGCTATAAACCATGCATCCAGGGACTCTGAGAAGCTGCTATACGGACATCATACACGCTGTACAATATCAAGGACGCTCAAAAAGTAAGCAACCCGAATTTGTATCTCCCACCACAAATACCTTTAGCTCTTGTTATCCATACAGGTATAAATGTCCTTCACTAAGGAACCGAAATCAAATATAACTTAGTTTAAGTTCAATCAAATGGCTAAAAAAACCATCGACCACTTTTCTGTGTCGGATTTTACAAGGACAGTTTTTTCAATTATTCTCAGATATCCTGTTAAGTTTTTCTAATGCACTCAGTGTCCACAAGTTAAGTATTCTTCTCTCTTCTAATCTCAGTTAATAAACAAAAGAACTTACTATACTGTTTTTCTGGGAAAATACAAGTAGAAACTATCGATGATTAGGTGCAAAAACCACACAGCTGCCCTACTACCACACAATGAAAAAATTTAAATTTCATGAAAAAAATATTGTTCTCGCTGTAACTTAAAGTCCATTGGTATCTTAGATGCGTATAACTGCACATAAAATATTCTTTTCACTGACGCAAAAAATCTTGAAGCGAGAAGGCTGAATAAGACAAAATTTGGTATCTCGAGGAAAAAAATTTTACTCGAACTCCTGAACCTTCCAAGATGATCTGCCACCAGTGAAATATTGAGCACACTATTTGCTATTAATACTTTTAATTCACCGTCGAAAACTTGAGTGGGGCGGAAGTGATGCAAAAAGGAAAGGGTTTTAAAAAGTCCGTGGACGAACTGAAAAAGCGGTAAGAGTCATTTTATTTCTCCTGTCTCCCGTTTTTCATCTAATCATTTAATTCTTATTTTCCTGGTTAGTTTACATAATTGTTTATGCAACAAAACATATATCAGTTGTATATTACTTCAGATGGTAGGGAGGCAAAACAGGGAAACTCACTTTTGGAGAAACAAAACAGGGAAAACAGGCAAAACAGGGAAACTTACTTTGTAAAATAGACTTACCATTTCTCGTCAGAAGCATGTACAAAACACAACGCGACAATGCCAGTGCAACATAGAATCAATTTTAGTACTCAGTGTGACCACGAAGCTATTTCTTGTTAACAAAGAATTATGCTTAATCTGGTTAAATATTTTTCCGATGAATTTTTCGGCACGATGGCCAGATTTCATTTCCGCCACTCGCTGCCGTTTTTGTACAGAAGAATTATTGCAGAAATCAATGTAAACAGCGATGAACAAATAGTCGTGATTCAACAGATAGTCAATGCTTTACTCGTTGTAGTAATCCCCGTAGTACTTTACGCATAGTAATCTCCTGGACCCCGTAGTAACTTTATCCAAAGTAATCCCTGTAAGTAGTTAACTTTACCCATAATAATTTACGTAGTCGATTGATGCTTAAATAATGAGTGATTTGTTTCCGAAATTGTGAAATTTTTGGTGTTTCCCAATAGCGCCATTAAAGTAAGTACATACATACTGTAAAAATTTACATGAGCTTTTGAACCAGACCGCAACTCGATTTTGCTAACGGTGGTACAGCTAACAAATAAGTAGCCTAATAAGTTACTGACCACATAATTGCACTCAGTTTTGGGAGCAGTTTTGGGAACAATGGAAGGAGCGGAAAAGTTGAATGAAGTTTTAATGTCATAACAATTGTGATGTTTTTCTTAATTATTGCATAATTCGATGTACCACAGCCTTTGAAAACATGTAGCCCGCACTCTGCAGGCGACCACAAGTACCTATCCAGCTAAACGGAACGAGAGTGTACAAGTACAAAAGTGCGGAAGTGTCCCAGCCGAAATCCGACCAATATTTTTTGGTGGCAAGCTGCTAGCCCTAAGAAAAAAAGACGGCGGCTTACGCCCGATTGCGGTCGGTCTAACATTACGCCGCCTGATCGCGAAAATCATATGCCACCGAGTGGCCGACCGGATCACACCTGTTTTGTCGCCCCAGCAGTTTGGCTTCAACGTGCGTGGTGGTGCAGAAGCAATTGTGCATGCGACAAGAGAATTTGTGGAGTCGTCCGTAGCGGAGGTAACGTCGATTTTGAAAGTCGACTTCAAGAACGCCTTTAACACCGTATCTAGAGAAGCCGTGTTAGCCGCCGCGGAATGCCACCTACCTAAATATAAAGCCTTCATTCAGTCCGCGTACGGTAATCATTCATCGCTTTTCATTGAGCAGTTGATTATGTCATCCGAATCAGGAGTACAGCAAGGAGACCCACTGGGACCGCTACTGTTCTGCCTTGCACTCCAGCCAGTCGTGGCGTCTTTGAAAGCAGCTTTGAATGTCTGGTTTCTGGATGACGGAATCAAGGGCGGTAAGCCAGCGACAGTAGCACATGCCTTTGCGGAGATCATTCTGAAAGCCCGTGAAATTGGCCTAGTGGTGAACGAGGCAAAGTGCGAGCTTCATATTTCCGGCGGAACCGAAGAAGCCCGGAACGATGCTGTGGCATATTTCCAGGAGATGTACCCGAAACTACGCATCCTGACAAATGCCGACTTCCTATTGTTGGGTGCACCGGTTTTGGACGATGCCATCGGTCCAGCTGTAGCCGAAAAGTGCGCAACAGTTAAAATGGCGTGTGAGCGGTTAGAGTTTTAAGCACTCTTCCTACTGAAAAACTGTCTGGGGGCCCCAAAGATTATATATATGCTGCGCTGTTGCAATGCATGGAAACAACCGCAACAACTCTATCAACTGGATGAAGCAGTGCGGGTGTGTTTTCAGTCCCTGTGCAATGTACGAACGTCCCACGACGACTATCCTTGTTGGCGGCAGGCGACACTCCCAGTGAGCAGAGGCGGTATTGGCATACGCCAGGCGGAAGAATTAGCTCTCCCTGCCTTTTTGGCATCGATTCACTCCGTATCCGGCTTAATATCACTATTGCTTTTTGATCACCCTACTGTAAATCTTTCTGCCGCTTTTGAGTTGTGGACAGTCAAAGCGCGACTGGCAGATCTCCCGGAGCAAAATGTCAGAAAGGTACAACGAGCATGGGACCTTCCGCTATGTAACACGTCACTATCCACACTGCTCGACATCTTTCGATGATGAAATTAACCGGGCCCGCCTCCTCGCACAGTCGACACCGGAAGCCGGCATATGGTTAAATGCCTTGCCCTCGGCACACATCGGCAACCTCTTGGACGATGACACCGTGAAGATATCAGTCGGCTTGAGACTGGGAGTGAATATCTGTGAAGCACATTCATGTTCTAAGTGCCACAAGCCCGTTGATGTGTATGGCCACCACGGGTTGTCCTGTGCTTTCTCCGCCGGAAGACATCCACTCCACGGCGGCCTGAATAGTATTTTGTGCAGAACGTTAGTGTCAGCCGGCATCCCTGCTAAACTGGAGCCACGAGGTACATCCCACACATCCGACCGTCGCCCAGATGGCTGCACCACGTTTGCGTGGACGCGGTATGTGTTTGGCGTGGGACGTGACCTGCGTGGATAGTGTTGCTATGTCTCACCGGAAAGCCACATCAGTCACTGCGGGATCCGCCGCCGCACAGGCGGAGGATAGAAAAGCGGGACTGTACTTGTACCTACAGGGCAGATACATCTTCGTACCGCTGGCTTTTGAAACTCTTGGACCATGGGGAAAATCAGCTAGCCGTTTAGTGAAAGAAATTGGCAAGCGATTTCAACAGCATACGGGTGAACCTCGCTCCCATGAGTACCTCCGTCAACGTCTGTCGCTGGAAATTCAGCGAGGCAACGCTGCTTCCGTTCTCGGTACAATGGAAAGAGCGGCAGCATTAAATTGAATTAGCGGAGCTAATTCCGGTTAAGACAGCGGAGAAGGATGAAAGGCGGATTGGAGAGATGTGGTTGGGCGCTGGTGGGGCGCTTGGGCAGTGGTCAGTTGTAGCACTGTATGTTATGGATAGTATCATGGAAAGTTTGTGTATGTAGTTGTGCGATTGACGTAGCTGAGTGCCGTGTCTGAAAGTTAGTTCTGTGGCTGCTTGAATTGTGTTTGTGAATTTCTTCTGAAAGTGGTTTGAGAATGCTGTGGTATAAGATGTGCCGTGCTTGTAAGCTTAGGGAACTATATTTCCGGTTTCGTGATGACCTTTATCGTGCAGCTTGTGTATCTTATGACCAATTTCTCGAGGTACCCATTTATGTCATCGTAATTGACGATTTATGAATTTCTGGTGATTTAATTTGTATTTTCTGCTGCAATGTCACGTCGTTTGAGATCGCAAATCGCATCCGTGTCGTCTTTATCGGAAGCGTCTACGAAACTACGAAACAGTCTTCAGTACTGTCTGATGATTCGGATGAGTCCACAGGAACGCTTTATCGCGTTGCCAGGTCCAGTCGGAAGTCAGTGTCACCTCCCAGGAAGAAGTCGCGTTCCCGTATATCGCCTTCTGTGGAGTCTCTGCTTCGTCGACAGAATGAAATGCAAGCTCAAATCGACACTTTGACATCTGCCGGGCATCATCGTCCGTCTCAGTCTTGTGCGTCGCCGGATATTGGTCAACGGGACAGCATCTTAATCAGTGACTGCTCAACGCCTGTTGTTTTACCGAAACTGCCTGTAAGTGCGCGCCTTGGTCCGTTTTTAAATTTGACAGCAGTGGATCCTGAAATTGAAGCGGATCTTCGCAGTAACGAAAGATACGTTGATTTCGCTGAACTGCTAGCCGCCACAGACTTCCAGTATTATTCTGTTCGGGATAAAAAGTCATTTAAGCCACCGCCAATTGAATCATTTGCACAGTGGGTTAGTGCATGCTCTGTGTTTATGGCTCACCGTACGCATTATTATCCTGACATGCGCCTGCCGTTGATTAAGTACTTGAGTGTTATGGCTAGTTTTGCGGCCAGTGGTTACTCTGTTAACCAGTGGCTGGGTTACGACCATCGCTTTCGTATGTTTGCTCGTACGCAGCCGTTCAACGTGGCTATATGGGAGACAGCTGATCAAGAAATCTTTCGGCAGTCTTTCCAGATGCAACGTTTACCGGAACAACTGCAGATGCAACGTCTATCGGAACCGCAGCGCGGTGCTTGTAATAACTGCGGCCGTAATGGTCATTTTGCTCGTAATTGTTGGATGCGGCCGGCTGTAGGTGTAGCAAGTACTAGCAGCAGCAGCACACAGCTTTTTCGTGACCGGCCGGCTGCGGCCGGCGGGGATCGAAAAAATAGTGCCGGTAGTGTGGGAAAAGTCATTTGTCAGGACTTCAACGATGGAATTTGTTCAACACCATGCCGTAAGAAACTTCGTCATTTCTGCTTACATTGCGGACGTGGAGGCCACGGTTTCTATTCCTGCTATGAAGTCAATGATGCCAACAAAACCGGCAACCCCGCTTCGTCGTGAGAAATTTGTCCAGTTATTGGCAGACCACCCAGATCGGTTGTTCGTTGCGCAGATATCTGATATCTTATTAAATGGAGCGGATATTGGTTATACCGGCCCCGCGTATCTTGGACAGTGTCTAATATGAAATCAGCAGTTATCCATCATGATATTTTGTTAGCGTCTGTGCAGAAAGAAGTGTCATTAGGCCACTCTGTTGCCCGTTTGATAACCGCCATTAATTAATTTTGTCTGCAATTCCCTCGGCGTTATTCCCAAAGCGTCAGGTGGACACAGAATCATAAATAATTTGTCAGCTCCGTCTGGCACATCTGTTAACGACTGCATTGACCGCCACACATATACTGTTTCTTACTGTACAGTCGATGATGCTATCCGCTATTTGAAGACAGCTGGTAAAGGCGCAGTTATGGTAAAATTAGACATTAAACATGCCTTTAGACTGGTGCCAGTTCGGCGTGAAGACTGGCATCTCCTGGGTTATCGTGTGGGAAATGGATACTATTTTGATATAGTTTTACCGTTCGGCTCGCGTTCTTCTCCCTATTTATTCTGCTTATTCTCTGAAGCAGTTCACTGGATCTTATCGAATATCACCCATCATAAGTGGATTTTGCGTTATGTGGACGATTTCCTTATCATAGGCTTGGCTGGTTCGGCACAGTGTCAGCTTATACTTGACAGTTTCATTGATTTATGTGGCATTCTTGGCGTTCCGTTGGCGGTCGAAAAGACCGAAGGTCCGGCAACTGCACTGACCTTTTTAGGGATTGTGCTTGATTCAGTGGCCGGCACCATCTCTTTGCCTTCTAAAAAGCTTGCGGAAATTGTTTTAGTGCTTGCACAGTGGGCTGATCGTACTACTTGTTCCAAAACTGAGCTACAAAGTATTATCGGTAAATTACAGTCTGCTGCAAAATGCGTGCCGGTTGGTCGGCTTTTTCTACGTCGTATGATTAACTTGCTGTGTAATCAGTTGGATGAAGTTGTATTGGATGCCGGCTTTCATGCGGATATACAGTGGTGGCGCGATTTCTTGCCAACATGGAACGGCACTAATTCCTTCATGGACATAGATTGGTCTGATGCGGATGTGTTACAGTTATTCACTGACGCATCGTTATCGGTGGGAATTGGTGGTTATTTTGCCGGTCGTTGGTTTTCTGCGAAATGGCCAGCTGGCGCGGTTATGGCTGAGCACAGTATCGCACTCTGTGAGATAATTCCAGTATACATTGCATGTCTGCTATGGGGAAAGTTACTAGCCGACAAAAAAGTTCAGTTGCATTCTGACAATCTCGCTGTTGTGCAAGCATGGTCTAAGTTTTGTTCTGCTAATTTACAAATAAACTCTGTTATGCGGAAAATATTTTTTATTGCGGCTCAACATAATTTCAATTTAAGAATTGTCCACATAGCTGGTTTGTCGAACAATGTTGCCGACGCTTTGTCTCGTGGTCAGCTAGTTATATTTCGTCAGCTTTGTGCTAATGCTAATGCTAACCCTGAGTTCGTACCCGATGTGTTGAATGAGTTACTAGTTGAGTAGCATGGATTCTACTATTAAATTGTTATTAAAAAGTCATATTGCATCCTCTTCTCGGTCCGTGTACTGCATTGGTTTTACAACTTATCGCAACTTTTGCCAGCAACACAGTTATCGGCTTAGCTGTTCATCTTTGTTGCGTTTCATTGCACATTTGTTCGATTCTAGTAAATCATATGCCACGCTTCGTGTATATATTTCTGGTGTTTCTAATTGGCTGTGTGAGCATGGAAAATTTGATTTTACAAAGTCGCTGGTTATTACTCGCGCGCTTAAAGGTTATGCGCGGCTCCGTCCGCCTCGGTGCGATAAGAGACTACCGGTATCACTGAATGTTATGAGATTAATTAAGCGCTGTCTTAATGATTCTCATTGGGCACCATACGATAAGTCATTATTCTGGGCAGCTTGTAATGCTGCATACTTTGGTTTCCTTCGTCCGTGTGAGTTTACGTCTTCGCACAAACGCTCTTTCCAAGCTTGTTCTACCTTGTTGCTGTCTGATGTATCCTTTCAGAAATCTGTTGTCTTAATGTCTATTAAGCGGTCTAAAACAGACCAGTATGCTCGTGGTTCGGTTGTATCGTTGTCTGCTACAAACAGATCTGTTTGCCCACTTCGGTCTATCTATAAGTTTTACCTATTGCGCAAGGATTTGGATTATCTTAATAACTATCCTATATTTACTTTTCGGGATGGTACCTTTCTTTCTCGCTCTCGCTTCGCCGGCATGTTGAAAGCGCTTTTGCACGGTATTTCTAAACTTGGTTGTATTACACCACACAGCTTCCGTATCGGAGCTGCGACTACTGCTGCGAACTGTCACCAGTCGGATATCTGTAGAAGAGAAGTAGTAACAACAGCGGTTGATGGTAGTAACAATAGCGGGCTCTCCTATTGGTCGGTTTGGCCTAAGTACCGCCCCCTGTAGTCTAGGGTGTACGAATAGCGGATTATGGTCTGTGCACTGTACTGTATATACGTACAAATCAGTCTGGTCTGATGGTGAGTACGAATAGCGTACAGATCAGTTTGGTCTGATAGTGTGTACGAATGGCGTACAGATCAGTTTGGTCTGATAGTGTGTACGAATGGCGTACAGATCGGTTTAACCTGTATGCCGCCTATAATATACTGTGTACGAATAGCGTATTGGTCGGTTTGATCTGTCTACCGCCTATAATCTACTATGTACAAAACCGCATTGGCTGACGTTCTACTAGTACTATACAACTGAAACCAACTATACTGCATTATCCATGCACTGACTTGTGGTCAAAAGCACAAGCCAAACTTTTCCAAGTCATCATTCTTAGTTTTCACTTCTGGAAGTCACCATCTAAGGAATTTTATCTGCAGCACTACAACTGGATTAACGTGCTTGATCGTGTGCTATCTTTATGAAAGTTGTTTTGCTGGAAACTGCAAAGATTGTTTGCACGTTTTAAAGGCTTTTATCTTAACGTTGTCATTGTTGATGTCCTCGTTGTGTTATTTTTGCACTCGGATCTGTACTGATTTTGGAATATTTCTCATCTTGTACTGATTGACTGGCACGGAACAGCACGTGTTAGCGCAGGCGGAGTAGAGAAGTGTCCGCATTCGGAGGGATTCCATACGGTAAGTAAATGTGTACGTGTTAAGTACTCTTTTCCGCACGTTCTCATAGTTTTCATCCCTGCATACATTTAGTTACACAAAGTTATATCTTCTTGGCGCCGTTCATAAAATCTTTCATAAGATTCCCTGTGTCTAATTACTGTCTCTCCTTCAACTTTGACGCGACAATCTCAAGATTCTTATTGTCTTACGAAGTGCATGGCGCCGCACCAGGTGCATTCTGACTTTCGCTTCTTTACTTTTTCACGTGCTTTGTATGACAATCTCAACATTCCAGCTGCCTAATTACTGTCTTTCTTGCAATTCTGAAGCGACATTCTCAAGTTTCCTTTATGCTTGACGCGACATTTTCAAGATTCTTACTGTCTTACCGTCTTGCTTGGCGCCACGCCAGGAGCATTCCCACAATCCTTTCCACATGCTGCATAACATTCTACCTCTCCGATTCCTGTCTGTCCCTCAACTGTGCCTTGACATTCTGAGATTTCTAAACGTGTGACACGATGTTCTCAAGCTTTTTTCTTGCTCGACACGAGATTCTCAACTTTACTACATATCAGACGTGAAAACCGAGTCGCTACTGATGGTGCAGGCAAAACTTTTGAGATAGCACATGGTTCAACTTGATCGGGCGCAACTTTTTTTTTTTTCTTTAAGAAAATGGTAACACATGGTAAGAGTTCATTGAGAAGAACTTTTTAGATGATAACACATGGTTCAACTTGATCGGGCGCAACTTTTTTTTTTTAAGAAAATCGTAACACATGGTAAGATTTCATTGAGAAGAACTTTTTAAATGATAACACATGGTTCAACTTGATCGGGCGTTTTTTTTTTTTCGGAAAACGGTAGCATATGGTTCAGCTTTGTCTGGCACAACGTTTCAGATGATAACACATGGTTCAACTTCATCGGGCGCAACTTTTTTTTTTTTTTTTTTTTTGGAAATTGTGTTCTGTGACTGTAGGCCGCTATGGGACGGTGCAAGGTAGTTCCGGTACGAAACCGGAGTCGCAGAACAGTTTTTCTGGATAAAGAAAAGTCACCAGTCTTTTCAGCACCGAGATCGCCTACTTCAAATACCGGACAATGTCCAAGATGCGGAACGATGGTTGTCAAGCCTTTAAGCGCACATATCTTGCAACACTGCTCGTATCTTTCCAAGAGTTTCAAAGAATTTGTAGAAAAAGAATGTTCTGCGGCTAAACGGGCTGTAGATGCGCTAGAAGCGCTGCATTATCCAGGAAAGCGGTTTGTTAGACAGTTGGATAAAGTGACCAGTGCCTTGGCTCATGGTTCGGGTGTTCGCGTGGCGAGAACATACCGCGCTGACCAATATAATCGCTATGTGACGGACAGAGACTTTACCGACTCTTGGTCACTCAGTAATCTTGCTGCATCGCTGGACTGTGTCAACTTGAAGAGTCTTCTTCATTTGCTTGCAACGAAAGGCAGCTTCTTGATTCCTGTGTCAACAACAAACAAACAAATGCACAAAGATCTTATTTCTCATGTGTCCGTGATGGTGCTACTCAATAACGGTAGGGGTTTGTGTTACGGTTGTAATGATGTCATGTCATGTCATGTCTTTCGTAGGCTCAGAAATAAAAATAATGTTCTTCAATCCAAGTGGCAAAAAGTGTTCGTCCAAATTCATTGGCCGCGCCTTCATCGAAGCTATTCTGGATGAGTCTAAGCCATACCCTGAGTTGTACAACTTTTTCCATCAACAATGGCCGGAGATACCTAAAGACTTTCAGCACCTGCTGCCGGACAGCGTACAACATGGTGCAACTTTGTTCAGTGAAGCATGCACGCACTTGTCTCGTTATTTTATCAACACCACTTTGGAAAAGGTAAGCATCGAAATTTTCTTTTTTATTAATTTTTGAATTATGATTTCTGTACAGGTTGTTTCTGGCCAAGATATACAATTTGCCATGCGTGACACAGCTGTCGAAATCCAGCTGTTTGGTTGGCAGATGATTTACTCCCGTCATACAACGTTGGAGAAGAGCAATGCCCTGCGTAGCAAGATTCAGAAGCGAATTGGCTGCCACTACATTCTAAATTTGGCCACCGATGTTAGGTATGGCACAGAATTCTACGTGCAAACAGTTCTCTAGTTAATCAAGGGCTTCTTTTGTAGTTCTGAGCCTTCAACATTGAACCAAGTGGATACTAACTACATTGCTGCCATGGATCATGATCTCATGGATAACGACAACGACTTTGACGACTACGGATATAACTTCGACGAATTCTTTAATCCTTATTCACCGCCTGGTAGTCCATTCAACTGGTCGCAAGTCTACACACCACCTCAATCGCCAGCCACACAATCCGATGAAACGCAGGAACCCATGGAAGTTACTGTGGAAAACGTCCTGGATGTTGAAGAAAATGTTCAGGCAGGTGGTGCAGAGCCGATGGATGTCGACGTGCAAGATAACGACGACGATGTGGGAGAAGCTATTGTTGCGAATCATGTTCCATCCCAGGAATCACTTAGCCAACCCGTTCATGATGTTAACGTTCCTGAGTCAGGCCAATCCATACCGTCGGAATCAGACTGGTCCAAAGCTTTTACGCTCCAGAAGATAAGTCACAATCACAATAAAAAGTTCAACCACCATCAGTATTTCTACAGCCTTAAGATCAAATCTTTGCCGCAAGAGTTTGATACAGTAACTTCCCTAGAAGCATTGCCTGAAGTGTTCAAAGCGGTGTGGAAAGCGTGTTCTAAAGATTTTCAGCCGCACGACGCTGTGTGTATAACACTGTTCACCCGGACTATGGAAAATCCAATGCACTTGAGAATGCAATTCTTCAGTAACTTCAATCCGCGCGATTTGACTGAAATGGTGATGAAAATAAACTCTGGCGGACTCTTCTGCATTGACGATTCTTTGCGACTCGTTATTCAGCGTACGGTAATCCCCGCCGGAGGTGCTCGTGTACGTAAGCATATTCACTCGACGCATGATCGGAAACGGTTTGCGCGTTCAATTGTGCAAGTTGATGTCGGTTATAATCTGTGTCTGCCAGCATGCCTTGTGCTCGGAAGGTTCTATCACGATCCTGCAAAGAACATACGAAACTGGAAGCAACTGACTGATAAAAGAGAGAAGAAACTGCAAGAACTCGCAGCAAAACTAGTGGAAGAAGCTGGACTTACTGTCGGAACAAAGTTTTCCTTAAACGACATTGAACGTTTCCAAACAACTGCCCTTAAAGAGTTCCAGATCAAAGTTGTTGGAGCCGAGCAGGGGAACATCATAATTGCCAGGTGTCCCGAAAGGCAAGGGAAGCTGGAAACCATCTATCTTCTGTACGAAAATGGCCATTTCGATCTAATAACCAGTCCATCCGGGTTTCATCGACGTGGGTATTATTGTGAGTTGTGTGACAAGGCTTATGTTCAGAAAGAAAAGCATCGATGCCAAGGTAAATGCACCAAATGTTATCGCCCAAGAGAGGTATGCGTCGAGCCTGAAGAAACTAGCAGAATCTTGTGCACAGATTGCAATCGTGAATTCAATAACAACAAGTGCTACGATTTACATAAGAAAGCACGCAAAAACGGTCGGCCATACTGTACGGAATTGTTCATTTGCCCAAATTGTGGAGTTTTTGTAAGTCTACTCAATCGGAAATTCAAGAAGCACGAATGTGGTGAGATGTTTTGCCATCCATGCCAGGAGTGGGTTGATCAAGCCACGCACAAGTGCTATCTTAAACCGTTGGAGCCTCGTGTCCATGGATCGAGTTCAAATTACATCTTTTTCGATTATGAAACTTACTTGGACGCAGAGGGAATCCATCGGCCTTGTTACGTCGTGGCACAATACACTAGCGGAGAAGAGTTTCGCTTCCCTCCAGATAATGTGCCAATGGGAGGTTACGACGTTCAGAAAGAGTTTGGCCAATGGGTTTATTCAGAGCAACATCGTGGATACACCTTGATTGCGCACAACTTTCGCGGTTACGATGGACACTTCTTACTTTCCTATCTTCTGGAAAACAACCTCAAAGGCGTTGAAGTCATACGACGTGGCAGTCAGCTTCTTGATCTCCGTTATCCAGCTCTAGAGATAAAAGCGCGCGACACTCTCAACTTTGTTATGACAAAACTTTCCAATTTCCCAAAGGCTGTTGGCCTGACAGAGTGCGAATCCAAAGGCGATTTTCCTCATCGCTTTAACAAGCCGGAAAACTGGGACAAAGTGCTTCCGTTTCCCGATGTCGATGAATACATGGTAGACGGGCTGAAGCGAGCGGACCGAAGAAAGTTTGAACAGTGGCACGCAGAGGAGAAGCAAAAGAAAGGTATGGTTGATGTGTGTGTTTTTTTTGGTTTTTTTGTTTGTTTTTTTTTGTTATTTTTTTTTTTTTGACGAATATGTTTTGAAGGTGTTTTCAATTTCCGAGCGGAAATGTCCGACTACTGTTCAAGGGACGTTACTATACTGCGGAAATGTGCTCTCCAATTCCGTGAAAATTTCATCAACATGACCAACGTCGATCCGTTTCAAAACGTTACCATAGCTTCTGCCTGTCAAACGTATTACAAGACCAAGCTGTTAAAGGCTAAAGAAATTGCCGTCATATCTGCGAATGGCTACCAGCCGAATCGAAAGACAAGTGCCGAAGCAACGCAGTGGCTTGAATGGATCAGCATGAGTCATCCAAACATCGAGCACGGTAGGAACGGTAAAGAGCGGAAAATCAATCGCTACTTTGTGGATGGATTCGATCCGGACACTAAAACAGTGTACGAGTACAACGGCTGCGTACATCACGGACACCCAGAATGCACCAACGAAGATGACCGGGCACCGTTCTCCTTGAAGAAAATGTCAGAAGTGTACGAGCAGTGGATACGAAAGAAACTTTTTTTGGAAGGCATGGGTTATAATGTGGAAGAGAAGTGGTCTTGCGAGTGGCTACGTGAAAGAAAAGATCCGGATATACAGCAATTCCTCTTGAACCAGAACCTACGTGATCCACTGCAACCGCGTGATGCCTTTAAAGGTGGCCGTACCAACGCTTCATGTTTGTTCAGAGAAGTCCAAGAAGATGAGCAAATTCTACATTACGACATCGTTTCCTTGTACCCGTTTGTCAACAAGAAAGCGGAGTATCCAATCGGGCATCCAAAGATCATCGTGACCAACTTTAAGCCCGTAACGGAATATTTTGGCCTGGTCAAATGCAAAGTTCTTCCACCTGCAAGGATTCGATATCCTGTGTTGCCTGCCACCTTCAACGGTAAGCTTGTGTTCACTTTGTGCCGGACTTGTGCTGAAAACGGAATAAACGACTATTGCTCGCATTCCGATGAGGAAAGAAGTTTTGAAGGAGTATTTTGCACTCCGGAATTGCACATGGCGCTGCGACAGGGTTATCAAGTGCAGGAAATTTACGAAGTTTGGCATTGGAACGAAAAGCGTGCGGGCCTATTTCAAGAATATGTGGACAAATTCTTGAAGGAGAAGTTGGAAGCAAGTGGATTCCCGCCGGCTGTACAACGCAACGTCAAAAGAGTTGTATGTTCAAGAAGTTGCCTTGCGCGATGGAATTCTCCTAGACATTGATCGCATTGAAGATAATCCCGCAAGACGTGCAGTTGCCAAGTTGATGTTAAATTCATTTTGGGGCAAGTTTGGACAAAGAGACAACTTACAGCAGACGGTGTTCATCTACTCCGTGAAGCAGTATCTGGATTTAGTCAGATCCAAATCTGTTGATATACAGAGCGTTCACGCAGTGACTCCAGAGTGCATGATGGTTACTTACTCGCAGTAAGATGACTACAACGAAGGCAGTAACTGTGCGAATCTTGCCATTGCCGCTTTCACTACCAGCCATGCCCGCATTCAGCTTTTCAAAACCATGGCCAAGCTTGGACCGCGCCTTTTGTATTTTGACACAGACTCTGTCATCTTTGTTCACAAAGAAGGCAAATGGCTTCCAGAAGTCGGTAATGGACTTGGTCAATGGAGCAGCGAGTTGAAACCAGATGAATATATTGTACGCTTTGTCTCCTGTGGTCCCAAAGTCTACAGTTATGAAACAAACACCGGCCGAATTCAGCTGAAAGTTAAAGGCATGACTCAGAACGGGTACACGGAAGATGTCTTGAACGATGATCTGCAGCGCACTGGAGAGAAACTTGACTTTGACAAGTTGACCGAAATCCTGAAAGGCGCTACAATGCCGGTACGTATCAGTTATGTTATTACTCTTCTTTTAGTTGTTATTGATTCCAGTGGTTTAACACAGGTTGTGTACCCTGAGTACATTAAGCGGAACTTTAAAGCTCAAGAGATTTCCACTGTCCGCTTGAAGAAGCATCTGCGCATGGTGTACGACAAACGGGTTTTGTTGGAAGATTTCACCACAGTTCCGTACGGTTTTAAGAAGCCGGTAAGGCAGACACTGCTTGAGCAGACTATAGTTCAGATGTCTATGGAAGTTAAATGCTGTGCGACACTCAGGATATAACACTTGTAATTCATTATATCTACACAGGACCCACAGCCGGCGTGATGGATTTGTATCTGGAGGATGCCACAACCATGTGGTACGAGATCAAGCGTGACTCGTACATGGGATTCCATAAGAAGTCCAAAGCCATTACCTTCTGCAAGACGTTTTCGACCGAAGGAGACCAGCGCTTTGTGTATGCTGCCATGGAATTATCTGCACCGATCGTCGCGCGTATACTGGAATGCATTTCTGACGATACTGTTCAAGAGTTACTGGACTCTTCTGTTTTGAAACGTAAGCCGATGGATCTTTTCTTGCATGGTGACGGGACTGATAACTTGAACATAACATTCAAAACTGGGAGATTCTTCTGTATTTACTTCTCCCAAACCAAGAACAAGCATGTGGTTAAGTTTGCGCATGATAAGTTCTGCACTATCTTTTCAACCATCCGTTCGCTCTACTGAAAAAAAAAAAAAAAAACTCATCTGTTTCTGTGTTAGGTTGATCTGTCACAGACAATCTGACACGGTTGTAGTTGAGGTATCACAGACCGATGGCAGATATCTGCATGCCAGTGTTCACTGTTGTGAACTGTCAGAAGCATATGATGAATGCTATGACTTACAGTATGCGGGTACTGACCTATCGGGTAAAAAGGCATCCTTACTTACTTTAATGTTTTTTTTCTCCACACATTCTGCTAAAATGGTTGTCCCTGAGGATCTTAAGCCTACGTTTACTCACGTTCGTCGTGACTTTCAGGACGACGTGGTGATTTATAACTCGAACATGGCCGATGTGAATAAGCGCATTGAAACTTTCTTCGGGAATCTTAACCATTTTCCTGGTTTGGACATCTATTACATGTCTGACGCCGGCTTCTACCATATTGGTGAAGGCCGCCTGCATTGTTTCACATGTGGCGTAGGACTTGAAGGCTTGCTACCGTTTGAAGATATTAACGTACACCACGCCAGATACAGCTGGTCATGCGAGCACTTGAACTATCTTGCCAGTAAAAAGTTTATCAGAAATGTGTTGGACGTCGATGAACAGTTGAGTGTATGGGCTAAAACTCAATGGAATCGAAAAGCGTTGATATTCCGTTGTGGGTGTGATACCGATGCAGAAGATCATTCTGATGGATCGCACACTAATTCCGATATGGAACTGGACAATCTGCCGGATGATGCAGTAGTTGGGCTGTTGGTGGAGTAGATATCTGTACTCCATATCCTTAATTATGCTATTCCTATAAGCAGAAGTAAATATGACGGATGCATGTTAAGCATTATCTTGCACGGTGTTTTAGTCGATGAAAGTTCACACTTGCTTCATTTTTGCACTGCTAGCAGTTAACAATACTTAATTCTCCGTTTACAATGGATTTCCCCGAGCTCAAGTATCAGTTTCAGGACGGAAACGTCAAGTGTTACGAGATCACCAGCAAATCTTCACTGTGGTACGATACTATCGGCAACACTGTCCTTCTGGCCCGCAGCCCTGCCTCTGATGGACTCATGACTGCCAGACAGAAGGGCATCATACTGGACTTACCCGCTATCAACAATCTTCTCCTATTGCTGAAAGAAGGAAAAATCCGACATGGTTTGGATGCAGCATGCATTGGACAATCCCCGAAGTATACACATGTTAAGGATGCTGACGATGCTGTCATCGACATCAAGTTGGCTTACCATACCGCTTTTGGACGCACGATTTCCATCTCCCTTGAAGGGGCCTCAATCATGCTGGGCTACCGGAATTTCCGAAGTGTGTGCAAGTTACTCAGTCAACTCGTTCCTAAAGCTTAATTATGTGCTGCTTAATTAAATTAGAAGAAAAAGAAAAAAAAAAAAAAAAAGGGCGTTGCCCCAAATCTGCGTTATTTTTAGCTTGTCTACGGCCAAGCTGAAAGTAACGTGGTTTTGGGTAGCACTCTGAAAACGGGAAAATTCCGGAATTCTCAAATAGGCGTAGTCTACTTTTGGATTGGTTAACTGCGAACGGAAATTCCAACTATCGTTCAGTGGTAGGAACGATCGGGTAAAACGTATAAAATGACCATGAAGCAGGGCATCAGACATCAGCTTTAGTCCATTGTCGGTTTTCCTGCTTTGCGTAAAAATGATTCACCACTTCATAACCGTTGTTGTCTTTGACTGCAAGTTTGATCTGCAGAAAATTGCATCGTCCACCAAGTGTACATCTGTGAAGGATTTTAAGGCGCTTAATCTGACATCCTATGATGGTAGCTATTGTCAAGTTTTCAGTTCAGGCAAAGCAATCATCAATGGCGGCACTTCAGAGAAAGAAGTACGCACATTGTTGAAGCGATACCGGTTCCGTTTAACACATCTTGGCTATACTGCCAATGTCGTTAGCAAGCGCACTGCGAATATTATGGCTACGTACGACCATCAGCATCCGATCAACTTGTATAAGTTCGCGAAAGCACAGAAGTTGTATTATGAACCGGAGTTGTTTGACGCGGCAAAAATGCGATACGCCGATTTGGGTATAACCGTGAAAGTTTTTAGTTCCGGAAAATGTACGATCCTAGGCGCCAAGAGTGTGAAAGCAGTGGATATTTGCATTGACCGTCTTCGAGCCACACTGCCATCCAATCCACCGCCAATCCACTATGTACACACACCTGTGCAAACACATTCCACATTTTATTACCGTACATTCCGTACTTTACGAGCACACTGACCGGCAAGAGACACAGAACAGAGAGAAGGCACTGATGATCAGCCGATCTGATAAGCGCTGAACCAGGATGTGCTGCTGCTGCCCGTCTTAATTACTGCACAGACACACGTGCATTTGCAAATCTGGTCATTTGCATTGCCGCTCATTTGCGTTTGGCAATTTTGATTTTCTCGCTAATTGCACACGGTCTGCTTTTTTGGCCTGCATTTTAGCGAAGTCTGACCTCGCGGTATTTCGTCGTGCTTTTTTGTGTGGCTGTGCTTTGGTTGTTTTTCTTTACCGTTCTCATTCTCGCCTGCAATATGGACACACCTGCAGCTGCATCTGACGGCCAGCGTCGATCCCCGCGTATACAGGAGATTGCTGCACGCACATCACCGTCTGCACCATCGGCATCCATAACAGCGGCCACGGCACCATCAACTGCCACGCCTGCGAATGCTGAACGGCCGTCTTCCGCTTCTACGGGCAATGGTTCTCCAGCGTCTTCTGCTGCAGCACCTGTGGCCCCGCCGTCATCCTCAGAACCGATCGCCGGGGCCAGCGGTGTACAGGTACACAAATTAAAAACTTTTATTTTTTGTGGTTTTGTACGTGCTGGCACATTTAGCCTTGTACTTTTATTCGGCAACAACGTGTACTCAATGACAAGAAGCCTGCGCAAATTTAACTATTTAAAATGATTAAATTTAGCTGTGTATGATCAACAAGTACGTTTCATACGTGCTATAATTATTTATTGCGTTATACGTTTTGCTGCTTCGTTTAGAAGGCACCAAGGCGACGTCCGACCACGACCCACGGATCAAAAAACAGCGTGAATGTGGGCAAGCGAATGCCTGTGGCACCCGTGGAGGATGACGAAGAGGAAGAAGACTCGGAAGAAGAAGACGCTGAAGAAGAAGAAGAAGACGAAGACGACCAAGAAGAAGAAGATCCGCAACCGGTAAGAAAAAATCATTGCCATTTTATGGTTTGACGCCATGATGAAAAGTTTGACGCCATTGTCTGATTTTCGATTTTTTATTGCATTGCAGCCTGCTAAGCGACGCCGCACTGGCGGTACAAGTGCCACAAGCGTCGCAGCGGAACCAGCCGTCGCGGGAGTGTTTTGTGAAGGCAGTGTTGCCTATTTCGATACCACCAACGCTGTGCTGGTTGAAACTCCAACTCAGACTTTCGTTTCTGGGCAGTGGCACGGACGCTTCTTGATGCCAGTCAGTAACTTCCGTGGCGCTGATCTCTCCGGCATCCCTATTGCGGGTCCTACGCATCCCGATCGCCGCTTGCCTGTGTGGGGGACGTCGAGGAGAAAAACCGCGCTTTATACGAACGTCATATGGAAAAGTGCGATTGTACGGGGCTACGTGTGTGGCTATTGCTACGCCAAGGCTGAATTTAAGCCCGCTGTCCATATCTTCGCTGATCATCGCCGTTCAAAGGCGCGGCAGGATTGCATCCGCCATGTTATCGGCAAGCGGGCTGTGGGTGGACGGGCAGCGCAGGGCCCATGCGTGTACTTCGCCCGCGCCGAACCGGATTCTGCGGGCATCAAAGGCGTCACTGCACCAACGAAAATCGAACCGTTGGTTCCGTACGTAAAATTGCCCCTGGTGGGAATAATGAAGTTGTTCCGCATAAGGGAAGCACTATGGCAACATTCGAAAGGAATGAGATTCCGTGTTATTGTTTCTGTTGCGGGTAAATTTTGTATGGTTGGTGTCTTCTCCATGAAGTATTTTTGTTTTATTGCTCTAATGTCCTGAATGCTGTGCAACACTATTATGATTTTTGTTTCTCATCGCCCAATGCTATCATGATATTTTGTTATGTATACGCCGAAGTACTTTTTTATGGCTTTTTCATGCCGCATTATGAATTTCGAAGAACGAATCAACTTAAACGTTACATTTTACACATTTTACGTACATTTATGCAAATCTGCAAGTGCAATGTAAAAATCCTTCTCCGCATTCTGTACACAATAAAATGAAGTGAAAGTTTCTGTCAGCATACACATGAAATTTCTGACATATGGGCTCGTTAAACAGCGCTCTCTTTGCATTTGCATGCCATAAAAAGTTACAAGTGTAAATTAACACCTGTTTAAGCGCTTGATAGGCTTTCTCCACACGTGCACCACATCGCACCACTGTTTACTTTCGACCTGGCATGGCGTGTACGCGAAGTCGCTTGTAGCCAATAAACTGTTTCAAAATGCAGTAAAATTTTCAAACTGCAATCTTGTAAGATGGTTGACCATGCGTAAGTTACCGACAACGACAGACTTTCAGTTTAAAATTTCCAAGCCGTTGTAAGTTTTGAATTTTTATCTGGGCATGGATTCTCGTGCAACTTCCACGCCGAATACCGGCTGTACCAACGACATCGACGTGGACGATTTAAGCCTAAGCGCTATTTTTGACCAAACGTTTTTGTCTGCTTTGGCCAAAGAAGCTTGGCCGGAAGTTACCAACGCCGAAGTTGAAGCTGGTACGTTCATATCGCGTTTAAATTAGGTGAAACGAAAAAATTTATTTCGCTTATTTGCTAGCCATGGCCAATATTGACGACGCAAGTGCACTGCCTTGTGGAAGCCAAGATTCAACGCCTTTGGCAAGCAATTCCGCGGGTACTAATTTTTTTTTTGTTTTCATTTATTACACATTTATCAGTCATATACTGTTTTTTAGAGAGCGAGAACACCCGACCGGAATTAAAAGCGGATGATAGCGATGTCATCGTCGTAGATGATCTGGTCCAAGAGCCATCCAACGGTCGAATTCCGGTTAACAGCCGTAAGTAAACTGAATTAATATTATTGTTATATTTAGTATAAATAAATACAGTATCGGTTTTTCTAACGCAACGTACAACTTCTCATGCCGCATATAAATTCGGATATCACATAAAAAACGTTTGACGCCATTTTTGCCGCCATGTATAATATGTTTATATGTGTTTAGCGCAATGGGAAAATCCTGATCAAGCCGACGAGCACGATGATGATATTGTCATCGTTTCATCATCTCAAGCTAAGAAACGGAAGCCTCTTGTGCAGACGTATCTTGCTCCACCTGGCAACCGGAAGCAAGCGCCACCGGCGCCGTACAAGAAACGAAAGGCTATCCATGAGCGCTTCGCGAATATGCCAGCATCGCCCGTACAGTACGGAGCTGGACTTCCTCGAGGTGTGCTTAGCGCTCCCCTGCTCCGCGGCCGTGGCCGCCTGTGGCTATACCCGGATTGAGGCGTCCACCGGTCATGCCGGGGCCGCGCCCCAGCACTTCGCAGATGGCAGCAGCAGTTCCACGTGCCGAAATGACGATAAGGCCGAACGTGCCCTCCAGCTAGTACGTCCGTGGGGAGTTCCAGGATATATCCCGGCTATGCCTGGATACTATCCCGGTATGCCAGGATTTGGACAACCATTTCCGCACTGGTATGAGCCGAATGCGTATCAGCGGGAGTACGACATGATGATGAACATCATGCACGGTTTTGGTATCGGGAATGCTAACAATGGGCACGGCTTCGGTTTGAACGGAATCGGAAACGGCAACAACAATGGGGACCGCTTCGATAATAACAGGAACGACAATCACGGGCATGGAAGCGTCGTCAACGGAGATAATAATAATAATAATGGAACTCAGTAAGTTTCGGCGACGCGAATCATTTTGCCTCAGCGCTGTTATTATCTATGCGATATAATTGTGTTTACTTGCATGCTATCGTTTTATTTATACTGACCGTACGATATTCTGATCATCCCGCTAAAATTAATTCTGTGGTTTAAGTGAAACTGTATAAACAGGTTGATGCTGGATATTTGATTTTTTTATGCGTGTTTCACTGCTCAATGTTAACCTGCTTATGGTCTGTATTCAGCGTGTGTTTGAGAACTGTGTGCTGTTTCTGATTATCATTAATTGTTTTATTATTCTCACATGTTGAATACTGATATTTGGCTCGATGCATGTATATGCATGATACGTTTGCCGGACATTATATTTATGCCTTAAGATAAAATTAAATAAAAAAAAACTGTACCGTTTGGAGATCTGTAACTGCATGCATATCACGCTAGCACAAACAGCAACAACAGCGCAATAGAATCTTAGTTTATTTTAGAAACAGAAAACTGTACCAAATCAACCAAAACACGCGACGCATCACGACCGCAGACAACTTTCGAACCACGGAAGATAGTTTTACCCTACTATTTCGGCTCACTCCACAACCTATGTCACTGATGGCGGCGTCGGCGGAAGTGCGCAAGCTATTCAGTCAACTTTTGGCGGAGCTTTCGGCTTATCATCAAGTGAACGGTAATGACAGAGTGCGCATTGTTTTTGAACATCCGAATTAGCAAATCGAGCATTTTCAACTCCCGTTATGCCTTCCCATAAACTATCTCCTGAGTTTATACTTCAGCTAATCGTGCGCATCATGCAAAGTGGAATGAATTTTTATTTATTTACCGATGATTTGCGGATCACTTTTACGCATTGCCGCAATATCCAGGGACGGGGTCGTTTACCAGTAAAGAAGGGAGAATTATGTTTAAGGTGAATGAGATGCTGGAGCGGTCCAAAAGTGTTGTTTGCATCAAGAACAACACAACGTATGATCCTGAAGGAACTTTATGTGCCTCACGAGCAATTGTGGTTGGATTAGCGCAAACGCTCGGGTTACCGGGTTTTACGTCAGTACTTGATTCAAGAATAAGCATACAACATCACCTAGCTGCGCAACTACGTGCAGAGGCTGGTGTTTCAGACGGTCCTGTTGATTTTGATGGAATTGAAAAATTCGGAAAACTTTTAACGGAACGCTATGATACTCAGTTAATTGTCATCGATGCGGAACTCCATTTCGAAATCACTTATTCCACACCTTTTCGAAAAACTTCGTCGCTATACTATATCATGATCAACATTTTGATTGTGTAACCAAACCATGGACGATTCTGGGATTTCGTGCACGGTGCCTTATCTGTGGTAATTTTACCACGATAAAAAGAGTCACAAATGTTATCGTCCCTGTTACTCTTGCATGCAGCCCGACTGTCGATTGAATGATTTTGTCAAAAGAGTTTGCAACGACTGCAATCGCAACTTTCCATCCGACGAATGTTTTGAAAAGCATAAAGAACGAATTGCTTACAAATCCAAGGATCTTACCGTTTGTGATGCCTGGAAGAAATGCGCAGACTGCAACAGGTAATTACTGTAATTTTATTAAAAGTGTTATTCAACGTAATTAATAACAGTTGCACTGAAACATATTTTGTGACTTCAAAAGCTAATTTATTAGGTACATAAATCCGCCTGGCCGGAAGTACTCGGACCCACATGTCTGCTATGCGACGCTGTGCCTGAATTGTAAAGAATTTGTTCTTCCTAACCATTTGTGCTATATTTTAAATGGAGAAAAGCGCAAAACAAGAAAGCAAAACCAAAGAATCAAGCGGTTGCTGAAAGCGAAACTTTTGCTTCTGAAGATGATGCCGTGTCGGATTTTCTGGACGATGATGCGGAAAGTGAAGCACGCAGCGAAGAGTTTTGCGATGATGTGGATGAAGTCGTTAGTGATGACGCGGATGATGAGTGCGAAGACTCCGAATCCACTATTTCCGAGACAAGTAAAAACAGCAAGTCCGTTTTGAGAACAAAAAATTTGTTTTGATTTTGAAACATGCCTGGACAACAGTCGATATCACCAGCCGATGGTCGTGGCCATGATGTGCTTGGACGATGATTCGTTTGAGATTTGTTTCAGTGGATACGGATGTGTTTCTGAGCTACTTGAATGGATT